AAAATGGGGATTCGGACGACCCCGGTCACTCGGGTGGTCCTCAACTCCCCAATATGAGACCACCTGCACTCACAGCAGTACCTAGGTAACTCGCGTCTTAATTTAATCTAAGATGGCAGATAGATACTTGAATTGGCTGAATTCCATCTGGAAACAAATGTTGTTGAAGCAATAAAGCTGTGGTATATCAGCAACCGGCCAGGCGTTTTAGCCATCTCCCCCTACAAATGCCGGATTTGAGAGCCCTTTGACTAATGACAAATAGAGTTCGAACTTATTCCCGAGGGTTTCCGTATGATCTTCCAAGCTACCTGAGCCCTGTCCGTTTACAGCTGCCATTTGAGACAATATAAGTGCATTTTCCAAGTACTGAGTCTGACGATCATGATCGGGCACCCCGAATGGGTTGCCATCTTGATCTCCAGTCAAGAGTACCATTTCATCCTTTGATGAGGGTGTTAATTCAATAACAATTCCGCATTACCACAGCAAAGATACTAATTTTGGAGACCCAGAGACGGAAATTATCTGCGATGTCGTGTCTGTCTAAAATGAGAGTACAATGCCAAACCAAGATATCCCCTGCAACGGCCAGCTACAAGCTCCGTGCCTACTAATCCGAAAAGCAGCCCATGGGAACATAGCTGGGCAATGCAGGCGACGGTGTGTACTAGGAGGACTCATACTATATTACTCGTGTCCATTGCTGGGCGATGGATCTGAGGTTTTTGGTTGCTTGAGCTAGCCATCCTTGTGATAGGCAATATAATAACATGGCAGTGACCCACGGTGGCCAAGCATTCATACATCCCTGGCTAGCTAGATATCATCGTTAACTAAGATATAAATACAGTGGAGCCGGCTGCTTATTGGTTCCCTACAGTACTATGGGCCGTTGTGTTGAATATGAATCGATGGAGAAATAATAGTTCGGAGTTGAAGTACATCTGGCACGTGGTTAGTAGGGAGATTGGGTGGGCCGAGTTGGGATATGATTGGGTCCGCTGAATACTACTATTGCGACATATCAGCTGATTTTCAAGGGTATGTTGCTTAGAAGAGAGTTAGGTCGAAGTTTAAACGAACACATCATTCATACAGTCATTTCCTAGACCTGGTATCTTTTGAAAGGCACTTGTACGGTATCATTGGAAGTCTATTCTGATGTTATGTGCTAGGAATGTGACTTCAGAGTGTTCATAGCCATAACTATATAAAAGGCACCGATGAACCGCGTGCATCCTTCTCAACTCTAACTACGTACCATAGCACGACCGTCAACGTACTTCTTTCCACCAAACGCCACAATCACCCTTTCCTTTCTTTTTTTCCCCTCCAAATTCTGTCCAATTCTTCTCCAATATGCGCATCAACGTTTCTAAGTCTGCCGTCCTGGCAGGACTGATCCTTGCCTGCCCTGTACGGTCCACGATAACCTTCGAGACGGTCCTCGAGGCAACCAGAGACATCACAGCTATTACCACCACCGTTGACGGTCTCATTGAGGATCCAAGCATTATTAACCTTATAAAAGCCGTGCCTGTCAGTTCTAGTCCGCTGCTGCAACGTATCTACTCGTAATTGTGGTTCCGAGCTGATATTAAATAGAGTCTTGTGTCCGAAACTGTCCAACTTGCTACCGACATTGCGCATGACCTATTCTCTGACGACTCGGTCCCGCTCAACCAGACCGAGCAATTGGACGCTTGTAGCACCTTCAAGGACGTGAGTAGACCCAAGTATAGATGTGAAAAGGAATTTTCAACGCTGATCATTCCTCTACCAGTTTGCGACTGCTGAATTCGACTTGGTCACCACCATTGCTGAGAAAGTGGCAGTTCTGGCGACGAGCTGGATACCATTCGCGTCAATACTTCAAGGGTTGTTCCACGACTTGGAGCAGGTCATTGACACTGCCGCGGCTATGGTTATCAAAGTTGCTCCGGTTTGTTCGAGTGAAACAAAGGATCTGCAGACTAGTCTGGATACCTCCTTTCAGAGGATTTATGACAGTCTTTCATAATGATCCTTAGAGAGGATCTTACGGGAGATGATACTTCGCAATTATTTACACTAGATGTCTTTCTTGTCAACGTTACAGGTGGTGTGTTACAGGTCCAATTGGAAAGTAGAGGTACTCAACTTACCTCACGTGTTTAACGGTTTATTATACGAGACACCCCATAGTGGGTGATGGCACTGGGGCTTCGCTACCGTGGCTTTATACACAGGTTGGGCCTACAAACCCTCTCTTCTTAGCTCCATAAATGGGCAAGAGAATATATACATTGCTACTAAGTTTATTAGTAGAAAAATATCTATAACTCAGTTCATTCGTAACACTAAGGTCCTTGTGATTCATGGTAGTTGAGCGACGTACAAAATAGAGTGTATGTATTGACCAAATTATCAGGGATTATGTTTTGTGTCCTTATTACACGCTCCTTTTGACCATGCGATGAGAACGGTAGAACAAGCATCAAACAAGGATGTGCGTATCGCAACCGAGGCTTTGATATAGAGACCAATATGCCTAGAACCATTCAGCAACAGTTTCAAGAAGTGCCGTCGCGTCTTTCCATAATCCTAGGTCTCGGCTAAAGCAAGCCTATCTTTTGTCTTAGCTAGAAGGATGACAAGATGTCCTTGTCTACGATTGAACGGGTCCTGTTGAGCCAGGCTACTTTGATCACGCAGATGGGTTCAAAAATCCTGGCAGGTATTTTCGAATAGGGCGCGAAGAAGAGTTGAGCTCGAACCTGCGTCTAGAAAGTGTCGTATCGATTGTTGTGGACCCAAGGCGATCATCGGCGAATCTCACCACGGCAAAGCACATACACAGAACTACAGAAGACTCTCGAGCAGCGAAGACGCATTCAAAGATGGCGGAAAAGTGCTGGTCACGAAGATTATCAAGCTTATTACTTCGCATTGGGAGAATCTCAAGTAGCGTCCACCAGACGTTGGAAGCAGGTTGCGGTTGTGTTCAAGTCGGGACCGACTCTAACTCCAGAAATAAGAGACCTCCGGAACTAGTCTGTGGTGACTGAACTTAATTCCGGGGTGCTTGCAACAGCGTGAAATGCAATAATTGTGGCCGAATATCTGGCAGCCTGTGTTGTAGAAATTCGAAAGGAGCAGGTGAATGCGGGACCTAACTTAGCTCTGGCTGCACTCGGATGCGACTCGCCGGGATCGGCTCCCAGTAGTGGATCGGGCGACACCATCTTACCATCCGTCATATATACCTGTGTACTGCACGATTTGGCCGCATCAGCTTTAAAGCAATCTACAAGCCTCAATCATACCGTCGCTTCAGTGAGAATGCACATTCTGAATGACCGGAACATTGTGTCGACCCTGACGGGTCTGACCAGAACGCAGTGCGGCCAGCTTCTCGATGCACTCTCCAAGGCTCTCATTGACTACTCAAACGGCCGGCACGCAACGCAACCCGCGATCCACCAGCCGCTTCGCCAATCGTTTACGACGGCCCCGGGCCACACGACGCTGTTCATGCCAGCATCAAACACGGCGAGCACAGGCATCAAGATCGTGACGCTCCCCGGCAATGGTGGGGCACCGCGGGGGTCCATCAATATCTTCTCACCTGAGGGCGACCTCATTGGCCTGTTGAACGCAGAAGAAGTAACAGCTTTCAGGACGGCACTCGCATCTATGATACCATTCTTGAAGTGTCCGTTCCCCAAGTCACATATCCTGGTCTTCGGCGCTGGAAAACAAGCCGAATGGCACGTGAGGCTATCTTTACTGCTAGCCGGGGAGTCGGTTCGGGGGATCAAGATATTCAACCGACGGTCGGCGACTTTGGCAGAATTAAGGAAGAGATTAGAAAGCGTCCAGCAAATGCATCCCACCGTGAATATCGACTTTGTTGGGAAGGACACAACACCGGACTACGAGAGCGTATTGCAGCAAGCACTCGCCGACGCAGATGCCATCATGTGCTGCACGCCTTCCACATCACCACTGTTCCCCAGCTCATACTTGACTGCGAGGCCCAAGCAGAGATTTATCTCACTCATTGGCTCGTACAAACCGGAAATGCAGGAGGTGGATGCCGAGACCCTCACATCGGGCACACGGATCTTCGTCGATTCGAGGGAAGCTTGCTTGGAGGAAGCAGGGGAGCTCATCAAGGCTCAGATTTCGGGCGATCTGCTTGTTGAGCTGGGAGAGATGCTGGTGGAGCATAATATCAGTAATGTGGACGGCAATCTGGTTTACAAATGCGTCGGGATGGGCATCATGGATATCGTTGTCGGTTCACAGTTGCTGCAGATTGCGAAGGAAATCGGAGTCGGCCAGGTCGTTGAAGACTTCTGAATTTACCAGAGGCCATACCCCACTCGGTCTAGAAGATTTGAAGTTATAGCAACATGCTGAATAGCAGGCGTTGTTTGGGGAGCCAGTTGTATCTGTGACTCTGTTTAGCGTACCAAATGATTGTGGCGCGCGCAATGAACGACGAAGCAGCTGCAGGCTTGGTAGTCTAATACCTAGGATATATGTATCTCTGGTAAACACAATGCCGTCAAGCCACGAAGTATGTCCGCCGGGAAGACATGTTGCCGGATGAGTGACAGCCTGGACGTCAATACTCATACAACGAATGGTTTGGCCTTGACGTATTCTGATTTTGCGGTGTCCTGCACCACGCAATTTGAACATATTCTGACAGGATGCAGATTGCAGGCTTCCGATCACGTCCGGTCGCCCAACTCGACATCGCAATGCTGCCCACCTGCCACAAGTAAGGACTCGATACATCATAAAATATGTTCTGAGCTGATATGCAACCTTCGTCAACATATTGCCCATTGTCAGTAGGACGAACTGTAAGACAACGGTGAGCGTGGCGCAGCCCAATGGCGAGCTGAGCTGCAAGAGTGGGGCCAGTCCGAGTGCCAAGCGCCAGGTACCAGGCCTTTGGGGCTTGCCGTTGGTGACCCTAATTAGTTGGGCTCTTAGTGGACGCCATCTTCGCACGATGGATCTGACGAGAGCCTACTCTATTCCGGGCTTATGTAGTTCGTTACCATACCTGGGTCTGTAATCAACATTAAGAAACGAGCCGCGCAAGCGCTAACCACGCGGCAAGCTGGGCTCAACTGGGCTCAACTGGGCTGAAGCTCCTCATCTCCCGAGTCTCACTAAAATAGGCAACGATCACTGCCCCCGGCACCTGTGTCTTCCAGACATCCACCACCGAGAATCCTCCCGAACAGAGAAACCCACGCTGATGTGCAACGGTCCCAAAGAACTGGACAACGGCCCAGCCCTCTTGGTCCAGCTGACTGATCCCTTCATGCATGTGCCATGGGACTAAGACGAAGGAGGCTGAGGGTTTCACCACTGGGGTCTTTCGTCGGGCACCGAGGGTCTAGGACGTCGGGGTATAAGAGTTCCTCCAGATCACTATCATGTATGTCCCAGTTCAGTCCATGTCCTAATCGTAATAGTTTCTTATCGTCATGCAGCTCTCCCGCCATCTGCTCGGAACTGCTGCCCTCACACTTCTCCTGCCACAGGGGGCGTTGTCTCTGGGTGAGCCGTGTCCTCTCATTGGAGCCTACTATCCAGCGCCAAGTCTTCTCGGCACCAGCGAACATGTCAGGAATGCTGTCAAAGGCGCTGAAGCCCAGCTAAAGGAGGCATTGAAGAATGGGACGTTGGATGGGAACACAACCAGCCTTTCGATCGACGTATACTCCCTTCACGATGAGAGTCCACTCTACACTTTCCACTATACCCCTGAACTGCTTATCAGTCAGCGAACTGTCGGTGTGGAAAAAATCGATTCAAACACGGTCTACCGAATTGGAAGCGTTTCAAAGCTTTGGACCGCCTACCTATATCTGATCACGGCTGGTGACAGATCTTGGAACTATCCCATCACCGACTTTATACCTGAACTTGCTGCGCTTGCAAAGGAGAGGAAGGCTTCGGACAATGCAATCGACAATGTTGCTTGGGAAGATATCACAGTGGGATCGCTGGCATCCCACATGGCGGGGCTCAGTAGAGAGCCCGCCTGGAATGGTGGGTTGGCGGCTACACTTAAAGCGATGGGTCTTCCAGATCAAGGCGGAAATTCTCACTCAACATGTGGCGATGCTGAGAGAGCATTTTTGCCATGCAACCGCACAGGTATGTATCAGAGACCTCAAGCCTCACCTACTCTTGCTAACATGACACCACAGCTTTCTTTCAGGACTATGCAAAGCGACACCCGTCCACGACTCCATTCCTGACCCCAGCATACTCCAATGGCGCCTATCAAATATTTTCATATGCTCTGGAGAATATCACCGGACGTGCCCTGTCCGACGATTTCCAGACGCGCCTCGTTGAGCCCCTCGGCCTGAATGCCACTTACTACTTTGAACCGAACACCACAGACACCTCTTTCATCCCAATCAATGCCACAGTGAGCTGGTGGAATGGCAATCTCCAAGAAGAGATACCAGCCGGTGGATATTACAGCACGATCAATGATATGACGAGGGTTGGAAAAGCCATGCTCAATTTCACCCTCTTGAGCCCAGCACAAACCCGCCGTTGGATCAAGCCGCAAGCATTCACCTCGAGCCCCAACTATGCGGTTGGTGCGCCGTGGGAGATTATTCGCGCACCTGGTAGCCCGAACTCCTGGATTTATACCAAGACCGGGGACTTGGGAGCGTATTCCGGTGTGACGGCGCTGATGCCAGACTTGAATATCGGCATGAGTATCTTGGCCGCTGGGTCCCGTTCTGGGGGCCAAGTTCGAATGGCCACCGACATTCTGGCCGAAAACTTCGTGCCGGCATTTTGGGCCCAGGCCAAAGATGAGACCTCGGCGGTTTACGCAGGGACCTACACGGACAAGAAGACCAACTCGACCATCACTGTCGCGGCCGCAGACGATGCCCCTGGACTAATAGTGAACAAGTTCATTCTGGGTGGCCAAGATGTCTTGCAGACTTTGAGCGCTCTGCTCAAGTCGAAGTTCAACCTCCGTCTCTACCACATGGGGCTGAGCGCCAAAGGTGCGAACGGCACCACGACCGACTCGTGGCGTGCCATTTTCGAAACCCCGGCATCCGTGTCCATCTCCCCCTCGACGAGCTGCATTTCGTGGATGTCGCTCAACCAGTATGTGTACGGAGGCGTCGGTCTCGACGAGTTCTTGTTCACTATCGACCCGACGGGTAAGAATGCTTTGGCTCTTGAGTCGCGGATCGCAGGCGTGGGTATTGCGAAGAATGGCACTGCTGCTTCAGGAGCTAGGAAGCTCGCGAGAACGACACGGCTTAACTCAAAGCTTTCGATCTAAGCTAACCATGAGGAAATGGAGCGGGCTTGAGTCTTGCCCAACTACTTTTGCATCTGGTATTTGTATTCCGCTTCATCGTACATAATGATAAATGATAGATGTCTCTTTCTAAGATCATCCTGTTACAATGTTTTGTGCTATTGACTTCGTGATGGAAAGGTCAATAGGGTCACGTACTTTGTCCGCACTCGACATCCTGAATTATAACCCCTTTCCCATAGGTTCGAGACTGTCAATGTGACTGCATCTTAGGTAGCCGTGATTTCCCACTCCATATCAATGCACTTAGGTCTGACGACGATGAGGAACAATCTCTTGAGAACTTTGCCGTCTTTGGAATCTTGGGTGAGCGAGGCCTTCTCTTATGCTGCCAACATCCTAGCTTTGTTGAGTCTACTCGGAAGCCATCAAATTGCGGAAAAGTGATCCTGCGGTACAATGACAAAGCGCTATCATTAAATATTCGTCGTAGCGGGCGTTTATAATGCCCAAAATCTTTCGAATGGGACATTCAATGGTGATACCGCGCTTTTCGCGTACAACGCAAAGTTACCCTTCATCACTTGGATGAATTAATGCTGTGACTGGGATTTAGTCGGTATCGCGGTACACCACTCCTTCAGCCTATGATTCATTCACGGCGGTAGTTCTGAAGGTCTAGACCGGCACGCAAAAATCCCCGACTTCATATTAAGATGAATGTGAAGAGTTACCAGCACTATCTAACAGTGAATAATGACCTGAGCTCATGTGATTCTTGGCTGTCCCATGCTACAAATATCAGCCATTTTCTCCGTGTAAGCTCGTCCATTCCACACGTCTACATGTCTTTTATGACGGAGCCGTTTTGACACGACATACGCGAACCAATTGGCTCTTTTAGCATCCCACCAAAATCTGCAAAATACTGTCGCCATGAAATTGCATTCGGTGCTCACCCTAGGTGCCCTTGTTGTTACCCCTTGCCGCGCGTCCTGCTCTTCGTCGCCCTTGATCGACTGCCTTAACAGCAAAGAGGTCCCTTTCAAACTACCCTGCGATTCGGATTGGAACGACTATGCACCGACTTTCAACGTCAGGCTCCCAGTCACGCCTGCTGTGATTGTTGTTCCTAAGTTGACAACCGAGCTTGGAGATGCAGTCGTCTGTGCTGATCACAACCACATCCATGTTCAGGCTCGCTCTGGCGGCCACTCGTACGCATCATACAGCCATGGAGGTGTGGATGGCGCCATGGTATGTGGCTCGCAGATTTCCACTGCTGCTCTCTGCATTGTTTCCAAGTTACATCCACAGAGAGAAATCAAACAAGCAATGCTGACCCTTGATGGTGGTGCAGATGGTAGACCTGAAGAACTTCAACTCGGTTCACATGGCACCTGGAAACTCAGGCCAGAATGCAACCGCATATGTTGGTGGTGGAGTACGACTCGGCAACATGGCTAAGGCAATCTACGATGCTGATAAGCGTGCTATGGCCCATGGTACATGCTCAGGTGTTGGCATCGGCGGTCACGCTACTCATGGTGGATACGGCTTCTCTTCACGATCCTGGGGACTGGCCCTGGACCAGATCACTGGGTTGGATGTCATACTTGCTGACGGCAATCTGGTAACGGCGACCGCGGATCAATACCCGGACGTCTACTGGGTATGACATTAAACTCATCGCAATTCCTTAGCTACCTCTGACTAACCACTTGCATCGTATAGGCCATGCGCGGCGCTGCAGATTCAATAGGCATCGCTACGGGTTTCTATATGCAGACTTCGCCTGCCCCTGAGAAGGTTGTCAACTTTGTCTACGATCTCTCGCCGTTTTCTGCAGTCAACGTGTCAACCGCTGTCGACTCGTTCCTCAAGATACAGGACTTTGTGCACAACAGTACTTCCATCGACCGTAAACTCGGTTTCGGTATGACGCTAGGCAAGACCAGCGGCGACAAGGGCACCGGGATCTTCCGGTTGCAAGGAGCCTATCTCGGCTCGGAAGCCGAGTACACGTCACGTGTCGAGCCTTTGTTCCTGGGTGGTTTGCAGTGGGCGACAAAGAACGTTACTGAATACGATTGGCCGTCGTCACTTGCAGCCCTAGACGGAGTGAGCCTCACTCCCCCGGACCCATATAACCTACATTCCAACTTCTTCGCCAAGAGTGTGGTGGTCCCCGAACCTGGAATGAACGAAAAGGCTCTGACCACTTACTTTGAGTACATACTCAATGGTGAGCATCGGTTTCTATGATTGGCAATCCTTACCGAGATTTTGGAGGCATTCTTTGGCAGTATATTCTAACGAGAAGAACAGGACCCAAAGCGCCTACTGACTACTTCATCCTGGTCGACCTCTGGGGCGGAGCAGATAGTCAAATTAGCACGAAAGACACCGAATTTGCCGCTTTTCCATATCGCAATACATTGTGGGTCGCTCAGCACTACGCACAGGTTGCTGGGGACAGCCCCTTCCCCAAGGAGGGCATTGACTGGCTCAATGGTTTGAACGATGCAATGACCCAGAATTTGCCGGTGTGGCATATGTACCAGAACTATATTGACCCCACATTATCGAGAGAGGAGGCACAGGCACAGTATTACACACCAGAGGTCCTACGTCGCCTACGACAGCTCAAGGAATACTTTGACCCAAACAACGTTTTCGCTAACCCGCAGTCAATTTAAGAGCGTTGTGTAGATGCTAGATAGCTATTCTAAGCTGTCAATCAGGTAGCAGTAGAGGAAGAAGCCAACAGGCATGCCCACTTAGCTGAGAACTACGAATGTGATTATGAGGCCATTTCGAGTATTGCCTCTGCCACTCGTCGCGGGTGGTTGAGGAATGGGGCGTGCCCAGTATTCTCCAATCTCACTGTCTTCATTCCCCAATCTGCGACGATGCGTTCCTGCGATTCTAAGAGAACCATGCTGTCTTGTTCGGAAATGACGTAGGTTTGGGGGATGGAGAGGTCAGCTGGTGAGCTCAGTGCTGGCAGGTAGAACACGTCTGGACACTGCGGCTCCAGCAGTGCCATGGTCTTCTCGATCTCGTCCTTCGGCGCCGGGCTGAAGAAGTAACGGATGGCAGTTTCCGTGTTCCTGACCGTGGCTGAGGTCTGCATTTGGCGACATAAGTATCTGTCATTCGACATCCATTCACTTGCTTGGGTCAATCAAAAGATGCAGATACTCACTTTTCCGTCAATAGTCTGGATGTCGTAGATATCGGCTACGTCAGGAGGCGTGATCGCTGCACTGTTGCAGGCATCAATTGCACACCCGCCCTGCTTGGCGAGTATGCCACTCAAATATACAACTCCCTTGAACCCCCCCTGCTTCCCTTGTGCTTTAAAATCTCTGGTGGTAAGTCCTTTGGCTGCTATGGCACTGACGTGGCCGCCGTAGGAGTGCCCGACGAGGACAACCTCTTTACCAGCCTCGAAAAGCTCGTTGGCTATCCTGCGTACGACAGCCACATCATCGTCCACGGTGATCCCAAGTGCGTCTTTTCCTAGAGATGCAAGTCTGGGCATACTGACCTCGTAACCAGCGTCTTTGATTAGCGTCGTTACAGCATCGTAGCACTGTGGTGGGTGGTACGCTCCATGTACGAAGAAAATGGAAGGTTTTGACCGCGACATTGCTGGTGATGCTCTCCAGGTTACCTCAAGTCACTAAGCAATTGAATAATGTTGATGACGAAGGGGAACAGCTGAAATAGGACGGAGATTCGCAACGTCATCCCCTCATCTGCTTGTCCCAGGACCGTCAGCTTTGGTGGATCATGCTTACCGTGATAATGGCGCTAGTTCTGTTTTAGTCCCCGACTAACCCTGATCGCAATTTGGTCAATCTAGTCATCTTGACGACCGTCTATCCCAAGTTACATCACTAACTAAAGGCTCTGTAAAGTAGCGCACAGTTTTGTTCGATCACGTGATCTTTATATGTTGGCAACGGACATCGCAGAACAACCAAGTGGCAAGCTGGCACCACGGCTTATCTGAATCACGACTATATCATCAACAGGTGGGCAATGTTCCAAAGATCCAGTTGAAATGAGCCAATGAAACCTTGGACTGCAGTCGCAAGACTTTAGACGGGCATGGACCAGGAACGGAGCGGGTCAAGCGCTTGCAGTCGAGTGAGATTGAGAATTGGGTTTGAAAGTAGATTCAGACTAAGAGGCATGATCTTAGGTAAGTGGCCCAGCACAGAGTTTTAACCAAAGACCTGATCGGTTATTTATTGCAGGACAGTTACACCGAGCTGCCACATAGTGCCCAGGTTCCCTAAGATCCTTTGGTGGACTTTGTATGCTAGCATCAATGGTATCTTTATATCAAACCAACTCTCTAATGCGATCCTTATGGGGTGCGATGTGAGATGTATCAGAGATGGAGAACGCAAGTATCCATGTTTCCTTATGTATCTGACGGCTTGCACATCTGTCTATGTGCATACCCTCTTTACTATAAGGTATCACTTGGCCTACACAACCTCGACTCGAGCCCTTGCTCGCCCAGTTGCAACTTCAATAAAGCTGTCTCGATACATCTGAGCTAAATCTCTCAAATTGCGGAATGCAGTAACCCCACCCCCCCTGTTGGACTAGCCCCATCTGTGCAGGTTCGTTCGTCAAAGGCGATAGTTGAGGTATCTTTATTGCCAACAACTGCCCCACTCTATTGAATTTCAAACCATGATGGCTCGGAGATCATTGATAATTTTCACATCCAATAACACGAAAGGGGCTTAGGAGGCTTGCCTGGCTGAGAATCATTCGTTGAGTCGATACATATAGAAATAAAATCTATGATAGATGAACGATAATTCTCTCGATCCCACTGTGCTTCTGGAGGTTCATTGAACCAATTTTGCCTAGTATCATCCCACTGACCGCAAACATTTTCGGATCGCATAGCAGTCCATGACCCAAAGTATTAAGTATATATCCAGACGTACTTTCAAGAGCCATCGATTAAATTAGCCGGAACATTAACAGTGAGTCTCAGATATCACAGAAGCACAATCCTCCTCCCGAGTTGGTCATTACAAGAAGTGCCGATTCCCAAACAGTCAACCCCATAGGACTCAATCTTATCCAAATACAGCCATGACTGTGATGGCGAATGCCAATGACATGGCCAGTATATGTGCTTCAGGTGCTTTGCGAACCCTGTTGGACCCCGCTGTAACAGGAAAGGACGTAGAGGTACTGGATTGTGAAGTCCCTGACGATGGTGAGGTAGCTGTGTGGGAAGTGATTGTCCAAGGTTTGGTGGTGCTGTGCGGCGACAACGACTGTGTAGACTTGACAGAACTATGGGTAGTATAAGAAGCCCACCAGGGGCTAGTATAGGACGACGACTCGGCACAGGCGCCTAAGGATCCTGTAGTGGCCGAGACCAGCGATAGAGTTCTAGTGCTTCCCAACGTAGAAGTGAGCTTGGTTGTGGAGAATCCAGGTTTATCACACGTGTATGCCGCGATGGTGGCTGTGATACAATATTCCACAATATCAGTGGTATATGGAGTACAACTGGTGTCTATAACTTCATACGGGTTCGATACGAACGTGGATGTGGCGTCGGCAAGGCTGAAACTGCCGCCAAGGAAGGAAGTAGGGAAGTCAAAAGGTGGTATTCCTGGATCGGTTGTTGCCGCCAGCTGTGCGAGTTGCATGATTCTTGTTTCTGTCACCGTTACTGTCTGCGATAAGATCAATGTGCTCTGTGATGCCGCAACAGAAATCAGACACCATATAAGCGAAAGGCCTTTGAAGTATTCCATTCTGACGAACGAGCGACTGGGGATTAGTGTACTTTGGTATTGAGATGGAAAACCTGTACCAAAATCGCGAAACCGAGAGTTCGCGACGAGTGGCATTCGGTTCTATACATATAATATTTCTCCGCAGTTAGACAATGTCACACTGTATCAGATCTTGGACACCACGCGACCTTTAATTTCCTGCATGGAGCTGTTTGCTGTTACGGCTGTGTCATGCCTGGGACTTCACGCATGATGAAACTTCCTCTATCTTAGTCCAGTGTGATCTCCTCTGTAGCTCTTTATTTTGCATGCACAAATCCGTGTTTAAATACACTGCAGGCCAAATCACTTGTCACAAATAGCCAGGGCTACTGTTATAGCATGGCGCAGTCTGGAGACAGTCTATATATAACAAGAACGTTGGTTCGAAAAAGCCCGATAGCACTGGTACGTAGTCGGACTTTCCCCTCGCAAAGTATCAACGACGATACGTATGACGCCACCGCTACCATATTCTGCGTCCGCAAAATACAAGGTGGCCGATCCTATTGAATCCACTCTGTCATACCATGTAACGGGAACGTTTGGTTTAAATCTGCCTGAACGACCTGAGAGAAATAAAGGAAGGGTTGATCAGGCAGCTCCGTGTGCTCTTCGAACTGCAGGTACTCGCGTGTGGCAGCATCAACTTCGGCACCTGGCTGATGAGCAAATGGCGTCCTCTGGGCCAGATTTGGTTGTTACTAAGATATGCATAGACCTGTTTTTCAAAGGTGGCGGAAACATCATCAGCATCAGACTGGAGTGGTACGTGTAGAGAAAAAGACGTGCATAGCTGCAATTCGTGCATTGGATTTCAAATGGGCTTGAAATGGTTTGCAGTATGTCTCTAGAGATCGAGGGAACGAGCAAACTACAATCCGGAATTGGAGGCTCTTTGCAACGCGAAGCGTGCGCGAAGCCTGTCGCTATGTCTGATGACTGATTCCAGACTGCGGGGCGGCCGCCGGTCTTCTGCCACGCCTATCCGTCTGGGCGCAGAAGCTACCAGGTGGGACCTCAGTTACAAATCTGCGCCGGGGACCAAACGGGCTGTGAGGTGTGGTGGGTTGTGGTCTAGTTAAGTGCCGCCCAGGGCATGGAGGTGCCTAGTGTAGCGCTCCACTCCGCTAAGCTTGCTAATTTCAAGCTCCGGCCACTATTCCGTTGCGGGCATTGCAAGAAACTACGCAACACGCTCGCGGGTTACCAAATTCATGTCTCCATGGCCTGCCCTCAGTGCTGCTTGCGAGTGATGCACCACTGGATAATTCATGCTGAAGCCACTGTTAGTTTCTTGTGCCTCGAATGGATTCATAGGACGAAGATGAAATGGTACATCGTATCCGGCCGTCCAACGCCTCAGCCTCAGCCTGTCCTGGGTATAGGCGGGCAGGCGACCGCCAACAATGCGCAGTAGCTGCAATAAAGCTCCAAACAAGCTTGTTTTTATCAACCATTTACATGGTCAAGCCTACTTTGATAGCGTTTGTGTCAACATTAACCAGGCCTGTCGCTTCGAATCGGAGCACAAGGTAGCCATTGAACAGACCAAGCCGTGATTTGGGTTGCATCAAAGTCCTTGCACTTACTGTCGGGCAACAGCCTTGGATGAGCGGGGTCTGATATTCAGCGAGAAAGAATCTACCAACAGAGCCTGCTTTTCGTTGCTGGGGCCGATTGGATAGCCCCCATTTGTGTAACGCGATGACGGCGCCGGACAGACCAACGTGAAGCCCAATCACTGTCACTATGGCCCCTGTTGACATTTGTGGCATTTGAATCAGGCTGGCGAAAGGCGGGAAGTTGAATGAAAGTGTCTCAGTACCTAGGTAGTCGGAATAATAAATACACGTTTCTCCGTTCTTCAGCTATCATCCTCTGGCGAGGACACTCCAGATCTAAGATATGTTGCAAAACAAGTATTTTATCAGAAGAGGCTATCTGAGTGTCTCTGTCACGGATGAGACATCGCATTGAATGCACCGCCCCTTCGGCCGTGGGACTCTGCTTTAGGGACCACCCAATACGATGCGTCGTTTGCTGGTGGATGGCCCGTGGCGAACATACTAAGTGCGGAAACAATTTGGACCTTGTCGATTCCGGTTTTGAGAGCATCCAATAGAAGGTCCATCATCTAAATGCCCCCTGTATCTGCTGCATATGATAGCCAGAAGGTGGACTACTCGAATGGATTGTCTGATTTTGACATGGCCCAATAGGAGTTGCAGTGCATTACAGGCTACGCATAGCTTCACTAAACGTGCAACAGCGACAGATGGCACCGTTAGGCAGCCGAGCAGCCGCCCTTTGATTTCGGTACTGGCCTTGTCCAATAATTCCTGCAGCGGGGCGCCATCTCCTGCGCGGAGAAGGCATTTGGTCGCCTCCTTGGACACATATTCCAACTAAATACTTAAACATCAGGATGTCCCGCCATTTGACCTGGGTAAGCTGCGGTACTCATTTCGCGACGAGCAAATACTCATTTCCCAACAGCAGCTTATCTTTCCATCTTCTGCTCTTTGCTCTCGGCAATTCCTAACAGCTGTAGGGTGTGATAATGGCGAGCGACTGGGAACGATTCAAGGACGAGATCGTGTGGCTCTATCTTGCAGAGGGTCTCACACTCGATCAAGTTTCGTCGCAAATGGTTCGGGAACATGGCTTCGACAAGAAGTATGTCCTGCTCTTCTCCCCGTGTCATTTTCCATTGCTTATAGTCTTTTAGAAAGCACCAATACGAGTACATGCTGAAGAAATGGAAGATCAGTAAGAATACGAAGAAGAAGATGTGGGAATACGTCAATCATATTGTGCAAAAGAGATACAAGCAACGGAAAGCGTCCCAAGTACACTTGCATGGCATTCAGCTCTCGGACGCCCGCGTCAGAAAGGCATTACAGAGGTACGGCCGGATATCATTGGCTGAAAAGTATGGAGCAGGTGCGTTTGTTAGAAGTTTCCGCGTAAAGTCGCTTGATGCTGATAAATTATCGTAGCGCCTAGTCCACAAAGCCCAGAGGGGCAGATAATACGTATAAGCAGTCCCCCTGCCCCAGAGAAGCAGGTTGTGTGGCCAGAGAACTTGCCGTGGGTACAGTTTGATAGAACAGTCCAATTGGGTATGTGTATTGTCTCGACTCTGCCTGTTCACAACCTATATATTGGTAATACAACTGCTGATCGTTGAATAGTCCATCTTGAGATAGCTGAGCCATTAGTGGACTCAATCTTGCGGGCATTGGCTACATCCAGACTAGGCACCCGCGTCGTCGACGATTCCGCCGTCTCTACAGCCTTACGCGAACCCTTAGATTGGGTAGCAACTCTGAGTCAGACGCTTCCCCATCTCGATGATCATGCAGGAGAATTAGTGGCATCTTCACATATCCAAAAGCCAGACATTAGAGCGACGCGAGCTTTCAAGGCTTTGCTATTTCAAATGTCAAACAAGAAGCTTAACGTGAAACATCCTCTACTAGCCCAGAACATGATGAAATTGATCCACGGGCTCTGCCGGGAAATTCCTACAGCCGTGGATCGCCTTTTAGACTCTACGGATCCCACCTCAGCCGCCGTCAAAGAGACTTTATTCGCAACTGTGGTGAGGTTTGGCCATTCACTGCTGGTTCCCAGGTTTTTGGCAGCTGGCACAAATCCAAACAACCTTATCGATTGTACCCTTCGATTCAAAACGAATATGCAACGTGGTAAAGCCTTTTTCAGGCGAGAGCGATGGCTCAGCCGAGTGACGCCCTTACAACTCGCGTCTGCAGCAGGTGACATGGAAACAGCTAGTGTACTACTAGAATATCAAGCGAAACCGGACCTTGGAGACCCTACGCCTCTTCAAATTGTCTGTTCATTACCGCCAAAACCTGATAGCGTGAAACTCGCCAGACTCCTCTTACAATACGGTGCACAACCCGACACTACCCGACATGACATCTTGCTACCGCCGCTCATGGAGGCAGTGGCTTGCGGAAACAAAGAAATGGTTCGGTTTCTTCTTAGTGTGGGTGCTGCAGACAAAATCGTTTCTCTTGACAACAGCAAATATTCTATCTCCATCTACCCTTCACATCTCCGTGTCGACTTTCTGTACCTCGTTTATGGTTACCCTAGGACAGATCATGAACGCCTAAACCTGTACAAAAACCATGCTACCATCACAGCGTTGCAGATTGCGACGATCATTCATGATACCAACATCACGGAGATGCTGATTCTATCTTTCCCTCATCGTAAGGATCGGATAGATATATACAGACAAGCCTTGGTTACTGCTTGTTTAGCAGCGGACGAAGGTTTGGTATGCCGTTTCTTGAACCTGTATCCTGGGATAAGAGATGATAAAGTGTGGATCAACTCAGCCTTTTGTGCTGTAGCATGGAGCCTGGATTGCCGAATCGCACGTATATTGCTCGGATATGGAGTCATACCTCAATGGCACGAGGGTTATATTATCTCTGCTGTCCAAGCAGCTGCATTGTATGGAAACGTTGACCTGATCAGGCTGCTTCATTCTTGCGGGTACGACATCAATGCCTCCGTTATGCTGCTTCCTCCTCCTACGTCTAAGAGCAAAACGATACTCTTAGAACACTGGACGCCACTTGAGTGTGCAATTTACTTGGGACATAGCCAGTTAGCACAATTCCTATTGCGACTCGGTGCCTGGTGGGCTGCAAGTACGTTGAATCTAGCAATCTGGTTTGGAAACGATGAACTGGTTCTTGATTTGCTCGCAAGAGATGCCAACATTACCAGTATCCTACATGGGCTATATCCACTTCAAATTGCAGTCAGACAACAGAAGGGACTGGCCTTAATTCGCAAGCTGGTCGAGGCCGGAGCTAGATTCCAGGGGGACGAACTTATCACGGTAGTCCGAAATAACGACCTCGATGTTGCTGGCTATATTATGGCTTCTGGAACCGACATTCTTGCTACGAGTACAAATGGGGAGACTATACTGGATGCCGCAGCCCAGTCGGGAAACCTGTTCATGATGCAGAGATACTTTTCTTATGGTGGACAATACACCTCGAAAGCACTTTTCGGGGCCGTCAAAACGGCCACGGCAACATCTGACCATAGTGCAGTCAAATATCTATTACAATTCCGACCTTCGGGGCCCATGGACGCTTACGAAGTCACCAGCCTTGTCCAATCCATACTGACGAATAACCGCATTCTTGTTGACCTGTTTCTCGATCTTCACCCTGGTCTTGCCACATCATACTTTTGCTGGCATACAGAATGGTCCAAGAGACCTTATCTTCAGATCTGGGATCAGATTGGGCTCACGGTCTTTGAGCCGAGAAGTAGATGTGCTAATTCGGCTTGTCCTAGCAGAATCTCACCATTGTGGGCCGCAGCACACATGCTACAAGAGCCACTGGTGAAGGACCTGATCATTCGCAATCACCCACCACACGCGTTCTTGCTCGAGTCGGCGCTGTACGACCGAACGTTTTCCAGCAAGGAGATACAGGAGCAGCTGACCACGGCTTATCCGCTTTCATCAATTAGAGACAGGACATCACGCCGCATACTTCTGACAACGGCTATTTTGTCGGATGCGAGGCCCGAACTTCTCCAGCAACATGTCAACGGCCTCAGAAACCTTAACTTTGCGGGTGATGATGAATCAAGAACTTGGAATCCATTGCAGCTCGCCGCAGAGAAGAGCAACATTGGATGCGTCAGAATCCTCCTCAAGGCCGGGGCCAATGTTAATACACCGGCAACAGGCGACTGTGGCCAGACGGCGTTGCAGGCTGCAGTCGGAGAGGGAAATTTTGAAATGGTAATGCTTCTCCTTAAGCATGGCGCTGATGTCAATGTACTGGGAGGAACCGGCGTTAGCTCCACCACAGCTTTGCAGCTCGCAGTTCGGAAAGGAAATCTCGAGATGGCAATGCTTCTCCTTGAGCATGGCGCTGATGTCAATGGGCCACCTTCGGCCTTCTTGGGCATGACTGCTATCGAGATATCAGCAGTAAGGGGATTCATTGACATAACAGCGCTCCTTCTCCCTCGTGTAGCTCTCCAAGGGCGCATGAGGCTACACTTCGTAAGAGCTGTTTGCTTTGCGGCGCAAAAATGTCAACACGCCACAGCAGAGCTCCTGAAGAAGCATGGAGGTTGGACAGAGAGGGACCGTAAGCTTGCGACTAAGCGTCAAACCACCGAAAGAATACATACATGTCCTAGGTCTCTCTACAATGACTACTCCTGGACAGGAGAGTGTAACTTGTGTAATCGATCTTCGAATATATCGTCGACTTGGAAGCCATCTAACGAAGATGAGAGCATTATTCATCTATCAAATAGTTCAATGGGACCTGATCAGCAAGCAGCTGATTCTGGGTTGGAGCTACCAGCTGAAGGCTTAACGATGCTGGGAGACCCATTCGAGGAATTGGGTTCTATACAGGTCACAGAAGTTGCCGAGAGGTCGCTTGATCTGTGTGATCCTGTGTCAAGGTGGCTGGACGACTTTGTCGGATACTACTTTGAGAGCATTGAATAACTACTTGAACTTAGCGAGATAACTGAGTCAATGTGTTAGACCACCTTCAATATATTAAAGAACTTTACTGAAGCGTCCCAAAGCCGCTGCAATTATCACTGGTGCGACGACTTGTGTAAATGGTTTCCCAACTTTGAGTATAACCCTATATGCACATAGTATCTTTTATAGTGTACCAACATGGACTTCCGTAAAGTAGACTATTCACCGACCATAGCACTATTCTAATGCTCGTGATTTCCGTGAAGCATCAAGTCCGGCCATTTAGGAATTAAATCATAAGTGTAAGTATACAAACGAGTGAATTGTAGTAGAGAAGGATCAGAGTTGGCTATTCCAACTTGAATCTCCTGCTTTCCACACTTTCTAGCTTGTCCCAAATTAACATCAAAAGGCAGCCTGCCAAAGCGTCCTCCGCAACCTCGCCAAAATCTATCCCACGCTTGCGCATTGTGAATTTATGAAATCCCCTCTTAGACGAAGTTCCAGTTGACTTGGATTACCCCCGTGCCAAGCGAGCCAAACTGCTTGAAGATGGCAGGCGAGACATCGATGTCATTGGCGCCACAGCCCATGCACTTGTCGACGACCTTGGCCTTGACAGTCTTGCCGTTGTGACTGATGTTGATGGACTTGGAGCAAAGCGGGTCCTTGTTCGGGTTGGACGAGGTCCAGCGGTCGTGGCCAATGGCCACGATAGCGTCGTTGGCCGAGTTGGTCTTGCCACAGGCCCCAAGTCCAGGCTGGTAGTAGGTCATACGACCTGTGAAGGCGAGAGCAGTGGGGATAAGGAGTGTGGTTGCTGCGAACTTCATCTTGAAATATTTTGCTTAGGTATTTGTGCTTTGCTTTTTGTGTGAGTTTATTGTGAGGTTGTTGAAGCGATGGGGAGACCTGGGACGACGAAAGCAACCTTTTATAGACTTTCCTGCCTCACCCCTATCATTGTCTTCGAGGTCACCCTGTATCTTTCATGGAGGTATGTCGCGAAGGCATCTAGCCTTTCCTCAGCTGACCAAGCACAGTCACACACTGATCGCATCATCGATAAGGAAACAGCTAGGCCTGGATCTCACGTCACTAGTCATAAGACTTCAATATATTCAAAGGCCATCTGAGACAATACTTGGCTATCAATGGCCATTTGCAGTGATCCGTAGGCCCAATGCAATGATGTGGGCGAACCCACTCCGCGCTGTTACGATCCATGGAGGCAATTCATGAATTCCATTGGTTAAAGCCAAGGAGCACATGCAAGATCTAAGGGGGAAACTGTGGCGGTTTTCCAAGGAGCGCCCCGGTTCTTCTGTCACTTGCGCAATTGAGCCTCGTATGTTGCGTGGCACTGTCACCTTGGGACTATGGTTTTGCTCATAGGCGCGGCATGAGCCACGTGACACATTGTGCAGTGCGAGCCCGGGTCTTCGAAGCACATGGCGAGAAGACTGGCATTGGGAATATCACTTGACTGAGACTATGTCATATGATGTAAGCAGAATGCGGTCTGCTTGGGCTTCATGTACACGGTCAATCCCGGTGAAGCGGCTGAGTCATGGTATGTGGGTAGTAAGACAAGGTAGCTTAGTCAAGAAGCTCGCAAGATTAACTGATTCGCCAAAATTGATTTGGTAAATATCCCGCAGCTTCTATCCAAATTCAACACAGTTTTCAAGTACAAATACCCAAGAAAGTAACTGGGCGTGCGCAATTCTTAAGCCATGATTTGCAAACTCCTAATAGGTATGACATTGGCTAATGTACTCGTCGCCATGCTAGAAGAGACCGAATCCTTCAACTTTTTGAGATCACATGATGCCGCTGATCAATGACCAAATACCAGACTCCATTGTGGCCGAGCCCTCAGGGGCGAACAACTGCTGGGCGGTGACGGTCGGTCATATGAACACAGGATTTGCCATAGTGTTACGGGGGACTCTTTCTTCTTTTGGCCCGAGGGATGCTAGTCCGGTGATTCTAGAAATCCTAAGCACATTATCTAATGAGTAAATACCAGCTTAGAAACAAAAGCAACATGACAGTAACACTACATAGTTGACTACACCAGGTCAAACCTTGGACTTGTATGTATACCTTGATAGTGGTCAGCTTACTCATACGTGTCACGTGAGCCAGGTCACACCGTGGCTTTCTACTTCACCGAAGGTTACAATCTGTGGGGGCGCAATGAGACAAGTGTAATCACGAGTAGCAATTCCGGGAGATTTTGGATATTGAAATGTGAGATTTGCCAAGCAATTAAGGCATACCGCTGAGGGCGTTCATGTCTTACCAACACGCCCTGACAAGTAGAAAACAGTGATTTCACCAGTGGCACCCCTTTAAATCATAACTGAAACTTAGCTAAATCCCACTTTTATGCCTTGCTTCACAAAATCTTTCTTTGAACTCGAGTCTAACATGACGGAGACAATGGTACGCATCTAACTTTATTGATGAAAAGTATGCTCATTCTGTTCTGTCAAGACAAACATTTACTTCCAGGACTCGAGTGAAAGTGCTTATCCAGTGAGCTCTAATAGTGTCGAGAAGGCATCAATTGCTGAGCCGCGTGATCCTCTCCTGTGCACACTCTACTTTTTGTGCACTTTGCTGTCGCTCCATATAACGAGGCCTTGCTGACTGGTTTCTTGTACGCATGCATTCGTCCCAGAACCTATCGGCTCTCCTCGTTTCAATCTTGTACGAGGTATCTCGCGTCTCGCACTTTTGCTTGTAGGGGTTCAGATCCTGTTTCAGCAACTTGTTCTCCTCCAAAGAGTGATTAGCTCTAGGCTTCTCCAAATGTAGCTCTTCCTTCAAGATTTTGACCTGTCGCTGGTGCAGTTCGATTTGGGCCCAAGCGTGCTTGAGCTTTTGTTGTAGGCCAGCTATATGTTCACAAGAATCCTGATACTTGGAAATCTGTACGTCTGTGATGAACTCCTCGAGGCTGTGCTTGGCGCTTTCAACCTGCTCGATCCGCTCTCTCAGGAGTTCCAGCTTCTCGTGGTAACTGTGGTGGACCTCCTCGGCATCTCTAATCATTTGTCGAATGTGCTTGTCGTGCAGGTATCGAGTGGCTTGCAGCAGGGTCTGGTAGAATATCTTGCAGTCATGGGCTTCTCCTTCGACGAAGTTCTCAAGCAACCTTGCCAGTTTCTCATACCTCTGAATGGCTTTAGTGAGTTCGAAGCGGAGATTTTGTGCTTCTTCGCGCAGGGCCTTACAGCTGTTGTCATATTTATCGCAACGGGCTCATAGCTCATGTCGTTTCAATTTTGCGTCGCCTAGCTGGGTTGACCGTTTATTGAGCATTATCTCGGTCTTTGCACTTTGTTTACTTTCGGTAGAAAGGGGGGTTTTTTTTTTGTATGCCCACAACTTAGCATAGGCAGCAAGGGGAAGCCACAAAGGTGCAGCCAGCAGTATCAGGCCGGTGACAACTTTTGGAATCATGAATAGTGAGACAGACGCCCACTATAGATTGCGGTTCGAACTTTGCCATCCCAAGCTCCGCAGCCCTCTTAGACACAATTCATGGAGTCCTTAGTGAGAGGCTGTGTGCAACAGTTGTGTTAAAAGGCGTGCCTAAGGGGTCAAGAAATTTAACAGCACAAGAGTATATTCCTGTCATTATGGTTTCCAACCAACCAGGTTCTGCTGTCTGTTGTCGCGGATTGTTGCACAGTTGGCGGTGTTAGAATGATCAGCTATATGTTGGAGGTATATGCATTCTGTGCCTTTGGATCTGGGGCGTGTTCAGTGCAAGGAAAGTAAAGTCAGAGTCGGCACTGGATTTTTGTCTACCTTCTTAGTTTCTGAAGGTTTCCGGAGAAACTAACGATAAAACTCTAAATAGAATGGTTCCGGAGAAGTTGGGGGTTGAGTATTTTAGCGTTTCATTACAACCAGCGCGAAGAAACATTTTGCAAAAGCCCACCCTCTAAATTCAGCGATTAAGGCCTTTCTTCACCGTCGAAAGTGACCCTTTGCAGTAGACGAGAGAATTAAAGCATAGACAAGCAGGCAGGGTCCGCTGCATGCATCAGCTCTTCAAATTCATATCTCAAGCATACTGGCAGCATTGGTGCATCCATGGCTTGTATTGTCCCGTCGGACCTATATACCGCGTGTTTGCCCATCTCAGCCCTACGGAGGCCCACATTCAGCGAGAGATGATCGGATCTGGGGATGCAAGGATGGAATAAAGATTATTGAGATCTGTCTGCAGAAGGGTGCAGAGTGGTGGGGTCGGTCCAGCAGGGAAGGCTTGTCGACACGGTACCGGGGGTGCGGCAGAGGATGCAGCCTAGCCATATCCAGGAGTTACGTTGGCCCTTGTTGGGATTGTTCTTACGTCTCTAGTTTCATTGTGACGACCGCGAGCTCAAAGTAGCCAAGTAACCTTAGCGGTTCACGTCGGAGGAGGAGGGAGATGACCGTATTTTGGCAAGTGAATAGAGGCCTTGGGGTTCTTCCCGGGCTGTAGAATGATCGTGATACCGGCCATAGAGGGGAGATGTGCATGGCGCAGCTCGAGATAGATCTGCTGCCAGGCAACCTTGGATACACAAACAGCTGAACACTCAACACGCCTTGTGGTTCTTCAATGGCTTTCAGGCCGGGTTAATGGAACTCCAGACAGAGGGCAGCTAGGGGTCGCCATTTACGGCTCCGATATTTGAGTCCTACAAGGGCCGCCGGGTCTGTGTCCGCGCACGGGAAAGGGTACATCAGACTTGAGTTCAACAGGGCAACGATATAGCCGACGGATGCAACGCCATTCCAGGTCGTTTGACACTTGACGCAGGTCGGCAGGGTTGTTTGCAGGCGCATTGCTGTTGGATTTGGGCGCCGGAGCCGCTTCGGCACCGTGGGCTTCCAGGTTGCAGGTGGGCGCCGGAATATCCATGATCCCTCCTGCCGGCCGGCCGCTTCCCTCAGGCTGTGCAGCGTTGCTCTGGCGGCGCACGGGCCAGTTTCGTGACGTGACCTATCGCATCGGCAGCCGTCCGTGAGCGCGCGCGCATCGGATGCCGCGATGGCTTCACACCTGCAAGCCTCGTCGCGTAATTCATATCGCCTCCATCTGACCTCAGGCAGCCCCGCGCGGCCGCTCTAACTCTTGCCAGCCCCCAGGCAGATTATCCGATCCTTATGGTTTTCGCCTACTAGGCATTGGCACGGGACAACTGTCCTCGTCCTCCTTGTTCTCTTTTACCCGCTCTGTCTGCGCCAACATGGGCGTCTGCGCGTCCTGTCTCGGCCGAGGCCGCCAGGAGTCCTACGATGAGGTATGATTGGGGTTTCCGCGGCATCTCACGATTTGCGCACACCAGCTGACACTGTCGGATACGCAGGACGACGAAGGCCGCCTTCTCCTCGACGACCCGAACAACTTTCAATACGGCAGCTTTGGGGACCAGAACGTCAATGCACAGGCTGACCCTCTTGAGTCGCAACGCGAGACCGAAGCATTGCAGAAAGTGGTAGCGAGGACATCCAAGTATGCTCCCTCCTTCCCCCCCCCCTTTTTTTGCGGACATGTGTCGTGGGCTGATCCGACCCAAGCAACTTGGTTGATATCTTCGAAATCACACCGCAGGAACAGCAGCAGGCCCACCCGGCCGTGTTATCTGGCCAGGATGCTCGCTCTTCTCGATATCAGACCATTCTCTCAAAGCTTTCGGCGGATGACGATCTCTCGACCGCCACTCTACAGGGCCACGTGGACTGGTTGAGCGACGATGACACAGTGGAAATGCAAGGCAAGGCGCCTAGCGTCAAGGAAGGTGCAGGGGAGCCTCTTGTGGGCACTTTCGCCGATGCTGCGGCGTGAGCTGCCGCGCGTGTCGGCGAACAGGCATAGGAGCGGATTAGTGATCATGCGATGGTGAGGACTCGGTCCGGCTATGACGTGAGGAGTTTGCCAATCAGCAGGTGGTGGTAAGGAGGGCTGGCCCGTTGTCTTGATGCCACTTGAGACGCGCTGGCGGCATGGTTTGCCGTGGACGCTGGACCTAAAATCTACCGTGGCCCGGCCAGCAGACTGAAGCGGCAACTGACTCCGTTCTGCGCGGCTTCTACGCCCTGCGACGGGGCTCACGCAGGGGCAGTTTATTCTTGTGCTACACACAGGCCGGGTCAGCAGATGTCTCATTGGGTTTCTCGCTCTTAGCTGGCCCGGAAGCGGCCAATCAGGCGGCAGATTCGCATTCCTCCAGGCGCGAAGGCCCATAGAGTACCAGCCACGTGCCCATTCCCCTTCTCTGCGCGGAGGTGGAGTTGTATAAAGGCGGCCCGCAGTCTAGCGGAATTCTTTCCTTCCTTCTGTCAGTAATGCCATGATTTTGAACCACTATTCCACTCTCCGGCCTCGGTGCGTGGGAAAAACGTGACGCCACGGATGCGGTCTGGGCGAGCAGCGAGCCCTAGCCGCCCGTGGGATCGTCTCTCCTGTCACTGGAGCAAAACGGCGCCCGTTTTTGTGCACCCAGCATCCAGGGCTGCTGCGCGGGAGTCTGTGCGTCCGTGGATTTGACCATTCAGACGGGACTGCCCGGCCCATTCCCTAATCCATCCACTTACCCGCAGTTCCCACTTCTTGTACGGATTAGGGTATGCTACCTTGGCTCCTCGAGGACCGTCAGTCGCTGCTGGGGACGGCATTCCCAGAGACTGCCGAGTCCAAAATGGCCTGCTACCCCTCTGTCCCGTCGCCCATCTCGCTGAGGCATTTGGCTTCCCGGCTGTCCTCTCTAGTCCTCTCTCCATGACTATCGACCATCCACTATTCAAGTCTTCTCGCTGGCCCCCTTGCGGGCTTCAGTCCACCCCGGCTATTTGATGTCTCTTCGGCGACTACTTGCGTCCAGGGCGGTGCTGGGCCAAAGATCTTACGGCTACGATTTCTGAATTCGGTGCCCGAAATCACCATCAACCAAGGCCTATACCCAAGACCACGGGAGATCAGTTTGACTTGTGAGAGCAATGACTTTATTCCCATTGGAGACTCTCGATCCATACGCTATCTGTACAAAATCTTGGGGGCATTCCGCGCCAAAGACAAAAACGCCTCGGGGAAATAAGACAAAGAGAGATAAAAAAAAACCTGTAACCCAACCACTAACAGACCAAGATTCCCTGCCTCTTTAGGCTACTCTGTAATTTTTCGGTGTCACGACGCAATGCCATGCAACCACTGACGCACTCCTCCCGCTGATCTAGAATAGCACAGGCTCCCTGTCGGACTTGATTTTCCCTTCGCTTTATCGCTGGGCCCTCCCGGGTGGGCTTTCAGCACGTGCTGCACAAGCGAGTCCAGTGTTGGTGTTGCAATGTCTGGATGGCATTGCTCACATCATACAGTTCGCTCTGGGCCTTCTCGATCGATGCGGTGCGGTTGCCCTCCCTTTGCCACCGGTATATGTCGCTCTCGAGCTTGTTGTACTTCCGCTGCTTCTTTTCCATGTCTTTGCAGAGCTTGCAGATGTCCGCCTCGTGGTTCGTCATGTATACGAGTTTCATCCCGCACGTCTCGCCCGTCCGATATTCCTTAGTACACTGCTGGCGGAAGTGGCCCCACCGCCAGAAGCCGCACGACCACCGGGTCTGGTCGAAATAACACATGGTCGGGGGTTTTTGGTTTGAAGGGTGTTGTAGGTGCTAGCCAGGGGTCAGTTATAGATTCCGCACAGCCGACCCATTCCCGCCGAGGTTGGAACCCTATCTGGACGTACGGACTCTTTCTTTCTCTCTATCCCAACGTTGACATAAGACAACAGCCGATAATGCGAAACGATAAACGAACGTTGCCACACGAAGTTGTCGAGGTGGTTGAACTCATCCACGACTATCGAGAAGGACCCTTCGACCGGGCAACAACTGCTCTTTATACTTGACTAATCGAGCTCCAGGCTTGGATGTTGGTTCAAGGAAATGTCGATACTTACATTAACGATTGTATATGTGTGTTGGCAAAAACTTCTTGTCTGCCGCTTCCGTCTTTCTACCCGACATATCCATAGTGTCACCAAGGATTGGTGGGGATTATCTCAACCTATCTAGTATGTTGGGTTGCATACCAGTTGCGCTTCTCTTCCGCCGCCCAACCTGCGCACGCCTCCCAGGACGCTATTCGAATGCCACGTCGCGGAGAACTATTCAATTTTGAACGATACTTTCCCCACCTGGGTCAGTACTTTGACTCGAGGAATACCCTGTAGGGCAAGACGCCAGGGCCCCATCTGTCGCCCGCCCCTTATTGGCCCTCATTAACGTTTTTCGACAGGAGTCTCCATGTGCGTAACATGCACAACCAAATACGACTTACAGACCGAGCCATGTCTCCCGCTGCACGCAGCAAGTTGATCTTGCCGTCTGCGGCCAGGGGGGGTCAGGCCCTAACATCCCAAACACCCTGGTCCCACATAACCAATGCGGATGGTGGCTAGTCGCGGCTCGGACCTTGTCTTGCCTCCATCGGGCACCACATCGTTTGCAGGACAGGCATGAGAAGAAAATCACGGGTTTTCCTGACGTTCATCTTTGACTTCCGAGTTCCACTACGCCTAAATCTACCCGCTTTTGTTCGTACTTATTCCCCGCAGCCGCCGTTCCTGCGGTCGGCAACCACGGTGCAGCATGGGATGGGATGGTCTAGGGGGTATAGTTCGTTCTCCTCCGACGTCAACATATCTTGTTGCAGGGTTTTTGACAGGAGCCAGGGCCTTGTCCCTCGCCACTCCCTTCCTGCTTCCAAAACCAGGGATCATCCGATTGACGGCTCCCATCGTTTCATGGGTCACTCTGCGTTGTCCAGAACTGAAGCAAGCCACTCGGGACTGACGATGTTCTCTGATGCAGTCCCAAGTATCTTGCAGCTAACATATACAGCGCACCCGCAAGGCTTTCTCACAAGCGATGTAGCCGTCAAAGGCGTTCCGGATGCCATCGAAACCCATCCCCATACGACGACAACGCATAGTCTGCAACAGACCACGCCCGATCACATCGATCCTGGGACTAGACGGGGAACACCCCTGGACTCGACGGTAGTAGGCCGCCTGTTCTGCGGCCAGTTCCTCGATTCAGACATGGGCGAAAGGATACCACCGACCATCCCGCAGTATGCCGCAGGGCTAGCCACTCACGAAAGGAGACACCGGTTTCGTCTCTGTATTTGGTCTTCAGTGTCGGCTAGAACAGGATAGTATCATCAAGGATCTTCAACCGGGGGGTGGTTGGGCCCGGCCAACGTGGCAAGGCCCATCAGGACGACCAGGCCCACATCCACGCTTTTTTTCTGCTAAACTTTGTCTAGTACACACCTCAGAGGGCCAGTGAGACGGCCAACATCGATCGTGCAGTATTTCGTCATCGAATTATTGGGCCGCCAGAAAGCCCTGAGTGGAGACTCTACATGATGCAGAGTCACAAGATCCGTACTCCTGGGACACCCAATCTCATTCTTCCGGCACTTCTATAACAGGCACTCGATTCACAGGGCTCCGGCTTTATTGATGGGATAATTAGGAATTACACTGTTACCAGGGAGTCCGTAATGGCCCGCAAAAGAGCGTCAAGGCCTGTCAAGATGACTCTCTGTGTCACTGAGCAGTTCCAAATGTTTTGCCTCTGTTGGCTTGAATTAACTCGTTCGATCGGGATTGACACCCAAGCCAACATGACAGTACGAGTAATTGGCATATAAGCCAACCTTGTTCTCATAGAAGCCCAGGTCCAGCAATACGAAAGACGCCACCATGGCACAACTTGATGCAGTGTACTGTCCCGGCTCCTTTTCCGAAGACAGCACCACATAGAGACGCATCCGGATTGTGCCAAGTCTTAGCCATTTGCTACGAATTACCTGGATTCTTCGTTTGGTGTAACAAGGCTTTCACAAATCTAGCTTGTTCGACATGGTTCCAGATATGATGTAAAGATATCTGGTATTTGGGAACTAGCCTGTCTTGTGGGATATTGGTAAACGAACTACTACGCTAGATGTAGCGACTGCCACAAAGATACCCGTGTGGATAAATATAGCACTCTCAATTACCGTGTCAACAAGGCCTTTCGTAGAGGCCTGTTTTTGTTTTGCTCCTTTAGCGTTCAATGGTGGCCTGCCTGGCCTTGTTTACGCGGGCCGTTCCGCCTTCTGACAAACATGAACTTTGACCTTGATTATTAGTGACAACGTCACCTTCGCCACTTATTATTACCCCTTCACCTGAGTATCTTGGGATGTGGGATGATCGATCTTGTGTGTGACACACTGCCACGCTAGGTTGACTTGTGGAGAAGAAGAATATGCAAGCTATTTACCATTCCTAGAGCGTGCTAAAAGTACAACAAATTGGAAGTCTCCCTTAATCACATGAGCAAGGGTTCATGTCTTGCATCTCGAAGATGTAGACCTGGCAAAACAATGCACTCTTGCCCAATGGCAGGGTTAGTGGTTTGTACCTGATCAATGGGATCCCTATCCACAGATGTTCTACGCCATTTTGAAGTGGTACAAGTCGGGGGCCTGGTGGGAAGTACAAGAGGTAATACCCCCAGGGTGCCTCCCACCCTGGACCCTGCGCGCGAACACCATCGCTGCGCCATGGGTTCGTTCGACGGCCAAGCAGTACCTGTTTCCATTGCAGCCTCATCCATGGCGTGTTGAACAGCTCATTGGTTCCACCCCACGAGGCCAAGGGGGTGGCCGCTGCAGGACGTACCCAGCGGCCCATTATGTGGCCGCCACAACACCGTCTCCAAATCCCGTGATAACGCAGACAGCTGCGGCTTGCGGCTATTACTGACGGGCAAGCGATGGGACGAAGCCGAGCGGATGGCGATTCTGGCAGCTCGGGTCACAAGCTTCTGGTCTGACGCTGTGCAACACTCCGGCATGGGCCAAGGGAGACGCGATTCGTCAATTAGGCAGCGTGTGTGCCGCACGCGTCAAGTTTCGAGGCAGAGACGGTGGTTCGAAAATTTTGCACCTGTTGATACCGAGCTCCATACCAATCTCGCTGGGTAAAACCCTGTTGGCTCAGCCGGCCAAAGCAACCTTTCTAGTTTAACCTGCTATGATGAGTTGTCACCGGCCAGCCGTCCATCTCCAAATGGCCCCATGCACCGCCCATTGGAACGCGGGCAATTCGGATGTCCCTATCCAGCACGCATCTCAATCACCCCTTGCTCTACACCGAAAAGGCAGAGGATGACGCAAGAAGTGTCTGGATTGCGGGTACTCTGAGTGCTGCTACCGTGACTAGTATACAGCGGAGGGCTTGTCAAGGCTTGGGGTCAAACTCCACCCCACGAGTCAGGAAGGAAGCCCCTTCAGCCGCACATCGCGGCGAGGGTATATCTGATTGAAGCCCAATCGTCATGAGCAGCAGCAAACATTCCATTGGGCTTCGATGCAAGCTGAAGAGGAGATATTTGGGGTGGCAGGGTGCCGCCTGCAAGTGTTGTGGCCCATTCCCGAGGCCAGCCCACGACCGACATGTGTCCATCCCCCGCGCCTGGCGACCAAGTAGCGTCCAGACTGAACTCGCTCGACATGAACGGCCGCGGCGGTCGGCTTCCCAGGTACATTGGCACAAATGAGCACGTTGACTATATGCCAGGTACCACCAACGCACATACTCCGGCATTGCGACAAGCCGCTTGCGTCCATCCATCCATGTGGAAGCTGTATCCTCAGGCTCGGAACATGACATTGGCGGTCCCACGACGACGACGGCCTTGGGTGATTATCTTGCGTGCATTGCGTGCAGCAATGTGCAGAAATCCGCAGTGAATCTACCTGGGGAGGTATATTCGCTGATGAGTTAGCCGAAGAGGCCATGCCAGCTCAAGAGGGCAGCATAGAGTTGCAGTCTGTCCCGACAGACTAGCCCGAACCAGCCTAGCATCTGCAGCTGGGAACTTGGGCCACCAATTCAATACCCCCATTCCCCGTTTCGAGGGACTGGAAATACAAACCTTGCCCACCTCGGTACCTACACACACACCATAGCAGAGAGGGCGGCGCTCCCCAAGTTGGTAAAGTTACATCCGTATATCCAGCTCTGCATCGACTTACCCGAATTGACGTGCAGACGTCACTGCAGAAAGAGGGAGACAGCACTCGAGGACCTCGAATGCACTACGCGCGCACACACACACACACACACACACAGGAGCCTGCCAGTGTCCAGTGTGCCGGCATTTTGTCCCAAGTGTGCACACGCACGCACATACATGCAGGCCGACCTGCTGGCCACGGCCGAAACTTGAAATAGCAGGCTGGCTTTGACTTGACGCGGCTAGTTTGAGTCGACCTGGTGTCAACATGAAGCTGGGCTTGGTTCGCGCCGGCCGGGCGGCTGGCTGGCTGGGATGGGTGGCCGCGCCAATGTAGACCCGACAGGACGCGAGAGCGTCCCAGGCTCCCAAGCCCGCGACCCGTTGTGTCGTCCCTCGGGTGCCATATTTACCCAGCATGGGCGAGGTCGGACGGAAAATGAATGCCTCCCATCGTGAAGCGCGTGTTAGGCCTCTCGTGCCGCGTCGTGCACTCACATCAACGCGGCGCCGTCCGTGTTGGCCAAGAGACGTTGGATAGATCACATGAATGGGCGGCGACCCAGCTGCCTGCCACCATCCAGGGTTATGGATCTATCTCACCACAGGGGGAACACAGCGCGCTGCGGGTGTCACGGCACTGTAGTCCAGGCTGTGCTTTAGCGGGGGCACCACTGCCACCGCCGGCCCCGCACACTGTGCATATCTCCCTGCGTCACCTGTGTCTTATCCCTGTCCCCGTGACGCATCGGCGTCTCAACTACACACACTCTGGACACACACCTCTTCATCTCGTTCATCAGCAGTCTCGCGTCTCATCCCATCCCATGGCTGGCCGCCAGCCTCCCCTCTCTCGCCCTCCTTCGCGTCAACCTCCATAAAAGAGACGGGCCTTGCCGAGCCTTGTGGAAACGACCTTGTCACTCCCGGACCCTCACTTTGGGCCTTGCGATTGCCATTACCCGCGCCAGATCACGAGTGAGTCCGGATGCGCCAGTTCAGCCCTCCCTCGGCGCTTCACTTTCTCCTTCGGGCTCACTCTACATAAGCGCACTACACACACTCGCTGCCTTGGACCCTAGTTCAGGCCGCCCGCCTCATCCTTAGATGTGATTGATACCTCGCGGCCGTCAGGAACCACCGCCGTGACTGACCCCAGGACACCCCCCGGGGGGAAACTATATCCCACGAACGGCCGGTCTCTGCCTGACCGCGTCTGGGTTCCTTGTCTGCCAGCCCCCCACCTCTTCCTGTTGCCGCGGGCATCTCCCATCGCCAGCTGGCACTGCTTCGCCTACCAGGGAACGCGGACATCGGAATCGCCCCGGCCGGACAGAAGCGCATGCCATCACACCTTGCTGAGGGCTTGCGGCAAGCTTACCCCACGCCTTCGTACTCCTGCCTGAGAACAGGCGGGCGAGCTGCTCACCGACGGAGCATCGCCGGGCCATACATCCCGTGTTCCATCGCCCCCTCGAGGACACCTCGATGAGACGCGGGAACTATACCTAGACGTGCCAACTGCTCCTGCTCCTCCTGCCAGATCATCACTACCACCTTGACCCCGGACCATGACTCAATCTTTAGCAAGCAACGTCCCGGAATTAGATACCGGCCAGAGACCAGGCCAGGACATGGATCCAGACACGCACCGGCTCGTCTGCCAGACGCGCAACTTGAAGTTGGTGACCTCGGCAGCTCCTGTCTTCGCCGCACCCTTGGACCACGTTCCCTCGTCTTCCTTATCTCGTTGTACCTTGCCTGATCCATCATCGTCGTCTCCGATACCCGATGCCAGTGAGAGAAACGTAGCAGGACAAGGTAATACCCCGGACGAAAGACCAGCTGGTACCCAACCTCCAACCCATGCCTCGCTGCCCCTCGTACCGGAGGATCAAGAAGGAAATCCTGCCGCCTCACGCACGTTGCCACCGCCCAAGGAAGGCTTAGATGGCAGTCAGCCTGATCACGATGGCGAGGGGGAAGTGATCATCGAGCAGGGCCCTGGCTACACCCAGGGAATGATGCGGACATGTATGGACCAACCCGTGGTTACTTCGGCGAAAATGTCACCGCGAGAACCTGCGGCTGCAGAATCAACGGCTCTGACGCCTTTTAGCTGCTCTGCCGCAGGAACACCGTGGGACCACAGAGGGCTCTGGACTGCTGATGGTCCAATGACGAGGCTATCTCGCACCCTCCTAGACACCTACGGCTTTGCATGGGATGGAAGGCTCAACCTGGACGAGCTGCCAAATGAGGTGCTCATGCATATCTTGGGTTATCTCGAGGTTTGCGATCTCCTGGCCACGTCAAGGGTACGTTGGTTCTTCTCATTCTGACAACCTGCATCTGTCTGTGACGTGGTATACTGTAACTGTGGCTTGTGGCGAGATTCATGGGGAGTCCAGTTCTCCCCGTCTCATATGCCCAAGGTTTGAACGTTTTCACTCCCCGTATCTCCTTGTGTATTGGAACATCCGAAGTATTGTTTCGGGCGCCACTGTAGGACCTCAGCCACTGTGTAATTCTCCGTGTTCCGCGTCTCTTGATGCTCACGAGGGGTACTGATTTATGACACCCACCCTCCATTGCATCAACCATGTTACTATCAATTTAACCCGAAGAACTGCACAACTTACACTGGATAAAATTGCAGCTCATATCTGGATACTGATTTTGTTTGTGCAGACAAACCATCACTTGCGCGCTCTGTCGCTGCAGCCGATCCTCCAGCACCACCGCCTCCGGCGTGTCCGCCTCTCGCTGCCAACCCTGCTTCTGTCCCCGTGCCGGCCCACGCTGGGCGACCTGATTGCGCGGCACATCTTCCTGACGCACACGACGCAGATCTCTCGGCGGCTGGCCCGGTCGCTGGTGGCGATCCGGCTCTCGCGCCGCCTGCCGCTCCGCCCCACGGCCGCGTCGCTCGTCCAGCGCGGCGTGCTGCCGGGCGAGTGCGTCGAGGGCCACGTGGCGCCGGGGCTCGTGGCCAAGAAGCGCGCCGTCGAGCGCGAGCGCCTCAAGGACGGCCTCCGGCGCTGGGTCGGCGGCGTCTGGCGCGGCGAGGTCGGCAAGCGCGGCGAGGGCGTCCGCCGCACCGAGGAGAGCCGCGGCGTCGGCAGGGTCTGGCGGCTGCGCCGGTTCTGGGAGCGCGTGGGCCACGATGGTTGAGTTGAGTATCTTGTTTTCTAAACTTGTTCATCTTCTCTGTTCTTTCGCCCCATTCTCGGTAGTGTCTTGGTATATAAAGGGGGCGTGTTTCCAGGCCAGGTAAGGCTGATGGGATGGTAAGGTACAAGGCGGCGTTTTTGTGATTTGGATGGACGGGCACCTGGCATGTGTGCGCTCGTTCACTCGTTGAGTTCGTGTGTGTATGATGCAACTAGCGGTACCTGTACGGCTTTGGTCTTTGAGTACGATTATGAGTATGTACTTTTATTGTTTTGCTTGGCCTCGGCCGGCGTGTATCAATACCCAGCATAGCCAACTTGGCCTTCGAATATTCCACTGTTTAGATACTCCAGCTCAGCCGTCTCCACGCACTGGTATCCGGACAATGTAGCACCTGGCACCTTGCTTCTCAAAGGTAGGATCTGGCTTCCTCTCTGTCGGGTTGTGAGGTGCCCGGTAGAGTAGTGGAGGTTGTTGGTCGCACGATGTTCTCTAAGCCAACTCAAGACCATTGAGACGTCGACTAGCGATCACCCTCTGTAAGAATTAACCAGTCACTCCCCAAACTCTCATCGCAAATGCTGTCACTGTTGGTAAAATGGGCGAGAGTGATGTGATGTAAGTAGCAAGCAAGCCATATAAGATCTGACCTGACCTGACGTCTACCCATTGTTGCATTGTACTACTAGTAGTGTACAGTATATAGTATTACAACCGGATAACAACACGAGTGCCATGCTTTTCGGGGAAACCAAACACGATAATCAAAAAAAGCCAGAACCAACGCCCACGCTCAATGCTATGACCCAATCAACCAGCTGGGGTTTACCCTCTCCGATCCTGGGAGGGTGTCTGTTTTTCTCTCAATCCAGGTCCATCGGATCTTGATCCTCAATGCAATCCACGTCCATGTCCATGTCCATGTCCATGTCCATGTCGCCGCCTATGTCCGAATACTCCCTGTAGTGACGCGGCTGGAAGGTCAGCGCGCGATGCAATGCCGGTTCTCCCGAGGATCCTGCGCCCTGCCCAAGTCTGCGACGGGAACCCTATACGCCGCGGAACCTGAAGGCATCGTCCCAGTCCTCATCCTCGTCCTCATCGTCCTCGTCGCTCTCGGCCTCATCGCCATTTGCAGCGCCAGCGTTTTCCTTGCCGGCCAGCTTGGCCGACTTGTCAGGGGCCGCCGCCGCCGCCGCCGCTCCGCGGAGATTGGCCATGCTGGCCTTGCGCAGCTCATCGCGGCGCTCCTTGAGCTTCTGGAAACGCTCGTCAAGCTGGGCCATGTCGTCAAACTCGTCCTCGAGGGCGCGGGTGGCGTCCTCCTTCTCGTCGGCGATCTCAATGTCGAGGAGCTGCCGTTTGCGGGCGTTCTCCTCCTCCTGCGACTTGGCGGCGAGCTCGTCAGCCGTCATGGCGGGCGCCGAGATGACGGCGTCGGCGTAGTCAGCAGCCCCGATGGTGGCCGGCGGCGGGCGGGCCTCGGACGCCGCGATCTCCGCCTCGAAGGCGGCCCACTCGGCCTCGTCGACATTGCCGCTTGGCGCCGGCGCCACGGCCGCCGTCTGCGGCACGACCAGGCTCTCCGTCGAGATGGGGATCTGAGGAGCGGCTGCCGAGCCATTGGCGCTGGCTGCGACGGCGTTCTCGGAGCTAGAGCCGATCAATGGGGACCGGCCGAGAGGCGGCAGATTGGGGGTGGACGCCTGAGAGCCCTCGCCTATGAGCGGCGTCGCGGGCCGCGAGGGTATCGAGATCTCGACGCCGTGGGCCGGGGTGCCAGAGGTGCGCCGGGGCAGGGCGGGCGGCGTGGCGGCCTTGTCCGGCTCGGCGGCGGACGAGGCGGTCCTGTTCCGCTTCTTGGGCAACGAGGAGTCCCGGTCGGGGTCCTCGACATCCATCGGCTCGGCATCGTCGAGTTTCCGCTTGCTGGAGGGCTCGGTCGAGGGCGGCGGCGGCGGCGGGTGGACGGCAGCGGCCTTCTGGCGGTGGGCGAGGCTCGTCACATGGGGCTCCCACAGCGAGTCGGACTTGATGATCTCGCGGCACGGCTTGCACAGCAGCTTGCCGGCGTCGCTGTAGACGGCATGGGGGTGCTCGACGCGATTGGCAGCGCGGTGAGCCCGCAGGAGGGAGCGAGCGTCGGCCATGGTTGCCCTGAGCTGAGGTAGTGGGCTGTGTATGTTGTTCTTGCGGGCCTGAGGGAGGGGGCGCGTGGTGGGAGATGGACGGGTGTGCCCACGATGGGGGTTGGTGTTGGTCTGCAGAGCTCAATGGCCGACACAAGGGGAGATAGATGGAAGCTCAATGCGGAAGACTGTTTTGCTCGGGTGCCGTGGTGATGTCCTATCGTCTGGCTACCCGCTCGCTCGACCCAGTGTTTAGCCCCGTGGCTTTCCAGCTAGACCAGGTACATGGATGCATCCGTCCAATACGTCGACTACGACCGCTGGAGTCGTCCCTGATGTCAGCTGAAGCGTTGAGAACGAGGCGGTAAGGCCGATAACGATAAGGGAGCCGGGCGGCAGGCACTCGGCAGGCTGTCGGACGGCGCTGATCGTTAGCGAATCAAGCTCCCCAAGCTCCCCAAGCTCCCCAAGCTCCCCAAGCGCTCCCCGCCATCGTCCCCTGAAGCTACCTAGGTACCTACCCAGTCAAGCCGTCTTCAGCGTTCAGGTACCTGGGACGAGGGTCCAAGCGCCCTGGAGGCGGAACGAAGGCCGCTGAACGGCCCATAACCGTTTGGTGCACTTTGGTGGCATTCCCATCCCTCCCTCGACCTTAGCTGGCTGTAAATCAACCCACCGACCGATTGATTGTCCGCCCCTTCATGAACGTGGGTGCGCGCATTCCAGTCCGTCGCCTGCCATTCAAGCGGCGTTACTCTTAAAAGGGAAACCTCCGTCACGACCGGGACAGCTTGCTTGCTTGCTCGTCAGTCTGCCGTCTGCTCTCAAGCCCACCGAAGCCGCGCCACGCTCTCGCTCCCCGCCTGCGTTCGCCATGGCCGACGACGACGACGCCCAGAACCAGATATCCAGCACCTTCCCCCCTCCGCCGCCCTTCTGGAAGGACTTTACGCCGGACAATGTCGCGAGGATCAAGGACCTCAAGCAGGAGCAGGTCGAGCGCGACGCCGCCGATCACGACCCAGCCTCGATCCGCCTGGCCGGCCTGCCTCACAACCTCCGGTTCCTGCAGCCGCCTCTCCCGCCCGACGCCGGCGCGTGGCGCGTCTTCGGCAACCATTACACCCTGAACCAGACCTTGCCCAAGCTCGACGGCTCCGGCATCCAGAAGCTGTTCCCAGAGCCCGAGGAGAGGGACCAGGACGGCAAGCACTTTGACCGCGCCACCATCCTCAAGAGGCTGGCCAAGAGCCTGCTGCTCAACTTCCTCGAGCTGACGGGTATATTGTCCATCAACCCTGCGGAGGTACGTATTGCCCATTCACGCTTCATGCGCCCGTGTCACTACGGCGCCCAATGCTACCAGGTGCTGACCCAAACCCATCATCCAGGCCGAGGCCAAGATCACCGACATCCGAGACCTCTTCCTCAACTTCCACCACCTCATCAACGAGTACCGACCCCACCAGGCCCGCGAGTCCCTCATCTCCATGATGCAGTCCCAGCTCGACCGCACCCGCGCCGAGACCAACGCCATCCGCGACGTCAAGGAGAAGGTCGAGCGGCTGCTGGAGGGGCTGGGCAGCTTGAAGATGGACCACGAGTCCCTCGGCGGCGCGGCAGAGGGCGGGAAGCGGCGCGAGGATCTGGATGGCGAGCTCGAGGCCTTGCTGGCAGATGAATTCCCGTAGCGCCGGCCGGCGTCGTTTTGTTTGGCGAGAACCGGTGACGTCGAAGTCCAAGTCGTCACCGTTGGCATTAAGCATGGTGCATTACACGGAGTTTTGGTGTAAGAGGTGAAAAGCTAGTCTTGATTTGTTATATGATACCCCAGATTCAGAGGAACTATATGAAAGCTGTCTGCCATATGCGCGCCGGCCGTCCCATGCCGAGCACTTTCTGGTCCCGTGGATGTCGAGACTCCCCCGTATGAGACTCACTCATTGGCGTTTGAGGGCCAGAGCCAGAACAAAGCTGATTTCTGTGTCCCTGTCTCCATCTGACTCTCTCTCTCTCTCTACATGACGGTGCAGGGAATCGGAATGCAGCAGCATTCGTAGCCGTCGCACTCGATGCACTTGGTCTTGCCGCTGCCCTCCCCCTTGATCATGCTCTCGATCGTCGACGATGCTGCGCTGCCGGGGCCGTTGCGGTTTACAAGGCTGGAGTGCGACGAGGTGCAGGCCATCTTGAGGCGGCGCGAAGAAACAAATATGGCTATGACTTTGGGTTGACTACATTCGGGGTTCAGCACTGTACTCACTCACACCCATGTAGGATTGGCGACTGAGCGCCTTGGGGGGTGTGTGTGCACTGAGGGTCAGCTTACGGATCGACTCTTGCTGTCTTGAGTGACACAAGACTGGGTCGTCAAGGGGTTTGCTGTGTTTATGTTTGATCCAGTGGATTCCACTCGGGAAATGAGAGACTTGGGTGTCGAGAACGAAAGAAAGGGAGGAGGAGGAGGGGCGGTGGGAAAAGATGACCCTGGAACGGTGAAACAGTCGAGCTATTCGCTGTATCCTGTTATGCGCCGCCCCAACTTGCAGCTCTCCCCTCTGCTTGCATGCCGGCCAATGGCTTGGAACTGGCAACCCGCCAGCTAAAGCTGATCGGCCATCGTCATAAGTGGGTCTATGCGGCAGGGGGTTGTGCATCTTACCTGGGTTCTCGTATCAATGCGTTATGTATCGATTTAGTTGCCCAGCATACTTGACCATGGCTCTGGATGGTGAAACTTCCCACTTGATTGACTTGACGTTATTGAGCTTCTCATCTGTCTACCTAGTCAGTATTTCTCCTACTCACCTTGATAGCTTCACGGAGGTGAATACACGGTCCTCGTTGATCTTAGTCTCGTTGTCTCGCGCTTGGCTTCCAGTTCTTCTGAGTCGCATCTGAACCAGACGCTGGCCCGTTCTCCTCGACAGTTTGGCTGTTGATTTAAGCTGACAGAGACTTCGACTTGGAAGCCCCTTAGGCAACCAATCTAACGTGCAATAGTCACAGGATCTCAAGTTCACCGCCTAGCCCACAGCCGAAACAGCTCGGCAGCACACCAACCACATTAGCGACAGATGAACATTACGCAGATTCATCCTCATGCAGTTGATTTTACGCTGTCACATTCTGTTCGGCAGAATCTTTCTGCTTCGGCTTTCATTCGATTCAACTCTGAGTTTCTACGACCAGGTATAGGTTCAGGAAACATATTGGGGTGTAGTCTGGCCTCCCTAAACAGGCCAAGAGAGGTAAAGTACTATGGGAAACACTCCTGGTAGCTTTGTGTCGTTACCGTATTTCATATCAACTTCTTTACTAATTCTTCAAAAGTGATACATCTTGAAAGCACGGAAATATGGGCTTGGTTAATTTTATACAGAAATTTAGCAATTGAATGCTTTGTAATTGCCGATGATCGTAAAGCAGTGTCAAGAGTGCTTTGTAGCGGTAAGAATGTATATGTTCCATGCGCGTGTGTGCGTTATGATTCAATGAATATCGGCTGAAATTTGCTGTAACTGTGGCAAATAATAGGAACTACCACAAACCTTGATTTAGTATACGGACAGCTGTCTCCAAACTCACAGAACCTGAAGCTTTTGGACTACGTTCTGGTCTTCACACGACATTTCTTTAGCAGTGATAGCCTAGGTGTCGACGACTCTGACTAAGGCGAGCCTGCTTGAAATTTTGCGCTCACAAATCATGGATCTTGACTTTATCGAAACCGATGAACATGGCTTTCCTGTCGGCGCCGGCGGCGCACGTCAAGCCTGGAAGCATGTAGGTATTACTAAGGAGGAAAACCGCTGCCGTACCGTTACGTGGGTGAGACTCTATCACAGAACACCTGATCCCTGACTGAACCCCCAAAACCGTCAACCGCGTCATTCATAAAAATCATTCCAACAAGTCATATGGGGTCCACTCTCGATCGGAAACCTGCCTCATCGGAGATGGACGGGGTTCTCGAGCTACCTCCCCCGGAGGTGCGCGCGTCCTGGATAATGAAGTCACGGACCTCAACCGCATCCTTGGTCTTCTTGTCATGTTCTGACGTGCTATACTTGCGGTACTCGTACGGGGCGGCAATGATATGCAGATGGAGATAATCGGCACTGTTATCCGGCCGTAGATGTAACCCGTACTGGAAATCCCCAACGCCGAGCCCCGGGCCTCCTTTGACCATGGCGACCAGCTCGTCATAGTGCGCGCGCGCCGCTTCGTGTGCTTGTTTTGCGAAGGGCTCGCCCTCCATGTTTTTGGCGCGCCTGTCGATGGCCGTTATCTGGTGCTGCAATATCTCGTCCTGTTTTTCAGGCTTTGCCCACGTCTCTTCAAACAAGTGGATCATCTCGTCGATGACGCTGACGTTCCTGTCAGTCAGATAGACACCGTTTATTATTGCCTCCCTAGGTATGGCGAGCAGGTGCAGCATGGACATGCCCGCCCGCGCGGGCTTGTCCTGGTACTGCAGAACATCGAAAGATGCCCAGTTGCTGATTATTTGAACATTGTCATTCTCCGCGATGATGTCCTTCTCCCAGACCTTGTTATGCGACACAGGGGCCACCTCTTGGCGAAACTGATGAAACTGGGTGGCGATCTGCGCCGACTTGCCTGCGAACGTGGGCTCAAGCTTCAGTCGCTGCTCAACGTACACTGGGTGATTCTCATAGAACATTGCTGCTTCTTCCCCTCTTTCGTCGCCGGCTGACGAGGTCATTTGGGGCATGTGTGAATGGGAACGGCGCAAGCCGATAAGAGATCTCGACTTGACGTAACTACATGAGTAGCCCTGTTTGTGACGTTTGATGACTGGCGCGCAGCGACACAACTTATCATGGTTTTTTTCTTCTTATCGCCAGAGGAAAACTACTGAACAATCAGAAGCAGTCACCAGGCATCATCATCTGCGCAGAATGGAGGAGAGATGCGCAGGTGAAGGGGCCACGAGGCTCGTCGCCCGACGGACTGGATCTGGGGCTGAGGTCACTGACGGCAAGAAGGCTAAGCCACACACACGGATCAAAATCTAGCTGGGCCGGAATAAAACATGATTGGTGCGCACAACGTGGGGCCTAAACTTGTCATGCATGAAACACTTGCACGGTTCCCCACTGACTCACTCTCACCTGTGCCCTGCGGCTGACACGGCATCGAGAGGACTAAAGTAGGGGATCGTCTACAAGTTGATTTGAGCCTGCTTAATATTGGAGGGACATGTGAAGGTTGGTTCACTGAGCACAACTTGTACAAATGCTTCGAATCTAAAGTTTTGAGAATCTGCCACATGTATTAACTAAGTATGCATCGGGTGACTAAGTCTGTATGGTTTCGACGCACACACTGAAGAAGCTACTAGACGGAAGCGTCGCAGGGCTTCGTTCAGCCTCGATTTCTTCTCTCTCTCCTGTTTTTTTTTTTTTTCCTTTCTTCCTCTTCCTATATTGTGTCACGTTTCAGTCATATGGAGTCTGGTTGAAAGGAAAGGAAAGTGACCTTGAACTAGGGGGCTGAGGGACACAAATTGGATACTGGCGCTTGGTGGCGAGGACGTGTAAACTCGCTCCTGGTGAAACCTCAGGATAGCATAGCCGGTGCCAGGTGAACATGATACAACTAATCCTGAACCGCAAATTGTGCGTCTCTTGGCAAAACACATTTCACGTCCTGGAGGATCATCTCCATGATCAAAAGTTCTTTTCTATGGTGTGACGCGCAGAGCAGCCACATTTGCCCTTCTGAGAATTGAGGCCAGTCATCTCTTCTCGAGTGCTTCAGTTCATGTTTGTGCTTGCCTTGGAGAATTAGCACAATGCAAACACCGCACGTGAACCTTACTTCTAGCAAAGGGTCATGGGCACCAAGTAGCACCAAAACGAGTAGCTTTCGCTGAGGGGCCCACAGATATGGTAGGTTGGTAGTTCACTATATCGGACTGTCCCAGTTGATTATCTACCCAGAGAGAAATGAACTACCAATTTGAAACCATTATACAATGCCAACGAGCTGTAGCAGATGTTGTAGCCTTTTACCAGACTTTCTAGTAAGAGTCCGAACAAATTCCATCTCAGTGTCCGGTTTAGAGATTTTAGTTCTTCATCGGGTGCTATGTTGGAGTATAATCAAGAAGCGCAAGGCCCACGAGCCCGTGTGGCTTATATCCATGCCCACGAATTCCCGCCATCCGACAGGACATGAATATTGAAAATCCTGGCCTTCTGAGAACTATTTTTTATTATCTATTATCTTCTTCACCAGGTGAATCTAGTCACCATAGTCCATTCACCTCCGTACCTCCAGCCTTTAATGGTTACGGCTAACACACTCAGACTTTGACATATTTGCTTTCGCATAGCTATGCCAATACTCAATTCAGCCCACTCAATTGAAATGCCCTTGATAGGATTGACCATAGTCTATCCTGGCTTCATCCCACTCGGGGCGTATCTGGTGTGTTATAGGTCACCAGTGCCGGTGTAAATGTCAACTTCAAGCAGTACCTGCACCGGCACAGCTCAGTGAACCAAGGCCCGACGCTAAGTTTCAGCATGGTCCACAGTCCGTAGTCCGTTACCGTGGCTGCAGCACCAGTTGACCACACCCTGCACCTTTGAGTGTCCAACTGAATTAGGTAAGTACCACGTGGAACTCGATGTCGACAGCTAGTTCAGTTCCACCTTGAGGAACGGGCATGCATTCCCGCGAGGTAAGCATGAATACGATGCGGCCAATCAGAGACAGCAGGGCTCAATTGCACTGGGTCGAACAGTTCCGAGGGGGACCCGCTTGAATAGGTTACCTTACTGAATTTACTGCATCGAAGAGAGAGAACGCCACGAGGACCAGCTACAATGCACCCTAGCCACACATGCAGTCATGACGAAGCGATGGCACTGCCTACATTGTTGCTCAAGTCAGCTCGCGCAGCAGGCAAATAGAGAAGATCATTCGACGAAGGAGTAGGACTGCTGATATATGTATGTATTTAGTGCTGCGCCAAATCCTACAGCGCTTGGCGTAGTAAGGGTCGCGCCATTTGCTGACAGCGACTTTACGTGTTTGGACATATGGCGCTAATCCATTTCTTACTAGCGAATGTCACCAAGCCTTATGATCCCTGAGTTGCAGATGGAGATCTACGACAAAAGAGACTCGAAGCCATTTCTTGACATTGGAAACTTGGGCTCGATTCTCTTTTAACTCAAATTCGATCCCTTCTAGTGCCCAGCGCAACTGCATCACGAGTCACTGTGCACGCCGGCCTACACCAATCTTATCATGTCTACAGAGTTCTCTCACACCGCAACGCCCACAGCGCACAATGTGGGCATTGTGGGCCTCTTAGTGTTTGTAGCTGGTGCATTCATCACTTATAAAGTCCTTGTACCTATGGTAACAGGCGAAACGAAACAATCCTCCTCACTTTCAGAGCCACCAGAAATAAAACATAAAGTTCCATTCATTGGCCATCTTGTTTCATTTATACGGCGCGGCCTGCCGTACTACGTACCGATATGGTCAGTAATTTTTTTCCCCCTTGCTTCTTCTTCTGCTATTGTCAACCTTGGTTCGTCGAATTTTGCTCACACCCGCACAGCGCGTCCATGACTTCAGCTGTGGGCACGATACATTTCCCCGGAAAGAGTGTGTATGTGATCCACCCCGAAAAGTTTGGCGGCACCAAGGCGTTCGCCAAAACCCGCGAGCGAAGTCTTATGGCGGGATTCTGGCTTGCATACGACAAGGCGATTGGTCTCAGCCCCGGCAGCAAGCACTGGATGTGCCTCCCAGATGACGACGAATTCCGAAAGGCACTAGTCAAGGTGTTCAAGGCGCAGTTCTTGGATCTGGGCCTCCTCAAGCACTACTCCGCTGGGGTGGATGAGAGGGTTGGAAAATACTGGGATGAACGGTTCACCGATGGTGCTCCTCTGAAATTGAACCTTGGAGCGTGGATCTATGACGATCTTCTCCGTGCATTCTCGTCGTTGTTCTGGGACGAGGAGGGTCCATTCCAAGACCGGGAATTGCGTGAGCAAACATCGTAAGTTTTGTCCTGCATCTCTACCATTCTGCAGATTGGCATCGCAAGTCCTGTGGCTAATAACTTGGTGCCACGATGCAGTATCTTCCTAGGGAACCTACACAATCTCATGGCCCCTATGGAGTTTCTCAACTCGAGCCAAGCTCGTCGAGCTCGAGCTTTCGTCCGGCAGAAGCTGGATACTGGCCATGTTGATTCCGAGAAGAGCCCCGACAAGACCACGTCGAACGGCAAAGGGGAAGAAGCATCCAAGCCCGCAGGGCTCTTGGCCGCTATTCGCCAGCACCTCTTCCAGTGGGATGCCTATGAGCCACATGCATGGGTTGACTATCAGATCAGCGTGGTGGCCGTAGTGTTGTCCAACATTGTGACCGCGATCCAGTGGACGCTGCTGTACATCTTGTCGAGACCAGAGCTCAAGGCCCAGATCATTACGGAAATCCGGACCTTGGTCGAGCACTGTGATGGCGTCGAGGGAAGCACAGGAAGCCCCGTTATCGACGCCGCCAAGATCCGCGAGTATTGCCCCCACCTCCTGGCAACGTGGTACGAGATGTTGCGCATGAATGGCGCAGTCCCCGTAGCCCGCTACATCACCGACAATGCTGTGTTCATGTCCAAGTACGAACTCAAGAAAGGTTCCATCATGGTATCACCCATGGCAGTACGACACTTCAACCCAGATATCTGGGGACCGGAGCCCGAGTCTTTCCACCCGGAGCGCATGATAAAGGATGGACAAGTCAACACAGATATGACACGGCAGCTAGGCACGTTCGGAATCCCAGGCGTCGGAATCTGCCCCGGTCGGTACCTGGCCTTCAATGTTGCCATGTCCATGCTGGTCAAGATGTTGGTTAGTTTTGATATTGACTGCCCAGAAGGCGGCATGCTGGCTCAAGGAATCGTGCCAAAACCTAAGGGGCACATGTCACTCGGCATGTCGGAGCCCGAGCAAGACCCTGAGGTTCTATTGAGCCGGCGTGCGGGTGCCGCATCTGTAAAGTTTGACTTTACAAACATCAAGCCTGGGTGGTAGTTCTTGGGTAAAGTGATGGGGGATTGCAAGGCAGACTGTTTATTAAAGGCAGACGCGTTATGACCAGGTCATGGAGTTATGATTGTTGTAAAGTTATTGGACTGGGTGCATATGTGTAGGATACTAGACAGCACGCATCTCGGTCATGGATACCAGAAGGCGCCAGTAAAGGCGTCTTGAAATACTTAGATTATGTATAAAATATTCTTTTTGTTATACCTATGTCTAAGAAAAACGTCAAAGTTTCCAGCAAACTTTACAGTTGTCCGTCTCCGGCGAAGACCGCAGGGATGTGACCCGTTGGTCATGGAATCTCGCTTTTCAGCACCACAACATCCGGTTTGAGATGCGAATTTTCTGCTGCAAGCTGCACATTCTGTGAAAGTCAGTTGTGACTACCTGTATACCACGTGGCTCAGTTTAATGGCTGGCTACTTGTTGGGCTAGTGCTTTTGAACCTAAGGCGCATGAATGCTGGACTACTCGCGGATCGATTCTAGCAACTCAAGCACTGTATGGTGTTTCAAAGGGACTTAAAACTTCCGAATAGACATCAGTGATTTAAACTTCTCATATTTCCATCTTGGTATACATTTTCCACCTCATTTTGTACTATACAAGCGACAGAAAGTCTGGAAGCCACCGCTGAATAATGGACCCTCATTTGGCGTTAAACCTATTAAACCCAACATCAGAAAGCGTTGCGTCTTGAGCCAATCAGACCCTTATCCAAATGTCTGGTCTACGACCAAAGCACCAATGTGTCGGGTTCCGAGCCTTGCGCCGGCAGGTAGCCTACGAATGAGCTTATGGTGAATCGAATGGCCTGCTTAGGCTTGTCTCTCGATGTGTCACACCCCTTTACCTCGTGAAAGTTCCTGTGAATACATTAATTAGATGGTTGCTCTTCATGTTTATTGGCATGTTCTCACACCTTGGATTGAAAAATGTCAGATCTCCGGGGGTTGCCTTCACAGCCTTGAATGTGTGGCCCTCGAGCATCTGAGGGTGATACGAATCCCTCGGGAACGTCTTCCGCCAAGCCAGGTCGTCGTCAGGTGCGCGCCATTGGCGGTCGTACACAAGAGTATCGCCGCCGGGGATCTCATTCAAGAGAATGTTCCAGGTGAGCTGTGAGACAATGCCATCGATAGACCAACCTGCCGCCTCCTACATTTGCCCATGTGTGGTTAGCATTGTGTACACGGCATCTTCGAGGCAAGCACAATAACTTACATATGGTGCATAGTCTGCATGAACGTGCATGCCTGCATCGACTGCTCTCAGAATACCTGCAAAGTACTCCCTGTCGCCCTCCCTTGCGCGCCGCACAGGCATGCCTGTAGCATTCTGCAGTTTGTCCATGACACGCTGAAGCACGTCAACGCCGGCTTCTTTCTTCCATCGATTCTGCAGCGACTGGGCTGCCTCGATGGCATCAAAGTACGCGTTCTTGTCTGCACGTCAAAGTTAGCCTTCTTTCATAATGACGAGGAATCGCACCACTTGGGAGAACCTGCCTTGCATGTGGTCATACTGAGTGATGCCAGCAATTCCTACACGTGGCCATGTGTTTTCCGTGTCGTAGCTGCCCTGTGGCCGTATTAGCATCCTCGGTCACTTTTAACCAGATCGAATGCGGGGCGTACCAATTCGTGGGTCTTGATTATATCGTACATCATCTGGCATTCCTCCGTCGACAGGAACTTCTTCTCCCGAACGAGGGGGATCTGATTGGCAAAAAGGCTTAACACGGATTGAGAGGTCATGGGCTGGTCTGCCATCGTCGCCCAGTTGGTCTCCAAGCTGTGCTTCTTTGGTGCTCCGAAGAAAGAAGTCTCATTTGCTCTGGATGCAGTCTCCCCGGCCAAGTTGAAGAATAGCGGGGCCGTAGTTGCTGCCATGGTTACTGGTATGCTTCGAGCCGATGATGGAGTAGTATACTGTCGGCAGTAGCGTTTGACTGTATCTGATGATCTGAGAAAACAGGTATTGGCTCTTCTCCGTGGCGGCCGAGAGCTCTTGCGCAAAACGTACTTTATGAGTGAAAGGGCTGCACCGGTAGTCCGACTCGCTGATCTGACCTGGTTTGCTTACTTCGGCTTCGGGATCAGCAGTTGAAGCTGAGAGAAGTTAGCTGCTGTGCTAAATATAAGCATGCCACGTTCCCAGCGCGCGCCAGCCCGTCGGCAGGGATCTTAGCCCCCAACTTAGCAACCGCTGGGGGGCGGGCTTAGCTGGCTAAATTGCGCCACTCGACCACCATCTAGGTCATCAAATGCGGGTTACTGAAGCCGTAGTAAGGAAACACTCGCAACACCAACGGGCGCCTCATCATGACAGCGATAAGCTCAGCCCTCTTCGTACCGTCGATCCACCCGTCGCGCCTATCGCCTGCTTCATCTTCTGATTATCAGGCGATATGGCGACCAGACGCGCCCTCGCATCTTTCTCTTCTCTCCGTTCAATTACTTCCAGCGTGCTGTCAGCCCCACCATGTCGACAGTTACGAAATGCGCAATAGACACGCTGAGCGACTTCGGTCCGGCGACAACGTGCGCTGCCGTCAACGACTTCACACTTCTCTTCGAGGAATTGGTCCTCACCATAGTCCCAGCTGCTGTCGCCGGGGCCGTAATACCGTCTTATCTGCGACCACTACTGGGCAGCGATCGGAAAGTCGTGTGGTCGTGGCATCCCATCGCCAAATTGGTAAGTACCCCGATCGGACGGCACTGAAGAAGGCCAGAGAGGCTGATTATCCGTTACATTAAGGCATTATGGGCTTCGATATGCCTGGTCAACGCAGTCCAGTTTGGTGTCACAAGCAGGCCCTCATCGCCACAAACCGTGGCTACAATAGCCACCTGCGTGGCCGTCTTTGCGATTGATATCGGTCTGGGTATATTATCGCACCTTACGCATATGCGCAGCCTCAAGCCCTCGTCTCCGATTCTTGTGTTCCTGTTCTTGACACTAGTGTTTGATGTGGCGCGATGTCGAACACTGTGGTTCCTGGAATCGGGCGAGGACATGGCCAAGGCGATGACTGCGTCTGTCGCTCTCAAAGCGGTTCTCCTGGTGCTTGAGTCAATGGAGAAGAGAGGAATTCTACTGGATCAATATCGAGACTCGCCGCCCCAATGCACGGTCGGAGTGCTCAATCAGTGGCTCTGTTGGTGGATGAACCCGCTTCTTATTTATGGTTACCGGCAGACGCACTCGCTAGAGACCCTCTTCGAGGTTGATCCAGATCTTTACATCCAGGATCACGATGGAACGCGACTATCGGATTTGTGGAACTCAAGTTAGTAACCTCGAAATCATCACTGTGTATGTCATCATCACTAACTCAACTGTCCGCTCTAGGGAAGTCGAAAGAAAGCCCCAATGCCCTTCTGTTGGTTAGCCTGAAGCATAATCTGAGAGCAATCGGGAAGGCCGTGCTCCCGAGGCTTCTCCAGACCGGTTTTAGTTTCGCTCAACCTTTCTTGCTAAAAAGGGTCATCGAATACATCGAGCTACCCGAGACAGCCGACAGCGAGTTCGACGGGACCGGGTTGATTGTATCGTACATGATCGTCTACGTTGGAATAGCATTGGCCACTTCCGTAACTCAGCATTGGGCGAACCACCTGGTAACCCGCATCAGAGCAGGCCTGGTGGACTTGATATACGCCCACACTCTCAAGATTCAATGTCTGGCTGTGGATGAAGCCGACGCGGTCACGCTCATGAGTACCGATGTTGAGAGAATCACGACAGGGCTCCGAACTTTTCGTACGTATATTCCAAATTCATCTCAACGAACAACTAGCTAATAACAATTGTTGCAGAGGAGTTATGGGCCTGTCCCATCGAGATAGCCCTGTCCCTCTGGCTACTGTCAGATCGACTGCATGTCGCAGCAGTGGCACCTGCTGCAGTAATCGTTGCTTTCACAGGGACAGCCATCGCCGTGGCATCCAAGGTTGGCATAGCCCAGAAAGCGTGGATCGATAAGATCCAGCAACGAGTTAGCGCAACTGCCTCTCTCTTGGGCGCAATGACATCCGTGAAGATGACTGGCCTGACGCAGACCCTCACCCGCAAGATTACGAAACTTCGAGACGAAGAGATCAAGACTTCATTCGGCTATAGGCTAGTATTGATCAAGATCGTCACCCTTACATTCTCCTCAACAGCTATGACGCCTGTTGCATCATTTGGAATGTACATTCTCCTACAGCAATATCGGGGCTACGCGGTTCTAGACCCTGCCATCACCCTCACCACCCTCACTCTCCTGCAGCTTCTCCTCGCACCTGTCGCTATCCTGATCGATGCCCTCTCGGGGGTCATGAGTGCTGTTGGATGTTTTGAGCGCATTCGACAGTATCTACTATCAAAACAAAAGGATGACAAGAGGATCGTCCAGAAACCACAGTCCGGGCGTTCGTGGGAGCATGATTCCATAGGTAATCTGATGCGGTCGTCCTCCTCAAGGCGCGCGTCTGGTATGGATCTTTACTCAATCCCATTACGGCGATATCCTCGTCGTGAATCACAAGAAGGCGATCTCGATGGTCCCCGAAACTCGGTCGTCTTTCATCGCGCCTCATTTGGCTGGAAGGATGATGAAAAGCCTGTTCTTAAAGACTTAAATCTCAAGCTGCCTCGCGGCAAGTTGACAATGGTCATTGGCCCGGTAGGCAGCGGAAAATCCACTTTCCTCCAAACACTGTTGGGAGAGACTCGGAACAGCAACCAGGTAGGATACGTACAGGTCTGCTTCGATGACGCGGCATACTGTCAGCAACGGCCGTGGATTTCGAACACTACAATTCGCCAGAACATCCTCGGCGGGTTCGGGTTTGATCCCTTATGGTATTCCACTGTTATTCAGTCGTGCTGCCTGGCTCGAGACCTGGAACTGCTCCCTGAGGGGGATATGACAAAGGTGGGCAGTAATGGAGCCTCTCTGAGCGGTGGCCAGCAGGTTCGAATCGCCCTTGCCCGTGCCATTTACTCAAAGAAGAAAACTATGCTGCTTGACGACGTCTTGAGCGGCTTGGATGCTACGACTATGGACGCTGTTTTCACCTCGCTATTTTCCCGTGGTGGGCTGCTGAAGAAACATGGAGTTACTGTCATCCTTGCCACAAATGCGATCAACAGGCTTCCGAACTCGGACCATATCATCGTACTGGGGCAGAACGGCGCCATCAGTGAACAGGGCTCTTTCAGGGCTTTGTCGTCCCGTCCCGGCTATGTATCCAGCTTGAATCTGGAGAAGAGACTCAACTGGGATTCCCAAGCGAGTACAAGTGACGAGAAGCCGGAGAATGCCACTTTGGCAACACGGGAAGCTCTGGCGAGAGCATTGCCACTTCTACAAGCCCCCAATGGCTCGTCAAGTGGCGACTTGGCAACGTACAAGTACTATATTGAGAGTTTCGGGTGGTTCAGGTGGTGGATATTCATTGGAACTTGCTCGTTCTATGGTTTCGGCGTCTGTTTCCCACACGCATGGGCTCAGATGTGGGCTGATTACAACATCTTGCATCCTGGAGAAAAGGCCGGCTATTACGTTGGAATCTACCTTCTGCTTGCCGCTCTCACTGTGATCTCCCTTGGAGCGGGTGCCGGGTAAGTCTTTACCTCTCGTCGCCCTTTTTGAAATACTGATGGCAAGCTAACCTTTCATGTTTCTGAATAGCTTCCTAGTCATGAGCATTGCGCCTCGCGTCGCCAAAACGATGCACTCGCGTGTCTTGAACGCCGTGATGAACGCGCCTATTGCCTTCTTCTCCCAAGCTGATTCCGGCTCTCTCATCAACCGCTTCAGTCAAGATATGGAGCTCATTGACATGGAACTCCCCGTATCACTGATTCACACTGTGCTCATGATTTTCGTCTTGACTGCACAGACGTTGGTCATCGTATCGACGGCCAAGTACGCTGGTGTCGCCCTGCCGGTCTGCGTCTTGGCCGCGTACATGACGCAGAAATACTACCTTCGAACTTCGCGGGTCCTCCGTCTCCTCGATATCGAGGCCAAGTCTCTTTTGTTTAGTCACTTCCTCGAAACGCTGGCGGGATTGGTGACGATCCGTGCATTTCAGTGGACGGAAGGCTACGCGAAGACCAACGCGGCACTGATTAACGTCGCGCAGCGACCCGCATACTTGCTGCTATGTGTACAACGGTGGCTCGGCCTGGTTCTAGATCTACTGGTCAGTGGTATTGCCGTTGTGCTGGCCGCCATAGCGGTTAAGACTCGAGGACAAGTTGATGCCGGCGTCATGGGGCTTGCTTTGTTGAACGTGGTTGGGTTCAGTGCGACTCTGAAGCAACTCATCACAAACTGGACCCTGCTGGAAACATCAACGGGAGCTCTATGCCGCGTCAAAGACTTCACAAGCAGCGTAGACTCGGAGATGGATGACGATAAAGCCCAGGAGTTCTATCAGCAGGTTGTTGCATGCCCGTGGAAGGTGCTCGCGAGTGAGCCCCGTACAGGTATTGGCTTCAATGATTTGACAGCCTCTTACTCAAAGTATTCGGAACCCATCCTCAAGGGAGTCTCTTTCTGGATTGAGCCTGGCCAGCGAATCGGTATCTGCGGTCGCAGCGGAAGCGGCAAGAGCTCTCTCCTCGCCAGCCTTTTGCGCATGACCTATGTACAGAGTGGTTCCATCGTCATAGACGGGATAGACACGTCAATCCTGGCTCCGGACCAGGTCCGTCTCCGTCTCAATGCGCTTCCACAGCAACCATTCCTACTTCCTGGCACAATTCGGGATAACGTGGACCCCCTTGATGAGCATGATTTTGATTCCATCATGGAGGCACTGGACCTGGTCGGGCTGAGGGATTTGCTGTTGAACGAGTTGCCCGGCGGCCTGGATGCGCAGATGCCGACGAACCTTCTCTCACACGGCCAGACACAGTTACTGTGCCTTGCACGCGCGCTGGTCCGACGACACTCCTCTGACGTGCTCATCCTAGACGAGGCGACTGCGTCCGTAGACGCAGAGACAGAGGCGCTGATGCAGCGCTTGATCGCAGACAAATTCCAGGGCAAGACGATCATAGCAGTGGCGCATCGCCTGGACACTGTGATCGATTACGACCGCATCGCTGTTCTGGATGGCGGAATGTTGGTAGAGTGGGACCATCCATCGAGGTTGCTTCAGCAAGACTCCATCTTCCGGCGACTCTATCGGGACTCTCGAGAGGTTGGGAGTGACGGGCCTACCGGACTGGCATTGTAGTGTTTAGGAGTCAAGAGAGATGAGCGACCTGGAGATTGTATCTCATGTGTTCAGTAGTAGTAGTATATAAACCCTAGACTAGACATTTACCCTTTGTTTCTGTTCATACTGCTTTGCAAAGTGTGTCCACTAGTGAAGCTCATCTGCAATACTGCCATTTTGAGAAAGTCAAGAAAATCTGTACGTTAATAGATCTTGAGCTGCTCGTAGTCGCAGGCTTGCGCAACAATCCCTTGAACCGATTTCGTAGTCAAACTCAAGCCTCGGGGGCATGCGAAATGGTTGGCTGCTCAAGGCAAAGCGATATGTGCTACTGACTGCTGCTGCACGACCAGTAAACTAAGGACTTGGCGCGCGGCAAGGTTTTGGGAGCATTGCCGCGAGCCACTTGCTCTTGCATTAAGGAAAGCAGAATAAGTACTAAGGCTTCGACAGCGCAAGCTCTCTATACTAGTAGTTATGAGATCGCTATGATATCTAACCTGGAGCCAAATACAGGGAGGGTGCGTGCTGAGCGTGGTGGCACTGTCATGTTAAAAGATTGCGCGGCCACTTGAGATTATTGGCAGGTGAGCGCCCCGCTACAATGTGGTCAATATTATAGCATGGGGCACGACAAATACACTGATGCAGACAGAGATGGATGTTTAAAGTAATTCTCCGTATTTTTGAAGTTTCTATGAAATGTCAAATCAACCTGTCAACGCCTGTTTCTATATGCCTGTACGCCAAAAGAACAGATGTAACATCAGCCCCGAACTCCGTCCCGCATGCCTTGGCGCCGATGAACAGTAACCCAGAGCACATCCCCCGAACGCCTGAAATTATGCGCCTCTTATGCCAAACTAAAACAAAGGAAATAGCGAACCATAATAATCTTAGATAGAAAGTGCCACTCTCCTCAGCAGCATCCAAACTCTCAGGCATCCCGTTGCGTCGCTGATAAGCTCTTCAGCGCACTTCTCAAAAGCCCTCTTCAACATATTTGCTTTTGTCTCGGTGACGGCATCGGTCCAGTAGACAAACTGCGCCTTGGCGTGGATGGTGTTTCGGCTGTTTGCCAGACCAGCTCCTCCGGATTTCATGATTTGGACACCCAGGCTGATGTCGTAGTCGTTGGGGTCGCGGTACGCCAGAGGACGGAAGGTGATGCTATCGTCTTCGATGTTGGCTTTCTCAGAGAGAGGTAACCTGTTGGGACCGCCCCAACTGACATGTCTTGCCTTCCGTCCGCTATTAGCAAGACGGGCGTGTTCTGATGGAAGCGGCCTAGGGATGGACTCCGAGACGCAACGACTGCGTGTCATGGGTCCCACTGTCCGACCAGCAGGGTGACGGCTATCAGCGCTTTGTGGAATGTGCCCACCGTCCGCATCAATATACTGCAAACTCATCACAGAGTTGCACAGTCGGCCCAGTTTTCCTTCTTCGCCTTCCATTTTCTCCATCAACTCCTCAACAGCCTGGTCCAGTCCGAACTGATGAGGCAAAGCCTCCAAGAACTCTCCTTGCCTTCTTCGCAGCAACTCGCCAATTCGCATATTAGGCTGAACATCGGCACGGCACATCAGCATGTTGGTCAGGGGCCCAACCATTTCTTCGGATCCGTCGACGCTATCGCGGTTGGCCGTCATGTATCCAAAGAACGGTGTGGCAGCTGTCGCCATCTTCCTTCCCTCCTTGATCCGAGGCGACTGCGACTGCGTCTGTAGCACAAGGCCCCAGACCGCCTGGAAGAAAGTCGCCGGTGTTATGCCATGGTCGCGGCAGAATGATGGAAGTGCGGCCATAAGTGTGGGGTTGAGGTTGATCTCTAGGGATTTCTGGGTTGGAGCTTGTTGAAGTCGGCCGAGTTCGCTGGACTTGGGCAAAGTTGCAGTTGTGCTTCCAGTCACCTCAACGAGAAGCTTCCGCCAGTAATCGGCTGCTTGCTCTGTGCGCTGGTCCTCCAACCAGGTCATGTAGTCACCGAAGGATCCATCTGCGTGTGGCACATTCGCCAGGGCCTTTGAACTGCCTCGGTATGCCGCCTCAAGATCCCGGAACAGGATGCCAGTGGACATACCGTCGTTGAGGGCGTGACTGATCTCAAGCTTGCACATGACGCTGCGGCCATCATTGGTTGAGAACAAGGTGAAGCTGTGATGAGGTTTCTCGAGGGTTTGATACTCGACAGATTTGTGGCTTTTGACGAGGCGAAGAAGCTCAGTCTCGTTGTCGCACTTGATGATGGGTACTTGAGCTTTGTATGATGAAAGGACGACTTGGAAGTGGCTCGCAGGTCGGCCACTAGCAGCTGCAGTGGCTACAAAAATGGTGCGTAGAATGCTGTGCTTATTGACAACATGCTGCCACGCGGCTTGAAGCTTTTCTGGTGAGATCGAGGATTTGGTTGAGCGTGAAAGAAGCCGGTGAGATACGTCGACCTCATAGACATGTTGCCGGCCGTTAGGTTGCTGTCGCTGTTGTTCCTGCGCAGCCAATATGTGTTGCTGCATCGGTGTGCAAGGATACATATCATGCACATTGTTCATGGGGATGGCGGCGTTAGAAAGATTCTCCTCTACCGCAAGGAGCTGCTCAGTATCCAGGTGGCGGAGCATCAGGGGGAAATCACCGATGGTCTGACTTCCACTCATTTCATTGAGAGCCTCTGCGCCACGGGTCAGGATGTCTTGCGTAGTGCTGATCCAGCTACCAATCTTTTCCTGGTGAAGAAGGTTCTTGTTGTGTCCGAAGGCCACTCGAGTCTTGCCGTTGGCAACTCCAACAGAAATATCGATGAGGGAGAACCGGGTCACATCGGCGCCAACCTTTGCAGCAGAGCGCCATATGTCTTGGTCGGCCTCCGTGAAGAGAGCATCCTTGGTCTCTAGTTGTTGGTACTTGCCAACATAGTTGAACAGGATTTCAACCGGGCCAGCATCCTTGCCAAACTGCTCTTGACAATCCTTGTTGAAGAACCTGGAGCTGAAATAAGGCATACCGTTGCGTGGGATTCTACGTCGCGTGTCCTTGGTCTTGCGAACATTCTCGACCAAATCAACCGATGGAGCGGCAATATGGACTGGGCTCATTGTAGTGAACCATCCCACAATGCCGTTCGGGTCGACGCTGTCGTCCCATGACTCACGTCCATGACCTTCCGCAAAGATGGGAGGCATAGTCCGGTCTGTAAAGACGCTTCCGAAAGCTGTCATGATGGCGGCTAGGATGATGTCTACCGGCTCAATCTTGAAAGCCTGGTTGCTAGACCCGAAAAGCTTGGTTGTTACGGCTTCATCCAGGAGAAACTCGGTTTCAATCATTTGGCCAAATGTGTTAGCACTGGTCGCATCCATTCCCCAGTAGTCAAGCTGAGCGGCCGGAACCTCGCTGTATGGCAGGACAGATTTGGTGTTGAGGGTCGATGCGTACTCCTGCTGCAGACGTAGCCATGCCTGGAAAGAAGTTGACGCGCTGGGAGTCATTGAGCCTTTGGTCAGGAGGTCTTGGAGATCGCTGAGAATGATTCGCCACGAGACCAGATCAACGACCAGATGATGAGCACTGAGGAAAATCAACTGCTCTGAGGACTCTTTGCCGACGTCAAACAAGTGTGCGAGGAAGAGTGGCCCGTCTTGAATGCTGCCCATGCCATGGTTTCCACCGCGTGTCAGTAGAATCTGGGAAACTTCAGAGGTATCGTGGGTCTGATCCGCGGTAAAGCTGAAAGACTCGTGGATTGCACGGTCCGTGATGCTCTGCGACCATTGGCCGTCAGATGTTTGGGTGAATTTGGTACGGAGCATGGCATGGCGAGCGACAAGGGCTTCCAGAGCCACTCGCATTTCCTGTGCAGTGAACTTCTTGCTAAGTTTGAACATGAAACTCTGGTTGAAATGGTGAGAGGTGGGAGAAGAAGAGCGGGCAGCTGTATCGAAAAACAGCTGTTGGATTGGCGACAAGGCAAATGAGTTGCTTGCCGGCTCTTCCGGTCGCATCACTATGTGAGGTGTATCTTCGTTTGTTTGAGTAGCTGTGTTGGTAGATTTGCTGACAGATGCGAGGGCGGATAGACTCTGCGACTTGAGAATATCCTGCATAGTCAAGTTGAGGCCCTCAGCACGGGCTTTGGAACGCAGCTGCATTGCTGTAATAGAGTCTCCTCCTTGGCTCAAGAACGACAGGTTGAGCCGGGCACTGCCATCTGGCATATTGAGTACCTGGCTAACCAAAGACAACACAATGGCCTCTTCGGGTGTTGATGCATGCTGCTGGGAGCTCTCCTGGGCACCGAGCATTGTGTTCATGAGAGTCTCGTAAAGCGCCTGATCCATCTCTTGCAGCCACAGCTCCGATTGCTTTGCATCAACCTTGCCGTTGCCGCTCAAAGGAATGGCTTCAACGGCAATGTAAATCGAGGGGACCATGTAGCTGGGTAGGGCGCGGGCCAGCGTCTGCCGGATGTCCTCGAACTCGACGTTCATGCGCTGTCTGGCAGCATCGCCTAGTGGGGTGAGCTGGCTGCTGCTGGACTGCTCGCGCTCCTGTTCCGAAACAGTGGCGTTGAAGCTGAGGATTGCCACGAGCTTGTCTTTCAGAGGCCCAGCCCTAGGAACTCGAGCCAATGCTCGGTAAACACTCGAATGGGCGCGGAGGCGATGCTCGACCTCACCAAGTTCAATCCGTTGGCCTTGGAGTTTGACCTGGTTGTCTTTTCTGCCGACATAACGCATAATTCCATCAGAATCATAGCGCGCCAAATCGCCGGTCTTGTACATGCGTTGGTGAGTGCTGATGCCGTCATAAGCGGCGTACTGAACCCAGTCAGGATCCTGGATGTAGGCTGCCGAAGTCTTGGCCTCGTCTCCAAGGTACTCCCTGGAAACGATTCCGCCTTCAACCACGATTTCACCAACGCATCCGATGGGGGTAAGCTTATTGTGATCACTAGGGTCACAAAGCCACATCTTGCAGCCCATAGCCTGTCCTAGTCGACCTGGAGCGCTCTCCAGGGTAATCGGAGGCGTAGTCGATGCATAAATAGTTGTCTCGGCGGGGCCCCAGCAGAACAGAAGAGAAAGATCGTCGCGGCCAGCCCATGTCTCGACGTTGTCTTTGGTGGGCGCCTCACCACCGAGGACAAGGGTGCGAAGTGTGGGTACCAACTCGGGCGCAATCAGCTGCGCAACTGTTGGTGTGGCGAACATCCAGTTCGCATTGTACTTTGTGATGGCCCCAGCCAGGTCGTCGACGCGCTCCTCTTCAGAGGGCACGCAGATAGTCGCACCGCGTTGTAGAGAAGTGAAGATGTCAGCGCAGCTAACGTCAAACGTGTAAGCAGCAAACTGGAACACCCGAGTACCTGCGTTGATGTTGAAGCCAGCGCCATGAGCGCTAGAGCTGGTGCAGAGATTTCCGTGTTCTACGACAATACCCTTGGATCGTCCAGTGCTCCCCGAGGTGAAGAGGACATACACAGGGTCTCGGGGCGAAACCTGGGGCAGAGAAATTGTTGCTCGCTCTACCTGTTGGGTCAATTGCATGTGTTGGATGCGCTGGTCGTCCACAAGCAAAAGAGGCGTCATCGTATCGCTAGTACGGAAGATGCTCGCCTGCTTCGGTGAAGTAATAACGAACTTGGCGCTCGTCTGCTGCAGCACTTCCATCTTCCGACTCAGGGGGTGAGTGACTCCTAGCTGGGTTACAGCACCGCCAGCCTTGACCACGGCCATGGCTGCGACGATAGCCCACTTGGATTTCTCGAAGCACAACGGGATGATGTCATTCGATTTGACACCCCAGCGCGAGACCAACGTTTTTGCGAGGGTTGTCGAAAGGTTATCAAGCTGCTCATAAGTCAGGTCGCCATCCCAGCCGGTAATGGCCAGCTCACGAGGACGCAACCTGACTTGTTCAGCGAAGATCTTGTGCACGGTAGAGTTGACACAGTCGGTGGCACTGTTGCTGTTCCAGGAACGAATGAGAGCCAGGTCTTCCGGGCTTGTCATGTCCACGCTGTCAAGGCTCTTGGCCTGGTCGGTCTCTGAGCTCAGCGACGAGAGCTGGCGGACCACCTGCTTGAAATGGCCACAGAGCCGCTCCACATGCCAAGCGGAAAGGACATTCTGATCAAATCTAATCTCCAATGAGACGTTGCTGTTGCGCAGAACGCATTCCATAACCACGGCGTAGGAGTCGAAGAACCCTTCCAATAGCTGGGGATGCTCGATTTCGTGGATGAATTCAGCATCAGTCTGGCCCATAGTTTCGGGCACGACAACTTCGAACAAGTTATTGAAGTCCAGAGAAGATCTGACCTCGGGGCCGATTGCCCTGATAGCTTGTAGTCCGGCGTGTTGGAATGGCATCATGGCTGTGTAGTGGGTTTGCATCTGGCTCAAGTATTGTCCGACAGTTAGATGGCCGTCAAGCTTCGCCCGCATAGGGATAGTTGTGATGCATGGACCCATCATGTCTTCAATTCCAGCCACACTGCTGTTTCTGCCGGAGAGAGTCTCCCCAAAGACGATGTCGTCGCTTTCCATGTACCTTGCAGTCTGTTCATTGTATTAGTCTGATTCTCTACCTCATGTAGTATATAGCTGAAACTTACCACGAAAGCCCATGCGGCTCGCAAGATTGTTGTCTTAAGAATACCAGTTGTCGCATCATGCGTCATGTCAAACGAAAATTTGAACTCTGAATCTGGGCGTGGCCGATAGCCGGCGGATGGGAGACGCGGGAAAGTAGCAGGCGATCCGCTGGCACCCAAGCTCTGACGCCAGAACTGAGCTGACACTGCGGAGTCTACGCTATTGAGATGAGCAATGAAACGATTAAATGCTGGAGCTGGTGAGCTTGGTAAAGCAACACCGTTGTAAAGTCCCTGGACAGCCTCGAGCAGCTTGCCTGCTGTAGAGCCATCGTACAAGGCATGGTGGATGGCCCACACGAATCGGCGGGAGCGGGGTGCGATGCCGTATGTAGTGAGTGGCCGCCCGTAGTCAACTCTCCAGCTCTCTTTCTGTTGTGAGAGGTATGTTTTGACGGAGCCACGAATTTCGTGGAAAGTCGGGGTCTCTTTCTTCAAGATTACCTGAAGCCAAGTGCCAAACTCGGGACTGGGTACGATCCTCGTGCGCAGAATGGGGATCGACTCAATGGCCTTGATCCAAGCTTGCTTGAACAACTCCAGGTCAATGTCATCGGGAATGTTGAAAACGCGCTTCGCAACGTATGCTTCAGGCTCGTAGGTAGAGACAGCCATCATACCCGCCTGGAGAGGTGTACAAGGGTAAACATCCTCGATCTCCTCAGTTTGGACATTGCATTCTTGGGCTGCGTGATCAAGGACGTCAGAGTAATCTCCATCATCATCGCTGACGAGCGCGAATGGGGCAATGTCCTCGTTGATCGACTTCGTTGCGACTTGTGTTGTTGAAGTCATGTCGGGAGTAGGTTCTGAATCCAGGCACATTGCCATCTTATTCAAACGCGGGTGAGCGAATATGTCACCAACGGTTAGTGTCTTGCCCAACTCCCGACGAACCGCTGCAACAAGGCTGATGGCGCGAACGGAGTCACCTCCCTTCTGAAGGAAGTGGTCGCTCGGCTTGATAGAATCCGCTGGGATGTCCAATACTCCGGCCCACAGAGCTTGCAGCTGCAACTCCGAGTTGGTGGAAAATCCACACTGCTGGTTTTCGCTGTCTGATTCATCATCCAGGATATGGAACTCCTGCAGCTGGCTCGGGGTTAATTGCGCACCCAACTGCCTCAGAGCCTTACGATCTTTCTTTCCAGTCTGAGTCACAGGCATGCGCTGCAATGCGACGAAGAGAGATGGTACCATGAACGGTGGAAGGCTGTTGCTGAGTCCGCGTCGCAGGTTGATCAAAGCCTGCTGTTCGTCCTTTTCAGTGTTGGTAACGAGGAGGGAGGATGAGGTCGAACATTCTTTTGCGAAACGAACGAAAACAGCCAGAGCAGGCTTTTCTGCATCTCCTCCTTCAAGAATCTTCTCGACAACAACACGATCGTTCGAAAAGCCATGAGATACAACGTGGTGTTCGATCTCACCTAACTCGATTCTCCTGCCGTGGACTTTCACCTGAGAGTCTTTGCGACCCACATAGATCAATGTACCGTCAGATGAGTAACGGACGAGATCACCAGTCTTGTAGAGTCTCATCTGGTCGAAAGACTTGCTGCTTGGTGAAGCTGTCTTCAGGCACTCCACGAAACCAGGGTTCGAGATGTAAGCGTGGGCTGTCAAGCCGTCCTCCTTGTGGTAGCCCCTGGACAGGATGGGACCGTCGATGCAGAGCTCTCCGATGGAGCCAATAGGAACCAGGCGGTCAGAATTGTCCTTGTCAGTCACCCATGTTCGGCATCCCATACCTACACCGATGTTCTGTGGTGAGGTCTCGGGACGAAGCGACCCCATAGTGGTCAAAACACTGCACTCTGCCGGCCCATACGAGTTCATAAGCACGACCCGGTTGCTGAACCGCGCATGCAAGTCCGGTCGGATGGGCTCTCCACCCAGTGACAGATGTTTGAGGCCAGGGATATCGTCAGGCTGTAGTACGGCTGCGGCTGTTGGCACCATAGTGGCCCAGTTGACTTGGTACTTGTTGATAGCCCCTGCGAGATCGTTGAGTCGCTCCTCATCTGACGCAATGCAGACACAGCCTCCTTGCATGAGGGTGACAAATGTGTCGAAGTTTGAGATATCAAACCAGTGAGCCGCGAACTGCAGTGTCCTTGTGGCATTTCCAATGCCCAATTGTGGTGCCTGGTAATGCTGCATGGAACTGAATCCCTGGTGTTCCACTGTCACGCCCTTGGGCTTACCGGTTGATCCTGACGTGAACACGATGAAAGCGGCATTTGTAGGGCGAGCCTCAGATGAAACAGGAGCAGCGGGCTCAGGGAGGGCTGCGAGGAAACCCGAATCGAGGATAAGCGCTGTTGGGGAGGAAAACAGGCTGGCATATTGCGATGAGCTCAAAACTGTGATAGCCTCAAGATCGTCCAGTATGTTCTGCATCGTGGCCGAAGGATATGACGGGTTGAGGTTTGTATAAACGCCACCTGCTTTCAGGACAGACAACATGGCGACAACATGCCACTTGGACTTCTCCAGGCAAATGCCAACCTTGATCTCTGGGCCAACACCGAGCTGCTTGAGGTGAGTTGCAAGCTTGTTAGAAAGGTGCTCGAGTTCTTGGTAAGTGAAGTCGCCGTCCCAGGCGCACACAGCCTGTGCATTGGGGTATTCTGTTGCTCGAGCTGCCACGATATCGTGAATACATGCCTCAATGTTCTCAGGCATCGTTCCATTCCATCGCACAATCTCATTGACATCCTCGTGGCTGGTCTCTCCGTGTATTTGAGAGAGTGGTGCACTCGGCTTGCGGCTGAGCTGTTCAAGTACGAACTCGTATTGGTGGACCATGCGCCGCATCTGCTCCGTGTCGATGATCGAGGCGTCATGCTTAGCCTCGATAGTGACTTTGCCGCCATCTTCCATGTGGCAAAGAACGACCAAGGGGTAGCCACCAAACTTTTCGAGGTTGCGGGGAACGAGCTGCGTGCCCTCGAAAACTTCATCAGTGGAAGAGGACGCAGGTTGCAGCACGAGCAGATTTCCAAGGCTGTCGACCACATTACGAGCTGTGCTGTTAATTTTCCGAATATTCTGCAGGCCAGTCTGCTCAAATGGCATCATGTCGGTGGCCTGAGCCTGCATAGCTTTGAGGAATTGCTGCACAGTACTGTCGTCGGCCAGATCGAGGCCAACTCTCACGGGAACCGTGGTCATTGTGGGGCCGTTCATAGTTGAGATGCCATCCACGGGCACCGTGCGACCGGAGAGGGTTACAGCAAAGACAATATCGTCGCTGTCGGTGTATCTCGCAACAGTGAGTGCCCAAGCCGCACGAAGAACGGTCGACATAGTGATTCCTCCTTGGGTTGGGATGGCAATGCTTCTTCCGCTTCTCACTGTCTCGTGCGAGCTTGGACTATAGCCTGTGGCAACCAGAGGCAGGCTAGTAGGAGCTTCCTTTCCTTCGGGAAACTGCGACTCCCAAAATGCCTCCTTTGATATTTCATTGGACGAGGCGCTTTGGATATGTCGGATGAACGCCTTGTATGGGACTGAAGGCAGTACTTCCCCGCCGCGCAAGACACTTTTGACTTGTTCCAGGGTAATAGCAGCACTCCAGGCATCGTACACAGCGTGATGTGCCGACCATACGAAATAGCAATCCTCTGCAGCTTTTACAAGCGCAAGTCTCAGGAGAGGCGAACCATAGGTGGTAGGAATCTCCAAATCCTTGCTGAGGTAAGAGTCCAAACCGTCTTCAACCTCTATCCACTCCAGACCTTGGTCAAGGACAGCTTGCAAGCTTCCATGGCCAGTGACATGGACAATTCTTGTTCTCAGAATTGGTTCCTGGGCTGCAACAGCCTGCCATGCAGACTTGAAGTTGATAGTATCGAAGTTGGCTGGCAGGCGGAAGACACTCTGGGCCTTATAAGAACCTCCACCCAAGCGTGTAGAAATAGCCATCAAACCTTCCTGCAAGGGTGTGCAGGGGTAAAGGTCTACAATCGTCTGGCTCTCTACGCCACACAGCTCAGCTGCTTCCATTCTTGCAGATTCCAGGGTACTGCTCTCAAGGAGGTTGAATGGCTCCTGGTCGACATCCGCCTCCTCCTGGTTCGCACTGTCTATTGAGACAGCCATCTCTTCCAATTTGGGGAACTTGAAGATGCTAGACACGTTCAAAGCCATGTCGTGCGCACGAGCGGCAGCAACAAGCCGTATGGCGCTAACAGAGTCGCCCCCAAGTCGGAAGAAATCGTCATTGGCGCCAATGGTCTCTAGGGGTCGAGACAGAACACTTGCCCAAAGCAACTGCAGACCCTTCTCGGTTTCCGAGGACGGAGCCTTCTTGACTCCATCCAGTAATGAGTATTGAGAGACTTCATCATCAGTGAGACCTAAGACGGCCTCACGGAGACGCTTTGTGTCGAGCTTTCCATTGGGAGTACGCGGGATACGTGAGACCGGTACATACATGTTAGGAATCATGTATCGAGGCAGGGAGCTCAGAAGACTGCTTTCCAGTTCACTGTGGTTCTGGATCAACTCTTCGCTGGCCGGGATGATTATTGACTCATCCTGAACCGTAGTGGACGAGGTGTAGTGCAAGAATGCAACCAGATGCAAGCCTTTGGAGCTCGTCTGGAGAGGCATGGCATCTAGAACCACGGCTACACTGGAACCGAGATAGGCTCGAATCTTGTGGCTGATCTCCTCGAGTTCGACTCTTCGGCCGTTAATCTTGCATTGGGTGTCCTTGCGGCCTGTTTGAAATTAGTCATAACCTAGAAAATTGAAAAGGTGTAGTACGCACCAACAATACTGAGGCTACCATCCATGTTGTAGCGGCAGATGTCTCCTGACTTATAGAAGCGTCGCTCCACCCCAGGCGTCATGTTCTGTGCCCACTTGGGGTTCCAGATGAAGGACTCGGCAGTCTTCTCAGGATTGCCAAGGTAACATCTCGCAAGTTGGGGGCCCTCCAGCAAAACCTCGCCAGCTGCTCCCAGGGGCACCAATTTGTTGTGGTCGTTCGAGTCCACAATCCAGGCCCGGCCACCATACGACGGGCCAATGTTGCGATGGTGGGAGCCGGTATGAAGCGGGGCACTGACAGACATGGTGATCGTTGTCTCAGCAGGGCCACATCCGATGACCATCTCAACTCCCGCTCCAACCCAGGTCTGCACGGTGCTGCGGCTCACAGGTTCTCCACCTGTGATGATAAACTTCAAGGACGGAACGTCTTCTGGGCGCAGCAGGCTCAGCACGGTATTCGTCATACTAACCCAATTGGCACCCAGGCGGCTCATGGCCCCTGCGATATCTTGCGTTCTCTCCTGCTCAGAAGGCATACAAACGCAGCCACCTCGCTGCAGAGTAACGAAGATGTCATGTGTGGAGATGTCGTAGGTGTAAGCAGCGAATTGGAAGACCCGCGAGTTGCTATCCATCTTCAGACGAGGCCCGAGAAGGTCGCTCATCGTCGACATGGAAGAATGCTCAATTGCGATGGTTTTAGGTCTGCCAGTGGTGCCAGAGGTGAGAATGATACATGCGAGGTTGTTTACCTGCAGTTCTGGACACGCGTCGCCACTCTTGGTTGGTAAGTTGTTGACGAAGTCAGGCTCGATAACAATCAGGTCCCTTATCTGCGGCATGTTGTGGAAAAGAACTGCGTTCTCTGGGCTGACGCAGACAATTGAGGATTCCAGTTCGGCTACTAGTTCCTGGAGACGATTCTGGGGGTTAGTCGGGTCAAGACCAACGAAAGCGCCTCCTGCCTTGGAGATGGCGAGCATTGTTATAGCTGCCCATGCCGACTTGTTGAAGCAGTATGGAACAACCGTTTCAGGAGCAACGCCCAATGTTCGCAGGTGGTGAGCAAGACGAGTCGCGGCATCGTTGAGCTCCTTGTATGTCCAAGACCCATCCCATGAGCAGATTGCCTCCTTGTGTGGTTGGGTGCGTGCATTCTCCTCAATGGATTCAAACATGAGCCTATCGGACACCGGGATAGGTTGCCCATTGCCGTTGAACTCGAGAAACTTGTTCAAGTGATCCTGATGGACAAGCTCTGATTCCTTGACTCGAAGTTCCGGGTGATCGACGATAGTACAAAGCGCCTTGTCGAAAGTGCTAGCGATGCTGCGTGCTTGTGCCGGTGTTAGGTGATCGGTCCAATGTTGCATTGCAGCCGTAAGACCGTTGCTCAAGATACCAATCTCCAGACTCAGGGGGTACTCGGTAGGGTCTTGAGTGGAAATACTGTTGATTTCAATGCTCGTTTCATCTTTTTCATCCTGGACGTTGGACTGAGTGTCCAGTAGGTCATATCTGTTGAAGGACAGAATGGTGTTGAACAGCGGGTCCCGTCCAACGCCGAGGGCATGTTGAATACTAGCCAGACCGCAGTGCTGCCGGGGCATGCTGTTCGCAAAATCCTCGGCAGCCCTCTGGAGGGCGTCAGAGAGGGTGACACCGTCATCAAGATCCAAGCGGCATACGAGCATGGTGAGGAAGGCACCAACGCCATCTTCAATTCCGGGCAATGGCGCATCCCTTCCAGACGAGAGGTAGCCGAAGCAGACATCTGGGGAGTCCGTGAATGTTCTCAGAACCATGCCCCAGGCGACTTGGAATAGATTCACAAGGGTAATATTGGATCGCTCGCAAAACTCCTTGAGAGTCGCCAGCGAGGGGGTAATTTCAATGTCGAAGCTCTGGATCTTGTTCTCCGCCTTAGCGAGCTCTTCGAGCTCCGCCAAATTAGGGATGAGGCACGGTGTCTGGCCCCCGAGATAATTCTTCCAGAACCCAAGGTCTTCTTCTGTGTCCCGACTTTGGATGTACCCAATGTAATCACTGTATGTGAAGCTGAGCTGCTCCGGTAGGGAACCATTGTAAGCTTGAACGAAGTCGCGAACAAGGTTGGCAATGGAGCCACCATCAATGATGGCGTGATTGATCTGCAATTGGCAGATGAGCCTATCGGCGGCCACGCGACATATAGTAAGTCGATGGGGTGGGCGCCGGTCGGTAAGGGCCACGGCTTTCTGTGCCGCAAAGACGTCGTAAACGTTCTCCTCGAGACATTCGGTCACGACCGTGTTGCTCTCGACAGCTTTCAAGACGACCTGATCGAAAAGGCCATCTTCTGACACGCTCTGGATGAACATGGTTCGAAGGGCCGAGTGACGTTGCACCACCTCCGACCAAGCATGCGCATAGCGCTCGGCATCAATGATGGGGTTCAAGCCTACGGCCTTCACTTCCATAACATGACAATACTCATAGAGAGACTGGTTTGCAAGATTTTGGCTCACCAGCAAACCTTGTTGCATAGGAGAGCAGGCGGAGACTTCTTCGATAACGTCAAAGTCTGACACACCAGCCTCAGGAAGTCGGTGCTTCAGGAGCGTGTCGAGGCCGCTGTAGTTGGTCGATAGATGTGGGAAATCTGCCAAAGTGAAGCTTCGTGGAACCGTGGTCATCTGTGCAATAAGACTATGAAGAGTCTGCTTCGTGCCGTCGATCCAGGCCTGAATGCGGTCCTGGAATTGCATCTGCTTGTTGTAGATAAAAGAGTATTGCATCTCACCATCGAGGATCTCAACGGTAATCTCCACCAGAGATAGTCTTTCCAGGTTTCTCCCCACGTCATCCGACTGCGCAAGGAACGATGGCCGTGGTTCCCTCCGCAAGATGGCGTCGGATCGCTCTAGGGTCTGGAACTGGCCAAGGTAATCGAATGAAATCTCGATCAAGTCGTGCTCGCGGAAGAGCTCAGCTGCGCGCTCGTTATGGAAGCGAGATGCGAAGTAAGCGCGGCCATTGTCTGGAATTGAGTGGCGAGCATCCTTGACGTTCTTCAGCATAGCCACCAAATCCTCGTTGGCGGCCACTGCCAGGGGATACATGGTGGTGAACCAGCCCACAGTGCCGGACACGTCCAAAGCCGAATCCCAAGGTTCACGTCCATGTCCTTCGCGAAATATCGCGGGCAACTGGCGGTCAGTGAATACCTGCCCAAACGAGTACAAGAGGCTGGTCAAGAGGAAGTCCAGAGTCTCGGTGCGTAGAGCCTTGTGAGGCAGATCGCCAAGCAGGGCGGCGGTCGACTCTGCATCAAGCCGGAACACCTGTTCCTTCGCTCGGGCAACAGTGTTGGGCTTGTCCTCCATATTCCAGTAAGCAAAGTCTGGCGAAGGGACCTCGAACGGGAGAGACTTCTCAGGGTGTGCGCGTTTGGCTTCGTGCTCCGCTTGGAGGTTTATCCAGTTCTGGAAAGGGAGCGGTGGTGTCCCAGCAAGAGTTCCGGTGGCGAGGAACTCCTCGAGATCGCGCAGAATGATTCTCCAGGATACCCAGTCGATAATGGCATGGTGAGCAACCATGAACAATAGCTGCTCGTCTCCGACCTCCAGTAAGTCGGCGGAAAAGACCGGCCCTGCAAGACCCAGAGTTCGCTGGGAAATGGTAGCAGCGGTGCTTGCCTCGTCAATAGACTCAAGGGAGTGGCATTTGAATCGGTAGGATCCATCAGCCCGCTGTAGCACCTTTTGAGTCCACGTGCCATCCTGGGCCCGCATGAAGCGTGCTCTGAGCATCGAGTGTCGAGTCACTACAGCATCCAACCCAGCTTTCAATACGGCCCGTGGTGTTTGGTTCGCAAGACGCAGGTAGAAGCTCTGGTTGAAGTGGACCTCGGTCATTTCCTCGTAATCCGGGCGTAATCTAGCCGCATACATGCATTGTACGGGCGACAACTGGAAAGGTTGATCAAAGACTTCTTCGGTAATCGAGGCGTTGCTGGACTGTGTCAACTGTACGGCAGTGCGGGCAAGCTCGGAAATATCCTTGCATCGCATGATGTCCTTGACCGTGATTGACAGTCCTACTGCTCTGCACTGTGACATGACCTGCATCGCGGCAATGCTGTCTCCTCCGAGGCCAAGGAACGATTTGTCGCGGGGGACGAGATCAACCGATATATTCAGGATACGGCCAAAAATATCGGTGAGCTTGGCTTCGATTGCAGCCACATCTCGGATCGTGTCATCGTCCTGTGTTCTCTTGCTTGTCTCTACCCCAATGGCGCGACGGTACATGTCCAAATCCATGTCAACGAGCCACCTCTGAACGCTCTTGCGGTCCAGCTTAGCCGATGTCAGGAGTGGCCAGGCTTCGACAGCGATCCAGACGGCAGGTACCATATACTCCGGTACACAGCCCGCAAGATGCGCCTGGACAGCGTTGAGTTGCTCTTTGCTGGTGGGGTTAATTAGCATCTCGATGGGCCTGCTGGTATCTCCTGGCTGAGCTTCCTCCGAGAGGCCGTTCAGGGAGGTAACGGCAACAAGCTTGTCCTTGCAGGGGCCATTTTTTGGCATGTACACAGCGACATGCTTCACGTGAGAGTGCCGACCGATGTTGTGTTCGATTTCGCCCAGTTCAATGCGTAGGCCACGCAGCTTGACCTGCGTGTCCTTGCGGCCGATGAAATGGATCGTCCCATCGGGGTTGAACTTGGCGAGGTCTCCCGTCTTGTAAAACCTGTTGAAATCGGCGGCGGGGCCCGAGCAGCCATTGAGCCATGCGGGATTGTCGATGAATACCTCTGCAGTCTTCTCTGCGTTGTTTAAGTATCCGCGGGCGAGGATAGGTCCAGAGATCAGAAGCTCGCCCACGGCCCCGATTGGGACTAGCTTGTCGTGATCGTCAGCCTGCACGACCCAGCCCAAGCCGCCAAGCGCTCGGCCAATGTCAGCGGGATCGCTGTTGACGTTGAGAACAGCCCCTGCTGCGGCAATGGAACACTCTGATGGGCCATATCCTGAAGTTCAGTCAGCTTTGCGATCCCTGGGACAAGCAAGACTAATGAGTCTTCTTTTTACATACCATTGATCAACTGGACGCGATCAGCCCACGTCTTGATGTCGGCTGCGTGCAGCAATTCTCCTCCCAGAATCAATGTCTTCAGAGTCGGAACCTCGTGTGGCTGGATGAGCTTTACGAGTGAAGGTGTGAGAAAGGCCCAAGTGATGCGGTAGTCGTTGACGATAGATGCAAGGCTCTGTGTCATGGCAGCGCTCGATGGCGTGCAGACACAAGCGCCAGATATCAGAGACGTCAGGATCTCCAACACGCTCACGTCAAAGCTGTACGAGGCCAGCTGCATAACACGGCTCTCTGGCCCAAGATTGGAACCAGCGGCATGCTGCAACGCACCAGAAAGAAAGGCATTATGTGTGATGAGACACCCTTTCGGTGTGCCCGTGGATCCGGAGGTGAAGATCACGTAAAGGAGACTAGTCGGGCTGACTCCAGTGCGCGGCACAGCGCCATACTCACGCTGACGTTTGACCAGGGTCTCGTCGACGATGATTGGACGGACTCCAATGGCCTCCCAGGATGACGCGTTACACGCATCGGTGAGGATGAAGTCAACGCTATCGTTAGTCTTGTTCAGTTGCCGCATAATCTCTTGCCGTCTGCTTGCCGGGTTGGCAGGGTCGATGAATACCATGGCACCGCCAGCTTTGATGACAGCCAACAAGGCATTGATAGCCCAGCGTGACTTATCAAAGCAGAGGGGGACTACAGACTCTGGCCCAACCCCTTGCAAGACGAGGTAGTGTGCAATGCGTGTAGAAGAGCGGTCCAGCTCCTCGTATGTGAAGGACCCGTCCCAGGCGTCAACGGCCAGCGCCGTGGGTCGCGCCATCACCTGTCGGTGAAAGAGCGTGTGGGCGCAGCTGTTGACAGTCTCTGGAGCCTGTACATTATTCCAGGCCCACATCTAACAGCAACGGGTTAGACACAATACAGTAGGGAGATAGATGCATGCAAGCTTACCTGTGCTGTGTCGTGCTCACTGACTAGATTGACCGAGTCAAGGGTGCTATCCGGACTCGACATGACCAAGTCTAGAATGTGAGTAAAAGCAGCGGAAAGTCCCTCGGCAGACTGTTGGTCCACTGCTTGTTGGTCGAAATGCACAGAGGAGTCGAGGTTCTCTGTGGATGTGTTGCACACAAGGCGTACGGGATGTGCGGATCTTGCAGCAGCTTCTGTGCTGTCCGCTGTGTTGTGCAGGAAGACTACCATGGTCCTCGAGAGAGGGGATTGCTGTGAGTGTTGAGGAGTGGGAATGCTACTTACCTGTCTCCTCATGCAACTTTGCATGTTCTGCATGGTTGTTGTGAAGTTCGTCGTCGAACTGAGTGTGGTCTTGCATTGGCTTATGCTTTGAGCATTGCTCTCAATGCTCATGCTTGGAAAGAATACATCGTCTTCTCCTAAGTATGACCACAATGCGATAGCCCAAGCTGCGTTCACCACAGCCTCGAAACTGTAGCCGATTTCGCGGCATTGTCTGTCGACTGTGCTGAAGCGCCTTGTGGAAGACGAAGTGCAAGCTGTGTAGGACATCTTGAGTGGGGCCTAGCTGCTATCTCCGTTGATGTGTGATGTGTGATGTGTGATGTGTCGTGTGGATGAGGATTTAAGTTAGTTGTTCGTGGAAGTATGTGAACAAAGTGTTGCAAGTCGTGTGGGCGTAGGATGAAACGGAGCAGGTCAGTTTGCCTTGAGTGGGAGTGCAGCTCTGGGAGAATCGATGTGGGTTGAGTTTCATGACACTCGATATATGTTGTTTATACATGAGGACTATACTAGTGGCTGCAAACTCACTGCTTAGCTTGTGTAATCAGATACTCAGAGATACGAGGCTGATCCTCTGGAGCTGCTTAGCCTCAGTGATCCTATTCCGGGCTCTCAGCGCTAGAGAAACGCCGACGCCTGGCGCAGCGCGCTCCGTACCCAGTGGTCCAGTGATCCAGTGGTCCAGTGCTCCAGTGTGCGGCTGGTTTGGGGGCCTGGGGGCCCCGGCCTGGCGCTGGCGATTGTTACCATTCGGGGCCGTCCTTGCCACGTGCGAAGGGCCACAGCACTGGGATACAACCCACAGCGGTGGGATGTGCTAAGATCACCGGCAGGCATAGGAGCTTGTCTGATTGGTGGTCACGTACAGCTCGTTCCTTCGGGCTTGCTCCTTCGGGCAACCGTGCCAAGCATTGCGGATCTTTTACTTACTGATTTAAGACCCTTTCCACCCCAAAGGGGCTCAGCAATGAGATCGATTTGTGGGTCATTGGCCAATCGTCAGCTGTCCCGGGCGCCAAGATTCTATTTTTTGGGTTTTCCTTACGCAAAGTCGCGTGGCCGCCACACAGTCTCACCAGCAGGCACAGCCCGTGGCTGCTTGTAAACAAAACTCGATTACATGAGCCTAGTATGCGGCACCGCATCAGAGTCTTCTTGGCCGGTGCCGTGCAAGGCCCTTTTCACAGAGGCACAAGCGCCAAGTGCCTCAGATCCCCACCGTGGCGCCTTGAGCAGGTCTGAAACTACATAGATTTGTGTGTCAGGATTTCTTCGCAGGAACAGCACAGCCATGCAACTCAGATGGACTCTGGGTCAGCTAGCGGCGAGTGCTCTCAGCATCTAGTTAGCCCGGGTTTCTATACATATCTTTGAATGTAGTGGGATCTTCAATAGCCTATACATTAAAGTCGTCGCCGATGCCAGTCGAGTCACTATACCTTCTGCATATCAACAAGTATTGACGCTCGGTACATTTACCTTGATGCAAGCTACCACTTATATTCCCTTGAACTTCGAATCACTTGCTCTCGTCTACGCTGTAGCGATATCAACACATATCCTCACATCAAAGATGGACAGCCCACGTGCAAGCAGCCCCACAAAGTGCGGGCGTCCACCCAACTCAGCCTATATCAAATTGATGAAGCAAGGCGAGGATTGGAGAAATGTGGCCGACGCTGCGGAGCGAAGAAAGCTTCAGAACCGCCTGGCTCAGCGAGCGTACCGTAAGTCTCATCCTACTAGATCTTGGGTATCAGAATCGTTGCTAACGTTGCTCATAGGTCGCAGCCTCCGTGACAAGAGCAAGGAGGTGGAGGCCTTAAGGAGGCAACTGTCCAAACTTCAGGACAATGGTGGCCGTCAAACCGCTGGTGTATGCAAGAGAAGCTCTAGCAGCAGTGGAAAACTAAAGGCGCAGTCGAGAAGCCCAGAACTTAGTGCATCAAGTCCCAACAACTGCAGCTCAAGCATCTCTTCGGTTTCACCCAGGCCATTGTCCCCTGGTAAAATCGGACAATATCCCCAGCATGGCTCTTCAAGCGAGTCGCCGGATTTGGACGATATGAACATGGTAGACGATGTCAATTTCCTGTGGTTTGATACCACGGGGACATCCAGCGGCTCAGAGTCCTGTTCGGCCACGCATTTATCATCGGTTAACTCGGAGCCATCGGATGTATCTGAGGACGAAAGCAGTCTTATGAGCGGCTATGATGTGCTTGGTATTTCATCAGACGCCACGCTCTTGGAACAACAAAACTCGGGATCCATTCCACCCATGTTTCCAATGGAGTTCAACTTTGAAGGTGGAGATGCCTACCACACATTCTTTAAGGATGAAAATGTTTACCACCCGGTCTTTTTCCAGGAGGTAGTCTCGGACCCGTCGCATCTAGGCCTTGACAATATCATGGGTGGGGACGGTCTGAACCGTGTGTCACCATCATTGCCGCCAGAGCCTGATTTCGCATCACTGTGGCATGGCTTACCGGAAGAGACCCCAGCGAGTTCAGCCATCTACCGCTTCGAGACCAAATCGACGACGAACTCGCCGCGACGAGTTCCTGGAGCTGACGCGTCGCTACTTCATCTTGCGGTTGCTGGGGGGAACATCGAAACTGTGAGGCTAATCCTCAAGCAATCGCCCTCCATGATGCAAATTCAAGATAAACAAGGGTACACCCCTATCCAGCTTGCAGCGGTATCAGGACAAACTGAGATTCTAGCTTTACTGCTTCAACCTGAATCAAGCAGTTTATGAAAAGGGGATAGCCATGTAATTTAGTCAAAAGTCGAGCATTGAAAGGGAGCTACGGTGGATCTCCACATTTTGATGGGTTGGGACTAGAAATGAGAGCCAATTTGATACCCTTTATTTTCGCGTTCAAAATGCGCTACTATTCTGTGATGAATGCATTTTAATTGCGATGCATTTGAACTGCAACATGATACCGCAACATCCTATACACAGGAATAACTAGTTCCAAGGGACGTTTCATTCCCCAGCACAACTCTGGACCATGATTGACGCGGCGCGAAAGTACCATGTCCTTTGGGTGACCACTGGTTAACCTCTAGGATTGAAGCCGAACCCCTGTCAGGCGAAATCTCGAGGAAAATTAGGGCAAATTACGTTGGAATTCTTTCATTTAGCGAAGCCTGGTTTGTTGGATACCGACCCCACTTACAAGATTAATCTGGATCATACTTGCCGAAGGCCGAGCTCGTCGTGGCTCAGCTCTGAGCTGAACTTCTCACCAGCGACAGCAAATTAGTGCGCGACCCCACCTCAAGCTCACATAGGCCACGATCTTCACTCAGTACTAAGACCATTCTAGGCTGGCCTGTAAGATGAAGAGGCTCAGTTGCACCAGTGCTTGGTCTCAACTACGCCCTAACTCGTTCGCGTCAACCAATCCACTATATTGAAGATAAAATTAAATCGGTACCGCCTCTACACTAAGATCCCCATGATCTGATCTGTCACGACTGCTACCCTAGTATTTCTTAGTGAGCACCTAACTTTAGACGTCACGGCAGCTAAGGGCCGTCCCAGCGCCAGCGTCTGGGACAATCTCTAAATTCTTAGCCCAACCACATACCTACCTATGTAGGTACCTATGTACATAAATAGCTCGTTAAGGTGGAGAAATATTATGAAGCAACTGGTCAAATTAATAAAGACCTACTTGTAGCTTAGATCCATCTCGTATAGACTTGCAGCGCCTACTTACATTCCTGCATTCCTGCTCATAGATGAAACATACAAGAGTCGTACCCTGGTCTTTCCATGAGACACATACAAATCCTACGTTGACTAATTCACTTTTCAACGGGCCGGTGCATGCCGCCGCTCCTGTGGGGCGAAGGTTTATTTTTAGTGACGGCCCGTTGAAAATCTAGGCTGAGGAACCAAGCCTAAATCCTTCCGTGACGAGGTAATGAGCACTAGTGAAGCGGAATCCAGCGCTGGTAACTAGTCACATTGGCCTCAACATAACCAACCTATCACGGCGAAAATTGTCGCTGATCAGGATTTCAGAGCTTCCAGATCCGCCATGCTCAAGGAGCTCTTGTGGGGCTTGACGGCCGACTAGCACAAACCGCATCCTATCTGTCTGGCGCCAGATTCAGAAGCTGAATCCTGCTTAGTGGCGTCAACCCGCAGCGATTCTTGGAGGAGTTTCGAGGCTGATCATCTATTGAGCTAAAATTTCCTCTGGCGGTAAGCTTGCGGCGCGTCAACAGCAGCATTCTCGCATGATTCAGTCTCAGTGTTTACGCCCATCGTGTTGTGTGATTAGCTTTGGGATAGACTTGTACGTTCTAAGCTAAGCCGCCATCACGATGCGATCGCCTGCGCAAGATCTGTGTACTTCTGCTCGTGACTATATTGTGATTTTAATTTCCTTGACTTGCGTTCTTAGCCTTCTTCAAGGCACCATCTATCATGTCCTTCGTCTCTGCGTCAGAATCGCTGCAACTTGTCCCAGCTGTTTCCAACGCGCGCACCCAGGTATCCCACCGTTCCTGGTTGAACCCCTTCCAGGCCTTCTCTTGATATTGTGAACCTGGACTGGACATGAACTCTCCTCCCGCTTCGATCTCCTTCAGTGCACATGCCCACACTGCATCAGCAGCATAGATGAACCATAAGCAGGCGACGTGGAAGGTGGTTGTGCCGACAAGTTCGTGTGGTGCGATATCAGCCTCAAAAGCAGCCCGCAGAGACCATATTGCCATATGTGCCCAGTGAATTGGATTGTCGTCATATTCGGGTACAGGAGGTGCAAGTTGGGTAAGCTGCGCGGTAAATGCCATTAGATTTGCCCAGCGACGCTTGATATCACTTGGCAATCCGACGTCGTCTGAATCTAAGGCGAAAGGAATGAGTTAGTGTTGCAATGTCAAGCACGTGTGGTAGGAAACATACATGTCTTAATGTTCCAGGCGCCACCATTTTCCTCAGCAGATATACGGTCTCTCCATTCCGTATTGGCGCTGCGCAGGAGAGAGACATTCTCAGCCCACACCGCCTTCCCATCCTGTGTCAGCGGCTCGCCTGACTCTGGATCAATTTCTGTTCGTCTATAGAGCTGAGAGGCGAACTCGACGAGTCTACGCTGATCGGATGGTGGGGTTCGACAAGCGAGCTCGACAAGCACGTCTGCGACGGAATCCGGTATGGCACCAGCGAGCATTGGCTTTCCCTCGTTTCTGACTTGGGAGCCGTTGACCTCCAGAAGAGACTTGCCCCTGTTCTTTGCCACCTCTGCCATGACCAGACCGTGGATTTCTTGGAGACCATTTTCTGAACTATAGGCCTCCGCGGGCTGTTCTGTGAGCTTGCGGAGAGTCTTGAAGACTTCCGAGCTCTCGAAAACCTCCCACGAAAAGGCACTCATGATGGGAAGATGTGTGCCGAAATTGGTGCAATGCTGGACTGCTGGAAACTCGGTCAAGGGTTTCGCAATCGTACAGCTGGATGAAATTTGAAATTATGATCCTATTGCGCGCCACGGACCGGGGTAGACAATATTTAAGCGCTCCTTTCTCTGTAGAGGCTTCGTTGTGGGGATGCCATGACGTCGCGCAGCGCGCTCTGTCGGTCCCGAATAGTATGACGCGATAATACAAAGCAATTGGCTGCGGCCTGGCGACAACTGCAGGGCTGATCCTCTGTAGGGATCCCGTCTGGAAGATGCTCTGGCGTGTCAATCCACTCAATTGAACCATAGAGGCGTTTGGGGCCGCAGTTCAGGGTCATGGGCCTTTCTGCCGCGTCTTTGCGCGTTTGTGGGCAGTGTTTACTTGCTGATGAGCGCCTAGTACTACTACTACGAAGGAGCCTCTAACGCCATTCACTGTGAATGGACCCTGCAGGTGATGAGTGTGGTTCCTATTTTAAGCATTCCTCGGGGCACACTGCGCGCAGATCAACGTTTACTATTTCCACGCTATAGACGATATGTGCGTTTCGTAACTGCGTAGTTTCGCAGGAAGCTTTCAACAATCGACCAAATGTCCTCCTTTGCTGAATTATCTGTCATCGATCCACCAAATCCTTACAAACGAGCGACTGCTTCTATTCTGAGTTGTGTCGCAGCCTGCTCTACAGGGGAAACAGGGCGGAGCTTACAGCTCATCCCTTGGATTGTGTCAGGAATCGTCAGGTTCTATCGAGGTGGTTATTGTGGTGGTTTGAGTATATAATTATCTTCTTCTACTTGCCCTTTCTCAAACACCATCTCTCAACAATCACAGCCTTGTAATCCAATCACCAGCAAACCCTGTTCTTCACAGCTTCAGCTACCATTCCACTACTTAACTTGGTCTATTCGACTTATCTCCTCGCTTTCCAACATAGTCAAAGCCACTCATTTTCAATTTCAACAAAATGTTGTTCGATCTTAAGACCACTGTTCTGTTCGGCCTTCTGGCCCTGGCTCAAGCTAGCCCCGTCTCTGTTCCTGGCACTGCCGAAATTGAAACTCGTGCAAAGAGCAAGAAGGTTCAGGATTACATGTGTGGCACTGTCACTTTGCAGAAGAACGACATCGGGGCTGCACTTGTGAAGGGCAGAGCCTCCGCAGACAGGACCGAGGGCAACAATGGCCTCCGAAACAAGTTCCCTCACTATTTTGGCAACCAGCCTGCCATCTTTGGAGCTACTGCTGAGCTCAGAGAGTACCCGATTATTGAGGGTGGAACATTCCAAGGTAAGCCTTTCAGAGGTTGTACCGATGAATATCCGTCAAATTTCGAAGAAGCTAATAGATCGTTTCGCAACAGGTCAAATGTGGCCTGGCACTTACCGTGTGGTTTACAAGAAAGATGGTCAGCAGGACTTCGTTGGAGTCATGGTCGAGGGTAACGGAGGTACCTTTACCATTTGCGCTCCCGCCCCGACTGCTCCGGAGGCACCGCCTGCCCCTCCTGCCCCTCCTGCCAAGGCTTAGGAGGTCACTATGTTGTTCATCGCCTGCAGACGCGGTTTCTTGAAGCATTTTGGGTAGTGGGAACAAGGCGTTTGCATTTTAGCATGTAGTGTAGGCCTCCACAAATTAGGGTTGTTAGTGGCAATTATATCGTCGAGTTATATATAAAAATACAGCATTCACTATCATCTTTCTGTCCTACACGCCTCACCCACTTTGATTTTGGTGCTATGCGGGAATCTCGGTATTTCCGGGCCCATAAAGTTTGGAACATAGTCTTTAGACTTTGGATGTCAATGACTCTTTCCGTGTTACTATGTATATTTTTAAGATCAATTGGTTCTTAAGTAAACTTGGGTATTGATCCACGTCTTTTCAAGCATGACCCTTCATCACACTAACTTACAAGTGCGCACGGAAACAACCAGAAGATTATTTTGGTGAATATTTTTGATGATGACAGAGAGAAATATATGACGTCACCTGAATAAGTAAGCTGAGACATCGATGACGGGCACTAGAAGAATACGTTTAATGCAGTGCATCTGCTAGCCACCTGGCAAATACCACATGACGCGGTTTATTAATGAAATTCATAACATCTGATGTAATCAACGCCTTTGCTAATGATGAATGAACCCAAAGATACTGATCAAGATGTGAAATGGTACATGCATTGCAAGGTATAACTAGTTCATGAAGACTTCAGTGCTGGAAATCCTGTGACTGTCCAACACCATCGTTCCTCATCAATACTCTTCCCTCGCTGTATGCTATCTACTGTGACCGCCAACTGGATCAAATTCCACCTCTTGTGATCGGAACCAAACTCAAATTTCTCATTGGTCGACATCCGTGTAAGAGAGCGGATAGGAACTGCCGCGGCCGCTGTGCCGCATGCAATCACCTCGTCCAGGTTCCCTAATGAGGAAAAGGGGAGCTGAAAGACAAGCAATTAGTGGAATTCAAGGGTGTAGTTCTTGGAGGTCTCATCTTACTTGGGCCTGTTCAACCATCCAGCCTTGACGCCTGGCAATTGTTGCGAGGGCGTCACTCGTCGCACTTTCGATAGCGCTATCAGAAGCGGGTATGACCAGCACATGTTGGCCATCTACCGTCATTTTGTGGCCTAAAAACCCACTTGTCGAGAATTCTTCCACAAGGGAATGTGTTGCGCTGTCAAGGTGAAGCATGATGCCAAAGCCAAGCTTCATTGCCTTTGCAGCGTGTCTCCAAACCTAGGGAGTAGATTAGCATGTAGAACCGGCCGCCAGAACTCAAGTGACGATACTTACTGGTGCATAGTTTCCACCAACTTTGAAGCTGCCCATACCTCGTGGTGCAGATCTGTCGAACTCTTCGCAAACAATGCCAGAAACTGCTCCAACTCCGTGGTGTGGGTTTGCCGGCTGCACGTAGACTGCGAAGATAGCTTCATCACACGGACCCCATAGGCCAGTTGATGCACCGAAAAGGACCGGCCGGATATAGAGGAAGGAAGAGCTATCGGCTGGGGGAACATATTCGGCATTCTGGGCAACGGCCTGCCGAATGCACTCGAGGAACAACTCTTCGGAAGGAGGTGGGAGACATATGGACATAGCCGAGCGGGTCATGCGCGCGGCGTGGAACGCAGGACGAAAGACGTGGATTTCCTCCTGCTTGGTTTCTGCCGAAGCCGTCCGGAACGCTTTCAAGCCCTCATAGCACTGCTGTCCATAGTTAAGCCCGGGGCTGAGGCCGGAGACGGAGATGTTGGTTCCTTCGACTAGAGTTGGGGTGTCCCATTTCCCCGTCGATGCGCGGAAGCGCACTTCAATATGGCCATTGAGAGGAAGATATTGGCCGGATACGTTTGTCCAGTCTGTGAATGGGAACCACGTTAGTGTCTTGTTGGGTGCGACAGTGCCGAAATATCAATCAAGTACGGCGAAGGATATGTAACTACTTACCGATTCCCTCTTTGGGGCTTGGTGGTGTTATCTGGGTGATAGGGGCCATTATCAAACTGCTTAAAAACTAATAACTATGATTGAAGACTACTTCAGAAGATATATATCAAAATGGTATTATGCGAAGTCTAGAGCGGGTCGTACGTAGCCAATGTAACGAGCTGCATTCCGATTCATATAATCGCCAGGTTGGTGGATTCTCTGAGTCAGTGAATACAAGTGTTAGTATGTTTATCTCTGCATTGCGCCGTATAAATCGCGGGTTGCATTGTTATGTATAATTTCTAACCATATTGGGAATAGCTGTAAGCAGACTAACTCTATTTAAGTTGAATTACTATAAATACATGGAACTAGACATGCCAAGGCTATGGTGGTGGGGTTCTGCTGAGCTTATTACTACACTCAGAAAATCATCAAGGTGCCACCGATGTCACACCGTGAATTACTCAGAGGAAGTATGTGATCATACGTTTCTTGGCTGACGTTCCGCTGATCAACGTTCTCTTCCGGTATTGATTGTGAACGGGATTGTGAATAATTGAGCATTTGGAAGTATTAAGCTACGTATTGCACAATTTATTGCATTATTGTGGAACTAGTAAAGTTCATCAGTAATGAATGGGAGAATGCGGGGCAACACCATTCTAAATGTTTCTCCTTCGTCAGTCGCACTAGGTCTTGATCCCAGTAATTTCAATCGTAACTTCTTTGTGACTTCGAACTGAACTATGTCAAGGCAATGGCCTTGAACTCGTCTCAACGTGCGTATACCTAGATGGCGACGCGCAATCCAGACTTCAATCATGGTAAATGCAAGAAGGATTTGAATTGAGCAACTATAGAGAAGGATGCAGAGGGTATCCAGATGTGTGTTTAAGGAAAGAATACTCAAAACTATATCCGTGTGGCGTCGCTATATCGACAATTCCCATGTAGCTCCCGTCTAGAAAATGCCAATAAGAAAAGATGATTATGTTACAATGAAACACCGTGACTTCTTATGATAAAACACGCCTTGAAAATTGCAACCACGGGCCTTTCTTTTGCCCTGCAATGTGATCATACAGCTGATATTCGTTCTCTCGATGCCTGCCGTACACGGCCGACTTGTTACCGCCACGTCCGACGTTGCCAAGCTCTCCATCTGCAAACTTGAAGTCCCCGCGGAACAGTAAGTTGGCGATGACGAGCGTGATCTCAGTGTACGCGAGGCCTTTGCCGAGACAACTTCGGATGCCGGCCGAAAACGGAATGAAGCTGGCTCGTGCAGCAGCATTGCCCTCAAGCCACCTCTCAGGTTTGTAGACAAAAGGTTCAGGGTAAGTCTGTGAACTGTGGTGGATCGCGTAGGTGCCCACCCCGACTTCACAACCAACGGGCACCGGCTGTCCACTGACCAGGGTACCCTCTGTCATGACTTCGCGAACCAGTGCAGTTCCAACAGGGGGTGACATTCTCAAAGCCTCGTCAATGCAAGCCCGCAGATAGGTGCATGAGGCTAGGTTCGACCCTGTGATATCGTCCTGAGATGATACACAGGAGCGCACCTCTTGAGCAGCCTTTTGATACGCTTGTGGATTGTCGGAGAGATAAAACAGAACCGATGAAATGCAGCAGGATGTGGTGTCAGAGCCGGCCACGATAAGGGTTGTGCTCTCACTAGCCATCTCTTCCTTGCGCAAACCAGCTCCGGTCTGAGGGTCGCGGGCTTCTTGCAGTCGGCTATAGATGTCTCGCGATTTGGTTGAGTAGCTTAGTTGAGACGTGGCATGCGACTTCTCGAAGATGCCGCATACATTTCCGTTGGAGAGCTCCATCCGATCCCGAAGTAGGCGGAATACGAACTTGAGGAAGCGGTTGCGCGCAAATATGGCCTCTTGAAACAGATGCTTGTCGAGTCTGAGCCATGACAGACTTGGGAACTGCACCAGAGCCGATATGCGGACGTTGGACTTTTCCATCATCTCAGTTACATAGCGAAAGCGGTCGTCGCCAAGGAGATTGTACTGAGCGCCAAAGACGATGTCGGCCATCATATCAAAGGAGAGATAATTGCACCATTTAGCCATGTTTCGGGGCTCACTCCATGCTCCAGAACCATTGGTAGCCGTGCCGTCGAACACGGCGCCACAGAATTTCTCAATGTGCGTAGCGATGCGGGTTTCGTACTCACGTTGCGCCTGAGCTGAAACGCCCTGCGCCAAGATGCGGCGACGAACGAGATGGTCTTTCCCACCGCGATGGGTAAAGGTATTGGCCGCTTGATGCATCATTACCTCGTAGTGCTTGCTCTTTAAGAACTTGGTAGACGTTCTCCGGCCGTAGATATCCTGCAGGCCTTCGGCTGTGTTGACGAGCAGTTGGTTTGGCCCATAGCGAACGTAGTCTCCTATTGGCTAGTCAGCTCTTCTTGTTCGCCTCTTCATATATGATGCAAGCTGCATCACGCAGTGGTTTTCGCACCGTATTTCTCATGGCATCTCCATATGTCGATATGGATATCACCCTTCCATGCATAGTATGACGCTCGCGCGAATGTGAATTTCGAGAGAAAAGGCCCTGGGTATTTAGCCAAGGGGTGCAAAAAAGCCAGATATATCAGGCGTGCAGCCAGCTACGGTTGTGCCCCGGATTAGCTACTGTAATATTGAGCAACGATGTTCGTTGAGAAACTTACATAGATGGCTACCGCGCCAGCGGCTATGGGAATCCCCACGTGCATGGTGTAATGGCAGAAATGTTCCGTTATACGCCAAGAGAGAGTATGCTGTAAGGTTGCTATTACTCGGGCAGTCACGTCGCACTGAGAGTGAAGGGATAGCCAAGGTAAAGTGTGCGGGAAGAACAAATTTATTACGGGTGAACTCGTATTACTCTAGCAAGCTATTTTCAGCGCAAGGTCACGAAAGCGTGCCTGTTATGTGATCACGTGTGACTTTGGTAAAGCTGTTCAAAGAACAGTAATAGAGTGAGTCTCAGAAGCGCCATAATGATCCAGCTGTGCTGAGCTGTGCTGGTTGCCAAACGCTGAGAGTTGTAGTATAGCTTTACTAAGATAATTGATCGTCGAGGCTGTACCCAAATCCTGATGTGTCCGGGTTTCGCCTACGCCCAGCCGGGTCTCACCGGAGATAAGAAGTGTTCTCCACAAAAGGTCATGGACACCAAGAGCTAACCAACCTAGGCTAGCCCATAGTCTATTTATAAACCCGCTGGGGCTGGAATCTGAGGCAGCCTTGCCAATCGATCTTGCCGGCTTGCTTGAGTACGAAGTAAATCCTAATAGAATCGCTGGCCGAATAGTTACATCATGCAAAATATCTACCAAGGTTTGAGATTATAGAAGATGTATATTTCATATTTGATACCTTTCGCTGGCGATTGTCAAAATAGCAGGTGGCGGCTGCTGTCTAATAGATGTGGAGATCTGATACTACTCTCAAAATGCCGTGGTGAACAGCCAACAGAGCATCCCGGAAAAGCTATCATTCCCTTTCAATGTACAATCTAGCTTCTCCTATTCTGACAACTCGCGCCGATAACTTATCGGTGACATCTACGACAAGAGGCAGGCTGGGCCATCAATACACTGTGATCAGGAACCTGCGCCAAGAGTGCAAAACAGGTGACAGTTTATTTGAGTATAACTCGTACCAACTCAATTGGATCTTATCAAGCCTCACGTATTTGGGCCATGTCAAAAGGGTTTCGCGTTATTGCACTCTGGTACTCGGCGATGAACTCCAACTTGAATAAACGCTCTCATTCTGCGAGATCATAAACGAAAATTGCATAAAACATTCTAGAAACTCATAACTATGCGCCAATCTTTGATTCCTTGAGCTCTCCGCTCAGCACGCTACTGAAAAATTCCAATCCTAATAGGATACACTGCCCAACCCCAAAATAATGGTCATGGTAATGACGTAGATATCGTCTCATCGTGTTTAGTAGACAGCCATGCCAGGCATGGACTCCTTGGACTCCTTGTGTGACATGCGAGTTCTGTTAGACAGTGCTCTCGCCGGGTCCAGCACCAAGAAGATGGAGACAGCAATCACCATCAGTGTACCGTCCAGACCGATGAAGTATCCCTCCCGCAGCATCAGATATCCGGTCCAACCCTCGCACAGCTCCACGGTTCGGAAGATGCTTCGGATGTAAATGGCAATGAAAGAGATGTACAATGCAACCAGAATACTCGTGTACTCCGCAGGCCTGCCGAGGCGCGACGATCGGATGGTGAAATCCACCGTCAGCCCGGCGAAGATGGTCATCGAGATGAGCTGGAACACAACACCAGCGATCATGATCCTGGTGCCGGGCCAGGGGTCCTCCTTATTGCTAGACGCACTCGAGGCCATGGCTCCACCGACAGCCTACAATGCGCAAGATCAGACCGTCGGTCGCTAATGTGCAGCATGGGCAAACTCACCTGAATGACAAGGGACACAATATCGCACGTCAAGAAGACGATGGTATACATGCGGGCCGACAGAAGACTGTATTGACGGCCCAGGTTGTTGATAAAAATACCCAACAGGACGTACAGAGCGGCGGTCACGAAAACGGGAGCGATGATGAGGGTGGTGATTTGCATCAGGTAAGCGTTGGCGTTATACGGGCACTCGGAGGACCAAGTACGGCCTGCCCAGCCAATGAGCTCGGCTGAAAGAGGAGAACATTAGCTTTCGTGCGCCAGAAGCAGCAAATGAACAGTCAACAGGTAATACTCACTCAATGCTCCAATCGTGAGAAGAATAGATGTCCATCGTCTCAGACGGATGCTTTGGAATCCATGGCCAAAAAAGGCGATGCCGAACAGAGCACAGAATGTGATGCCCGCGGCCAAACTAGGCTTGTACCCGTACGAATAAGGAAACCCTGGAATCGGGTCCTTGTGGCAATTGTTCGGGTTCCGGAGGGGCTCCGGCAGCCATGATAGATCGACCATTGTGATAGTAGTCGAGCGCGTCGAAAAAAGCGTGCACAAATGCGAATCTGATCGAACCAGACCTTGGGTGTTCTACTTGTGTATAATACCAATAATGGGACAGGAAAGTTCGAATCCGATGCTCTTCGAAATCGATCTCGGAATAGGAAATATGTTCCACGCAGCGTTGCCTTTGCAGATGATACAAGGTGAATACGAATTGTAAGCGAAAAAGATCCTTCAGGGCAGGCTTCATATATACGGTAAGGCCAAGACAGGAACATGGCGAACGTGTCATCGCTCTCGTGGGATCGTGGCTTCGAGGCAGTAAGCAAATAGTAATAAGAGGGTATGCGAACCGGCCAATCACATCCCCAGGCCCCAGACCGCAGGATCAGGGCTCTTTGCTGAAACAGCCCAAACCCCTAAACCCCCAGCGGCGTCCATCTCGCTTTAGACCCACTTATCGGGGGGGACCAGATCAGATAGCACATAGCTAAAATAGCACCTGCACTGAGCCTCCAAGCGCTAACTTGTAACGTGCAGGGCTCGCTCCACCGCCGACTGGCACAGCCCGGCCACACTGTAAGCTACAGTACTATGGTATTAGCCAGAGAGCGTGGGAGCTGAAATACTTGTGCCGTAAAGGAAGCACCGTCAGATCCAACACATCTCTGGCGTGAGACATGATGCAGCAATATGCATGAGCCACGCGATTCCAGCAATTAGTCCGCGGCAATTGACACAACCAAGCAATCCCATAGCTCGGCAATGATGCGTCGCTGGCACAACGGCCCAAGTAATTTCAGCGCGCTTTGGGGGGCGATACTTCAGGGCTCTTGAGTTACCTGAGAGATGCAGTAGTTATTGGTGCATCACAAATCGCATACCATTACTTCCAATCAGGTTCTACATCTTGCAGGTGCATTTCATGGAAGCATAGCCCAATTCGATCTGGCAATATCGAGATAGGGCATTTCAATACCCGTAGTAATCCAAGCTCCAGGTGGGCTGGCAGATCAGTAGCGACTGTCTGTAAACTCTAGCACTAGTTACAGCTTTGCTGCCCATCCCTACGAGTGGCGCAGCTCGGGAGCGAAACGAGATGACCGCTTGCTATCCAGGCAGCAGAGGGAAGATTTCCCGAAAAGCATAGAGACCGAGAAAAAAAGCAGGCAGTCCATTTGCAAAGAGATTTTCACGCAAGATAGACCCGCCGTCGCATTCTAGGTCATTGTGTGACCTGTGTCTGGGGCTTTCCCTACTGGCTCGCCGATCGCAACGAGAAGCAACTGAATAAGCCGCTTGCTAGCTTTCTCATGACTGATCTCAATCCGGTGCACACTCCATCTCAGCACTGTGTATGCAAGTGCGGCGCATTGTAGCGTAGCATGTCATTCAAGTCCTCTATTTCGACAGTAGAATCTGACGATGTAACTTCTTCTGAACCACTTGACAAATGAGGCCAGCATTAACAAAGCCGCTTACGCCAGGAACATACCATTGCCTTCTTTGTCACTCATTTCCAAGGTTGAAGAATAGCTATGCATTGGAGAAGAAGGCACGCCTGAAGCAGATCGAAAGGGCATGCAGCTACATGAGGTTACAAGTCATTTGCCAATCAGAGGCCAGGGCCAGGCTCTGTCCACGATGAGACGCATCCATTAGCGCCAGGCCTGGTACATTTGCTATTCAACTCAAACTTGAATTGATTAAACTCACATGAGAAATGCTAGAACATTGTACTTCGCTCGCAAAATGCATATCCCAAGGATGTTTGGTCTTCGGAATTGTATCTGCAACTCCCGTGAGTAGGCTCAATGCCTCAAGCAACCAGAATCAAGCACATCTATTAGAGCATTTGCCCGCTGGGCCATTGATTTCACATTAATTATCAAGGTTTAGATCTTCCCGTCGTATATTGACTTGAACAAGAATCTCACGATATATTGTGAAGAAATACTCCTAAATAAACGCCATAGAAACCAGCCCGAAATTTTCCCCAATACTCCAACCCACCACAATAACGCAGTCATCATGCTACAATTCAATCAAACTGTATCCGTCCACATTCCACCAAGAACCTAGATATGATAGGAGAAAGCGTATTGCCTTCCGTTGGCTAACGGTGATCCGAAATCTCCTAAGCTTCGAAGGCGACGAAGCCGTCGGACTCAACGGCAGCGCTGCGGGCGGCCGGGGGAGCAGGAGGCGCGGGAGGGGCAGTTGGTGGAGGAGCACCACGGATGTACTCCTTGTGTGAAGCATCACTGGGGTCTAGTCGGATGACATACTGAGTCTGAGGACCGATGTAAGGCCATTCGCAGTCTGCCCAAACGGAGTCGAAGTTGGCTCCATTACCGGTGCCGGTAGGCATCATGACATAGGCCGTGCCCGTAGTCAGCTGGGCCAGCGCGGTCGAGCAGGCGCACCAGAAGTCCTTTTCCAAGTTAATGTCCATAATGTACTGGTCTGCCCAGCTCTGGCTCTTCCACATCTGCGAGATTCTCTTGTAGCCTTTCAAGTAGTCACGCTCCCTGACGGCCTTGATAGCATCTTTGGAGGTACCGCCAGTCCAGAACAGGGTCTTCCCTGCGGGAACGTTGAGTTGCGCCTGGCACTCAGCGGCAGTGGGTGCCCTATCAGGAGCCCTAGCCGTGATTGGGTTTGCTGCCACAAGCGTACTAGTGCTCAGGAGCACGGTAGCCAGGGTTCCAAAGAGGGATGAGAAATGCATTTTGATGCTGATGAATTTGTGGCTCTTTGCTGTGGGGAGAATGTCACTGAAGACTTGAGAATGGCTAGAAAGGCGAGGATGTAGATCAGGGTGTGTTGATGAGGATGCTGGTGAAGATGTTGTGAGTACGTAGTCTTGCAATTCACCAGATTATATACTATTCTCCATGATCTATGGTTCTGCGCATGTCGCTCGATTGGGACGACTGAGCAATGTGAACGCACGAGAATTCGCGTATCAACCGATATCCTTACTACATCAACCTTGAGAAAAGGCTGAACCATCAGCGACCCGTAATTGGGGTGCACCTCCTCCAGACCTTGCCTGTAAGTCAAGAATAGTAAAAAGTTCGTGGAGTCCATAAGCTGTGGGTCCAAGGGTGCCGAGCGACGAGGTAGCCAGGTAGCAATAGGTTTTGGGGGCCGAAGCCCACAGCCACAGCCCACCCCATACGCACGTAATGGTATTACTATGATCAGCGTTCGCAGTCCACCACTTCGCCGAATGGTCTGAATTGCGAGTAATTGAACACTCGCTGAAATAGAAAATTACAATCTCCCGGTCATAGGTTTCACGTAGGTTTCAATTCGATTGTAGCTTACCCAATGCTGATATTAGCATTCAAAAAACACACGCACGTTGGTTAAGACCAGCATGAGAATAAGTGGGGGCCACTTGTGTTGGCGCCGTTCGTTCTTGTGCATAAATAGGCATCAGCCTTAATCTTACCTACATGGGGAAATTCTTCGCTGGCATTCCAGCCGTCTCAAGACCATGACATTCACGATGTCAACTTCAGACAATACTTCACCACAATTACTTTCAGGGTTGACCTCAGCCGTCGAGTCAGGCGATATCGACCAGGTACGCAGCACTTTGCAAGCGTGGGATAATGATGTCAGTGCGTCAGAACGGGAGCTGCGGCCAGCCTTTCGAAAGGCATTGGAAGGAGGTGATTTGAGTCTAATTGACGAGTTCCTGCATCGGAAAGTTGATACCTCAGGCTATGGTGAGTGTTCTTTTGATTCAAGGCGGCAAAATCACGTCGAACATCAGCTCCTGCTGGCTGACAATAAAACTGTGAAGAGACATATGCCGCCATGTGCAAGGGCAGCAAGGTGGCGAAAGTCGGCGATATCAAACTGTTTGAGCTCCTTGAATCTCACGGCTGGGATGTTAATTATGATTATGGACATTTCGGGGACGTTCTGTGGTAAGTCACCAAGCCTGCAATGAGAAAGACGCACAGCGCCTGGCCATACTAATATTCTACTCTAAAAGTTTTGCCGTCATCCAGAAGAATGAATCTTTGGTAAAACACCTTCTCGACAAGGGTGCAGATCCGACAAGGAACACAAAGGCGTCCAAAACGCCCCTTGAATGGGCTGCGAAATACAGCACCCCAGAGATCCTATCCCTGGTGGCAGCAGAGGCCACGAAGGAGCGGATCAACTCCAGTAGATCTCTGCAGCTGGCGGCGGCGGATGGAGCTGTTGACAAGATTGATATTCTGCTCAATGCGGGCGCAGATATAGATTCAATTCCGGACGACTTGAGGATTGATCATCCCGACGAAGAATGTATGACTGCGCTCCATGCAGCAGTTGCCAATAATCAAGCCGCTTGCACGTCTCACCTGCTTGCTAAAGGGGCAAGGAAGGATATCAAAAACCAAGCGGGGTTGACGCCGATGGAAGTAGCGAGTTCTAGCGGTGCTGGAGAGTGCACACGATTACTTGATGACTGAATAATAACTTACTGCTGCCACTACTATATCATATTATACGTGATTGTTGTCGCTGGACTGTAGACTATCTGTTTGTTCCTTTGTTTTACTACTACCTCAGATTACAAGTTATAAAGCGCTGCTTGGCGTCTATGTCAATACGATCCGCTCATGTTCTTTACGTCCGATTCCAATGGTACTCATGTAGGGGCAAAGCACCCTTGTTAAGCTACGCATCAAAGAATGGGTTAAATAGTGCATATTGGTTTTCGGACAGTGACACAACAAGTATTGATTGGATGAATGTCATCATTTCCCCCCAATTTATCTCTATCTACTGAGATCTATCTGTTTCGTAATTCGCCCCCTGTTCTGTTTCACCTGCGCCTCCACCTACTGCCCCTTTGAGACAAACTCGGGACTTAGGCTGAGTTAACCACGTTCAACCCAACACCAGATCCACCAGTGCAATGAGTATCAGCAGCTAAGGGTTGAGGTGCTTTCCATTTCCCACCGGTACAGATAGAAAACTGAGTGACCAGGCAAAGGAACTCCCCATTTGTACACAGTCCAGTGGGAACTGCTGATGCGACAGGCGGTGCCGGGCTAGTATGTGGCACAGGCGCTGTGGCTTCCGACGCCAGAGACGTGACCAAGGTCGAGAGTTGAGCCTTGGTCGTGGATAAAGTCGACACCTGCTCTTTAGTTGAAGACAAAGTCGACGGTTGTGTCTCAGTCTTAGTTCCAGTCGCAGTGCTGGAGCTCGAGGAAGAGGCAATCGCAGGTTCATCTGCCGGTACACCATTGTTGTCTGGGTTTCCATCACAGGGCTGACGAATCAGGTTGTCGGTCCCTTCAGGATGATCCACAGAGTCGCCGGGATGCGGAAACGCGATGGCTTGCTGCGCTTTCAACGCTTCGGTCGTCAGACACCCACCACTCGCTTCGCCAATGTTTGCCATGAAGACGCCCGGAAATTGCTTGCGTTTCTCGACCTGCTTCTCCCTGCGCTGTCGAGCTTTCGAAGAAGAAGAAACTGAAACGGGGGCGCAGTTCATGTACATTTCAGGTTGGCCGCCGATGCGATTCAACCAGGTCCATGCCAGAGTGTAATCACCAGGTGTGATGCCATCAGGAATCGTGTAATTGTAGATGTTCGGGTTCTCGCCATCGTCAAGATTGCCCTTGCGGTTAATTGCAGGACAACCACCCTCGATGGTGTGAATGACGGCAAACTTGGACTTCTTGTTCGGCTCAAACCCAGGAGTCAGGGAAATCTGGCAGCTTCCACCACCATGGACAGCGTGGCCTGTGAAAGACAGAGTCTGAGGCTCACCGATTACCATCGGAGTTGGCGAGCCGTCAATCTCAAGCTTTGTGGTGCCCGGAGGAATCTTGCATGGCCAATCGCGGCCATCTGGCGACAAAGGGTTCGACGGACCATATTCGGCAAACTTGAAGGGCGTTGGCGTCTCCAAGATTATGTGTGCTTGAGCAGCCAGTGCGAGCAAGCCAGCATATGCTGTAAGGGTCCCAGTAGAACGCATCTTGATAGTTGAAGATAAGCAGATGTTTCAGTCTGACTAGTGAGTCAATAAGATAGAAGTAGTGTTCCTTTGGATTTGTTTGGATAGGGTTGGATAGGACTTGATGAACTGAATGCAGAGAATACGACCAAGTAGCGATAAAATAGAGACTTTTATATGCGTCGTGTGGAAAGTAAGTTACAATGAGCTACACACAATCGTTTATCATGAACATTTACGAGCACAAAGTTAAAGTTAACCGCAGCAGGAGTGGACAATTAAGTTGTTTCCATTATAAAACTACAACTTTGAATCCATTGTCATGGGCTTTGATGACGGAACTACAGTCTAGAAACCGCTGAAAATGGGAACAAAGACTGGCATTTCTTTAACTCTTAGAATAAGCAATACACCACCTTACCCGGGCCAGAACACACTAATAATCCGGCTATCAGGAGCTCAGTACGGCCAGGAGCAATACGATTGGAACTTTACCTCTGTGCCTCAGGTGGAATGTCCATGCCAATGGGATGATAAACCCGTAGCTAATTGTTGTAGCCTCGCCTCAACAATCGCCGGGTCAACCAATGCTGTGGACGGCAACTGGGCGGCTCATCAGTTCTGAACTTCATGCTGGCCTTGGACCCGTACCCGTCAAGAGCCATCATCGATGCATGGGGAAAACTTAGCAACCCTGTATGGTCTTATGATGTCCTAGCACCGTACTTCTAGATATTCAGCACCGTGCATTCACCGAGTACGTCCGCCAAAACCATTACGTCGTTAGACAAAGGCCATGACGAAAGTCAATTTGCGGCAGGGGATGGTCCCATCTAACTCTCGTTCAGCGAGGGATACATGACAGAGCTCAACGAAGCTTGGATCAGAACCTTCTCGAATCTCGGTTTAGACATGGCGGTCGATCTGCGGACTGGCAAGGCTCATGGAGCTTTCCAGAACGCTGCAACGATTGACCCGAAAACCCACACCCGCAGCTGGGCGGCCACTCGTTACTTGAAGCCTGACGTTCGCAGTCGCTCGAACCTCGTCGTTCTGACAGAAACAATTGTCAAGAGGACTGTGTCGTAAAAGGCCAAACATAAAATGGTAGCGACAGGTAAGATACTCTTTTCCATTCCATTCCATTCTTCTCAATGCGGGATGAAGTTGGAGCTACATTTTCGAGTCATTCCATCAGCCGTCTGGACTACGTGAAAGAAGCAAGCAACGGATCCATGACCGGTTGAACCACACATTTCCGGATGCGAAATCACTAATCTATCTCGGTTCCAGGTGTAGTAAACCAACAGAAAGATGGAAGTGAGAGGACTGTACACACGCAACTTGAGGTTGTGTTGGCGGCTGGAACACTGCAGTCCCCTCAGATACTGGAGCTCTCTGCCATCGGCAACCGGCAATTCTTCGAGAAACATGGAATCCCACTTGTACTGAAAAACTCAAACGCGAGTGATAAGGCTGATTGGTAGACTGTTGCTCTGGTTGAGGAAATTGCTAACAGATGAACGACAGATTGGTGAGAATCTCCAAGATCTTCCGATGGTGTACCAGAACTTCGAGATGAGCACGGGATTCCTTCAGCCGACCCAGTCCTGCGCGATCCAAGTATAGCCGATGTCTTGCTGGAAGGATATATCACATTGGGAGGATCAGGCCCATTGGATCAAAGCAACATCAGTGTTGCATACGCACCCCTCGCCGATCACCATGGCCCTGTAACCGAACAAGGTCGCCAGACTCTGCTTGAGAAGCACTCCGGAAGCCTTCGGTCCAAGTTCCAGCCAGGTAGTTCTCGGCAATTCGATGTCCAACTATCACTGGCTAAAGAATCCGAGGAGCCTACGGCAGAATATCTGCTTTCCCCATCGAATGGATCTTACCCAGACGAACCCAATAGCCTGGCCGATATTCTAGTTTCATCAAGGCCTGAGAAATTTATCACAATCATGACCGTGCTCAATCATCCTCTCTCCCGAGGTTTGGTGCATGTTGCTTCGCCAGATATCAATGTCAAGCCGACCTGGGACCCGAACTACATGAAGGAGCCTCTGGAGATGGAGATCATAGCGCGTGGTATACAGTTTATGGAGAAAATTGTAGACACAGACCCTTTTAGCTCTAGCGTATTGAAACGCGGCGGCGTTCGGTTACCCGACATCGTTGACGACTTGGAAAAGGCGAAAGACCTCGTCCGCCAGCGCCAGCTCTCCATTTTCCACGTGGCTGGGAGTTGCGCGATGCTGCCCGAGGATGAAGGAGGGGTGGTAAGCGAACGATTGCGCGTATACAGAACGAAGAACTTGCGTGTCGTCTATGCAAGTATCTTCCCCCTGGAACCTCTTGGAAATTTTATATCGACAGTCTATGCAGTTGCCTAAAGGGCTGCGGATATCATTGTGGAGGACATGAAGCCGTAGATTCAATCACAATGAAGTTATCTCGTCCGTATACAGCGAACTTTGAGTAGCAATATTATATATCTAGGCACATGTTAACAGGATATATTTATCATGGTATGATCAAGCCTATAACCTCCTAGTATAGCTTGAACTGATGTGACGGAAGGTCGATCAAATGGTGTATTAGTTGATGATTCCCTCCCCCATCATTGTGACATCAAAGTATTCTCCACTCTCAATGTTACCTACTCATGTCATAACACATAACTGGTGTGTTCTTTGAAATGTAGATATACATTGGTGATAGTTCTCTCTGGTTGCTACTCCTATACATAACGCTGGACTTGATTGATTAGTCAATGCACAATGGAAAGAAGTGTTCTGGTGCAGCTAGGTAAACTTATCGCCCAGGTCGTTGGTACTAGCGAGCAGCACAGCCATGTGGCACGTGCCCGGCACAATGGTATTGTACGTTGATATTGAATTGTACATGTCTTGCCGACCTGTTACGCTTCAGACACAACCATGGCTAGATTCGTACAAACCCTTTGTTCCGCGCGCGCGTGTTCTCTACAATAGCCTTTGCCAAAATATGTATATATAAGGTTGAAACCTGCATAGACTAATAACCTCGTCAACTCTTGAGCAGTCACTGCAAAGACTTTCAGATAAAGACATCCCTTAGACTCTTTCCACTCGACTCGCACTCAACATGGCTCAGAAGCAAGCTTCAGACAAGGCGCCGTCGCTTTCGTCTATTCCAAACGAGATCAAGCTTTGTGTGGGAGACTTGCTCCCAAATCCGGTTGATGTTACTCATCTGGCAATGGTTAACAAACAGTTCCATTACCTGCTCTCGGACAAAGCTCTTACGCAGGAGGCCTTTTGTCAGCTAGAGGGTACGCACGTGGACCCTTGGCGTCCCTCGGCCCTACATGCCGTTATCGCCTCCGATCTCCCCCTGGATTTCATTATCAAGGTCATGGACATCTTTCTTGAGGTCTTTCAGAATGCTGGCTCAACGGCGTGCCCCCTCGACGGGGATTTCACCGCCGTTTCTGGTACGTCGTTCCCTCCTCCACTCATCAGTGCGATCCGAAAAGGTAGGTTAGATGTCATGGAGGCTTTGATTGCAAGGGGGTGTGACTTGAATGTCACAGAAAACGGTGCAACAGCTCTGCAGGTTGCGATGAACGGAGCTCATGAAGATGCAGCGCTACTCTTACTTCGGCATTTATCTGTCGCCGAACTTCCAACGGCAGTTCTGTACACCTCTACTGGAACGGCGGCTCGGTTGAGGATGCCGCATCTTCTAGCAGCAATACTTGGGCCTATATCGAACTCGGTCACAAGGAATGTATGCCTGGAGACGGGTGTACAATCGTGTACTGCGACACCTAAACTTGATGGCAATCGGGAAGTAATCAACACCCTAGTAGCACAAGGACTGGATCTCACCCCGAGCCAGAGTGGAATAGAGCCCGACCCGGGAGACAGCTGCGTAACCTTGGCATTGTTGCATGGATGTCCTGAGAATGCTCGGATATTCTGGAGCCATATGGCGGCGGCAGGGCACAAAGAGTGGATGCTCGATAATCCCCTGTCCTGGATGTCGGCCACCGTTCGCCACGACTTGAACCTGCCCTTCACTAGGTGGGCATACACCCTGCTGCATAGCCTTGACAACCAATCTAGGCAGATACAACTCGAGGAGACGTGGATCAAGTACGGTTTGCAAATGCCAGTTGTCACGAGGGAGACTTTCAAGTTCCTGGGAACATTTCTCCATCCTCGTGCTACACTACAACGTCTTGGATGGTACTGGGACGTGGCAAGCCAAACATGGCGTCGAAGGCAGAACTAGGAATGCTTCAAACCATCTGAGGATGCAGGTAAGTCAAGGTAACCCATCATCATCTAGATAGTGGGCTTGTGCCCCAAAAATAGACCAGGGTCATGTCCGCTTTGATATTGATTTGTGAATTTATTAAATGAACTCCACCAGTAGTTCCGCTGTGCTTCTGGTGGGCTTGGTTTGATAGAGTGGTTCTTAAAACCACTATTGCCTGGAAGGCTACTAATACAGGAAATATTAATGTTATTATCTTAGCGGGACTTTTCGCTTGCTGATGAGCTCCGTCCGTCAACCTCCTTGATACTGGCGGTAGGGTGGCCGGCATGGTGCGTCAGAGATACTTCGTCATCCATCTTGTCGAACGTTACATGTCCCTTGCGGGTGCTTTCTGAAGGGCTCGCCTGTTGTACCGTGACATTGAAATCCACGGTCCTTTGGATGCCGGCAAAATCGTTATCCTGCGCTTCGAGTCCTCCTCGAACCCTGGACTGTGTAAACGACTTGAGGCCGACATCGCGGCTGGTATGGGTGTGTTCGTCAGTGCCATATGCACGCCGGCGGTCCGATTCGGAGAGGGTGTTCATATGGACGTCGTTGGCGCCAGTGCGGGCTAGGCGCGTAATGAGCGAGGCCATGGACATTTCAATGTTGAGCTTGACCATGTATGCCACAGGGTGGAACTGGATGTAGACCACTTGGTTGGGTAGAGACATGAGTCCAATCAACATGACCTGTGCATGGTTAGTGGAAGAGGTTCTCGTTTTGAAAGGACGGAGTTCAACGTACGTCCATGAGAATAGAAACAACCATGAGCTTTGCGTTGAAGCTGACAAGTGGCTTGTACTTGACTAGGCCATAGTGATCCAGGAGACGCTTCTTGACCACCCTTAGGAAATACCAGTTCAGGCCGGCGTCTACAATCAGAATGAGAACCTTGGATATCCTGTCCCAGTACTCATTGATATGAACAAACCTACAAAGCATCAATTAGTCCTGTCGAACAGCAACGCCAAGCTATGTGATGGCACTTACAATTCGCTAGCCGGAGGGTTGGTGTGGGCGGGAATCCAAATGCAGAACACGAGGATATTGATGGTTGTGATGATGACTACCGTTCCCCATTTCATCCATGCGACATGTTTAGGACTCTCGTGGATAATAGCTATCCGGTTGATGATGATCTGCATCAGGAGCTGAACTTCGAAAACCCATAGGAATAAGATAAAGAAAAGGACAGGGACGCTGTCAGATTCATAGTCAGTACTCTGCCGGATTCCAGCTCAAGCATCGTTGTACTCACGTAGGTCCAAAGATACCATCGAGGAACACCCAACCGATGACAGCAATGCAGAGATTGGCGACAATTTCCCCCCATACCATGTAGATGTACGAACTCCTGAGGGGATTCTTGTTCCTCCTTGTCTGTTTCGCCGCCTCCCATACCGTCAAGAAACCGAATCCAATGGTGAAGCCGGCTGCCAGCGAGGCAACCTGGTAGTCGGTCTTTGTCGCCATGGCTTATACGGCTGTCTCGAGGTGTTCGGTAGGGGTGACGGGAGAGTGAGTCCAACTCGCTCGTTGACTACAAGTAGGACAAGGGTCAAGCTCCAAGATCAAGCATGGAGACCAGTGCCTAATATATGGCACCACCGGCAAAGATAGACAAGGTAGAACTCGATAGCGTCTCCGAGTCATCGGGTGGGGGGGAACAAAGGTCGATATGACTTGATAATACGGTTTATAGCCCTATTCGGCGACTCGCCATGACCCCTTCGCCTCCACAAAACGCCACATGGGCCTGGCCCAGGGTGACATTGGCCCTAACTACCAACGAGCAGCTCTGCAGCTCTGCAGGGTCGGCAACCCCAGCCAGCTGCACGGCAATCAGCATCAGCATCTGCATGCTGTCCCCAGTCTAGATGAAACTAGCTCCACGTGTGGGCCACATGAAAACGTGGTAGTCACCGCCAAAACGGGGCACCAGCTTGGGTGGGTGAAGTTTGCTTAGCGCATGGCGCTGTCGATTAGTTACCACCAAACAACCACCTACCATAGTAGACGATTAGTGTAGATCTCGGGGATTTGATCCAACTACAATAAAGTGTTATGGCATTCCCCGCCCACGGGCAGGTCTCTAACTCGACCTGAATCGTCATATCGTTGCTTCTGAGCCTGCAGGAACAACTGTTCGGTAGAAAGTGCAGTCATATCCGCAGTGTTAGGTGGATGATCCACACTGCGCTCGGACATTATGGCGCCAGCACTTTGTGCATTATCAAAACGTCGTAGTTAGCCAAGGCTTATCGACCTGCGCAGTGCGTCTTCCGAGCTTGAGCAGGTCTAAATGAATGCTAGATCGTTGCTGTTAAACAGAGTGTGGCTCGCGCGTCTGGGCCTTGATCGTTCGTTCGCAACCCCGTTGTTCGTGAAAGAGAGGCTAGGAAAGGGCAAACTTCCTCCCTGCAGCGCGCACTACAGGCGTTCATGACACATGCGCCAAGAAGCTGAGCCGGCATAGGCTCGGGTACTTCGCTACGTGCAGTACATACTGGCGCTATCAGGGGGCTAGCGACGAAGGTAGCTAACGTAGTGGCGCGATGAAAAGGGGAAAGCAGGGTCTAGACCCCCGCTTTCAACCTTTGGCCGGTTACAGTTTCTAACACACTTTAGGCTGGCATAGCTAGCTACCAGCTTCAGCTGGAAGGGGGCCAAGAGGCATCTTAGATGCGCATAGATATGGGAGGTCCACCTAGGCGAATGGATGCGCTTGTCCCGAGGATTTCACGTCGGATTCTTCTGTGTGCAATGTCGGCAAGTCGGTACCATGGTAGAGTCTTCCTGCGGCCCACCACTTGACATATAACTGCCTACTGGGGTTCGTTGTCTCGTAGCCCAGTTGGGCACCCTAGCGTGTGATTGGCATGCAGTTGCACGGGCATATCTGGTTTCAACGGGCGGTTGTGTAGTATTTAGTTGAACGTCAGAATCGGCCCTCACTTGTCCGAGTAATGATGTAACAGCAGGCCCGATTACTGCAATGCAATTCGGCTACGGGATGAGTGGCCTCTAAAGCCCGAAGGTCATTTCAGAAAGGACGCATTCTCTATGGGCTTGGATCTACCTATAGACGCTCCTCGTCGGTTCCGTCACTCGGCCGGTGGCGAGCGACTGAGAAACTGTGCGGGCCGAACGTAGTGGGTTCGCCGGAAGCCCAAGTAGTCCTATGACCAATCAGAATGCCAAATCGGCAGTTGTGGGGGAAGGCCAGAGTCTCCCTTGGTATCTAGTTAACCCATTTCGCTGGTCGATGTCGCTTCGGGACAGCTATCCGAGATAGTACTTAGGCTCAACAGAAGTTGATGAGTGTCTCTTCGGATGACAGATCGTGACCACTTGCCAAGCTTGCAGCTGGCAGACCTGTGTCTTGGGACTTCGGTGCGTCGGCAAGCTAGTGCTTCGCTTCGTGATTATACTAAGACACATAATGGGACAGCCCCGCAAGCCTCCACCGAACCCTCGGAAATGATCTGCAGCCATTGGCTCCACACGTTGAAATTGACGCTATACGGACGACGACAAACCAATGACACAGCGCTAGAAGAAAGAAAAGATCTTCACCGTAACCCCCCGCGCTGTAGAGTTGTGGATAAGGTGCGAGATCCGAGCGCACATTCCAGCACTCGGTTGGCGAACAGCTTATATCCTTACGTCCATCTTTGTAAGTTGGTGGAACAGCTCATGTCTTTTACGCCCATCTCTGCCACATCTCTGCCAGAGTGTTTCGGGAAATGCGCAGGGGCAATGACGATCCATTCACATGCTTCGAAGCAAGAGCTGAACAATATCTGCGTATATTATAGAGGCTGATCTCGCAACCGCGACATTTAGGAGCATTCGCTCCACAGCTTAGCATCGTGATTGTTTGATGCCCATGCCATCAGCCGGGGAGCTGGCTCGCGTGAGGGGTTGCCCCATGATGAGGCAATGCTACGATTCTACCACAGTACGAAGCAACGGGTTTTGGCCCTGCGATCGCCTGCTGAGCCACCACCTACAGTACCTTGACGGGACGAGTTCGTCTTCCGTTCACTAGCCTCCAGCTTCTCTAGCGTTTTCCGTCTTTGGTTCTACCGCCGGGGCTAGGGCCGATGGCAAATCCGACAAGGCAGCATAGCGAGCAACTATTAGTACGTAGGCTCTCCTGCAGCAATCACCTATTACCTACCATGCTTGGCTGCGGAGCACCACGTCTCGAGCAGATGAGTCTAACAAGTGTTCTACCTTAAACCTCGCAGATGGATGTGTGAATTTGAAGTACATGCCATCATGTCGACACAACCGGGGCCACTATTAACCAGCCACAATTTCTGTGTGGAAGATTCTGCGCACCTCCAAGCTACGATGGCGCAAGAATGCATGCTGCGCAATTGATGATGATGCTCCACCATATTCATTAATCAGGCCGAGAGAGGGGTTTCAGCTGTGAGTGTGATCCTCGGCATCATCAATGGGGTGATCGGATTGAACAGGGTCATTGGCTTGGAGACCACTTGTTTCGCCTTTCACCGGTGGCCGGCTTTAACTTTGAAATTTTATTGGAGTGTTACATTGCTTCGCGAGTTATCTCCCTCGGTAAAGTAATTGCAGACCAGATGTCCTAGTGGCCATTGGTAGATATCTCACGAGTCCAATATGTCCACCCCTGGAAAACCAGATCTTGAGTGTGAGTCTGCTGTGATGGTCCATGTTTCATATTTCCGTGCAATTTTTTTTTCGCACTTATCCCTCGTGTCACAGCTTCGCGTCACGCTCAAACCCCTGAAATCCATACTGTATGGGCGCAATGGCTACTCTCACGAGCCCCAATATGAAAGCAAGTCAGTGTAACCGAGGTGAATAAGTAGAATTATCGAGTTGATAGAGCGGGTATTGGTAAGTCGCTTTCTGTACCTATGAAGGAGTATGCCAGAAGAGCAAAGCTGTAAGGTATGCTAATCCGGGATACGAATGAAGTAAAGTGACTGTGTTCTCAAGACGCGTCCGGAAGAGAAACTGTATCAGTGGCTTGATGGTGAGACAAGCTGTGGCAAAAGTGAGACACTCGGGCTCAAGTCATATCCAATATATGCTCTATTCATAATGCTGGCGACTGTTTGGACTATAGGTTATGCAGTGATGGACGGATGTTTGGTGACTCTCAGGCTCAGTTCTTATGCACCCGGGTATCTATCTCAAAATTTGGCGAATTCATCATGGCAGACGTATTGCAAACCTTGTCTGCCGAGATTACGAAGTTGTGATCGTGCCTACAAAGCCTTCCATGGCAATTAAATCCAGGCTTCTTGTGCAAGGCGAGAAGCGCGGACGGTGAAATCTCATCCAAGTTGGACTCAGGCGACCAGTAAGCATCTGCCTGCGGCAAATTGGCCGAAGCATGGCTCATGGCATGACCGTGAAGCTCATCGCGGCCTCTTTTCTTGAATTGGTGTCGTCACAGTTGGGGTCAGGGTAGATGGGACTGTCCCCGAGTTACAGAGAAGCTGGAAGAGAAGCTGGGGAATACGTCCAAACCCAAGCTCGATATCACAGCAGACAGGCTTCCGGCTTTAGATGTGCGAGAGCGGCAAATGAACATAGGTTGGTTGTCTGGCTGTGACGCATACTCACCAGCAGCTGTGTGGAATAAGACGTGGGTCGGGACGGAGAGATTTTGAAGGGCGGTGTTGATGATACTGCCTACCGCGTCTCGGCCGCCCAATGGCCCGAGCAGGGTACACCATGAGTTGGCACAGGCAGCATTTGCAGGACCCAGGATAGTTGCATGAAGCTTCAAGACGAGCTAGTAGAGAAACTTGCATGACGTCGGGGGCGAGGTTCCTCCTGAACTTGGTTCATAGCGACGCAGCTCGCGTCGGGTGAAAGGCGAACGTTATGCGGAAGTCGAGACAAAGCACTCTCCGAAAGTCTTGTCTGGAAGACATGCTGACTGCCTCTCCGACCCCGTCCCGCGCGTCGACGGCGGTGACATGCTCGCAGTCGGCCGTCCCGGGGGCAGGATCCGAGATCTGGAGTCTGGACCTGCTGGCGGCACCCGGACCCGGCCCTCTGGCTTTAGAGAAGAAGCACGGACGCGACCCTCCCGAAAAAGGTAGAGTTAAGCTCTCAGCCCGCTAAGCCCAGCACGGCCCAGCGCAGCGACGCGCCCGCAGCCCCCAGAGCAGAGGAGCAGAAGAACAGACGGCGCCCTTACGCGAAAAGTGTCCTGAACGACAGGGGGGAAAGCTGGTTGTCGTCGTTCAATTCACTCCCTCGAGACGACGTCAACCATCCACCACCACCACCACCACAGCACCGCATTCGGTCTTCACGTCACTCATTTCAGCCCGTTTTTTGTTCCCTCCATCGTCTCCCTCGCACGCCGACACATCTCTTCGGGCCCGCCACTCGCACGCACGCACGCACTGCCCAACATGACGCGCGCCCAGCAGACCATCTCCATCGCCCTCCTGGCCTCGTCGGTACGGACGACCATCCCCGCGAGCCAATGCGCTCGGTGACCGATCTATCAACCAAGAACGCACTGCTGACCCGGAGGCGCAGTTCTACCTCGCACTCTACCTCCAGCTTGTCCCGCTGCCCGAGCTGATCCAGACCGAGATCGTCCCCGTCGTATGTCTCCTTCTTCAATCAACCCTCTCCAGCTGCCTAGGATGAAGGCCACCTCCTCCTCAACGACACAACCCCCCTTTCTGCCCACTCTTATCCTAGCCGAGCCTGCAATGCAAAAAGCACCTTCCGCTGACCTGAGGCCTGCCGCCCAAAACAGCTCCCCTTCTGGGCCCTGGTGTCCTTCGGTGCGTTCCTGCTCTTCCGCCTCGGCTTCAACGTCATGACCTTCAACGACGTGCCCGAGGCCCACAAGGAGCTGATGGCCGAGATCGAGCTGGCCAAGAACGACCTGCGCGGCCTGGGCGTCGAGGTCGACTAAGCGGCTCTTCGCTACTGGATGAAAGGGAAGGAGAGCATTGGACGAGCTCATAAACAACCACCCACAGAAACCATGGGATAGGGGGCAAGACACAATTCTCTGAATGGTGGTTGCAAATAAGGTTGAGAGAGCCATGGCAGTTGCCCAGTGGTGCTATGTGTAATGAATGAAGCAAAAAGAGTCGCATCAAGTTTCATTCATTCTCTCATCCCCCCTTTTTCATCTGCGCCTTGCAAGACCCGGCCCGGCTGCCTGCGGCTGTTGCCTCCTGGGTTTGAGGAGGATATGTAATGCCAGACAAGTGTAAATTAGTTGTATGACTGCTTTGTAATACCTGCACCGTCAATGATCAGCTAGCCCGGATCCGGACAAACAGCCATCAAGTCGAATATAGTCATGAAAGTCTACTACTTGAAGATGAAGAACGGTTGATCGTATGCTTGGATCGTCACTTTCCGTCTTTACTGAGCTAATATCGATGTATGTTGGGAGTATGTTGGCGGAGCTTTATACCGTTCATATTCAACCAGAGCCAAAGCCTGGCACTTTAAGTCCTACTCAGCCAACTATACCATGATCCCATCATGCACTCACACAGCCATAGTAGCCCACCACGGGATGGCGGCGCGCCTAGATCGTAAGACTACTTCCCCTCGCCGACGAGCAGTGCAACGACGGTTTTGAGTGCGTCCAGTGGCTCGCCCCCATCCTGGACGAGCCTGTTGAACAGCTCGGGCATCCCTACCAAACTACCTCTATCGTCACGGCTATGCCCTGTAGAAATCACGTCAGCAGAGACTCCCCAGGCCACCGCCTCGTATGGGGGATGAACTCACACTTGCCGGGTGCCTGGACCAGAACGCCAATCGTGCTGTTCCCCTCTCCGGTCCAGTCAAACCCGATCTTCCATTCGACCCTCAACCCCAGGCCCTGGTCCCCCTGCCCGTTACGGCCGAGGTCAAGGTCCAGACTCGTGCGCCCAAGAAAAGGGAGGAAGTCCGCTCGCCGGAATCCCCTCTTTTCTCTCTCTCCTTCGTCGCCGGATTCTTCCGGCTCAGACTCGACACGCCGCCTCCGCTTCCTCGCTCTTCTCATGTCCCTGACCGATTCCAGTATTCCCTCTCGCGTGCCGAGCTCCCGATTGACGAGGCACCAGAAGCGGGCGCGCTTACTCGCCAGCCTTGTCCACTCGGCCATGGCCCAGGTGAGCACGCTTACGTTCCGCCTCAGGGCGCTGACGGGCGCCGCGTCCGTGTCCAGGATCTTCCGGACGAAGGGGCCGAGCTCCGTCGCCGCCGCGGGGTCCAGCTTGGGGACGGAGAGGTCCGAGATGGTCAGGGTCCTCGTGTTGACTAGCATGTCGATGCGGGCGGCAAAGAGCCCACGCGGACTGGAGGACACGGACATGCTGTGTCGCTGTATTATGGGCGCGTGCTCTTCGCCGTCGCCGTCTGCCTCCGGGTTATGCGGCAGGAGCGTGGTGCTCGAGGTGAACGTCAAGGGGGTGAAGAGCTGAAGGTAGGGAAGCTCTTCGTCGGCTGTCAATGAGACGGGGTGGTGGGACGTGGGCTCTGGTTGATCCTCCGGGGCTTTCTCCGGGCGCTGGAATGGGTTCGGCAGACTCGCAGTTGGATTTCCGAAAGGCAGAAAGGCCATAGGGTCCAGCGCAGCTTCTAACCACAACTGCGAGGGTTCCGGTGGCCGCTCTTTTTCCGGAGGCAGGGCATGGCGTCGCAGAAGGTCAAAAAGGGCGTCTTTGTCTTGAGGTTCTTGCGGAACTGGTGAACGTCGCACTTCTTGTAGACTGTGCAGTCTGTCATTCTCCCTCCGCGCAACGTCCAAGTCGGCCACCAATTGTGCTACTTCTACCTGCAAAGAGTCTCGGAGGGCCTTCTTCTCGGCGAAAGGGTCCGGCTCCTTGAGGCCTCGGCCAAGATGAGGGGTTTCCAGGGAAACTTCCTGTTGCTTCCGATGCTGGCTCTGCTGCTGGGTCCCAGAGGTCGCCTTCTCCGCCCCCTTTGATGTAGTGCGTGACGTCTGCGCCAGAGTCTGCGAGGACGACGGCTTGCCCTTGGCCAGGTCAAGCGGGCGCAGGGGAGGCTGCTTGAGGGGCGAGCTCCCGCTGCGCAGCTTGTCAGCAAGCGCCCTACTCCTCCTAGGTCGTTTGGACGGCGTGTTGTGGATGCCCAGGGGCGAGGTGCTGGCGGCGGCAGGGTCGCTGATGCCCTTCTGCGTCGGGGTCGGGGGCAGCTCTGGCTCTTCCGGCTCATGGGCGGGCAGCACGCCGCGCGGCGGGGATCGGCGGAGGACCCGTCCCTTGAAGGGGTCCAGCAGCTCTTCCTCGTGCGCGGAGGGCGGCGGCAAGGGTCGCGGCGAGGGCTTGTTAAGCGACCGGCGCGGCCTTGCGCCCATGCCGCCCATGGGTCTCTGGATCGGGCTCCTCGGCTCCGTGATCTCGGGGCCGGGGCCTGGCTCGGGCTCGACGGGATCTGATGTTGGGCGGTGTTCGGATGCGCCCTCCAGCTGCGCCGTCAGCTCCTCATCCTCATTCTCGTCCTCGTCCTCATCCCCGTCGCCGTCGCCCTCACCGTTGCCGTTGTCGTTGCTCTCTGCACTGGCAGGCTGCTCATCGGTGGGTGCGCCAGTCTGCGACGCGGCCCGGGAGGCATTCCGGCGCTCGAGGATGTCTGGGTTTGAGCGTGCGAGGCTCGCCTTGGTCGGTGAAGCAAAGGAGGCTCGTCGGGCCCGGGGCGGTGGCCGGGTCGACGTCGACCGTGTGGAGGCTCTGTCTGACGAGTGCGAATCCGAGCCGCCGGACACGGGGACATTGGACGTGGGCGAAGTCTTGCGCCGCTTTGGCGCCGACGTCTCCATGACAGGTGTGCGGTAGCCGAGGACTACCTGCAGACGGTAATCGGGGTCGTCGCGGTTCTGCTGGACATGTCCAGAGGCGGGCGCGCAAGTATTCCGCGGGTCGTCGTGCGCACTTCTGGAGGCGGCCCGGGGAGGATGCGGTGTTGTATATCAAATGGTCCACCAAGACACCCGACGGGCGAGGCGAGGCGAGGCGACCAATATTGTGCTTTTGTAGCTTTGCGAGAGATCACTGTGCCATGGAGCTCAGAGGCCAGAACGAATCAGGAATCATGCAGGCTGTCGTCGCGCAATTTGGCTTGTCCCGTCTCTGCAATGGTCTTGTATTATTGTGTACCTACTTCATGCCCACACACGCATTGGATGTGCGCAGGTGGGTATACACAGCGCGTCCCGACGCGTCTTAGTCCCCCGGAGCCTTCAATTGGAAAGCCAGGTGACGTGGGGGGAGCAAATGAAGGCCTGTTTAGATACAATATTCGTGTATCTGCATGTGGCATGACGACAAAGCAGGGCGTCGGGGGGGCCTGGGGGGTTACCGGGGCCTACCGGCCTATCGGCTCATCTCGCACGCTAATGACGTTTTGGCCTTGTCCCAATCCCCCTGTCCCCCCGAGCTGCCGGGAACTCGCCGTCCGGAAGAAAAAAGAGCGCTGATCGACCCGGACCAACGTCACTCTGCGCTTCGCCCGACCAACCAACCGACGATAGACCAGATAGCAGTCCCCTTCCTCAGACATCCCCTTCTTGAACGCTTCTCCCTGCATCACACTTCCCACCCGCCCGTCCCGCCGCCTCTCGCCATGTCGCCGATGGGCTCCCGCTCCCTCTTCAGGGCTGCCTCCAAGCTCTCCTCCGGCCTGTCCAGGAGGCCCATCTCCTCCTTCAACAAGACGCCGCCCGCCGCCAACAAGGGCCCCAACGCCGCCGGCGAGCAGGCCATGCCCCTCGGCCCCTACTACGAGTCCATCATCGTCACTCCCCAGCCCATCCCCGCCACCAAGCCCGAGGAGCCCCCGACCTCGTCGCCCAAGTCCCCTCGCACCACCACCCGGAAATCCGCCGCGGCACGTAAGAACTCGTCCACGTAGACCAGAACCACCAGACTAATATCGCCCCTGCAGAAGAAGGAGACCAACGGCACCAGCCAGTAGACACCGCCCCGTCGCCCGCCCCGGCGCTCTCGGCAGAGCCCGCCTCGCCACAGGAGAAGGCCCGCATCGTCTTTGGCTCCAGTCTGGCCGGTCCCTTTGAGCGCGCAGAGAGGCTACAGGCCATCAAGGACAAGAGCACCAGGATAGCGGGCATCCTGGTGCCGCCCAAGCCCGACGAGCCCGACAACTGCTGCATGAGCGGCTGCGTCAACTGCGTCTGGGATCGCTACCGCGACGAGATGGAGGAGTGGGCCGCGGCCACCGTCGAGGCCGAGAAGCGCATGCAGGCTCAGCGCGCACAGGGCCCTGTCGACGTGCTGGGCAGTGTGGGCGCCGTCAAGGGAATGGGAGCGCTGAAGGGGCCGGCTGAAATGGTACAGGGGGCTGGCGCTAGGGATGCGCACGAGGGGGCGACGACTATGGACGATGACGGCGGTGGCAGCGACACCAGCCTGCCGGTGGAGCAACCCAAAATCGCTAAAAACCTTTGGGATGAGGACCTGTACAGGGGTGTTCCTGTTGGCATCCGGGAGTTCATGAAGACGGAAAAGAAGCTAAAACAGAGGCACGAGAAAGAGGGGAGCGCTGGCGGCTGAAGCTGTACGATATAATGGTTGAGCGTGCGTTGATACCCCCAGATGTCGAATAGAGCTTCTCTAGAACAAGTCACACCCATCCTCGATACAGATCATGAGAACCCTTACTTGCGTGAAGTTCACATGTGACCCATGACAGAATCCCAGACGCAAATCTAGCCCGCGATTCAGACTACGGACAACAGACGCGTAGACTTGTTGAATTTGCCTGGGGTTGATCAAGTTCTCCCCATATATTATACCCACCTTTCGGTCTACCACGTATAGCTACAGCCACGATTGACGAGTACCGAATGCTGGTGGACCAAGCTGGCGACTTCTTTTTATCCTGATCAGTCTGGTCATATATCCCATGGATCCGAAATAGTAACCTTATTCTGCCACTCGGTACTATTGAATTGCAAGCCGCGTTTGGGCGCCCGGAGCAGAAGGTCGGGGCCTGCTAGAAACACCAAAAGGGCTTTAGCAGCCGTAAGCCAATATCGTCCGCGTTCGCGAAGCTGGCATGTGAGGTGAACAATTCCCCGTGTCCACCTTCGTCACGTAGCACACAAAGCGCCCGTCAAATCCGTTATATATAATCGATAGGTGACAGCTGCCGAGGAACAGGCTGTCTCTGAACTGACTGAGTTCACGGTGAATAGTTCAAGCTGAGACCGGCGAACCCTCTTGGAGAAATCACTCTTAATAAACATTTGCCCTGTCTATAATAATTTGCTTCCAGGTATTCTCTGAAAGTGAGATTTTGCCAGTCTATTGGGAGATCACACAACCTTGTCTAGATGCTGGCTCTTCTAAGCGGTGCCTCAGCAACCTGAGACGGACTACGTTAGCAATGACCCCTTTTTACCCTCTTAATATTTTGCTTTTCATCTCTCTCAGCCCATCTTTGTTTTATCTTCCTTTCAAGTGAGGGCACTGATCTAAGGAGCTGAGGAGATTTTGGCGGGATCTGGGACGCCGACACCCGTGGCTATCACAGCAGATGCCCTTTCTCCAGTCAGACCTTCCGAGTCAGACTCGGCATCGTCAAACGTCATACCGATCTTGCCGGCCTTCCTGTCCTTCTTCTCAAGGAACGCAATGAGCCCGATAAAGGGGATAACTAGCGCGCCCGTCACCAGACTAGCAATGTAACCCCTTTGGTAATTCGGAGCATCCGTCACGGGGTAGAAAATCAGTGGCCACCAGGTAACAAAGGCAAAATCAAACGAGTTCATGAAACCCGTTGTGATGGCCCGCAGCTGGATGTCGTGCGCTGTAACATCGGCCATCCACGAATACCAGAGCGCCTGGGGCGCATAGGTTGTGCCGAGCAAGTAGAAGGCGAAGAAGTGCGCGCTGTCCGCTACGGGGTCTGCCACAAGAATGGCACTGCCGACCACAAACGTCAGGCCAATCGCAAGCGACGGCTGCCAACGAGACTGGATCTTGTCAGATATCACAGCGTACATGATAGTACCGACTATGGCAGTGGCATAGATTGCCGTCGGGTATGTGTTCTGCTGGACAACGGTATACCCCCTCGAAGCCATCCAAAGCGGCATGACATTGTTGGACAACGATTGAACGCAGAGCGAGTATACTAGATCAAGTTTGTCAATCTCTCTTCTACCCAACGTATGAGGGACGCGGCTTACGCATGAATATAAAAGGCAGTAACCAGAATTGCCAACTTAAGAGAACGCGGCGGAAGACAGTCAGGTCCCAGCTCTGCTTGGACGGTCTACCGAGTCTCGCAAAGGCAAGCTCTCTTTGCTCATGTGTTAGGTACCATGCGCTCTTGTGCACAGGAAGGTCTGGTATTACCACCCAGCCTAGCCAGTGTCAGCCAATCTATGTGGTGGGTACTAGAAGTAGAGAACTCACCAAAGAGCGCAACTGGAATGGTGATCACAGAAACGATGACGAAGATCCAGCGCCATGCCGGCAGACCTCCTTTGCCATTCAAGGTCTCTAGTAGACCAGCTTGTATCCACCCGCCGGCGATACTGCCTAGGTGCCCAAAGCAGCAGAAGACGGCGGCCCGGGTGCTGAGCTCGGACTTCTTGTACCAAGAGCCATAGATGAAGTGCGCACCGACGCTTGGACTAAGTCAGCTTTCTGACCTAAATACCCCACGACCATGCCAACTCACTACGCGATAGCCGAAAACGCACCCTCGAACGCGTTGAGCACAAACATCTGATACACGTGCTGCATGCGGAACGTGATGAGCGTCAGGACACTCCACGTGACGTTGGCGGCCACGAAGACATATCTCGGGCGGGCCAGCGTCAGCAGCGACGTCGACGGGATCTGGAAGACGGCGTAGGTGACGAGGTAGATGGTCGTCATGAGGTTGTAGTCGTTGCCCTGGAACCCTACATCCTCCTTCATGCCGCTGATGTAGGCGTGGCTGTAGCTAGCCCGGTTGACGCCGAAGAGGAACCATACCAGCGAGAAGTAGGGCAGCAGCGTGAAGTCGAGCTTGATGACCAGGGGCCGCTCCTGTGATGGAGGGCCCCAGAGCAGAGTTTTGATGCGCGCAAGTGGCATGGCGGGCTGCTTGTGGCGACACGACGCGCAGAAACGGGCGAGATGCTCATGTAGGTGATACTATAACCTGGGACAGAGAGAGGTCGTCGCTGAGGTGTGCTCCAATTGGCATCTTGATAAGACCGATGCGGGCAATGTCGATATAGTGGGGCTAAAGTGCGACATAGAGTCGCTTCTCTCATTCATTGGGCCAAAGTCTGGCACTGCTATCAAGGTGCATCTGTAGCACATCCGATGCCATTACCTTGCAGCTTTTGACGTTGGAATTGTGCAAAGACGTGGGGTGCTTTGAGTGTTTATAGTTAATGACTTCAGGTAAGCTAGCGATTCACTCTTTGGCGGCGGCAGGATCAGGGCTTCATGGAAGCACCGCGACCCGCGGGGCGACTCCGTGGAAAGCCGGTGTAGCGCTCCCCAGTCCGAACAGCGGCTGCTACGAGGGCGAAGGTTGAATCCCTGGCTTAAAGACGGACGGAGGCAAAGTGATGTTATTGGCGTTTTCGGTGCGCAACTGGGGCAGGAAGCCTTGCGATTTCTGGATGATTTCTCCACACACGCAACAAATATGATCCCCCGGCATTCACTTCTTGGGTACACTCCTACTCACTCGTAAAGCTCGTATGACCTGAACTATATAATTGTAAGTCATTTCAGCACGACTAGGATGCTTTATTAAATATAGACACATTAAGTATATATATATATATATGTAAGTGTACTTGTGACCGAGAGTTATAAGCAAGCACTCTTTCAAACTTGACAGGTTATTACCCTAGCTGGCAGTTCGCCGCCCACGGCAGCATACCCACCTTAGTGGACTATACAAGCTATAGCACACCACGAAGTCCCCGGATGACTCACACTCGTTCAATCATTGCCATTTGAGAAGTCCGGATGCTGGGGTCTTAACCAGAGAGAAAGATAAAATCCACCATCCCTCAACCTTGGGCACAAGCCATCTTACCTTCAGTGACGTCCTATGCAGGCCGAACATGACTGCGATGTCGCAAAAGTCTCAGACGGGACCATCCTCCAAGACTTACAAAAGCGCAAAGAATGTCTCCAGGTTTGCCACGCAGCTCCCTGCCTTGGCGAGACACGACGATCCCATCTCCAAGCCCTGCCAGGGAGAGGAGCAGTAAGAAGGTGGTGACTGCATCCTCGTTGCGTTGGTACTGGAGAGAAATGCGTCCCAACCCGTAGGTAAGTTCCCGTGTGCCCTTCAGATACATGGGAGGCGAGAACGCTATGTCTCGGACAGGCGTCGTGCTTCCATCAGACACTGTTGTCAACAGCTTCCGCTGCTCGAGAGGTAAGCCAAAGCGTTCACATTCGCCGCTAGGGTTCGCAATGGCGTTCAAGCCGATGGTGATCGCAGCGGCCCCAGCCATGTACGACGCGATGGGAGAAGGAGACGTCATTGCATGCTGGGAACAATTGAGCACACGAAGCCTGCGGTTGGACGCTCGCCTGAGGTCAAAATAAACAACTACTGATGTGAACGGCGCACGAGGCAGCGGCGGGCGTGGCTCGACCTATCGCCTAGATCGAATCCTTCGGCTCAGGCGGCCGCACTTCATCCCCGGCCGGCCGGCGGTCCAGCATCGTCCGGTTGGTCGGGTCACATGCGCCTACGGCCAATCTCCTGCAGTTCCGTCTGCTGTGCCGCATGGTCGGCATCAACTTCAGATCACGAAAAGCGAAAGTTGAGGCGAGGCGCCCGTTTTCAACCAGGAGAACGGACAGTCTCGTGATGTGTCGCCGCTCCAGAGGCCGCACATTTTGCTGGGCCGAGGCTCACTAACTTACCTCCGGGACAGAGTGGTTCCCGACGCTTGTGTGCGCTAGAGCGCGCTGTGGTGATTCACTAACTGGAAGCACTGACTGGTTTCCATCTCCAGTCCCACTGCAACGTTCCAGTCATTCACTAGTCTGCTAGTCCTGTGAGGATGGGTGCGGCTATCCCTCGCCGCCTCCTGGACTAGCGCTCTGTGTTCCGTGGCCGACCAGCTGGTTTGTCCACTGCCCCTCTTTGCCAGTGGACATCACTCGGTGTTGGACAGCGCGATGGCAAAGGGGAACTGGGCGCTACTGCGAAACCTTTCACCGAGGCATCATCACACCTGGTCGCGTGCTCTACCTGACTGCATGCTGCGAGCGGATGCGCTTTGATTCTCCGTTCCGGCATCCGAGCGACTAATTCCGCCATCGCAGGTCATTGCGGCTCGACGCGGGCTAGGCTGCTTGGAAAACACAGCCAAGTTTGAAGCCAAGTTGCTTCCCGTCTCCCAAGCCGACGCCCCCAGCAAACAAGCCAGCCACGTATAGCTGGGCGAAGCTTAAATGGACCTTCGGCCAGGGTCTAGCAACCACCCCGGGCCACCCAGGGCCACCCCGTACGTGGTGTCTGTATTGTCGTGGTAGCGCAAATACCAGACCCGCAGCGGGCTCATCTCATTTCACTGCACCGTCGAAAGGCTCCACGACTGCCGCCCTTTCTAGGATCCCAGAGTGTCAGTGCTGTCTTGTTTATCTGTCGGAGCCTACTGTACGATGTCCGCAACGTCGGAACCCGCCGGAATGGCCCGCTCGGTGGACATCATGTCGATGTCGCCATCGCTGTGCTGTCTGATTGGATGGCTGACACTTATTCGTACGTACGCAGATTGTATGAACGTCTGCAACAAGTGCAAAGCCAGAACTGCTCATGGCTGTAGCTGCCGAGGGCACAAGTGGACGGACGGGTTGAGACGAATTGGCATGATCGTATATGCGCGCTGCCGATCGTTTGGAGAACCGGGGACTCTTCACGCGGCATAACCTACTGTGTAAAGAATGCGCAGTAGCTGTCGAACGACCGCAAACTCGAGACGAGCTTACGAGTTACTCCAAGCGGAACGTAAAGTGGACCTTGAGCAGACAGGCCTTGGCATGTATGTCTTGGAGTTGAATGTGTCTGGTTGATTCATTTGTCCTTTCCATACGGGCCGACTCGAAGGTAGTGTGGTACATGCCACGGTACATACAGGCGTATCTCGAGCCGACAACCCCGTTCAACGGTTCCTATCCACCAATTCCCTGGGGCAATGCGTTATCATTGCGCGTGGCGAGACAGATAACTCGTGCGCCTTTACCCCTTCGCCCCCCTTCCGCAGATAGCGACAGTCTCTTGGGGATGGGACGCACGGCTAGCTGGGAAGCAACCAGCCAGGAAAAAACACCAGAAACCAGGATCTGGTGCCAAAACCTAGGGACTACACCTGCAAAGAAAAACCTTCTTCGAGATGTATTTTCACTGTAACGTCGAACGCAGTCACTGACAGGGCATCAAGTAGGAGAGTCTCCCAGCTGGGAAGCTGGGCCATCGGCGACAAGTTCAATGCGACAGAGCAGTCTTGGCTTCAATGCATTCTGACGCGCACAATGGTCCCTGTCGCAGAAATTGGTTCCATCCGGCTTCTATGCATTCTAGTGCCGCGAGCCTGCGCGGGCGGACCGGCGCCTCGCAGCCAACCGATTGGACAGGCTGACAGGGACAAAATCTCGCTGGCGCGGGCGCCAGTCCAAGGCTTGCCAGATTCGGCAGCTGCTCCGGGCCACTCCGCTGCACCCCGCGACCCAGTGCCGGCCTACTACGCATCCATGGCCTCGTACATGTATACAGGGTATTCTACTCAGGTACTACGTGCTTCTCCAACTGCCTAGACATGCACCAAGCTTTAGCGCCGCTGGTAATTCTGGAGCTTCCGAAGCACAAGATGCTCCCTTCGGTGAACGAGATGAGATGAGAGGCGCGAGGCGCCCCCAGCTTTCCGGACTGCCTCTCTGGCACTAGGCGGAGCATTAGTTTCCCGGCTGCTTGGTCCAGAGGCGAGGGGACCAGGGAGGGACATCAGATGGACCCAGAGCAGCCTGACGAGCAGCCCGTTTGCTAGCCCGGCCTGGCAGGACGGTTGGGACGGGGGCAGTCACTCTCCATGCGGAGTCAGTATAAGCAATTACCATTGCTCATCGCTCGAGTCGGCCAATGGCATGGCCATAATCCCGTCATCCGAATCGCGCCTGCGTTGATAAACTGCGGCGCACATTGACACGGCCGTTAGCCTCTTCGGCCTCCCAGGATCGACGTCGCGCTTTGATCCGCTCGCCGCCAGCTAGAGTTGATAAATCTACCGTTGGTCGCCCTCCCTCCTGGCTTTCCTTTCTGGTCACACTCGTCTCTGCATCTTTAGGCCCGTGTCACCAAACCTGCAAAAATGGGTATGTCAGTTTGTGTTACGTTTCTCTCTGGGGTAAACCCATGCAGGCCTAGCTAATTGACCACGCAGCGACCACCAACGGCACCGCGAACAATGAGTTCGTGGACCCGGAGAAGGTGAACCCCGAGGGTGACCACCATGCGCCCTACCTCGCTGCCAACATGGAGGAGGACTACGAGGGGAAGCCAACCGACGAGGAGCTCAAGACTCTGCGCAGAGTGCCCGGAAGCATCCCCATCCTCGCATACTTGATCTGCATCGTCGAGTTCTCGGAGCGAGCCTCGTACTACGGTGTCCAGCCGCTGATCAGCAACTTCGTCAACCGGCCACTCCCCCCGGATGGAAACGGATATGGTGCACCTCCTGCTGGCACCCAGCAGACTGCCGGTGCTCTGGGCATGGGCACCCAGGTCGCCAACGCCATTACCCAGTCCTTTTCCCTGATCGCCTATGCTTCGCCTCTCATCTTTGGTTACATTGCCGACGTCAAGACCGGTCGCTACAAGATGATCTTCTGGGGCGTCCTGGTCTTCGGTATTGCCCACGTTCTGATGGTTGCCGCTGGTGCAAAGGACCTTCTGGCAAATGGGAACTCCAAGATCCCCTTCTTCATCTCTGTGTACATCCTTGCCATTGGCGCCGGTAAGCTATGCCAACCCAAGCACTCCTGGCCGTCTATGTCTAACTCAACCCTGCACAGCCATGTTCAAGCCGTGTGTGTCTCCTCTCCTGCTGGACCAGATGACCACGACGGTGCCAACCGTTGTGACCACCAAGAAGGGCGAGCGCGTGATTCAGGACCCCGAAGCCAGTACCGAGCGTATCATGCTGTGGTTCTACTTGATGATCAACATCGGTGGTTTCATGAACGTGGCAACCGCGTACATTGAGAAGTACGTGGGTTGGTGGTTGGCATTCTTGGTGCCGCTCTTCCTCTACCTGCCCCTGCCCTTCCTCCTCATCTTCCTCCGCAAGCGCCTGATACTCCACCCTCCTGGTGGCAGTGACCTGGGTAAGATCATGAAGGTCTTGGGTATCTGCATCCGCTCTGCTGGTCTGAAAGGGTTTGGTCGCAAGGGTTTTTGGGAGGCAGCCAAGCCCTCTGTCATCCGCGCCAAGGGCCTGAACATCCAGACGACGTGGAACGACCAGTTTGTCGAGGATGTTCGCCGAACCTTCCAGGCCACTGGCATCTTCTGCTTCTTCCCGATCCAGTACCTCAACGATAACGGTATCGGTTCCGCTGCCAGCTTCCTGTCCACAATGCTCCAAACCAACGGTGTGCCGAACGATGTTATCGGTAACTTCAACACACTGAGCATCATCTGCTTCGCCCCAATTCTGAACTATGGTCTTTACCCCTTTCTTCGCAAGACGGGTGTCCACTACGGTCCTGTTGCACGTATCACCACCGGTCTTGCCATGTCGTCAATTGGCGGCGCTGCTTATACCGTGTTGAACTACTATGCCTACAAGGAGTCCCCTTGTGGTGAGTACGGATCCAGCGACTGCACGATTGGTGATGGTGTTGCTCCCATCAGCATCTGGTGGATGGCTATCCCCTACGCCATTGGTGGCATCTCGGAACTGTTTGTCAACGTCCCTGCGTACGGCATTGCCTACTCACGTGCACCTGTCAACATGAGAGGTCTTGTCTCTGCCATCAACCTGTTCACTACGGCTGTCGCGTATGCCATCGGTCTTGCTTGCTCAGCAGTCATTACCGACCCATACCTGACCTGGGACTTTGGTGGTCCTGCCATTGTTGGTGGCGTTCTGACCATCGTGTTCTACTTTATGTTCCGACACATCGATGACGAGGAGTATGTCGTCAGCCAGGACAACGACAACGTCGACTACCACCTGGAGATGGAGGGTACCGCGAACGTCGTGGGCGAGAACCAGTTTAACAAGACCTCCAACCGTGGTGCGCCCATCACGGACAACGAGGAGATGATGATCTCCCAGAAGCAGTAAGGGAAACGAAGGCTCTGGCACCGGGAGATCGCAAACATTTTGTACAGCTGCTGGCTGTTGGAGTGGCGACTTCTAATGGGAGCATCCCTAGGATCCTGGGCGTACTTGACTGCTCGCTAGATCTACTTGGTGTACAATATATATGATAATGAAATACCACATATCGAGTTCAACTTTTGAAAACTTGCGACATGAGGTTGCTGTGTTGGCCTTGTGTGCGTACATCAATGGAGATGCCGCATTGGCTTCTATCCGGGTTGGAAGATGACTAGCACATGATTGCCAAGACTCCGAAGTCGTCGAGCTAAACTTCAGCTCACTCCCAAATTGAGTCATACATGTCGCATTTCGGATTGTACCTGACATACGTCTTAGACTCTCCTTCGCTAGCGAGATCGCAGGTCAGCTTTACCAGCATCTCATAGGATCGTATCACCCCAAGAACTTTAAGCAGTTCACGATGTCCGTTGTTGCTGTTGCCTCATCTCCTGATCACGAGTTCACCAAGCCGACGGTGAGCTCCATCACCTTGGTCAAAGATCTAGGGGTACAAGGAGACGCGCATTTTGGGCAGACGGTGCAGCATCGCTCTCGCCTGCACATCCAACCACCACCGCCAAACCTTCGCCAGGTCCATTTGATTCCAATTGAGTCACTTGTGGAGCGCAATCTGGCCCCGGGCGCAATCGGCGAAAACATAGCAACGCGAGGAATTCAACTGCTGCAGCTATCCACGGGGACGAAGTTACGGTTCGTGAAGGCCGGCGACGGGAGCGACGAAGAGGGCCCCGTCGTGGTGTTGACCGGAGTCAGGAATCCCTGCCCTCAGATAGAGAAGTATAGAAAGGGGCTGCAGCAAACGTTCATTGTTAGAGACTCGGAACGGAATATCGTCCGTAGGCTTGCCGGAGTGATGGCCACCGTGGAGGTTGGCGGTGATGTTACAGCGGATATGGCCATCATCATTGAGGAGCCTAAAGTGTATGTTCCTTTGACGCCTGTCTGAGCCAGGATGGAACGCAATTGTCACTGATGCACAGATACTTCGGTAGATTAAAGGTTCTTATTTGATATACCAATTCGATGACACGCCTTAGAAGCGCTTTCTGGCTGCCGGATCTGACCCTGTCTTGTGGTTCGGGAACTACGTGGAGGCCGCGGTCTGCCCGGTCAACCTTCCATTGTCTTAAGTACAGTGACCCATTCCATGCCAGCCAATATATAGATTTCTCCTCTGCCAGAAACATGTAGAAGACATGCATGTTCCCGGCGGACAACGCGGCGACAGAATCGCCAACAGTAGATGAGGCGATGGCATCGCGGCTGCGAACATGCGGCTAGCACTAGTCCACTTACGCAACGTGACAAACGGATTAACCACAGGCACGAGTGCCTCCCGAGGCCATCTAATGCGATGTCGAAATGCCCCCCGTTGAGTTCTCTCCCAGAACTTCTCCTCGTTCATCACCCTTCGCATTGCCCCAGGTCGACTGAGCAACAAGCGAACTCCGCCGAAGGGACGCCCGACAGCACGCAACCATCATCATGGGCAAGCGCCGAGGCAGACCGATCAAAAAATGGGGCACCGACACACAGGAGGCCACTTCGGAGGGCCATGTTGCTGTCTCAATGGCATCTCTCAGTCTTTTGACTCCGAGTGCAAGCCCAAGCCCAACGCCGACGCCGACGTTGCTCAGCATTCCCCATGAAGTGAGAGACAGTATCTACGAATATCTTCTTGCTGTCGACAGATTTTTCGAGGCTTCCCTCGACCCTGGTCTAACCCAGCTTGCTGTCAACCAGCAGATTCGTGCCGAAGCGTAGGACACCATCATATACACCAACGTCTGGATCCAACTCAATCTCGTCAATCAGCCAAATCTCACCGTTCACAGTGATCAGATACATCCTCATACTTCAAGTTCAAGGATTTTGGGATGGACGTCAACACAAAGCGACTACAAGCTGCTGTGAGCTACAGTATATCGGTTAAATGGTGAAGATCAAATCAGCCAATCAGTAGCAACATCATACTGCTGACCGGCCTCTCATCTGTATTTGGCTATCCGAAACGTATTTATGTTAATGAGGTATATCTTATTCATCGGTTCGACTCTACCTCCATGGTGAATCTTTCTAGAACGAGTTCAACGACCTTTTCGGTGTGTAATGCACTAGGCAGAAGGGGTATACATGTAGTAAAAGATAAGACAGATGAAGGGAAGTGAATATTCGAAAGGCTAGAGAAAAAAAACAAGAATCAAAACAACTCTCCAGGGGGCAAAAAGAGAATCTCTTCAGGCTGAAGAGGATATTGATGATGAGAGTGGGATTCGAACCCACGCCGGGTTACCCCGATGAGGAAATTGATGCTAAGATTTTGACCTTAACCTCACGCCATGGACCAACTCGGCCATCTCACCAATCGCTTGTTGAAATTCTGCTGTTTAATTGAACCCATGTGTCATGCATTGCAGAGATTTCTCATTTTTTGTCCTTTCAAAGCGAGTAACTTAGTTCGGTAAATCCTGTGGATCATCGCGTTGTCTGGTTGGGGACGAATAGGCTAAAGTTTAACTAGGTCTTGATCGGTAGCAAGAGACTATATAAGTGGAGTCTCACATAGGACGTCCAGCAACTGCTGAACGTACACGAAGGTTCGGCTCGAAAGGCCTAGAAGCTCAAATTGAACACCAGGCGGGTCGCTTCTACGTATGAGGCTCTAATGCGCCGAATGACATTGATCAAAGGTACAGCTGAACATTGGTCCTTGACTGCACCATGAATGATGAGCCCATGATTATGATGTAAGGGGCATGATCTTGATAGTTGCTAATGAGTTTAGGCTGGACGATAGCAACCCGATTTTTTGGTCTATGTCTATTGCTGGAGATTCTGCTTGACTCGATAATACCAGGTGTGAACCAAGCTGGGAGCACATGACACTCGGAATCCCACTATAATTGCCTTAACTATAATTGACAGTCACACGCATGGAGCAAGTGCCTACCCTTGGCCTCTATATGTGCAGCTCTCGTGAGATGATGATTGGTTGATGCTTCTCACCCCGGTCTGGCGGGGTTTATTGTTGAGTGCGACTTCAGCCGCACGAGGCTGGCGCGTGCGGCCTCTCACCTTAAGCATACCTTCGCCCGATGTTACGCGCCCTCGGGACTGAACTTTCGGATGCCTCGTATAATGTAGATCTGAAGGCACGGGCGATGACGAACGTACGTCGGATCGGGTTCACGCAGCTCTCGGCTAGCGACGAGTTTGCAACCGCTGCATATCGAGTGAAGTATGGTGGTAAGGGTCACTGTGAAGTCACCAACCTACTAACATACTCTCAGTGTTATATTAGTTCACGGCCTACGAGGTCATCCGCAGACAACATGGGAGGACGACCGAAAACAATCAAAGGACGACGAGCAGCTCGCATCTTCAGGGCGGAGGTCGGGTTTCAGATCATTTTTCACACCTAGGCGCCGGACCGGAAAGACAAACCGTCCCCACCAACAAAGCGATGACGCCTCAGGCGAAAAGATTTTCTGGCCCTCCGACTATCTTGTCGGCGACCTCCCAGACGCAAGAGTGTGGACATATGGCTATGATGCCGATGTCATCGGAGGGATGTTCGATGCCAACAACAAGAATAGTGTATCGCAACATGGCCGTGACCTAGCGGTCAAACTTGAAAGGGACATTGACAACACGGTTCATCTCCTCCATCATACCGTATCGCGAGCGCGACGAAACTAACTGTTGATTGTGAAAGGAACCAATCATTTTCGTTGCACATAGCCTCGGAGGTGTCATTGTCAAGGATGTACGTAGTCATTGGGGTACAGATTACTAGAATCTGGCTAATAATGATAGGCACTACGTCGCTCTGTAACTTGCCGTTTACGAACACGCCTTGTTGTCTTTTTGGGCACGCCTCATCATGGCAGTTCTTCGGCAGGATGGGGCTTGATCGCGTCAAACCTCGCTAGCGCTGCATTGCAAGACTCTAACAGGACCATACTCAGGGCACTTGAGGTGAATAGCGAAGTGCTCGACAATATCCAAGAAGAATTCCAGCGTCTGGCTTTTGAGCAACGTATTGCAGTCCACTCTTTTCAAGAAGCCAAAGGGCTCTCGGGTGTCAAGGGACTCTCTGGAAAGGTAGGCCTCGACTGAATTCATTGTCGAACCGGAGTCTGACGTGTCTCTCTTCAGGTTGTCGATGATTTCTCCTCCAAAATTGGGCTGCCTCCGCCTTTGGAGACAGTTGAGAGCATTGATGCAAACCATATGCAGATGGCAAGATGTACGGATAAAGATGATGCACAATATCGAGGCATTTATGGGGTACTGCGGCAGTTCATCCGAAGCAGTTTACCCCAGGAGACACATGCTGTGAAACAATCAGGTGCAGAAGATGCCCCAGGTGGCAGCAATATTTTGTTGGCCAACAGTGGCCGGGGCATCTCTGCTCGTAAGTGAGCTTGTTCCCAGACAATTTGACTGCAACTGGAACCCCTAACAGTATAATAGGTAATACTCGTCCGCCGCTATTCCTCATACCGCTTATGCAGAATAGGAACTTCGTGGGGCGATCTACAGCTCTAGAGACACTCCAAGACAAGTTCTTCGTTAGCAAAATTTCCCATAGAGTAGCCATTGTTGGATTGGGTGGAGTTGGGAAGACGCAGATTGCATTGCAACTTGCTTACTGGATCAAGGCGAACTTGGGAAATGTATCCATTTTGTGGGTCCCCGCGTTAAGTCAATCGAGTTTTGAACAGACATACACTGAGGTTGCAAGGCGGCTAGGAATTCGAACCAAGAAGGACGAGGACACCAGCGCTAAGGTGCGACAGTACCTAGAGTCTGGTCGCGCAGGCAAGTGGTTCCTGATTTTGGATAACGCCGATGACATGGACGTTTTGAACGGATCGCCGAGCTCAGAGGGTGGTATAATTCGTTATTTACCTGAGAGCGAAGATTGTCCAATCTTGTTCACAACACGATCTCGGGATGTAGCTTTGGCAGTCGCGGGTAGTGACATTATAGCCGTGGAGGAGATGGACCAGAAAGAAGCAGGCGACTTTTTGGCCAAATCGGTAATGCAGAAGGACAGCCTTCGAGACGCAGAGGCCACTCGAGATCTTTTGCAAGAACTCACCCATCTGCCTCTGGCTATCGCACAAGCGGCAGCATATCTCAACCGCAACCCTCAAGTATCTATCAAGAGATATCTTGAGCTGGTGAGAGGGACCGAGGACGACGCCGTAAGACTTTTGAGCAGAGAATTCCACGATAGCACGAGATACCGAGGCGGACAGAATGCTGTGGCGGCAACGTGGCTGGTGTCTTTTGACCGAATCCGAGACGTTGATTCTGGCGCAGCTGACCTCCTTTCATTCATATCCCTCATTGAGCCAAGGGCGATCCCTCGATCACTGCTTCCCCAGAAACAAGCGGCTGTGGAAATGGAAAGCTCTATTGGTACCTTATGCGGCTATGCGTTCCTTGTCAGCCGTGACGATGGAACTACTTACGATATGCACAGGCTGGTGCATATCGCCTCGAAGATGTGGAATAGAGAAGAGCATCAACTGCAGCGGATGAAGCTCGATAGCATTCTACACATGGCCGAAGTATTCCCAGGCAATGATCCAGCACACCGTCGCTTATGGAGAACATACTTACCACACGCAATTCGGTTATTGCAAGAGACACACGACGTTGAAATCGAACAGAAGTTTCTCCTTCTTGGTCTAGTCGCAGGGGCGTTGCATGAGGACCGGCGAGTTGCGGAAGCTTTGAAGTATTATCTGATAATCCACGGGTACAGAGCTAGGTACCTCCCTGAAACCGACCGGAAGCTGGTACAAGCCAAGAAAGACCTTGCCGGCGCATACACGAACAGCAGAAGGAGTAGAAAAGGAATGGCGATATTGAAGCCCTTGGTAGAAGTCTGCAGAGTGACCTTTGGCGAAGAAGACCTTCTGAGATTAGATTCAGAACATGAACTCGCCTCGGCCTATCTCGACAACGGGCAGGAGACGGAGGCGATAGAAATTCTCGAACACGTGGTGAAGGTGACCGGTCGGACGCTGGAAGAGAACAGTCGCCAGCGTCTAGCATCGCAATACATGCTGGCACGTGCATATCTCGAGACCAGCCGAGTCGGCGAGGCGATAGCTCTGTTGGAATACGTCGTCGGAATCATCAGTCGGACGCTGGCCTTGGATGATCCCAACCGACTGTTGGCGCAGTATGAGCTTGGAAGGGCCTACCTCGGAGGAGGGCAGATTACAAAGGCAATCGAAATTCTAGAGCACGTCGTGGCTCTAGAAGCGGACTTTATGGATGCTGATGATTCCAGTCGACTGTTGACATTATATTGGCTGGGAAGTGCATACGTTGAAGGAGGCAAGATTAAAGAGGCGGTCGAGATTCTGGAGCATGTTGTGGCTGTGGAAGCGGGCTTGCTGGATGCGGATGACACCGAAAGACAGGCCTCCGTCAGATTATTGGAAACCGCACGTGCAAGGGAATTGGCGGCGCGTTCTCCTGATAGAGACTATGCGTCGTAGAAGCTCTGCATCTCGTGAATATATTAGCTACATTGTAAAGTTGAGCGACATCCTGGTACTTATCCCGGTCAGTCGCATGGAGAAGCTTCCTTAGGTAAGTCTTCGTGACTAGATACCTAGACACTTTGAATACTCTATGTGGAATACAGTGTTGGTGTTGAGTGTCTGGAGAGTCATTGTGCCGCCCGGGGTTTTCAATCATGTAGGATATATCACTAGGTTGGGAAAGGTAATGCGGTTCAGCTCATGCCACAGAGCTCAGTCACTTGTGTTGGACGATTCTTCCACCAGTGACCTCTGCTACCTCACCATTATACCTCCGATCGTACCGTAGCCAGAACTCTGGGGGCTGTGGTCCAGATGTACGCCGGTGGTAGCAAGTCCCTCCCAACCCCTTTCAAGAACTGCCCACTGTTCAAGCACGCGCCTGGGCCCATTGGTCACCCGGGTGAAGTCTTGGGATTGCTCCTCACGCAATAGTCGTCTCCAAGTTTACCTACTTAACTTACACTGTATACAGCATGTGGGCACAAGATAGGTCATGGGCGAAAGAATTAGGTACTGATGGAGTCTATTACCGGAATTCGTCTACCGTTGCCGCGTTCACTCTACCTTGCCCTTTTATTTCACCTTTTTTTCGTTCTCGTTTCTTTTTTTCTTTGTGGCCAGGAGATTCTAGTTTGCGCTCCCGGAGGTGTTGGTCTGCTTCCTGGCCAGCTCGTCGTGCTCCTCAATGTCGAGGGCCTCCCAGGGATAGCAGATCCACACGTCGTCGACCGTCCTCGAGGCGTGGTAGTTGTGCTCGGTCATGATGGAGCTGGGCAGGGTGCCCTTCTTCGGCTTGTCCTTGTTGTGCAGGACGAAGATGGCGAACCTTGTCTCCTCGGTGCTGCCGAGCTTCTGGCGGACGGCCTCGACGTCCTTCTCCAGCTCCTTGACGGCGTACTCGAGCGTGGTACGGGTGTCGTCAACCTCGTCGACGATGAGGATGCGCTTGCCGACCAGGTTCTCCATGCCGCCCAGGCTGCTGAGGTCGAGCCACTGGGTGCGGGTGACGCGGTGGCCGATCTGCTCGACGGCGCCCGGGGTCGAGGTGCCGCTCTTGGGGTCCATCTCGGGCAGCTGCTCGTACAGCGACAGGCCGATGGCCTGGATGGGGATGTTGGGCGAGCCGGCGCGCTTGAGGAAGGAGCGCAGGATGCGGGCGGGCACGTAGCCGCCGCCGCCGATGGCGATCATCAGGTTGGGCTCGAAATCACTGAGGATCTTGACGGCCGACTCCTGGCACAGCTTGTGCACCTGCAAGACACGGGTCGTGTTAGAGCCAAGCCATCGCAATCGCACGCAACGTCAAAATCAAAGTAGGTCGTCTCCTCCGCTCGTCATGGGCACAGGCGCGCGCGCGCGCATACACACACACAAGTTGGAATGTGTATGTAAATGGAGTGAGTTCATGGGGCCCCAAGCGAGTCTTGTCCTCTGTCTGGCAGAGACTCGCCTTCTCTTCCCCTCCCCCCCTTCTTTTTTCTCTTGTATATATATATATATATATATTCTCTCTTTCTCTCTCTTTCCATTCGTTGGCATCCATAAATGTTGTCGTCTGTCTGGTCACGATTGCGACGGGGCAGCAGCTGCGGCGGCAGCGCGGGGTACTGGACTCACGTCATTGTATGTGATGTAGATCTTCTCGACCATTTTGGCGGTGTTGGCAGTGTCTCTTGCACGGAGGTCTGGAGGAGCGGCGAAACACGACAAAAAAAGAAAGAAAGAAAATGACAGCAGGCAGAGGGTCTACAGCCGAAGCAACAGTCTGCTCTCGGACGTGCACACGGGGGTTTGGAGGCCCAAGTAGAAAAGATGAACATGAAAATCATCCATGGGGCCCGTCGAAAATTTTAGAGGGGCAATGCCAGCCTGCAGCAACGCTGGACGCTGGACGCTGGACGCCCCGAGGACCCCACCCCACTGCAGTGCTTCTACTCCTACCTATGTACCCTTGTACGCGCGCAGGTCGGCGCCGGTTTGGGAAAGTCGACGGCGCAGCGGTCTGGTCTGGCACCCGGTTAGGTTTCTGTTACAGTCCCCAGGGGCCCAAAGTTACAGGGCGCCCAGGTACCTATTGGTGAGTGACTCAGGGCCTCTCCCCCCCGCGCTCTGTGTCACTGGCGCCGCCTTGGCAGGAAAATCCAGCTTGGTGGGGGCCACAGGAGTCCGCCGATTCCCTATGCGACCTCGATGAGTTGGCGCGTAGCGTGCTCTGTGTACCCCAGTTAGTCTAGTTAGTCCTAGGTATGCCGGTATGTAAGACGGGGACTCGATCAGCCGTCACAGACAGTCAAGACAGTCTACGAGCCATGATGTTCCAACATGCACCCCATGTACGAGGTTCATCATCCTACCGAGTTCCCAACTCAATGTGACACTTGGTAATCATTGTGGCCGAGTCAACTATGAGATCTCAGAAGTCTACGCGAAAAATTCCAGCTCGCCGCAGAAGATGGTCGTTTAACGGAACGTGACATAGCGGGTGTAGACCTCCTGCTGGATTATAGCTACGAATAAGATGTCGTCTATTAAACCACCCATGCCCTGCGTATAAGGGCGATGAAGTTGTAAGTCTTGAGATGGACACCACGATAATTTAGTTTCTTGATCTACCCTACTACGGCCTTGGCTGTAGCACTGCCCAACTGAGAGGGGCTGGTTTGTAATCCAAAAGAAAAAGAAGAAAAAACGTACGTCTCTTGATTATATCCTAACATGATTCATAACTCAAAGTTGTGGTTACATCGCTATCCTTTACTTCCAAGGCGGAACACCAGTATTTGCATAGCTCGCCAGATATCACTACGCAGCCTAGATGTACTCTCCGCGAGCGCGGGCTAGGAGCTAGCTATTGTGCGTCGCAAATCAGTGAAGTGAAACCTGGACTCCAGAAGTATTTCGTGATCAGAAATATACAAGATTAGAGAGAACCACCTGGTGCCAGCTGAGGGCCACCTCACTTCATCCGCCAGGATCTTTGTCATCACAATTCCTTCCAAATCTCCTTCCATTGACTCTGACCCAACCAACATAGCCACAGGTTCCAAGCCGGGCAGAATCTCCACATCTCTCATTCCTGTTCGCACGCTTTTGCCTGGCCCCCGATTCCGTCTTATTCGCGCAAAACCAGCGTGGGAATTCCTCGGCACAGACGTCCCGCTCACCCACGCTCGTCTGCTCATGTCGAATGAGCGGCAATAAACTCCGGCCATTCAACAACACACGACCTGGCCCGGCTAGCTCAATTGGTCAGAGCGTGGGACTTTTACGCCTGGTTGCCTCTCTGGTCTCCTGTGAAATGTTCAAGTCCATCCCAAGGCTGTGAGTTCGAGTCTCACGTCGGGCGATTATCTTTTTTCGGTCATTTAGGCCCAAAGCCGGCAATAGCGTTGGTTTTGGTATTTCACGGTGGTTCGTTCGTTCGTTCCATTTGCTCTCCCCCGCTGGCCTAATGCATTAAATGCTTTGATGTGCAGGCGTGATTGCAGCCTTTGACCGGCTATATCTAACATGTAGATATGGAAGCTGACCGGCACTGAAGAGTCATGTCTCGGGGGTATGATAGACATGTATGTGCAGGTTCTACTTTGTTTGAACTTCTTTCTAGCCACTATATAGGTATCTGCGCTCTGTTTTGGGAATGCACGGCGCCAACCGTGCTTCACTACCGGCAGGCAGGTACGGAAAACAGATTGATACACGCGGTCAGTCCCTTCCTTCCCTATCGCTGCCATCTATACCGTTCCGTTGCCCTTCTTGAAGATATCCAACGGAAACGCGTCCGCAATGGCTTGGTAGCCGGCCGGGTTCGGGTGCAGGTGGTCGCCACCATCGTACTGGCTTGCCAGGTTGGCCGCATTGCTGCTACTTGCCAGTATCTTCGCAAAGTCCACCGTCGCATCGAAGCTCCCATCCCCGCCGCTCAGGATCCACTTGTTCACCCGCTGCCTCGTCGCATCTCTCGTCGGGTTGCTGTAGCTCTGGCCGCTGCCGCCAAACGGCGTTATTGTAGCACCAAACACCTGGATGCCTGCCTTGTGCGCATCAGCAGCGATCTGCTTGAAACTCGAGATCAGTTGGTCACCGATGCGCGTCTGCGTGCCCGAGTCCGTAGAGCCGCCTCCGATGTCATTCACGCCTTCGAATATGAGGACGTACTTGACGCCCGCCGTCGACAGGAGGTCACGCTTGTACCGCTGCATCAGAGGTGGGCCGAGGCCGCCCGTCAGCACCGTGTTTCCCCCGGCTGCTTGGTTGTTGACGCCAATGTTGGTCAGTCCCGACTTCTGCATCTTTGCCAGTACGAGATCAGGCCAACTGGATAGTGCTGGTCAGTTCAGTCGCGATGGGATAGGGCAAAGGTGGTCACATACCGGTTGTTCGCGTTGTCTGTGCTCCCACGACCGTCTGTTATACTATCGCCTAGAATCACGAGTGCGGAGGACGTTCTGGGTGCCCATGCCTCAACAACACTGACAAAGTACCAGTGTGCCGTGCTGGCTCCCGTTACCGTCGACGCATTGACGTGGTTTCCCTGCTGCATCCACGACGTCGTTCGGCTGCCGGGATGGCCGGTGATGCTGCTTCCGGACTGCCCAGCTTGAAAGTACAGGTTGATGGTGATCATGGATTGCGCTTCGACTTTGAAATTGACTGGGTCTGTGTACGCAACTTGACCCCTTGGAATCGTCGCAGAACTGGAGCCATTGAATGTAAGTCCGACCAGGCTCGTCGTGTCGATGCCATTCACTCCCGCCTTTCCGCCGGTAGGGAGCGCGATCGACGCAGCCGTGATAGGGAGGTCACTACCGCCGAAGGTGTTGGAGATCTGGAAGCGGATCTTCTCGGCGCCAATGGAGAGATGTAGCGTCTGTCGCAGAGTCGCGTCCTTGAACATCGAGGCCCCTTGCTGGTGGCTTGGTCAGAATAACTTCACCACTACGTCGTCCACAATGGTCATGACATACGAAAGGCGACGGGGGCAGGTTACTCTGCTCTACCAACTGCGGCATCGAAGTCCATGTAGCAACCCAGTGAGAGTCATCCTGCCTCTCCTCAAGGGCTGTCACGTCGGTAGGCAAAGCATGGGAGCAGTTTGATAGCAAGAGCAACCCGAAGGCCCCGAGGCCAAGGCTCCTCAGTTTCCTCATGAAAGTGTAAGACATATTAGTTTCCAATCGGCCACAACAAGCCGCCAAGACACAGAAGGGAATGCCATTTCACAGTGTTTGCGGATTCCAGGTTGAAATAGGCTGCAGACATCAAAATCGGACAGGGAGCCTCCGCTGTATATTCTTCCACAAATTGGACATTTAGCCTCAGCTATGTCGGTCTCAAGCGATGTGGGAAGTCCCCACAGACACAATTCGACCAGATCCGGGGAGACTGGACGGACGATCCGAACGAGCTGCTGTTCCATGACGGCGGCAACGGGCACCGAACCTAAGCGACGATGAACAGCTCTCCCTGGACCTGGACGCTGTTCCCGCTCGTCGTCATTGGCGGATCAGACCCGAGGGATAAAAACATTCCCGGGTGGGTTCGACTTCCCCGGACTTGGCAGATCTGGCTACGGGAAGGTGCATGATAAGATCTCGAACCCCTGGCTTATGAAAGATAGCTTGAGCATTGCTAGTTTTCCATCTTTTCTTGTCGTTGTTGATTCCACGAGTCTTTGGCACGCCTCTTTGCACCGTCACGGAATACTCACCACCAGTTGGCAGCCGACGAAAACCCGAAGCGAGGACCCAATCCGCCAAGGGACCTACACCTCCGATTACCGGCACGTTCCCGTCCGCTCCGTAATGCAGGGCCAGGCGGTGAGATAGCCCGTATCGCGAGAGGTGACTTGTGTACTGAACACGGTGACATGCCTCGACGAATGGGAGGGACTGGTGCAAAGGATGACCACTTGCTATGGGTCGACAAGCGCTAGCGGTCGTTCCACCAGAGAAGATTTTTGAATCTTTCGATGTCTGTCCCCAGGTCTCCAGGGACACAGGGCCTAGCACTGGCTGGCTGGACTCTTCGAGACGCAGCCCAGGTTGATTGCCCCTCCATCGACCCCTCGGACCCCCCTCTGCCCCTCCGTAGGTGCAATTGGCTACTCATTCGGCCAGCGCCAGAATGCCTACGTGTGTACATCTTGACAGAGGGTTGTTTGAGATCCAGGAGGCTCCCAGGTACCCAAGGTACACGGCAAAAAGGCACCAAAGCCTCTATTGCTCTGACTATCCGCACCTTGGGCACTTTGGGCAGAATGACCCGGGACGGAGGTAGCATAGCACAGCATCATGGATGCATCCATCCATCCATGTCCACTGCATTGGATGTACCCGAGGAGGGGGAGGGGTGGGATTTTTTTTCTAGGGTCCACGCTCGACCGCATGACGCTTGCGAAGACGGCGGCGAGACCACGATTCCGATTTTCCCATTGGCACCAGACGACTGCTGTCTACTTCGTGAAAACCAAATCACAGTTGACAAGACACGGACGTCAGACACATCACTGTGAATTTTAGAGTCAATTGGCACCCCCAGAGTCGAATTGGCGCTGCTGTACGGAGTAGCAGATCTTACATCATACCACTTGGACCAAAAGTCGACGGAATCCCGCCCTCCACACTTTTTTTTTTCTGGGCACTGAGCTCATCTGAGTCATATCGCCAGACCTCGAACGCCTTCTCACCGACGACTGCATATACCTTGTCGCCGTCTTACATCTCTTCTCCCACTTCCACTTCTGCTGCATTCACCAGCCCTTGCGACTTCTCTGACGACTTGTCTTCGTCTGCGGCGTACAACATTAAAGCAGGCGACTATCCGTTGCACCCGTCTTCCCCGTCCGTACACACACACAGCACACAGCACACAGCACACAGCGACTCGTTCTCGCTTCGAGAGATCGCTTGTAATTCAGCTCGACACCCGCCAGCGGATTGTTTCCTGGCAGCTTTGACAGCTCTTCCAGACCCGTTCTTGCGTCACATAAACCACCAGTGCCGGGAGTCGACATGGCAGCCATCCAAGTGGACGATACCAGAAGTACGTATAGACCGCCCGAACCCTAGAGAGATCTCATCTTGCATTACCTTCTGCGTCCTCGCTTGAGCCGACTTACTCCCCAAGCTCTGGCTTTCCCTCGACGTTCCCGCGCATACTAGCGAGTATACGTTCGATGCGCCGTCGTGGACCTTTTACCCATTAAGCAGTTGGCTACTCTATACATGGTTTTTACTCTTTTGCTTTTGCATTGCGATTCCACCTCTCACTTCTAGTTCTGAGAAAAGAACCATGTTTGCTGACGACGCATCAGTCCTGGGTCAGGATCCCCTGATCCCACCCGCCCTTCTGATCTCGGAGATTCCTATGACCGAGACTGCACTGCAGACTGTGTTGAAAGGGCGCCGGGAAGCTGCCGCCATTGTCATGGGCCAGGACGACCGCCTGCTGGTCGTCGTCGGCCCTTGCTCCATCCATGACCCTGCCATGGCTCACGAGTACTGCACGCTGCTTCGCGAGCTCTCGGAGAAGCTCAAGGGTGACCTCTGCATCGTCATGCGTGCCTACCTCGAGAAGCCGCGCACGACCGTTGGCTGGAAGGGTTTGATCAACGACCCCGATATCGACGAGACTTACAAGATCAACAAGGGCCTCCGCATCTCGCGGCAAATGTTCTGCGACCTCACCTCCAGCGGCATGCCCATCGCCAGCGAGATGCTGGACACCATCAGCCCCCAGTTCCTGGCCGACCTGATCTCGGTAGGTGCCATCGGCGCCCGCACGACCGAGTCGCAGCTGCACCGAGAGCTGGCCAGCGGTCTGTCTTTCCCCATCGGTTTCAAGAACGGCACCGACGGCAGCTTGGGCGTGGCCATCGATGCCATTGGCGCCGCGGCCGCTAAGCACCACTTCATGGGTGTGACAAAGGAGGGTCTGGCTGCCATTACGCGCACAAAGGGCAACGAGCACGGTTTCGTCATCCTCCGAGGTGGTACCAAGGGCACCAACTACGACGCCGAGAACGTCAAGGCGGCCAAGGAGACCTTGATCAAGAAGGGCCAGAAGCAGGCCATCATGGTCGACTGCTCTCACGGTAAGTTACGGCCTCTGGCCAGAGTCAATTTTCTGGCCAGAGTCAATTTTCATGCAGGCAGACTGACGAATGACGGCTCCAGGCAACTCGAACAAGGACCACCGCAACCAGCCCAAGGTGGCCAAGGTCATTGGCGACCAGCTCAGGGAGGGAGAGAAGGCCATTATCGGTGTCATGATCGAGTCCAACATCAACGAGGGCAACCAAAAGGTCCCGGCCGAGGGGCCAGCGGGTCTGAAGAAGGGCGTCAGTATCACGGATGCCTGCATCGACTGGCAGTCGACAGTGACCGTGCTGGAGGACCTGGCTTCGGCAGTGCGCGCCCGCCGGGAGAAGAACGGACCCAACGGCCATGCCAACGGCAACGGCCAGGTCACGATCTTGGAGGAGGAATAAACCCCCCTTGTCTGGGGTGTATGATCGGAGCCAGGATAAAAGAAAAAGGGGCGAGCGCGGGGAGATACCAACAAGAGACAAAAGTAATGATTAGTTCTGACGAGATGGGAACTGACGGTAGTCGGGAGGAGGCACAACGATCATGGCGTTCATGTCTTTTAGATTGCATTCTGGGCGGAATGAAGATGTCTGCATCCCAGACTGGACTATGTCCCCCCTACGTCCCATGTCGCCCGACGGCGCATTTTCCGGATATGTGATGGTTGTGTGCAAACATGTATAAATCGAACCGGAACTCCATTCCTTCCCCAGGCCAGGGTTGTGTACCCAAAGACTGCGATTTCGTCCTGTGCTTCACCGCGAAACCCCCACGGGTGCATAGGCCCCTCTGTCCTCCTGCCCCGCCCGCCCGGTGGGCAGGCCGATGCCACCGCCGGCGCCGATCTTCTTGCTCTCGCGGAACTCGACGAACCTCTTGACGGCGGCCCAGCCGAGCAGGCCCAGGGTACCGACGATGAAGCCCCAGACGATGATCATGTCCTTGCGGCTGTCGCGCTGGAAGCACATGGTCACGACGTCCTTCTCCTGGGCGTCCTTGCAGATGGGCAGGTTGTAGCCGAGGCAGAAGGCGCGGGTGCACTGGGCGCACGAGCTCGAGGCGGCGCGCCGAGCGAGGGCGTTGGCGGGGGGTGGCGAGGTGGTGAAGGGATTCAGCGAGCGGAAGAAATTGTTGTTGTTGTTGTTCGGCGAAGGCGGCGTGGGGGCCGGGTCGGCGCCGTTGGAGTCCTTGGGCCCCAGGCGCACGATGGTGCTGTTGGTGAAGCATGTGCATTTGCAGAAGGTCGGGGCGGCTGTATAGAGAGCGATGAGCATCGTGTTCGTCCAAGTCTGTTGCTTCTCCAGACGACGATACATCAAGCGAAGTATGAAGGGGCCCGCGATGACGAGTGTAAGCGGTGGATGCGTTGGGAGCACGTACATTCTGCAGCTGCGAGAGCCACCAGGGCTCCGAAGAGCAGCAGGAAGATGTTGAGGCGCATCATGACAGGATCATGTGGGGGGGCGGGCGTGATGGCAGAGACGGAGGGAGACGAGGAGAGGCTGTCTAGCAGCTAGTCGCCGGGTATGGTATCAATGCATAGGACGACGAACTAGACTCTAGCATCCGATGAATAGTCGGTCTGTCTCCCGCGGGTGCTGGCACCGTATTGTGAAGTCACAGCACTGCAGTCTATCCAATACTTATCAAAGAGCAACGAGGAACGATGCGACACGATTAGTTGATCGATACGAACGGGAAGCTGTCGCTGATGCACCGCCACATCCGCAGAGACCCAGGGGCCAGCTGCTGCAAGCATGCGCGATGTACCTCCCCAACCGGCATGTGCCCAATTGAGGCGCCGGCGTTGGCTATCTACCATAGTCAGTACCTGATGAGGTACTTCAGCGCCTTGTTAGTTGGCTGGCCAGGTCAGTGGCTGGGCTCCAGAGCTCCAGGGTCCGTCAGCCACAGCGCAAGGCCGGCGGGCAAACACGGTGCACGGTGCACGGTGGATGGTGGGAGGTGGAGCCCGCGATCCGGGCCCGGCGAAAAAGTTCACGTCCCTTGCACTCATCTCGTCTCGAGCTAGACGCGAACACCCCCTACGACAACGACGACGAACCGACCCATTGCAGCCCAGGAACCCTTTTCTCGGGCGCACCAGACCAACATGCGGAGGATAGCGCGCTTAAGGAAGCCTGCAGGCTGGCTCGCCCCCTCGTCGCGATGCCCCGTTGCATCTCTGTCCCGCGCTCAGAGCGCTGCTGCCTCGACCTCGGCCGGAGCTCCTCTTCCCACAGCCTCCCGCACCGCGGCAACGACCAGACTAGCTGCCACAGTGGCACGGCAGGTGCGATTCTACTCCGTAAAGCCCGGGTCCCTCCCCGCCTCCCTCGCCGATCAGCCCGAGCCAGGCGTGTCAGCCCCCGAGGACCAGCTCGCCGCCCTCGAGGAGGCAGAGCTCCTGGAAGAGGAGGCTGGCTGGACCGATGCCATCCCTTACCGCCTGCCCCCCAACCGACATCCCGCCGAGCGCCCCGACGCAGTCTCCGACCCGTCCTACACCCCCGCCGAGACCTCGGACGGCTTGGCCTCGGTCGGTGGCCTGGAGAACTGGTGGGACCGCCCTGAGAACCGCGCCGAGGGAAGCGACTTTGCCAGCTTCAGGGCCAGGAGGAAGGTCCAGCACCCGGATGTTCTGGAGACGGCCGTGCGCCGGGCTGTGGTCGAGGCCACCGCCCTGAGGATGGTGGGCCGCGAGGGCGACCTGGTGGGCTCGTGGCCCATCGGGACCGACGTTGAACTGGAAAGCGTGCTTGCCCAGGATGTACAGCTCGGCCAGGACGGTGCCGCCGTCATCGCTGGCGATTTCCAGTCGGTCGCTCGAGGCTTGACTGCGGATACGGAAGCCGCCGAGACCGACTCGGCCGTCCCAATGCCCTCGACCAAGGAAGCTGCTGCTTACCTGGAGAAGTGGGACAGCAGCTGGAGACGCATCCCCTTGGCCGATCCGCGCATCAAGTTCGCCGTACGCCAAGCCTTCCCCTCCCACCCGATTCTTCCTGCATACTAATTGGGCATCCAGGTCACCAAGCGTGTCTTCCAGCTGACGGGCCAGCTCATTCCAGACCACAAGCTCTCCGACATCCACACCGTCGCCGGTCTCTTGGCCGCCGTCAAGACGCCGCCCAAGGCCAAGACCCTATCCCAAGATATCCAAAAGACCAAGCAGGACCTCGTCAGCCTGCCCAACCTTGCCTTCTCGCCGAAGCGCGTGACCAGGGCCGACAAGGCAAAGGCCGTGGGCCAGTACAAGATCATCGAGGAGGAGCTCGCCAAGAGAGACCTCCAGCACGGCCCCTTGTCCGTCCCGCCTAGCAGGGAAAAGCACTACTTCAAGGGTTCGGCTTGAGAAGCCAGTCGCTTCACAAAAGAGGGCGAGCGGGGGATTTGTGTACATGTATATGCTAAATTAGATGTAAGAGCACCAGGCGCCGAAAGCGGCGCCTGTGGCCATGTAGAAATACATAATTGTATCATAGCATTGGTGCCTTTTTACCTTTTAAACCCATGTCTGTTTAGTATGTTGGCCAACTTGGCGAAGCATCTCCCCCTGGGACTTTACTTATTTAACAGGATACGGGCTATATTGGTTATATGTAAGCACCTCCCAAATCGACACCCTCGCTATAGAGCACCCGGCTGAAACAAAGGGTTTGGGGGAGTCTACATCTCCCGCGAATAGACCATTTCGGAACTGATTCTTCCATGACATCCCAACTCTGGATCGCCGCTTCTTGATTTTATAATGCTGTCTATTTCCCCCCTGCCGAGACACACTCCTTGACGAACCCCAGGATCTCCATGTTGAACCTCTCAGGCTCCTCCCAGAACAACCAGTGCCCGCTCTCGAACTCCATCCATCTGGCTACCGCCGCCTCCTCTCCCTCGCCCCTGTCTCTCCGACCCTTCAGGACCCTCTCGGTCGTCTCCTTCATCCCCTCCAGGGGGAAGCAGCCCGTGCGCTTGCCCGCCATCATCAGCACGGGCACGCGGATGCTCTCGCATGCCTCGCGGTGGTCGTACCGCGTGTGGTCGGCCAGCAGCCTCGCCAGCCACACCGGGTCGCACTTGCGGCTGATGGCCGTGAAGAAGGCCTCGTCCGCGCGACGGTGCGCCTCGCTCACGTCGTCCCCGGCCGCGGGCGCATACCGGTACCCGAGGCAGTCGGCCACGAGCCCCGCGTACGCCGCCTCGGGTGTCTCGGTCCAGGCCCGCTGCGCCGCGAGCATGGACGCCTCGTCGAAGCAGCCCCGGTGCGCCCGCGACGCGTCCCAGCCGCCGGCGAACGGCGACCGGTCCTGCAGCGGCGCCTGGTCCACGAACACCATGCCGCCAAAGTCGGCGTCCCCGAACAGCTCCACGTACGTCCAGAGGATGGCGGCGCCAATGGAGCACCCCACGGGGACGACTGCCGCGTCCGGGGACAAGAAGGTGCGCAGATGGGCGAGCAGGTCCCGCAGGTCGGCCGCCAGCCGTGCCACGTGGTACCCGCCGGCCGGCCGGCCGGACTGGCCGTGCCCACGCAGGTCGACGGCGACGACCCAGGCGCCTGAGCCCGCGAGCGCCGCGGTGTTTCGCTGAAAGTACTCAGAGGATCCCGAGAAGCCGTGGATCAGGAGGATGAGAGCGCCGCCGGCGCCGGGCGGGGTGGCTGAGGTTGCGGGGCCGAGGGGCACCGAAGTCTGGAAGGCGAGCGGGCAGCCATCGTTGGCCTCTGTGTATGAGTACTCCATCCTGGGCGATCTCTTCCAGTGTCCGTCTCCGTCTCTCTGAAAGGTGCCTTGTGGTGTATTTAAATCTCAGCCAACCGTAGTGCGAATTGCAACTCTCGTAGCCCACCTTGCGTTTGCGGTGTCGATTCAGTTTGACCCGCTCTTTACCTGTATCATGGTTTAGAGATCGCTTAGTCTCGTTAAAAAGCGTTTCGAGTTAAAACCCACCTTGTTTATCTTGTTTGAAATGTTTCCACACGTTTAATTTATTTATTGCTGCTTTTGGTCTTCTGTCCACTGGTTCTCGCCAGGCGTGAGCAGCACTCCCAGGGCGGGCGCGGGTCGTGCGTCCTTGAAAGAAGCGCTTCACGCCGCCCGTCCTCGCTGCTATCACTACCACTGCCATGGCTGTCCCGTCCGTTTCGGCTACTTCACGCGATGCGGGCCCGAGCCAGCACAGTCCGGATGCCTCAATCGACCTTAGCCGTCGCCGTTGCGGGCCAGTCCACACGATGCAGCAGAGTCCGGACGGCGACGGGACCTAAGTCCGGGATGGCCCACCTGCTGGAACCAACCCAGTTGTATCAAGCCCCGAGATGCTCGCAGCCTCCAACCTCGACTCCAAACCACACAAGCACGCCGGCGACGTGGCCGACATCAGCCCGTCAGATCTGGTCCACGACCTGGAGACAATGTACAACTACTCCCGCCCTGCATCGGACCACCATCTGAAGCTCCGCGTCCCCCCCGTCCCCCCGTCCCCCCTGGCCCGCACCGTCAGCATCCTCAACGATCAGGAACTCCCATGGTGGACGGGCGAATTCCAGGACTTGGCCAACCAGGTGCGCGCTGCATAGCACAAGACACTCGCTTTATCGTCTGGTTTATTTACCGCTGCAGCTGGAATTATGATGGCCAACATCTCACCCCAAAGACCCCGAGTCCTGCCTCCCAGCCTCTGCTTTCCTTTCCCTCATACTCACCGTGTGACGTAACTGTAGACCCTTTCAAGCACGCCAAATGCCACATCCGTTGCTCTATCTTGCTCGGGGCTGGCCACAAGGGCGTCTTCTGATTTGTACCAAGCAGGCATGAGCAACGAATAAGTCATAATGGCCATGTAGCACATGTGTCATAAGGGAAAAGAGAGGCTTTCACTCCGTATTTTTCTTAGCCCGCAATTATGAACATGACCTCGGAACTCGAACTCGCCGCCCTTTAGGGGTGAACAGCGTTCAGGATGTGTACCTGTTGCGAAATCAGGAACCGAGCCACTTGAGTCACATCTCTAAACGGCCTTGCCTGTCCATTTCGGATGTTGCCTGCTCACGACGGTTGCAAGTATAGTTGATGTGAACCTGTCGTTCAAGGCGACGTTTCACTATTCATTCAACGGTCCCACCTCCACCTTACCGTCTGGCTTGGCTCATTGACGGTCAAGTGATCTCCACTGGCACCATACCCCACAAGCGGCTGAGCCCGCTCGGCATCGTCCCCAGAGTTTTCAGAAGTACGGGGTAAGCCAAACTCTTACGAGGAGCAGTTGGCAATTTGTGGCTGGCACTAGTTCAAAACCATGACGCCGTGAACAGCACAATGCGCGGTGCATTTTACAAGACCCCGACATTGGCCGTCGTGGTCAGCAGTCATCCGAGGAGCTGTTACTTCATTACTGCCATAGTCCTAAGTCGCTAATGGTAACAGATGACGGCTCGTCAACTTACACTTCGTGAATACTCTGGGTGGCCGACACGGAGCGTGGTTGGTCCTGGACAGGAATTGCCCCGAAAATGTTTGTGCGTAGATATCCCCGCGCGGTCCTTCACTTCTTTTTTAATGCAACTGATATCTATATGACTCCGCGGAGGTTGGGGAGAGCCATAGCTGCCTGTAAGCAATCCCGCATTTAAAAGCCGGTTGGGTGTTGGCCAAACATAGTAGCCTTCCTATTCCTGGTTGATGACTGCTTTATCGAGATTGAAGTATAACTCTCGCAAAGCTTGGGCGTCGGCCACACGCGATACAATAGTCCACAGTCTGTTCTGACGACTTGGTTCCAAGCGCGATGAGTATTTTACTTGAGAATTTGCGAGAACTTCTCAAGTGGTAATGGGGATTCAAGACTCTTTTACGAATGTTAGAATAGTCAGGGCTCTACAAGCACCCTTTGAAGGAGCTTCTATCCGCTGAGTAAGCGCGAATGGGGACGTATAGGGGGCCCGAGAAAACCGGGGTCATGATCAAAGATCGTAGGGATGCGCGCCTGAAGTTGAGACTGTCCAAGAACTCTCCGCCGATCAGAATGCTCCAATGCCGAGCTTGCTGCGAATCTTGGCCGCAATGTTGAATCCCCAGATCCCCAGTGGGGATTTCTGCACTTCCCGACCGGGTTGTGGAGTAGGCGCCACGAACTAGCGGCCCCACGCCCCCAGATGACCAGCCGAAACCCCACGATCTGGCAAAACGCCTCCTGGTATATGAGAGGCCAACCTCTCATGATGTATGTGTTACTTCCAACTTGCATAGCAGTACACTGGCTGCGTTCCCTCCTCTCCGACTCTCCGAGTTACTTCATCAAACTCACTCGGATCGGCATAATCTAGATGCACACGATGCTCGACAAAATCACTGTTCTTAATGTGTTGTGCGTGTTGCTGGGCATATTCCTGTTCCAGGTTGGTACTCATGCCTGGTTTAGGTTGGGAGACGATTCCCGTTAACGTCAGGTCAGATATTCCGGCGAGCATACTTCACACCCCTACGAGGCATCCCAGGACCATGGCACGCAAAGTTCACACACCTGTGGCTAAAGAAGCATGTCATCACGGGTCGGCGGATGCACTATATCCATGACATGCACCAAAAGTATGGCCCTGTGATCCGGGTCTCACCTCACGAGATCGACATAGCAGATCCGGCCGCGTTCCAAGAGATACATCGCATTGGGGGCGGTTATGTAAAAAGCCCGTGGTATCAGACATTTCGAACAGGAGAAACCGCAGACGTCTTCTCCATGATTGATCCCCGAGAACATGCGCAAAGGCGGAAGCTCTTCGCTCCCTTATTCAGCAACTCAGCGTTGATGCAGAATTGGCACTCTGTAGTTTTGGAGAAGGTTGAGATGACGATTAACAAAATGAAAGCTGAACTGAGTGCGAATGGTCAAGTCGATGTGTTCAAATGGTGGACGTTCATGACGGCAGATGTAATATCTCATCTCTCATTTGGCGAACCGCTTGGGATGCTGGACAAAGAAAAGGTTTGATAACTCGCTCTATGTTCCAAGTTCTCAGCTGAAAGAAGCACCGATACTGACAAGTGCTTTGCCAGAAAACACCCGAAATGCAGAAGATCGAAGACTCGACCAAGTTTGGAGGCTTCAAATCTGAACTGCCTCTGCTCGCTGCGCTTCTTAGATACGTCCCCATACAGTCTGTCCAAGACTTTGTGAAATCCGACGAGGAGGTACAAAGAATTGCCGAAGAGACGATGCGCCGGGTCCGCTACTCTGGTCTCAAAGGCGCCAATATGTTCTCCAAGCTGGTTGCCGAGAATGAGAAGGAGGATGCCACATTGACAGACTACCAAGTGGCATTCGAGGCTGCAGGATTCATCGTGGCCGGATCCGGCACGACTGCAGTGACCCTGACCTACATTGTATGGGCAGTCTTATCAAACAGTTCCATCCAAGCGAAGCTGGAAGAAGAGGTGGGAAACCTCCCGGAGACTTACACAGACGAAGATCTGAAGAACCTTCCTTACCTGTCTGCTGTCATCGAAGAAACATTGAGATTACATGGTGCTGCCCCTGGCGCCCTCCCACGAATCGTGCCGAAAGGTGGCGCCACGTTGGCAGGCCATTACATCCCGGAAGGCATTACAGTCAGCACTCAAGCATTTAGTCTCCACCGTAACTCGACAATATACAGCCAGCCAGAGAAGTGAGTTCCTTTCCCCTTGAGTCCACCCTCAAGGCTTAGTGCTAACATTTCCAGGTTCATGCCAGAGAGGTTCTTGACTGCCGAGGGAGCGTTCGACACATCACCCAAACTTGCTTTTAACCCGTTTGGCGCTGGAACTCGAACCTGCCTGGGTGTGCATCTGGCTCGGATGGAATTACGCCATGCGACAGTACATTATTTCCGGACATTCAGGGGATCTCGCTTGGCTCCTCAGACAACGCCGGCATCCATGGAAATGGTTAACCATTTTCTCATCAGCCCAAAGTCAGAACAGTGTTGGGTAGCCTTGAAAGTCTGAAACTTAGCAGCCTTACCACTTGCAAAAGATAGTGGTGGTGCCATCTTCGCAGTATGTCTTCTGGAAGGGAATACAACAGAGAGGCATGATGGTCAAACCGTCAGCCGATCTAAGCATATCGGCGATAGGATCGCCTTGACCCAATGGTCAGGCAGGCAGCTATACCGTTCAACCTGGGTAGAAAAGCTTCCAGCTATGGTAAAGATGTGTAAGCCTGCCTCTACAGCATAAGAAACATCGATCACCGTTTATCATCCGCTCTAGAGCTCCCTAAGAATATGTATAACAGAATTATATAAAGATAGCAGTGACAATCCATGACTGACAGCTTCCAATTGGAACTCAGTGGAGTTTCCGCACGCTACAGAAGCTTTCAAGCGCACGTGGCTTGATTTTGTTCTTTCTTTATTGAATTTGGGAAGCCCAATTGTACAGTATCTTCAGATTTAGGGACAGCCTTGCACCGTTATCTATTTGAGCCGTTACTCCTGCGATCTTAACTCATCCTACACCTCAGCTATGGGAGGCTGCCTACGAATCGACTGTGGGTTGTTGTCGAGATACAATTATCCGCACCTCTTCCCTCAAATGCCACAAAGCTGAAACCTCTTCTAATTTGATGCTAGATCCCTCGAACTATCAGGCTTGGGTTTTCTTCGCTATCATATTTGTCGCTAATACCAATCTGGACACCTGGTCTATCCGCGACCCTGGAAATCCACTCCAGCAGATGAGGATATGCCAGCATGTCGTCATGCGAGAAGCCTAGAGATCTCCAGGCCCTGACGTGTGGCCAGGTTCCTATATCCGCGATACTGTACTTACCCACACCTGCGCCAGCTATGTAGTCTCGGGTAATGGAATATCGATGCTTCCCGCTGAGATGGTCGTCTAACACAGAGTAGATTCTCAACATCTCATTCCTCAAGCGTGTATTCACATCTACATGCCACCCAGTTAGCCTTCTCAACGTACGACATATGGTCTCCCAAACTAACATAGGAACGATTCGCCGAGTCTATCAGAGAAATGCCTAGTTTGTCCCTGTATCGGAGCCGCTGCATGCCAGAAGAATAACCATTGGAATGCTTGACTTCGCTCATCGGCTGTGTCGAACCCAAAGATTTTGTCCTTGTCGAAGTTCTCATGTAGGTATATCAATATCGCTGAGCTCTCCATTACACAAATAGGCAGATCTGGCGTATTGTCGTACAAGAGTGGTATTCGGCCTGAGAGGTGTAAGCATGAACCTTCTAGGTCCATTTTCCCAGCAGCAATAGAAAGATACCATTAGGGTTCAGCGCGAGGAACCAATCCTTCTTCTGTTCCTCGGATTCCAAGTCAATGAGGTGCGTTTCCCAGGTGATCTGGTTTGCAATTCGAAGCTCCTCAAGTAGAATCTGGACCTTTTTACCATTTGGGGTATTTTCCGTTAAAAGATGTAGCGACTATTAAGTTTAAGCAGCCAGCATCGTATGCACGAATTCTTTTTTGTTTTACTCACCTTGGATTGAAGCGCCGGGGGAATATCCCTTAGACTTTCTGTCGTGTGCATCTTGCCTTCTACAAGATGGCGGTCTCAATAACACATTTAATATGCCGGCAAACGTGCAAAGCACTCAATATAAGCTAACGCAAAGGGGATCAATTGTTGCCGACACGACCGGTTGCGTTGTAGGTCATCTATAATGCGACTATATTGAAAAGAACACGGTAGCCCAATCTAATGCTCCACATGCATTATCACATGTCCGGATCAGATCATATTAGGTCATCTTTGATATCGCCGATTAGACGCTGCGCGTGGTAATGGCGCCAGATTCACAATTCCGCCCAAGATACTAGTAATTTTCCGGGTCTGTCCTCGTAATAGCTTTAGAGTAGTCATGTTGCATTGCCCATGGGTATATTACACTAGTGTCCATAGCACAACTATTCCGGCCGGCTTACAAATGACTGAAGACAAAAAAGACTTTCCCACACCGCAAATGAGGTCATGATGTTATGAAACATAGTTTTTATTCTTCTTTCTATACCCCTGTTTAAAATGTAATAACCTTGAGCTCAGTTTGCGTCCTGTGCGGTTCTGCGCTGAAGACAGCAGGCACAAGAATTGGGACTAGCCCGCAATCAGTGCCTCTTGTGATGCCATCTTTCCACAATGCCAGCTCGCGACACCTACTCCGCCGTAGGGCAAAGATCGTAATTTCCATCAGCATTGTTGCCCCACCATGTAGGAAAGGGAATTGAAGGCCCACCAGCGCCAAAGACGGCGAAGGATAGAATGAACAGTACCGATAGACTCGCGCCGTCGAATGCGCCAGTAACAAGGTACATGTAGTCCTTGAAGATGCGCGGGCGATAGTTTCGCAGGTAGTACTGAACATAGAAGCCCCCGATAACCCAACTGAAAAGAACGCATGTCTGAGATTGGTTGTAAGGGATGTAGCCGGCGTATTGAATGAACTGGGGGAAGTTTATCTCTGAGGTCGAGAAGTTTCGGATTTTGGGAACAAACTGAGACCATCCGAGTTAGCTGGGGCAACAGCAAGATTGATGTGATCGTGGGACATGGAGACGAAAAAAGGGGGAGAGGGGAACCCACATATGCAAAGACACGATGGACGACGACAATGCCAGCGCCAATTCCTATTCCGATAGGGACCATTTCGTACTTCCCGCCAGCCCTGTAAAGATACTTTGCAAGCGCCCAAGAAGTTGCATTTGTGTTGTAAGATTGCATGGTTGCGCCACTCCAAGACGAATTACCGTCGCTGTCTGCAAGGAGCTCGCGGTTTCCGTTGACGATGGAGATCATAACGGCGTAATTGATAAAGCCGCCCAAGATTGTTCCGTATATTTGGGTGAGAAACATTATTCGTGGCGGTATCTTCACTGTTTTGTTGCGTTAACGTGTATCAGAAAGACCATAGAGGTGGACCGACGTACAGTATTCTCCCATCTTGAGGTCTTGGCATAGCTGCACACAATCGTTGATTACATTGTGTGACCATGCAGCAAAGTACATGTTACCGATGGGACGCTCCGGCACCAAGAGGCCCCCAAGCATCTTGGACAGGTTATTCGTGGCAATTCCGTTTCCGTAACGAGAGTAAAGTAGAGTGCTCTGCGATGAAATCAGATGAGACCCTTCCATGTCAGAGTGGGTAACTTACGAAGGGCGCGATGATTGTTCCCAGAATCAGCGCAACCACATATGCCCAAGCCGAAAGCGTGACATTCTCCTTGACAACGACAACAAGGCCAAGAACAAAGCTGACGACGAGCACAATAACGTACCACCACCACGGTGTCTCCTTGTAGTGCTTGGCCATATGAGCATGATGCAAATCATCATATCGACCCTGCCTTGCACTCTTATATGATCTCACTACATCCCCGCCCCAAAACAAAATGCAGTGGGCAACAAGGGCTCCAATCTACACAACAGTTAGTCTCGTAGAATATACAAGTGGATATTGTGGGACACTGATATACGTACAGCAGCATTTGCCATGAACATCGCATACGCAAATGACCCTGCCAGGCTGGGGATGCCGTAAGTGGCAAAGGCCTCCTGATCAAGCACGCCACCAGAGAAGACCTTGGTAATGGGATATGCTGATCCGTCTTCTGTCCGAAGCCGTGTCGACATGAATGGCTGGGACATGGCATCCCATGCATTGGTATAGTAGATCCCAATCATCGCAATGAAGCAGAAAAAGAAACCTGCGGCTTGGTGCGCTTGTAATTTGAGAGGGAGAGAGGTCTGGAAGGAAGTGATCTGCCAAAGTCGGTTCAGTCAACGTTGTACCCTAATAAAAGATGCGCTCTCTTACATATTGCCAGTCAAGTGACACGGTGAAGAGTCCCAGGCCCTCATTGTTGATGGAACCGCCAAAAATATTCGTCAGGACGGCGGCCTTGTCGCCAGTGGCGTGCATTGAGGCCAAGCAGGGAATGGAGACCGAGTTGAGCCATGGCCATATGTATGCAGGCAACCATTCATAAGCGAACATTCCTATGAAACTGTACCAGAAGAATCGGAGAGGCTTGGAGTTCTTCACATCTTGCCAATGCAGCCCCTGGAGAGTCTTAATTGTGGGGAGGACACTCCAGTATACCGCATCGACGTGCCAGACAACAATTGGCCGGATGATACCACACAAGCCGTACCCGAACAGACCAATCGAGATAGTACTCAGGATGACAGTGGTTGCGCTGAGGGGTAGGTCGTAAAAAAGATCCTGCGCTGCGAAGACCTGGATGCTGGGTGCCGCTTGCGACGCGGAGGTTGCAGTGATAGAGCATATCGCATGCTCCTTCAGATTCCATGGTCCATGATTGAAGAAGGAGATGAGCGATATATATTTCGGAATTTTACCTTGGCCGCCTTTCGCCCTCCATCGAGCCTCTAATCGGTCACCACGGGGTAGAAAGGCAGCCCAGGCCTTGCCAACGAAGTACGAGATGAGGACGATAAATGTGCCCGAGATGGTAATTGTGGTCGGTTTGAACTAGATAGATCGTCAATCAATAATCGAGGTTCAAGCTCCAACTGAGCTCTCGCTTTCTCACCATGTAGATCTGGTACATGACCGCCTGGAACGCCGAGAGGACAGTAGCCAGAAATATGCTCCGGGCGGTTAAGACCGGTTCGTGATCATCGCGTAGCGGCAGTAGGTGCTTGGCAGCATCGGCACCCGTAATGATGATAACGTCCTCGCCATCGCCGTCCTTCTTGGGTTCTTCACCATCGTATTGAGGCGCGGCAGCCGTGATCTCAGCAGGCACTACCTCCTTGCTTCGTGCTGGATCCTCGGCAGCGATGCGAATTTTCTCGTCGATGGCTTGATGGGTGGGGACATCAACGACCTTGCCCTCAACAGAGTTGAGCGATCCAACGATAACCGTGTTCGGCGGCATGCTGTATAGTTAGTGTTGCGTAGCACGCTATAGGACAACCAAGCCAAGGCTTGTCGACTTGGCAGCGCGGCGCCCCATCTTATGTTTGCAGAACCCCTCCTCTTACCGTGATACCTCAGACTTGGAGGGTTTGCAATTGGCACTTTTACATCGCACGAATGGTGCAATGCAATCGCGCACCTTCTGATGCCAATCACGACACGTCGCTTAAGTAGCCTAGATAGGAAGGTGAGCTAATAGTTATCGCGCCGACTTGCTGGGATTTCAATCCGTCTCATAATTCCGGTTGCCTTTGGCCCTTTCAGAACAGGTTCGACAGGGGTTCAGCGCTGGCTGAGATGATCATAGCCCATGTCTGCAGAGATGCGTCCTTCAATCAGGTAGCGCGCTGCGTACTGTTCCTCCAAATTGCCTAAAGGCAATTGACTATTACGACCTAAAGGGGCTTGAAGCATCAGTTGCCACCTACGAACTTGTTCGGATTGGCCGCTATGGCCCTTCTAGTGCCGTTCTGGACTCGCGATCCAAACGGTCGGGAACAGGCCATCTGGATAATGTGCCCAGTGTGGTGACCAGCTTATGCGGCACAGTCCAGATCTGCCCAGCAATCCCATTTCCCGCAGCCATTCATGTTTCAGGACACTAAATGGACATCCCAGCTAGATACAACCCTGAATGGCTGTCGGGTCACCAATGCGAAAAGCCGCGAATTTGTTCATCCTCTTTATGTCACTGTTCAAAGAGTCTTGACCTTGCTGGACGAAATTTCAACTTTATTTTCACGTTTAATGCGATTTCTGTTCGTAATTCTTGCCCTTGTCGTTCGCGCTAACGCCGCCGCTCACATCGAGCGACAGGCTGGACTGCGGGATATCCTAACGTTGGAGATAACAAGAAGCATGGATGCGGCACGGTATTCAGTGTCCCAAGAATCCCCGAGATTCATCCAATGGATATGATCACGCTCCTCAAGCCACCATGCAACCTGTGCGGAATCTGACGTTTTCTCACCCGTCCTACGGACGAATCACCACAAAATCTCAAGGCCTGTCTTACCTGAAATTTAAGGTACTAAAGAGCAGAGCTACTCTCTTTACGGGCTCGTCTCCTCAGTCATCCAACCAGAAAGCCAAAGCACCTGCACCCATTTCTTCAGGTCTAAATCTGTGCATGGACGATCTACTAACCTTCGATCGTTACGGAAATCTTCAACTACCCGTAGGCGATAGACATAAGTCATAGAAATGATACCGGGATACTAAACCTGCTAGCTTCTCTTCAAAGTTCATAGGTAGGCATCGCACGCACTAACCCAATTTTCTTAGTATCTACCAAATCGCGAATTGCGAGTAATGGAACAAAGAGAGAGCGCTTGCAACTAACTTGATATCTTTACGCCTTCGGTTAAACATCACTCCAGACTATTAAATCTTTGAACCACCGTTCTGTGATCATATAAGGGCACAGCCAAAATGATTTCAATTCTGGTTTCCGAAAAACATAAGTTAAAACAAATCTGCATGCTCTCTCCTATTATTGCATGTTATGGCTTTGTTAATTCTTCTTACTGGTATACATACAACTGTCACTACAAGTACTTTAATTCGTCTCTTTTAGCCATGAAGTGCGTATGAGCCCACATGGAAGTCAGAGCACCCCAAGAGTTTGTAAAGGACCCGCCAATGAATTGGGGCGTCGCTCTCTCTCTCAGTCATCGACTCGACTGATATTTTGGGGCCTCCGAACGCACTGCTTTACCTTGCATCCGCGAGGCAGCTAACTTTCGCATTAATTTTCGACACTTTGGACCCCTGTCTGGCTAAGCCTGCATCTGAGCCTTTGAACGCGTTAAACTCATTGTTTATGGCTCTCAGTGAACGTTTTGCCTACTTCCACTTAGCGCGATGGGCGGTTGATACTAGTATCTAGACATCTTCCAGTGCATACTTTGAACCAAGACCCTTCCCTTAACCGGACTAGCTTTGATCATTAGGTAAATTCCTATTTGGATATGATATTCGATTTCACTGAGCAGGTGTATAGCCCTGATCTTGCACGAAGCATCACAGGGCGTGGTGGAGTACGTACGAGTTAACTCCCGTGACGAATTTTCCGTCGCATGGTTTGATTTGCCAGCCACTTGCCAATGCTACAGGCGATTGTGAATTTTAAGGGAAGACAGAGCGTATAAACGAGGAGCCTTGGCCACTATCAACAGTCAACAGGACTTGTCGCCATACAGCTCGTGCAAGGTCAGGGTTATACACCTGCTCACTGAATCCGAGTATCAAATGTTGAATCCTTCTCTTCAGAAGTCGAGTTATATACCGAACGCCAATCACACGATTTCATGTCCTTTCCACTATGTACCCATCCAAACCCGCTGAACATTGTCAAATAGCATGATGGAACCGAGTGTAACCATTCTTCCAGACTGTTGTAGACATCATGACCCACGACAGCGCTTTCTTCATTAGCGTGGAAAAACTTGATAACCACATCATAATGCTTATCAACCAGATCCACTCAGAGCCCAGCAAGCCCATTATAAAGACAAGAGGCACTGGACCTCTAATCTCGAGCTGTTTGGCTTCAGACACAATCAGCCCTTCACAACAGCATCTTGCATTGAAGCAGCACCGGTTCATCATGGCAGATACACGGCTTTTCCAGTCTATGAAGATCGGCCGAGTCGAGTTGAGACATCGGGTGGTTATGGCTCCTTTGACCCGGCTGAGAGCTGGTCTAGACCATGCTCCCTTATCTATCGCCAAAGAATACTACACACAGCGCGCCTCAACGCCCGGCACGTTAATCATCGCGGAGGCGACCATGCCATCAGAAACCCATTGTGGATCTGCTTACTCTCCAGGGATCTGGACGAGTGCTCAGATAAGGGCCTGGAAAGATATCACGGACGCGGTACACTCCAAGGATTGCTCTATATTCTTGCAGATATGTGCGCCTGGGCGTGCGGCTGCGGATCCCTATCCTTGTTACAGTTCAAGTGCCATCGCGATTGATTCGAGTAGTCGCACCCCTAAAGAAATGTCGGAGGCTGAGATATGGGCATGCATTGCGGATTTTGCGACTGCGGCCAAGAATGCAATCGCCGCGGGCTTTGATGGGGTGGAACTGCACGCAGCAAACGGCTATTTGATCGACCAGTTCATTCAAGACACCTGCAATAAACGAAGCGACTCGTGGGGTGGATCAGTTGGGCACCGCTCAAGATTTGCTCTCGAAACGACAAAGGCCGTCGTCGATGCCGTTGGCAGTGACCGTGTGGGCATTCGATTCAGCCCATGGAGCACTTTTCAATCGATGAGAATGCAGGATCCGGTACCTCAGTTTTCGCACCTGGTGAGGGAATTGAAACGGTACGAGTTGGCGTATTTGCACATCATCGAGTCTCGAGTAAACAACTGGACTGATGTCGAGAAAGTGGAAGGAGTGGACTTCATGTTGGACATCTGGGGTCAGCAGTCACCGGTGCTAGTCGCCGGAGGGTTCACATTAGATTCCGCGACAAAGGCTGTGGATGAAGAGTACTGCCAGTTCGATGCGGCTGTGGTCTTTGGAAGATATTTCGTGTCAACACCGGATCTTGTATTTCGGTTACGAAACTGCCTGGACCCCAATCTGTATGATCGGAGCACATTTTATACCCCAATGAAGTCCGAAGGCTATATTGACTACCCATTCAGCGAAGCTTATCTTCGAAGTCAGGCCTAATTAATCGACACTGTTTTATTATAAGTTATATGTTTCTTCTTTTATTTATTTTATAATAAAATATTATATATTATATTATTAAGATTTTATTTATAAAATATTTTATATCATTTTTGAACGAACTTATATCTCTTTATAAATCGTATTTATAAATTTCTTTTTACGATAAAGTTAATATTATATTAACTATTTAAGAGCGAAGGTTTCTCCTTGTATTGGAAGGAGTATGATTGTGCTTGTGGCCCGGATACGATAACTGTGTTGCTAGTTGCAGCAGCGCACTCTATTCAAAGCAGATATAAAGTCTAACCTACAATGAAGCTATCAGTAGTGAAGCGGGTGGTCATAATGGTCTACGGGTCCTGGTAAGTTCTGGCCAACTGAGAAACAATGTTTAGTAGAATTGTGGCCGGCGTAGTAACGGCATGCCCGGTATCTTGGTGGATGCCCACTATGAATGTAGGATGATAGATATCTTTCAGATGACTGGTTCTTCATGAAGTACAACAAAGAGTATTTACCAGGCCCTTGGATTAAGCCCTGAATCTTGTTGAAGTGGCACATCAGCCAGCTCATTGAAACATATCCCTGTCTGATTCTGTCTGATTTAACATGACTTCTAGGCATTATATTCTAGTCTAAAGGGTATGATGTAAGTCTAGGTGAAAATGTAGTCTGCCCCTAACTCCTTGATGAATGCTACCAGCTACTGTTACAATACTTCGTTGCGCCTGAATTGGTCCGTATGATACGATTTAATTGCTCCTCGGCGGCCATTTGACCCTCCTCTCAGCCCTAACATACAGATTATTGGGCCGAATCAGTTGAAACATGGGGTCATACTCGATCGGCCCGTCGGACGCCATGCTGAACTTGTAACGGTATATCAACTTCGGGAGGAATACCTTCACCTCTTGAAGAGCAAAGTTAAAGCCGATACACATGCGCGGGCCAGTTGCAAAAGGAATGTATGAAGCATTCGGTCGGTTCTTGACCTGCTCAGTATCCCATCGGTCAGGCTCGAACATGTTCGGGTTGTCCCACAATTTGGGATTATTGTGGATGTGGTGTAAAGCAGGGATGCAGATAGAATCCTTTGGCAGCTTGTAGCCGCCAGGAAGAATCATATCGACCTTGGATGTTCTGGCCGGCTGGTATGACGGGTTGTGTCGGCGCTGCGTTTCCTTGATGTACTTGTCAAGGAAGGTAAGCTTCTGAGTGAATTCCGCGGTTATTTGGGTGTTCTCATCAAAGTCGTTATCAATCAGTTCTTGCAGCAACCGCTCTTGGTTTCCGGGATATGCGACCAGGCCATATATCAACCACGAGAGTAATGAAGAAGTAGTCGTGAAGCCTGCGCCGGTTGCCACAACGAGGGGCTCCATAACTCTCTCCTTGGGGAGTTTGTTTCCCTTGCTATCCGTAGCACGAAGGACGTAGTCTATTCAACGGTTAGCATAATGCCCGATCACTTGTGGATAGTGGTTACTTACCAACCATGTTTTCGGCCTTCAACGCAGCCTCCTGGAGTTCAAGGCTCTCGACACCCTTCGAAGCGGCTTCGATGGACTCGTTCACCATCTCTACAATGCGCCATCGTGCATCGCGCAACTTCTTGGGGTCACCAAAGGGCATGTGTGCGTACCAGCTGCCCATCGACGTGACCTTCTTGTTCAGTGCCAACGACTCTGCTATCCTGATAACCATCTCGTGTGGTGGGGCATCGACGGCTGTGAAGTGCTTAAAGTCCATGCCAAGAACCAGCTTGCCGACGGCCTGGGAACCCAGCTTCAGCATGTAAGGGTACACGTTCCATGCCTCATCTCTCTCGTCGAGCTCATCGAATACCTTGAATGCATCCTCAATGGTCTTTTGCATGGTTGGGGCGTAATGCCGAACAGCTTTGGGTCCAAATGCTGGAGGCAAGAACTTGTGAGCGGTCTTCCATTCCTCTGTGTTGGTGTCTCCGAGGAAAACACCCGCTTCCTGGTTCTTGATAGGGTAAAGAGGGTGCCCAGGGATGATGTTCTTCGTAAAGAAATCACTCTCCCCAAAGAATATAGAGGCTAGCGCAGGATCGTTGGTGTGGTAGACCACGCTTCCCATATTCGTCGTCTTGAAGAGAGGCCCGTACTTTTCAAAAAGGCGTTGGTGGTTGCCCAGGTGGTCTGGGTACACCTCAAAGTAATTTCCGATGTACGGAAGCCCTGACGGGCCAGGAACTTCTCGGACGGCTTTTCCATCAATGCTGATGGCAATGGGACCTTCAGACGCTTGCACATCTGCTGCGGTTGTCAACAGGACATTCTGCGACACGAAACCAACACCTAAGACTAGTTAGCAAATTGTCAGATCGGTTTGATAGCTAGCTGTGATACCTTTGGGGTCGACGATGGCAAAGTGCGCAGCAATATTATGTCTGAGATCATCTTCGTCCGCGAAAGATGAGATATCAATCTCCCTTGCGGTTGAGGGGTCCTCGCCCAGAAGATAGAATTGCTTGGATGCCATGAGACGCAGTGGGCAATCTGATTTCAGAGTCAAGATGCTAAATGCCAGACGTGGATCGAACAAGAATGATTAAGTGGTTGGCAACATCTTCATGATATTTAAGACGTCGTCGGTCGCCAGAGTGATCCATCCCTGACAGCGTTGTCTAGGGTCCATGACCGAGTCGGTGGAGCCGTTCCGTGCCGAGGCATGCAAAAAAATTCACTAGGTTCGGGGGACCCGTCACGATAAGGCGAAAATGAAAGGGAAACGCCGACGGGGTTTTAAGAATGTCGGCCATCCAGCGGTGCCGGTGACGTCGGTTTGTAAGCTGTCTCCATTTGTACTTGTTCAAGTATTGTTCCATGCAAGGGCCAGGAATCACAATTCAATCGGAAAGGGAACGATTCCAGAAAGGAGAAAGTTGCCTTCGGGGTGGCTTTCGGGGTGGCTTTTGGGTGGAGCAGATGATCGACGCAGGCACTACTATGGCACGCCCGTCAACTTGCGGCAGCCAAGCAGCAATCAGTCCATGCCGGGAGGCTTTCTAGGATAGGTTTAGTCAGGATAGCATTTCGATGGAATCTTCTAAATGCAACCTTGAGCACGTCTGAGATTATCTTACTTCCGAGGCGACGGACCTTGAAAATAACAGCGCTCGTAAACGCCGACAGCAGCGGTTCATGCAGCCTGACGTGTCGCACCTGGCTGGTACCGCGTTACAAGGGTGGACAGGCGCCTAGGTCAGCGTTACACTAGTTAAGGCTTGCTAGTCAACAGGAACCACAGTAGGTCAGCAACGCCTGAGTCGGCTGACTCTTTACCAGCCGAGTTTCCCTGTGGACGATGAGTCCGTGTGAATCCTGACGGCGTCAACAGTGAGCCCGTCTAGCCCGCGGCACTCAGAGAGCACAGCAGCTTGCTTCGTAATGCCCGCAATGCCCGTTATGCCGCAATGTCGCCGGATGGGTCCCGGGAGACCCTGTGGCAATCTGCTCGACCCGCTAACTTTGTCGCGACTTATTGACGAGCCTCGGCATCTTTTCTGGTACCAGCGTAAACAAATGTGGATATCGTAAAAACTGTATCATAGCTCTTCTCATCCCTTGTCATGCGAAGATATCAAATAGTGGTCGGTTTTCTCCGACGGCAATTTGCCGGCTCCTTTTAAAGGTTGCGATTCGAATCATAGTTGAATTCCTAGAAATTTGAGTCTCATTTGGCATGCGAACCATTCTGTGAACAGCAGTGCATTTACAATGACGACCACCAACTTCGAATACAGCGCCAAGGAAGTCGCCGCTCATAGAGAGTCGGACGATGCTTGGATGGTGATCCATGGCCAAGGTAGGACTTTCTGACATCAGTTTGGAGAGTTGAACACTAATTACCTGGCTCTGCAGTCTACGATGTCTCCAAGTACATCCATGATCATCCTGGAGGTGCCGATATCCTTGTTGAAGCTGCGGGTGCAGACGCCACCGAGGCTTTTGACAATGCTGGTCACTCAGAAGATGCTATCGATATCATGGCAGAGTACAGTATTGGCAAACTTAAGGGTTCCGGACAGCGGGCAGCTCCTAAGGCGGTGAAGGTCCTCCCCTCACACCCTCCTAAGCCACCAAAGGCGAAGGGCCAAAGTAATGTCCCAAGAGCACTTGGTGCTGCAGCAGTAGTGCTGGGTGCTCTCGGGTGGTACTGTGCTCCTCACCTTGCCGGTGGCAGCGCTGTTGGCACGTTCCCCAATGCTCTGGCGCCTTCTCTAGATTGGTTCAAGGTTGGAGGTTCAAAAGGGCAGAGATTTGGTTTCTTTGAGGGCGTGCTTGTGGCCTCTGGAGCTTTTGCCGTCGCGGGCACAATCTTGACGCAGAAGGCCATGAAGTTGATCGATTTTCACGACGGATTTATGAGATATCCTCCTCATGCCAAATTGCCAAAACCAGTCAAAGCAGAGCCTCTCCTTCAACGCGGGTGGCTACACCCTACCACTTATCAAACCTTGCCGCTCGTATCAAAGATACTGATTGCACCCAACACATATCGGTTCATATTTGAACTGCCGACTCCGCAGACTGTTCTTGGCTTGCCAATCGGACAGCATGTGACTATTGCGGCATCCATCGATGGCAAGACAGTCAGCAGGTCGTACACCCCTGTGTCGAACAATGCAGACCAAGGTGTGCTCGAGCTGGTCATCAAGTGCTATCCTGATGGCCTTCTCACCGGCCAGTACCTTGCAAATCTGAAAGAAGGGGACGAGGTCCAGTTCAGGGGTCCCAAGGGAGCCATGCGATACCGACCTGGAGTCTGCAAGAAGATTGGAATGCTCGCTGGAGGAACTGGAATCACCCCCATGTATCAGTTGATACGTGCTATTTGCGAGGACGATCGTGACACCACCGAGATCAGCCTGATCTACGCCAACCGTACAGAAGACGATATCCTCCTGCGCGACGAGCTGGAGGTAATGGCCAAGAAGTACCCTAAGAACTTCAAGCTCTTCTACCTGCTTGATAGCCCGCCACCGAACTGGTCTTACGGTAGTGGGTATGTGACCAAGGATATGATGGCCGCGAGGTTCCCTGCGCCGAGTGCGGACTCCAAGGTCATGATTTGTGGCCCCCCAGGAATGGTCAAAGCAGCAAAGGCATCATTGATTGATCTCGGCTTTGATAAGTCTGCTGCGATGTCTACTATGCGAGATCAGATCTTCTGCTTCTAGAGAGGAGCCTTGCGGTAATTTCCTTTGTTTTATCACTAGGGCGTGATGGTCAGCGTTGGTGAAGGGTTTTGCATCTGATAGAAATGATACCTTGGAGATAGAATGGGAACCGGCTTTATAGACGACGTTTGGTCAAAATTGACTTTTTAATTTGTGTTAAATAGTATATAAATCTGTAAATGTATATTACCTCAGTGTCGCTCAGAAATGCAGATCCTCCAAAGTAGCCCCCACCGACGGTTTGGGCATAGCACTGGATTGGCGTATCACGTCCTTCCTCTTGTGGAAGACGTACACCTTCGTGAGCAGAATGCCAGTGCATGCCACCTATCGAATCTCAGATCAGATACAGGATACACGGCAACGACTGTCGACATTATGCCTCAGGATCGGTTCTACTGGCTTGGCCAAATCAACAAAGCCAGCGTGGTTGTCAATTTGGACGAAGGGCTGTTAGGCCGCGAGTTAGGCCGCCGTATCGCGAAAGGGCTCGCGACAGTGCTCGTCAATGGAGACCAACCCAATGGTCACCGGCCTGGGCGCGTCATTAACTTCGAGCCGTTGCTCATTCAGGCTGCTGGTGTTGAAGTTACACGTCTGCACATAGGACGTTCAAGTCAAGACATGCATACAACTGCTTCCACGGCCATGATAAGGGAAGAGGCATTGGCATTAGCCAATCAGCTACACCAAACCACGCATCAGATAGTTCAGCTGGCAGAAGAACACGTCGATACTCTGGTCCCCAATTATACTAATGGCGTTGCCGCTCAGCCCAACTCCTACGGACACTATCTCTTAGGGCACGTTGCTGGGTTGCTCCGGGATGCAGAGCGTCTGCGACAATTCTATACTCGACTCGACAGGTGCGCAATGGGCAGTACTGTATTGAATGGCAGCAGTTGGCCCCTTAACCGAGATCGTATGGCCAAGTATTTGGGATTCTCGGCCGTAGCTGATAATGCGTATGATGCTGTTCAGATTTCCAGCACAGAGATGCCAATCGAGCTCGGAGCAGTCTGTACCAGTATGATGATCCATGCCGGAGCCTTCATCCAGGATATCATGACGCAGTATGCGCAACCCAGGCCTTGGCTTACGTTACAGGAGGGTGGGGACAATACATATGTATCCAGCGCGATGCCACAGAAGCGCAATCCAGGGTTGCTGAACAACACGCGTGCCAATGCTTCGAAGGTAGCGACATTGGGTATTGGCCGAGCTTTACAGGCCCACAACATCACTCCGGGAATGATCGACGCAAGAAGCACGAGCGATAACATTGATGTGCTGAAAGGCGCGAGGTCGGTCTTGAGAGACTGGGGACGCATTCTTCGTGCTCTGCAGATAAATCGCGCCAGGGCGTTGGAGGAGCTAAATAGCGACTGGACAGCGTCTCAGGAGGTAGCGGATGTTCTTATGCGACAACACGACGTTGCCTTTCGGATTGGACATCACTTCGTATCCGGGATCGTAGCTTATGCTAGACAGCATCAGATACGCCCAAGCGACTTTCCGTATTCCGAAGCGATTCAAATTTGGAAGAATACATATAGTCACATGGGACTGGTAGATGCCCGATGCCTACCTATGAGCGAGGAAGAGTTTCGTGACACTCTGGACCCTGTTGCTATCATTCGCAACCGGGCCACTGCTGGTGGGCCGCAGCCGTTGGAAATGCAGCGGATGATGGAGGAGGCCAAGATGAATCTTGACGAACTCCAAGGATGGACAGCAGGGAGAGAATATGCGATCAAGTCTGCTATCACGAAGCTTGCCAATGATTTTGATGACATTGTTCGCGAGTAGCAGGTCCTACGAGGCGCCCATAGTCAAGGATCTATCAACATTTGCACCCTGGACTCTAAATCTTCCTCATGAACACACACACGGTATGTTGAACGGCACTTGACGAATTATGCTTCATGGTGTATAGCGTAGTCTATCAACATGTCCTGCTTCTCTCCGTTCCTTTTATGTTCTCACCGTATACATTTTCTGTATACTGAGATATTCTCAATAGACAATGGAACTGGCTCAATTATTAAGCGCCTCGCCTGTTCCTGAAATGAAAGGATTCGTTCGATGCTGGGATGGTATTTTTCGAGACCCAGCTGCTAAAATCCGCTGACTTAGAAGCAACAAGATCGGCATTCCAGTGCCCAACGTTATCATGTATGTTGAAGTTTGAGCTGCTGTTCGAAGGACTTTCGACGACCTCGTGGGATAATGCATAAGCCAGGCGAGCTGGTTGTGTCAGGTCCAGGGTTTGGGTGTTCCCATCGAAGTCTTTCCAAGTCGTACAGCCCTTGCATAGTGCCGTAAACTTGAGGGTGTCTCCAGTCACACCTGTTCCCTTGAGGACTTGATATGTAGTCTCATTGTAGACGGACGGTGTGTAGAACCCGCTGTATTCAATTTAGCATAACGACAAAATCAACCAGGAACGAGCGATACCTACTAAGCAATACGAGACGAGTGGACCACAGTTTTACCATTGGCCCAAACAATCGTCAGAGGGTTGTATGCCATAGTACCGGCCCATGCCCAACCAATCCAGCCGAGGTTTGCTGGGCCTTCGATCTGGATCAGTGCATCGTAATCGCCCTCAGTCTTCTCGGGAAGTGCCACACGCCAAGACACTTGCGTGTCAGCATCAGTGAATGACTGAAACTTGATTCCTGTTTCGCTATCGGTGTACCCGACCGTGTCTGATTGGCCGAATACTTGAAAGTGTCAACCTTGAAGTTTCCTAGTTTGAGGGAGAACGCTTACCCGAGCCAAATAGACTAATAGCCGCCAGTATAACCTTGGGCCACCGCATGTTGGATTGAAGGGGGCGGGGGGATTGGTTCTATTTTGTTAGAGATATGTGGGAAGGGGAAGTATGGAATCAGGTGTTATATATGTGAATGTCTACCCCAAGTCAAGCGACATAAATTGCCGCACGGCATCAGGAGCCGCATATTAATATTCAAGCTGCAGGCTTCTTCTGGGACGGTACACCGTGGTTACACATGTAGCCTCTCGAGTATGAGAAGGGATAGTAAATACATTTACCCGAGGTCTACCATTAGGTATCGAGGAGCTGGACATTACCGTTTTTAGCATCTACTATTATGTTCTGCGTGACTGGGTGGGATCAAAGGCCCTTGTCTGTATCTAGATCTGGTGATGGCAATCTTACTTTGCCCACGTTATCCGCTTGGGATAGATGAGGGCTTTTGATACCCGGTAGCATGGCAACCCATAATGTTTCTCTGGGGCTACATCAGCCTTCGACACTGTGTCTTCTATATCCTCCCCGACGATCGACTGCTTCTATCTTAATCATCATTGGAAGGGTAAATGCGGCCCGACGCTACCTTGGCCGGATCGGAGTCATTAGCCCCTTGAAGCCAGGCTAATGGATGCATTCTGTCTTTATATGCTATCAGGAACCCTTGATTGAGGCGAACCACTGAAGAAGATAATTGTCGGGGCATACAGCTTGGAGCTTGATGTGCCGAGTTAACGTCTGCTCCTCGAGCTTACCAGGGGTCACGGCACTTCAGGCTAATGTCCCTATCAGGCTCCGCGGAATCAAGATCGGAAACACGCCCAGTGGGTCACTTCTGGCCGTGGAACTTTTCAGGTTAAACAAGATAGCTAATCGACAAGACTGGACTTATTCAGGAGCAAGTTGTTACATCTCCCGGACATTGTAAATACGATGGGGCGCCTTTAGTACCGTGAAGTCTTGACTGCTCATGGACCCGCGCTTGTTAGACGGATCCTTTCCGGACTCTCGTAAACCAAGTCCAGGGATACAAAGACACCTGTGCCAGAGCTGGTGAGTAGATAGATGGCCAGGATGTAGGATGAAGTCTTACAGACAATCACCTAGACACCTAATGGCGAGTGTTCAATCACAGCGGTAACTTACGGCAGATGGTGACCCTAGCGGCGAAGTTTTCATGAGCCACTGTCTCCAGCATCAGGTGTAAGTGGCGCTGGAAATGGTAACAGTTATTGCGCTGACACCTGAGACTCGGTATAACGCAGATCAAGACATTCCGTACTGGGCTGCATGAGATGCGATGAGCTCAAAGTCTTGGGTCAATCTTCACTATCTAGTCGAATTGCGGAGCACTCTTGCATGGCGTCCATCTGCCCTGGTGACCACCAGCTACACGACGAACCGTATCCACATGCCAGCCCACGAGGTTGCAGCAGTGGTTGGTGTGCCCAGCCAGCCCCGGGACTGCCGGGACTTGCAGCTGACGTGCTCACCTTAGCTTGATGGAGAGATCAGTACGATAATGTTCCGAGGGCAATGCTTTGCAGGGATGGCTTTTTATGGCAGTTGGCGGCCTTTGGGCGGTCTCGGGTCCGACTTGGGGCTTGGTCTTGGCTCCAGGGTCCTGCTGGTCTAGACTCTAGCATGTCATTGGGCCCAAGTGATTTCATATGGTGATTCATAATCGCTATCGCTAACTATCGCAACGCTGCGCGACTGGCACAGTTTCGCACACGCCGCACACACCCCCTATATTATATATCTCGTTTGACCACCCCCGTCCCCAATCGCATGCCTCACCGGCGTTTGATGCTGACGTAGTCATGTCTCTATTGCCGACAACATCCTGCCTCAATATGAACTCTCAGAGGTGATAACGCTCGTCACTGCGTGCCAGTTGTGGTTGTGTTTCCTCATCTGTTCGAGACGCCCCGTGTCAAACATTACACCCCACCCCGGGTGTCCACCTCCCTCGCAACGTCGCGGAGGACCCTGAAGGCCGCGCAAGACGCTGGTAGAACTGTCGAGAACTTGAAAAGACCGGCTGTGCGCGATACCAGCTGCACAGCTGTGTATTTGAAGGTCGTGCCGAGCCCTCCTCTGTTCTGGTCCCTGCCCGCCTCCTACAATCATCACAGCATTCGCGCATCGCCAAATCCACTCCATCGGCCGCCATGGGTTCGCTCAGCCCCTGCGCAAACCGCAAACCTCTCCACGAGGTGATGCCCCCCTTGGTCCTGGGCACCGCAACCTTCAACTCGCAATACGTCTCTGACCCCCTCAATCCCGAAGTCCTGCCTGCGGTATCCATTGTGTCGCGCACGCTGGAGCTCGGCATCAATGCCTTCGACACCTCACCGTACTACGGACCCTCCGAGACGATCCTCGGTGATGCGCTGGCACATCCGTCTAATGCCCAGTACCCACGATCTTCCTACTTTCTCGTGACCAAGGCCGGTCGTATTGCTGGCAACGAGTTTGACTATAGCCCGTCATGGGTACGGTACTCGGTCTACCGAAGCCTGGAGCGGTTGCATACCACATACTTGGACCTGGTGTACATGCACGATGTAGAGTTCGTGTCGCCTGACGAGGTCTTGGAAGCTGTTGGCGAACTTCGACGTTTGCGGGATGAAGGCGTCATACGATATGTTGGGATCAGCGGGTACCCGGTGGATCAACTTTGCGCTCTTGCAGAGATGCTTCTCGAGAAGACTGGGGAGCCACTCGACGCTGTTCTTAGCTACAGTCACTTCACCATCCAGAATACGACCTTGGGCACGTCGGCTGTTCAGCGCTTCACGCAGGCTGGAGTAGACGTGGTACTGAACGCAAGCATGTTGGGCATGGGCCTTCTTACAACCCGGGGCGCCGATGCTGGACCCATGGCCGTTTGGCATCCTAGCCCGTCCGGCCTACGCGGTGCGATCAAGGATCTCGTATCGGTAGCACAGGCTGCCGACGAGAAGCTCGAGGTGGTGGCTATACGCTGGGCGCTGGACACCTGGGCTCGTGATGGCTCGACCCGCGGGGTCTCCTCGTCCTGGTTGCCGGAGGGAACCAGAGTTGGTGTGAGCGTCATGGGGGTCGCCAACGTCGCCGAGCTGGAGGAGACATGGCGCGTATTCCGCAGCGTGCTTGAAGGCTACAATGCGCAGCCCTCTGGTCCCGGGATGGTTGAGGCACACGAGTGGAGCTTGAACCGGCGAAAGAAGATCCAAGGCCTCGTCGAGAAGATGTGGGAGGTGCTCGGGGACTGGAAAGATTACAGTTGGAGCAGTCCTGAGCCTGGGTTCGTGAATACACGGAGGAAAGAGGACAAGGGCGTTGTGCCAAAGAACGATAGCATCTTTGAAAAATACTTCAAGAGGCAGGGACTTCCGAACTGACCGCGGAGGAAATTGCCCCTACAGCATTGTCCAAGGAGCACAGGGTGGTCTGAAAAACGCCAAGTCCGACAACTTGGGAGGGAAAAGCAGTACTGCGCTGAGATTGTAGATACGCTGTGGATCAATGCCCCTTCTATTCATCATCCATGAGAGTTAGTTACCTGCCCCTGCTGTTCCAAACCCAATGCTCTCGATCACGAGGCCAATCTAGCAAGTCAAACCCTAAGACAAAAGTATCTATACCGTACAAGCCCACTTGCCCTTGATGACCCAGCCAAGAACGCCCAATCCCAATGCGCGCACATGTCGGCTTGTGATGTGTCATATACTACCGTGATGAAAATTCAAATAAGGAACTGTGTGGTGGAGACCTCATTGAGTGACTTCGCTCGGCCGTTCAACGCGGGCGGAGTGGCCAAGCTGCTTAGAATCTTCTTCTCCGTCCGAAAGCGGGGCCGGGGTTTCGGGGGTCACCGTAACACTGGGAGGTTGTGCTGTTGTGCCAGGCAAGATCTTCTTCGCCTCAGATATGGAACTACCGGCGCTGGTATCAAGTGTCAGGTGGTTCGCAGGTTTGGAATCGATGTCGGGTGAGGATATGTCCAAGGTCGTGCTCGATTCCTTCTTCTCGTCCGTGGGAAGAGATATGGATGGGGCATGATCAGATGTATTTATCTCGGTCGGCATCACGTGTTCGACATGTTCGTGGTGCTCTTCGGAAGCTTTGTCGGAATCCGCATCTTTGGAGTCCCCGGGCTTCGGCGACTTGTCGCCAGCTGCCGCCTGGCCATCGATAGGAACACCAACCATCTGCGCCAAGCTGTTGAAGTTGAACATGGGCTCGTTGCCGGCGCCTTCGTCGTCGCTTTTCCCGCCTCCGAGACTAAGTCCACTCGTTCTGGGATCCTCGGGGTCAAGACCGCCTCGGCTATAGCTAGCAGGCATGCTGTCAATTCCACTGGAGGAAATGGAGCTTGCATTGCTAATCTGGCGTAGATGAGACGACCCTCGGGAGGGCTGAGAAATGGGGATCGGCAGGGCAGAGCCATCACCGCGGTCGACGCCCTTCCCTTTGTCCTGCGTGCCCCCAGTTATTGAACCTGCCGCGCCAGAGGTAGAGGAGGGGGCCTCGCCTCCCTGGTTGGCGGTCGCATTTGCAGCAGCTACACTGGCTTCAACGCGCAGACTTTGGCTACCAGCAGCACTATTGCCTCGTCTCCGACCCAGGCCCAGGCTAAGGGTACTGGCGCTGGCCGAGCTTCCGCCGTCTGAGTGGCCGTATACGGCGCTCTTGCGTTTGTTTGCCTTTCGTTCCTCCTTCTCCTTCTTCTTGGCTTCCTTTTTGGCCTCCTTTTCGGCCTTCTTCCTCCGTTCCTCTTCGTCAGCCAAGGATAGCCTTATTGCCTCCGCCATCATCATACTTTCGAGGTGGGCGGCATCAATGCGTTCTCTGCTGGGCCCTGTGCGGGCAGACGAGCTTCGGTTGCCAAGCTCGGGTCCTCCCACGGGTGAATCTGGTGCCTGGTTGCCTGTGCCCAAGTTCGACGTGGAGCCAGGGCTTTCGCTGCCGGTGGCTCCGGTCTGTCTGCGGCTGAAGCGGCTCGAGCGCCCGAAGAGAGACCGGGAGGAGTCATTGTTGTTGCCCATGACGAAGGCAGCGTGATGCAGAGCATCAGCCGCCGCGGCTCTGCGGCGCTGCTGGGCGCGAGCGGCAGTGAGCTTGGTCACCCAGTCTGGGCGGATTCTGTCCGTGGTGATGACGCTGGGGTCATTGGCTGACACACTTGTCGCGCGACGGCGATTGCTGTTAGGGACCGGTGTCGTAGCCGAGGTGGGTGACAGGCCAGAGCTAAGAGACGACGACGAGGACATGGCGGTGCCCATAGAACCAAGGCCCGGGGGGTTGTAGGAATAGGTGAGACCGCGACGAAAGGGCGGGGGCTCATAGGTGATACCGAAGTCTGTCTGTGTACAGTACGGGCAGCATGCGGCCTCCATGATCAGCTCCCCCTGCTGCTCTTCTGAATTCTGGGGGTTTTCCAACTCGTTCGACTGGTCGCCGTGATGTTCGGGAAGGTGAGGATCTGGCCGCTTGATCTGCACAAAGCATTCGCTGCAGATAAACTGGTCACAGCAGCGGGTCTTGTTCAGATAGCGAGGATAATATAGGCAGCAGATGGGGCACTCGTCGCCATCCTTGTACAGGAACACCTCGAGGGGTTGACCGTTCACAAAAGGGTCGTGCGCCAGGTTGACCTCCCGCGGAGCGATGTCCTGTTGGGAGCCGTTACGCGAGGAAATACTAAGGGCTGCTGCAATGGCCTTGTGAGGTTTTGACATCCTTGACGGGGTGGGCGAAGTGGGCGAGGGCAGAGACGAGGCGGGATTCGAGCCTGGGCCTGCCTTGTCAGACGCGGCTGACAGCGTTCTCGGCCCCATGGGCACCGTCAGGCTGCTGAGGTTCTGGAGGGATGTGCTCGGCGATTCGGCAGGTCGTGGTTGTGGAACCAGGTTTTCGGGCACTTCGTCGGCCGGAGGAATGTCGAGACCACGGGCGGCGGCTATGATCTGGTGCTCCGCCCAGTCGTCTTTGAAGTCGTCCAGTCCACGCCAGAAAGGAGCTATCCTCCTCTCAATCTGTAACGCGGAGAGTATGTGTCAGCGAACGGATGCAGCCGCCTCGCCCGGAAGAAGCATGGGAGGACCCGACTTACTTGTAATTGCCGTACGATGGGCTTGCTAAAATCTTCCGAGGCCGTGTAGACGCCGACAGTCACCAAGAACCCACCGTCGACATGTTCCTCCTTCATGCTCCTTTCCCGTTCCTTGATCCGCGCCACCCGCTCCCTCTCCAATCGCCTGGCCTCCCGCTCTTGCTTCGTCTCTCTCCGTTCAAAGGGGGCGTCGGCTTGCGGGGTCCGGGAGTTCGATCCAGACCCGGTCAGCAGCTCCAAGGCCGATAGCTCGCGTCGGCTCGACCGCCTCCCCGATCGCTCACTCGACTCTCCGTGCTGGCCCGCCGCCAAAGACGCCGAGTCGTAACGCCCCGGGCGCGGCCCATCCCGGGCCTCTTTGGTGTGCGCATTGCCCATGATGAGCAGCGGCTTGTGTCGTAATCGCCAGTATGCTCTCTGTCTTGTGCGTCGTTGGAGGCTGTAGCAGGGCCGGGCTAACAAGCGCAGCGCAGTACAGCGCGGTGCAGAGCAGGGACGAGGGGAGAGGCGAGGTTGAGCGACGGCAACAGACTACCTACACCAGGTGGTCGTAACTGGGTACTCAATCAGGCTGGGCCAGCCGGTGGATCCTGGCCCCGAGAGCGCGTGTGGAATGCGCCCGCCGACAGGTCGACCGGGGGGTTGAGAGGAGGCCGGATGCCGGATGCCCAGTTTGCTTCGCTCCCCTATGCAGGCAAGAGTTTCCTCGCTGATGGGCTCGGCCGCCGAGTGATTCGATGCTGGGAGGGCCGACTACGAGGTCCGCAGCAAGGGACGTTGAGACCGGCGAAACTCGGTAAAGATGTATCGCGGCGTTCGTTCGTGACGAGGTGGTGAGGATCGGTTGAAGATGGGATGAGGTGAGGTGAGGTGAGGTGAGGTAAGGTCCAAGTGCCAAGTGGGATGGATGGGTGGGTGGGTGGATGGTGGATGGTGGATGGTGGATTGCTGCAAACGTGTGGAGCACTCGACTGGGGTCTCGGGCATCACGGGCAGCGTGCTGCGAGCACTAATAAGTAACGGTACTGTTCAGTACATAGTACGGATACACCGCCTACCAACAACGCCAGGCCGCCGAGGAGAGAATGGGTAATAAGATCTGGGGGTTGATGCTCTTTTTGTCTTTTTGTCAACGGGATACCGGCCGCGTCGCTGGACGTGATGGTGATGATGCTGTCGAAGGTGACGACCGTCCACTGATGGTGACGAGTGGGGTGCGTTGTCGTTCCGCCGATTCGTCCAGTCATGCGCACTCCCCGGCCGTGTTGCTCTGCAAGCACTGTTACTGACCACCACGAAGTCAAATTGCAGTCAGTCGCCGTGTTCTCTGTTGTTTGGCATTGGCTCGCAACCTACCTACCTGTCTGGATGCCTGGATGCCTGGATGCCTGGGTACCTAACTAACACCTATGTTAAGCTTGGGTCACGATGGGCCATGAGAGTGGGACTGCATTCTGCTTTTTGCACTCTGCTTCCAAGCTTGCTTTGGTGGTTTCACGCTGCTCATTCGTTCCCTGGTCCACTGTACTGTGTATTGTGGGAGGCACCATGTTTACTTCGTTACCGTCCAGTGGGACGACTGACGCCCGACGCCCGACGCCCGACGCTTCCAGGCGGTTTAGTAGCTTTGTCCTGCGCGCGCGTACTGTGGTACAAGCCTAAGTAGATAGTTCCAGGTTAAGCTACAGGGACCTTATCGTTGCAGAGGCGTGTAGGACTGGCTCTCGGCCTCGCAAACCAAGCCGACAATTACTTGAAAGTGCCGGCGGCTGCGGCTAAGCAGAAGCCCAGGTTTGTAAGCCTTTATTTAGCCCGTGTGTACTCGGACTGACTACCTGCAAGTTTACACAAGCATCTCCTTCCGCTGCTCTGAAAGTTCGAAATCCGACTGACGGGCTCTGGGTCTGCGACGAACATCTGACTTGCAGTACATGCACCAAAAGCTACCTGAGCTGGCCCGGTCCGCAGGAGTGTCCAAGGTACAATTCTGCTGGAATCAGTTAACGGGGAACAACCCTGCAGTTTGCTAACTTCAATCACGGTGTCGCCGGAGTAGTCAACAACTTGACAGATCGCCAACACCTCCGTTGCAGATTGGAGATAAGGTCTCTGCTTCTACTACAGGGCAGTACCTATGGCGACACGTGCAACAGAGCCAGGTCGGCACACAAGCAAGGCTAGCCAAGCCGTCAAGTCTCAAGACGTCTAATCTGCATCTGCTGCAGGAAACATGCAGCAGACATCTTGACTTCTACAGCGAACCAGCCGCACCACGCCACCGCGCTACCGGGATACCACCTTAGCACCATCTTAATACGTCCCCAGGGCAGTTGCGGAGGTGGGCACAGCGCCGCCTTGTATGCGGCGGTGCAGGTGATGCCACAGATATAACCTGGAATTGGGCTCTACGGTACATACCGAAAGCGGGATCCAGAGAGCAATCCTGGGCGTCCATGGGCAGCGGTACTTCGTAGTAGGGAGTGAGATGATACGACGATAAGTTGAACAATCTCTCATCGTATGCTCAGCGCTGATGCGATGCTGGACACGCTGCACAGCTGCACATCACATGCACCTCCTGCATTCTTCAAGCTCCAATCTTCGTTACGGTCTTCAATTCCTAGCATCGGCAATTTTGCCTACTACCACAGTACCTGAGGCCTAATTCGTCCACCCCTAGTCTGCAATGTCAATCTCCACATCAGCCGCCTTCTTATCACTGGCCACTGATCTCTCGCCCCTTCCAGTCATGAGAGCAGAAAAAGATATCATCTATACCAGATATTCAGGGATCATGGGATTCAACAAGAAACCTGTTGCAGGCAAAGCGACGTCAAGGCAATGGGCCATGCTATTCAAGGGCTTCCTGTTTACCATTGGCGATGAGACACTAGCCCCAGGGCTGGCGTCGTCCACAGATGCCAACCCGGCAGTGAGTACAAGGCTACCGGATCATCATACCGTCTCTAGACACGCACCCGCAATCCTAGTACATTTTGACAGACCTTTTCTACCTACGCTATGCAGTAGAGTAGGATGAAGACTGCTTCCGAAAACGCTGTTGTTGAAATCAGGAGACCAAGATACTAACTAACAGACGCCTTTTCTACCTGTTCTGTCTGCTTGTTTGGGAAGCAGACTTGTTATAATCCACGGACTGTATACGTCGGTTATGGATTATGCACATTGCGTTTTATACCTGAGTAGAATAAACATTTGAAGCACTGCATTGGCAAGACCAAATACACGAGGTCATCGTAAGGCAGTAGGCAGTGACTCGCAAGTATGCAGTACTTGGCACGGCAGATCAGAGCTCCCAGAGCTGTTTGCGCGAGCTACTTAGAGGACCTGACTTCAGAGTGAGTGATAGTGTTTTTCGACTTGATCCTTATCCTTGATTTTCAAATGTGAGACCATATATTGCACCCTGCCTCCTTTATCGGTTGGACATTATTTTGCAGTATACTCACGGTGGCATGCTGGAGACTACAGCCGTTTTGGTAGAGGCCCAATGCCACCAGGCTACATGTATGGCATCAGTATCACAACTACTCATTCGTCTCCCATCACCTATGCACTATAATGTCGCGGATGAGCAATCGGGATTCGCAATAACTTGAATAGACTGCAGTCCAAAACCTAGACTGTCAAACCCTCGTTCGCCTGGGTTTCATCAGATGGTCGAATGGTCACATTAGAGCAAAGTTCGTGGAATCCAACGTCGACAACAGGGGCGCTGACACTACCAGAGTGATTAGTATGGCAACATTGCTTTGTTATGCCTGTGGCGACTCGGCCACCCGTGCTGATTCTGTGCATCACATGTCCGTCCCGGCAGAAAACCTTCGCGCGACCCAGGCAGCGCCGTACTCGTCGTACTCCTGCTTCGTGACGCAGAGGCTATTGATGTCCTCGTGTTTGGCAAGATGAGATCCCCCTGCCCAGGTACTGGTGATGGGGTCGACAGGCCGCGCGACTCTCACTATACAGTCGTCGGGCACTAGTTGCACAATCTCCTGCTGTAGGCGTTGGATGAAGCCGTCAAATAGGACGTTGCCTCCCACCACGACAATATTGGCGAGAAGAGCCGGCCACAGGCCGATGGGGACCACCTGCAAGGATTCCAACACCAGGTTCGCGATGCCCGACTGCTGCAAGCCAATGTCGGAGGGGTGGAATAGTACTTCGGGCACCGTGAAACGCTCATTCCGCAACGTCAACACGTCTTCTGTCGTTTCTCCAACTCTTGCGGCCGCCAGCTTCTTGGCTCTTGACGCCTGGTTGGGGTCATAGTCGCGCACAATGCCCTTGGATATCGTATGGAAGTCCGGCAGCACGTAATCCTTCGCTACACCTCCGCCGGTCAGGTACGGCTCTCTCCGGTCCCCTCTCGTCCCCTTCCATGTCCTTTCGAGGTCTTGCTTGAAGTCCAGGGACACGTAGCATGCCTGCTCCTTCATCTCGTTGACAATGTAGATATCGTTCCGCATGTCGTAGTGGCGCAGGGACAGCAGACGGGTGAGATGATTTGTCATGAGCTTGCCGCCGACATCGAGGCGGCGGACGGCGGAATGGATGGGTCGCCCGTGGAACAGCGGCGTGACGGTGGTATGGGAGTAGCCCGAGTCGATGAGCATCAGGATCTCGGCAGGCAACTGGGCCACAGTATCGGGGGCCCGGGGGGTTCGAAGGATGGCTTGCACATCGTGGTAGGCGTTGAAGGAGGGCCCGTTGCCGCGATAGTAGCTTGCAAAGCCGAACTCCTCGAACACCATCTGGTCACAGTGGGTCTGCAGTATCGGCAACGAGTTGGAGGATTCGGCAAGCAGCAGTCGCGTCTCGGAGGGATCGCAATGTTGTGGCGCGCCATCGTCGAAGAACTCGCGCTCCCAGATCTCCTTCTCTGCCTCCCAGTTCACGACAAAGCCCTTCTCCACCGGCCTCCGGAAGGCCATCTCGCCGAAGTCCTTGCAGCTGTCCAACTCGGAGCCGACGTAGGCTTTGCGGTCGCCATCGCGCGCTATACAGTTGGGGATCACTCGCGGCTGGTCTGCCACGTCTTCCGTCACGAAACCCGCTTTGATCGTGTAGGCGCCATTGTCGAGAACCAAGGTCTTGGCCGGCGGCGCTGGACGCGACGTCCTGGATCTTCGGGGCGCCATGGCGGCGTTGCGTTTTCCTGCGGGCGGCAAGCGAGAATCGGGTGCAGGGCTACCTTGGTCGATAGGCAGTCTGCAGCAGATGTGGACCGCGCTGCTGGGTGCTTGTAGGCATACGTATCGCGAGGCTTCAACACGGTAGTGCTCTGGCGGGCGTTGCCGGCGTCGGCAGATATTCGAAAATATCTACCAAGTTACGGAGCCGATTTGAGAAGGCTTGCATCATGGATCGAGCTTTGCTTCCAAGTCAAAGCCGGGGCACCGGGAGGATGCCTGGATGCATGTGGCGTGCGTGGGTAGGGTGACTTGTACTTAGGTACCTACCTCCAGGTGTGCTCAGGGGTCCATGCTAGCGTGGGCCCAGGCCCATGGAGGCTGTTAGCTAAAGGCAAGTAAGTATACCAGAGAAGTAGACCATGTAGCATCCATGGATCCTCCTGTGGACACCTCAACTTGGTGTTGTCTCTGACGGTGTGCGCTATAATTGCTGCGGCGTTTTGTTGCGCGTGCCACTTCTCTACGTGGTATCAATTCGGTAGCTAGGTTAAAATGTCTACACGGTCGCCATATGCGAAGTTCTATCCATCCCTCTCCTCCACCTAGGTATGCACTGCTTGTCCTACATGGGCACCTCAGGATTCACTGACTGCTGGCCGCCCGAAACCACCTGTTCACCTCCAACGTGTGGCAATACTGCCCTACCTTTTTATACTCATATGTATAAGATGTTGCGTATCATGCATCAAACCCCAATGTGGCATTGTCTTGGCTGTGTGCTAGTCGAGTACGTAACTTCACCACCTTCTTAAGAATGTAACTTGGTCAACTGAGAGGACTGTTGTAGATTCCGCATATGTACATGCAATCAGTTCATAGCCGCATGCACGTGCAGAGACGACATGTCCATGTTCGGGTAGAGTAGAGATAGATTTGCTACACTGAGCGGCGCCCTTTGCACACGAGCCAGATGCTAGCTCAAACGGTATATTGCAATCTTCTGTGAACGCTGCGCACAAATAGGTTTCAAGTCGGGCCCGTACCAATCAAGGCTTCGCTCGTCATCCAGGGCGCGCAGAACTAGTAGAGTTCTCGAATGTGGCGGCCACGGGCCGAACACCCTGGCCTCTGTTAGCTGGGCTCAAGCTTGTATGGTGAAGCTTCCACTCACAATCGCAATGTGTCATTGTCGAGCCCTCGTGGTGCTTGATACAGTACCCTCCACCACAAACCCTGCAGTGGAGCTGCGTCTGCGCAATGCAGTCAAGACACTTGGAACGCCGAGTTAGCCATATCATACAGTGGACTGGTCAAGAGCTCCTCACTGACATTCGTCTGGCACTCCCAGCAGTCTCGCTTGATCTTGGGGTCCTGCACAGCCTGTTAGCAAACTCTGCGATGCCGTGTCTCTGCAACGTGGATGTCATCTCTCGGGGGATTCGCTGCATACAATTTCGAGACGATTCAAGATCTCCATCATGACTAATGGGAGTCCCTTCACGTCTCTACATGAACCAGGGCCGTGTATAGGTCAGATAATGCCGAGCTGCAGATAGCATCATCGGCGTTTCCCCGTCCTCTCGCCGATGTCCCGCATATTGCACTCCATACAGTAGCCTATCCGTACCTTGAGTTTGGGAGGTTCGGTCGCAACCGCCTCGTGATCTGACAAACTGCCTGTGTCCTCCACGATGTGAACGTGCTGGGCTGCCTGCAACTCTGCATCCGTGGGGGCCTGGTAGCACGACTCGCACCACCACTGGTCGCAACTGAAACAGTAGCGATCTCGGATACAGTCCCAACACCGTGGTACAAACCGCAGTGGTTCCTTTCCGTCGGCATGAATGTTCTGGGGCCGGGTCGCATTCTTCGGGTTGGAGGAGTGGAGCGGTGGCGGCGCCAAGAGGGGGAGCTGCTCAGCAAGAGATTCGCCGTATTCAGTGAAGCCCTCAGGCGCACAGCCGCACGAATTACATCCTCCGAGTGCAAAGGTTGCAACAGACCAGGGTGACCTCCCGCCAGGAACGGTCAAAACCGGAACTCTTCCAAGGGCTGGCGAGTTCTGGTGTCGGGGGCCGGTGCAAAGAACGGCGTCAAAATTGATCGCGGAGCGACAGTCCAGCAACGTCTCGGCCCATCCCTCCGCAATAGGTCTGCTGATCATCTTCCCCCTCTTGTGATACCAGTCGTCCCCATCGGCAGTCATGGCCTCTTTCAGCGCATGATTCGACTTGTGGTTCCAATCGATGCTGATGCTGGCGCTTCGTGCGGACGGCGTTGATGCAGTCGAGGTCGCTGCTGGTAGGACAGGCGTATCCTTCTTGCCGAAGATGTAGAGTCCCTTCAACTGAGGTGTGCCCTCCTCTCGGCTGGCGCGACATGCGTACCGAAGCGACTGCATGAGTTTCCGCTCGTTGAGGTTCTTCGCGTCTCGGATGGACAGTATACGAACGTGGAACCTCGGGTCCACGAGGATCTCGTTCACAAGCTCGGCCGTGACAGAGAGGCCATCGAGAACAAGCGTCTGCACATTCTGGAGGACACCAAAATGTCCAATATTGTAGAAGATGCCCCTCAGGGGACCAGAGTAAAAGTCATCCTCGGTGAGGTTTTCGTCGAGCTGCACATTGCGCCAGATCTCGCCGCCATGGTCAATGGCCTTGATATCGACTTGGGCCGAGTGAATGCTCGTAAGATCGACGTGTCGAAAGACACCAGGGGTGTGTTGGATCAGGCCGCGAAGTGCTTTGGAAGCAGAGGCAACGCGCAGGAGAGAAGTAATGGGAAGGTGTGGAACGATGTGATGGAGCACAAGCGTGTTGGATAAGAGGTCAAGCAAGGTGGGTTCGGATGGCTCGGACAGTTCGCGCGTGTGCTGAGAAATGGCCCCTGATGCCATTACATGCAGATACCGGCTGCCCTAGAAAAACGTGGTGTAGCAAATCTCGCGCCCTATACAGATGAGGCCGGAACTTTGGGCCGGTCCGATATCCGGAGATCGAGGACCGTTTAGGTGTACCTATCAGACAGGAACGAGGACGCGGTGGAAGTAGGACAGCAAGAGCACAGCTCTAGCCTCGACGGTCAAAGCAGGGAAATAGACAAAACGACGGCGTGTTGGTATTGTGTCGCTGCTACATGCGCTGGTGCGGAAAATGAGGAGGACGAGAAGCCAGGTCCCAGGCGGGATCCCTCGTCAAGAAGTATGCAACTCGGTCGAGGATCATCAGACAAGATCCCACGTCCATGCGGGGGGCTACTCGGGGTTCTAGAGCTCCTATGGTATGCAATAAGGGTACCCCTGTCTGGGCTAGCAGCTGTTGAGATGGGGTTTAGACGGGGTGGGCTCTGTTGCTATTGCCTATTGGAGAGTCTTGGAACATTAAGATCGCTGCATTATTGGGAAGCATTGACACCCTTGGCTTCCGCTACCCTACTTACTGTATGTGGAGAGTGGGACGCTGACAGCTGGGACAAGATATGAGTGTTCAGATCTGAAGCTGTCCGCCATCTTTCGTTTGATGTATTGTGCGTCCCTCTACCAAGGTCCGTGGAAGCACTCCGCAACCAAGCGCACCTCGAGTATGGGCTTTCTATAGGCCATCCACACCAGAGCAATTTGGCAGTAGCCATGCAGAGGGAGAGGGAGCTAAACCACCTTAACTACTTGGCTATCCATCCATTCTCGACATCTTGGCAGCCCACGCGGATGCTGCCTCAAGCATTGGAAGGATCACCGGAGAGCCGCCGCCAATCTACCGGATCAACCTGCTAAGAACGTCAGGTACAGGATGGCAAGATTCATCACGGACTCGACGCGCCGCAGGTTCCAACGTCTTGGCTGCTTGGCTGTCGAGCAGTACTGGCGATCTCTCGGACTATCAGTCTTGGAGTGTTTCCTCTGCTGACTTGGCAGTAACACACTCGTCATGAGTCCAGTTTTAGCCGCTGCTACCTAGCGGCTGCCATGGATCCATGGGCCTGAGAGCCCCCCAAGCCATACTATGTACTATTTGTGGTAGTGCCATCTGGGTTCTGGGTTCCAGCTCTGTACCTAGGTAGCTCTGGGGGTCTCCTTGGCCCCCTGTTGACCGCTGTCGCCCGCTAACGAGCCCGCTAGGGCTGCTGGGGGCAGGCAGATCTCGAAACAGCACTCCCGGGAGACGTGCCCCGCGCCGCCGTCCGCCTCATTATCCACAGTCACACTTGGTCCGTTGCCTTATCCGGTTTCTCTTATCGTAGGAAATGAGACACGAATGGGGCTGGGCCCGACTATTGGTTGTTCACAGTACCAAGACGGCAGATACCTTAGTACCGACGCAGGTGCGGCGGGAGCTCACTGACCTTCGCATGGGGGTCAAGGGGTTCAAGGGGGTAAGTGTGAAGGAGGGTCAAGGTCAAAGCCCGGTCAGCTGACGGCATGCCACAGAGCCACTGAGGTGAGGTTGGTCAGAGTGACAGTAGAGGAGGCATGGGGAGGGGAGAATGTCCAACTATCAAGGGAGGACCAAAAAAAAGTTGTTGAGATGGCGACCGCTGCTATGACCTGCATTCAGTCGGGACTGGTGTCCCGTCGCCGAGAATGGCTTGAATGGCTGGAAGGGCTCCCGGCAGGTGTCGAGCAAAATGGCTTCTGTTGCAGCGGCGTGCACAGAGCGGCACTCACACTCAACAAGACCCAGACGGACAGGAAAGGCGGACATGGTTATTTATACACGCACGTTTGTGGTCTGAACCTAGGTAAGTGCGTTTCGGTCCAGCTGGTCTGTTGGCGGGCAGATAGTCTATAGTATCTTGGGTGGCAAAAGTCTGGAAGCGGGCACAGTTGCAGGAGAAGTCACTGTTGATGCCAATTATGTTATGCCTTCATTGCCTGGCCACTTGGTACCTTGGGTATCGTGGTGTCAAGTCAAGTTGCGGCGTAGCTTGGGTAGCTCAGCGCCTGGATGGACTGGCAGGACTCGGCCTCGTCCCGGGTTTAACGTTAGCATTGCGGGCAGGTCTCCGGTGGCGCCTCGGCTGCGATGGCGGCGCTGGCCGAGACGTCATGGGCCACACACACACATCGCTCGAGGTGGAATGTCAAAGAACATGGCGATAGTGGCTGGTTGATTTACAATCAAACACATGGCTCCAGTTTAAGGCAACGCTCCCTCGCCGTCGTTCCGAGTCGATCGCAATGCGTCAGCCGCTCCTTTCTGCTCCCACTGAAGCCACTCTTCACGTCGCCGTCAACCTCACCGCACGCCAAGTCCGGCCCTGAACCGAAACGCAACCCGCATTGTCTCGCTGCGTCGCAGACGTGTCGGCGCTCGAGTGTCTTGTCCAAGGTCGCCTCGTTGAAGCGTCACGCCCACCCACTCCAAACCACTCGATAAACCCAGAGGCCCCCGTTTGCGCCATGGCAGACCAGCCCTCGCTGGCTTGGGCCGCGTCTTTCGCCGTCGCCGCGCCCGCTGCCACGGCCTCCAAGGACCTCAAAGGCGACAAGATCATCCTCCCCCAGTCGGCTCTCGAACAGCTCCTCGCCGCGTCCTCGACCTCGACGCGTTCCGCCCGCTCGACCTTCACCGCGTACGATCGCTCCAACCCCTATGCTTCCGCCTACGATCGCACTCAGCAGCATGCATACTATGCCGATACGCAGCAGCAGCTTCCGAACCCGCTCATGTTTCGACTCGTCAACGGGGCCAACGGAAACGTGGTGCATGCTGGCATACGCGAGTTCTCGGCCGACGAGGGCGAGGTCGCCCTTAGCCCGTACTTGTTGGAGGCGCTTGGTATCGAACCCGGCGCCGCCTCCAGTCCGACGAACGGTGCCTCGTCGCCGGAGCAGGTCGATCTCGCCATGGACGACGCACCATCGGGGCCGAGCATCACAGTGCACGCCAAGCAGCTCCCCAAAGGCACGTACGTTCGCCTACGACCCCTCGAGGCGGGCTACAACCCCGATGACTGGAAGTCCTTGCTGGAGCGCCAGCTCAGAGAGAGCTTTACCACCCTGACCAATGGGGCTGTCCTCGAGGTCCGAGGCGTCAAGGGGGAAACTTTTCGCTTTCTCATCGACAAATTCGAGCCGGGTGGGGATGGTATCTGCGTGGTAGATACGGATCTAGAAGTGGACATCGAGGCTCTGAACGAAGAGCAAGCCAGGGAAACGATGCGGCAGATCATGACCAAGTCGCAGAAAGCACCAGGCGCTGCAGGAGGAAGTTCTCTTGGCCACGATATCAACATATGGAAACCCGTGGACGGCCAGGTGCTTGCGGGCGACTACGTGGACTACGAGTTGTCCTCGTGGAGTCGGTCGAGGCCCTTGGAGGTCACGTTAAGCGGCATCGAGGACGACGATGCGGTCGATTTGTTCGTAAGTCCAAAATCTCCGCGCCAGCGAGCCGAGCCTCGGCAGTCCGAGCATGTATTTGGCTGCTTCGGGGGTTCCTCGGACGGAGCCAAGTCCATCACGATACTGCCTACCAATGTTGAGATGGAGGGCGCCGAGAGCATCTTGGTTTCCGTTCACGGATACAAGGGAACGGGCTCGGAATGCCTGGAGGCATCCCCCCACCCATTCACTTTGCGAGTCAAGTCCACCGCCGGAGATACGCCAGCTCCGATGGAGGCAAAGCGGCCTCAACAATCGTCTCCAGACGAGGAGAAGTGCCCAAACTGTGGCCAATGGGTTCCCCAACGGACTATGGTGCTTCATGAGAATTTCTGCCGGCGCAATAATATCGCCTGTCCCAAATGCGCCACCGTCTTCCAGAAGAACTCAACTGAGTGGTCTGAACATTGGCATTGCCCCCACGACGAAGCTTTTGGTTCGTCGAGAGCGAGCGAAGCAAAGCATGGTGAGATTTATCATACCGAGCGGCAATGCCCCTCGTGTCCTTTCGTCACAAACTCGATCCCGGATCTTGCCCGTCACCGGACCTCCCTATGCCCTGGCAAGATCATTCTATGTCAATTCTGCCATCTAGAGGTACCCCAGGAGGGAGATCCGTTCAACCCATCTGCAGACACTCTGCTCTCTGGGTTGACGGAGCACGAAGTTGCAGATGGTGCGCGTACGACTGACTGCCATCTCTGTGGCAATATCATTCGACTGCGCGACATGTCGGCTCATTTGAAGCACCATGAACTCGACAAGGCACAGCGACCAAGGCCCCCTATCTGCAGGAATGCCAATTGTGCACGAACGCTACATGGCGTCGGGAAAAAGGGCGTGGTCGGCGCTGGTACGCAGATGGGTCAAGGCCCTGGAAATGACCTTGGACTCTGCTCCATGTGCTTCACGCCTCTATATGTGCAACTGCACGACCCTGAGGGCAAGGCACTACGCCGTCGCATCGAGCGTCGCTATTTGACCCAGATGATGCAAGGGTGTGGGAAGAAGTGGTGCGCAAATGAATGGTGCAAGACGGGCAGGGTCAACATGGACCTAGAGGCGCGAAGTTCAAGTGCTTCGGCGGTGCTTCCTCTGATCAAGCCCCTGATGGAGACCGTGAGGGATATGGGCTCACCCATGTACTTCTGCGTAGACGAGACGAACCAGAGGAGGAGAAAGCTCGCTGAGATGATCGAAGCTGAGAAGGGCTGGGACTTGGAGTGGTGCATTGCCGCTTGTGAGGTAGAGGGGCCAAACCTGGACAAAGCCCGCGAGTGGTTGGGCAACTGGGCTCCCACTCGTACAGAATAGGGAAGTCGAATGACAGCATTGGAGGGCGTTGGGTATTTGAGCATTTTCACGCGCAGATGTGGGATTAGACGACGTAGAGGAGACATGAAGCCCAGCATTCTAGATTATATACCCCTTGTTTGGTATTACGTGCCAGTCGGTAATTGACAAACGAAGTAAAACGTCAAATGTTCATTCTACCATTGATAGCAACTATGCCCCAATCTGTGGTCCTTGGCCTATGGGAGTGGAACGCCGACCGTACCGTTATATACATCCGCGGCACCCCGTCCTCTACCCTAACCCACCCTGGTGTTGTTAACGAAGCATCGTTCTACCCTTAATGGGACTGGAGGGGAATAAGCATCTGAAACCGTCCATGGAGCGGCCACACTTACGCAGCATGAGCAGGATTCGCTTCGCAGGTGGATAGTTAGCAGTCGCTTTGGCCAGATTCGAAGAACATTAAGCGACCAAAGACTTACCAGTTGTTGCAGGAGCAAGTGGTGCATCCACAGCTGGCAGGTCCCATCTTGGATGATTTATCTAATGTGGAGGCTTTAAGGTGTAATTAATTCCTTAAGATGAAGAACCTGGTCTCAATGGCGGGTGTTTTCGAGGAAGGAAGGAAGGTGTGGCAATGGAATTTTGGGATTTCTTCTCTTAAGTACTAGTCTAAACAATCTACACAACGCCGCGCAGAAACCCCCTCCCCTTGGGCACGTTGAGGAGTTGGTGTAGCACACCCACTTCTCTGGATCGTGCTATAATGCGGCCTGATGTTGGTTTATGGGCTGTCGATTATCGAACGAATGCGTCGGGAAAGGTGCGGGGCAGTGTGGACTGACATGGCACATTTCATGGCTCAGCATCCAGCGGGCGTCCCCGAAGCTGGTGGCGATCGAGATGGCACCGGCAACAGAGGTGATGTTGTTGCTGCTGCAACCCAAAACCAGGTAAGGGTTGTTTGCTTGCTTCCTTGTAATTGCTGGCTATGCATACACATCCTATGGTGCCCAGTTACGTTGCCGCTAGACTGCACCGAGACGCAGTATGAAGCCACTCATGATCTTCGCACCAATGACCATTCTCTGAGCTCTGATCTGAGGCTGCTGCAGCGTGGTTGCATGTTGGACTTGCAGCGCTCCAGTGTCTGGGTTTTCCATTCCACAGGGGCTCATCGCTGGGTGCTTTATTCGCTCAGGGACAACCCACCTAACGGTTCTGACAAATAGCAGCCTGTTATCCTTCAAGTTCCCCTCCGAACGAACTACAGTTGATTGGTAGCAGGTTCCACGTGCCCGAATATGTGAGGTCACTGCACAAGTATGGGATACGTGCTTCAGCCTGTTGAGGATTCGTCCGTCTCGGCGAAGGGAAGCACGGCTACAATGAGAGGGAATCGTGATGCTGTGCTACGTGGGCCCCATAGGGAGGGGGAGGGGATCCAATGCATTTACGTAAAGGGATGCAGCGCTGGTGAACAACGGCTTGCAGGACTCGAGCTTACCAGCTTACGTATCTGGTGATTCACTCTTCAATCGCAAAAGTTGTGGCAGCTATGAGCTTCCAGGGTCATCAGGGGACATACTGAAGGCTCTTGAGCCCTTCAACACCGTACAACGCAGCCATGTTGAATGCATAATGAAGAATATGGGCGACCATATAGATCTTTTTGTTCCGTGAATGAATAATAGTGAGGAACAAGGTAGTACCGGGTTGAGGCAAAGTCTTGTTCTAATATATTTTTGCGGTTAATATCTGTATTACTGTTTCTAAGCTGCGAACATGAATCACTAGCTTGAGAACTGGTAATGTCATGCAATGCCTAACTAGTATCTCCTGGTATTACACAAACTGTATATGCCCGAAGAAAGGCGACATGTGAAAGTTTGCCTGATCGGGGGGACTCCACGCTCCTAGAGTCTGGTTAGGGAAAATTTCAGGGGATGTGATGGTACGGAAGAAGTTCATTCTCCACTGTGTGCCATTCGCAGCTCCATTATCGACGTTAAAGAAGCCAAGTGGAAGGCTGATCGAAGACTTCCAGATTTTGTTTGTCTTGTCTAGAGTGGTCGCAGCTGAAATGCCGTCAAGAGCCGGATCCGTGATGAAGAACCTGTCGAAAACGGCCCCAGAGGCCCGGACCTTTGATGGGTTGTAGATAAAGGCGTGCCATGTGACATTGTTGGGGCTGACCTCGAACTCGAGATACGTCTGGGGATCCTCGGTGCCACGATAAACGAAGCACTCCATGACTTCATATTCGTATATGGGGTCGTTCATCTGATGGCTCGAGTTGAAGTAGAAGTATTGCTCATCATATGCCGTGAAGTCAATCTTGAGCGAAGTATCATCATAGCAGAGATCAACTTGAGTCTCCGGGAACGGCGATTTGTCAGGAACCGACTGAGAATATTTGATGCTGCCCAGCTGCGGGCAGGCGGGGACGGAGAGCGACGGCACCGCGTCATAGGCTGCAACTTGCTGCGTGCCCGGTCTCCCAAAGACTGGGGCAGCGATGGCGGCCAAGAGGCCGATGATGACAGTGGAAGACATGCTAGATTGATTGCACTGGACTTTGGTAACCTTTGGTGACAGTCGTAGATGTTAAACCAAGTCAAGGTTGAGAAGCAGAAATCCGGGTTCCGTACATGAAGCCTAAATGCAGTAAGATGCCTGCCAAATACGGAAGGTGCATTTCTTCTTAAGTAGTCAACAACACTTGGTTCTGTGACTCACTTACCCCGGCGGCCTGGGTAATGCCAATCCCTGTCTATGAAGACTTTGTTATCGCAGTGAATCGCTTCCGCAACAGCCTGAAGCCATTTCCAAGTCCCTCTCTGCGTGCACATTGAATTTGAAGAGATGGGAAGATGGGAACATGTGCATCTAGGTACGGCATTTTCATGCTGGTCACCCCTCGTAGATGTGCATTACAACTAGCGCCGCGAAACAGCCTAGGAGCACCAAGTGTTCTACCACCATCCTGACCAACCGCAGGTGCATCTACCAGGCGGCTTGTTTGGCCAATTAGGACGCCTGATGGCGACACGATCACAAAGTGGGCAAACCCTGTTGGTTCGGTTCGATTTCATCACTACTTTAAACATAGTAGGCTGATATATTTCCGCGCATTTATTAGTTGAGAAATTGCCGATCAGGATACTGTTGCTTACAATGGCTCTATTAAGTTAGCAAACAGAATGGTGCACAACAGTATAAAAAGCTAAAAACCGAGACTCGCCCAACGCACTAGGTACTACTTGCAGCATGATTATACATGTGGAAGAAGAAGAGATGTCTACGCGCTTCCAATATAAGAGGATTAGGCAATGCCTTTAGACACCATGAAGGGTAGACTTCAAGCCAGGGGCTTATAAATATACCTGTCAATCGGACCATTGCATACATACTGACAGTTTAGCATATAACGTGCTTTATTGTAGTAGAAGTGCTCTTCACTAATATGCATTGGCTCGTTCGCTCCAGGAATCGTTCCAGCTGAGACTGGGTTTCTTCATCCCTGACTGAATTACATTATCTGCCAGAAGCTGCAATCCGCCAAGGTGAGCGCCGTTGGCCTCCTGCGACCACATCGTAAGAGAGACGTAATTCTTGCCGTCATAATTCAGAATCCCCTCTGGCACCGGGAAACGAATCTGAGGGCCTAGATTATTTACTTATCGGGTCTAATTAGTACGCCTCGCCAGATTGACAACACCTTAATCCTCTTGAGAAGAGAGATGACTCACTGTATTTTCCGTACTGCCACCCGTTCACATAAAGCTGCACACGAAAGCTAATTAGCTCACTGTTGTCGTTTGTGCTGCTAGTGAAGACAAAGCTCATCGGAATATCCCAACCACGAGGCACTTGGAGGTTGAAACTGGTGGCGAAGAAGCCGATTCCGGCAGAATCAATACCCTGAAATGGTGATCTGGTGACCCAATCTTTCGTAGGAGAAGAGGGGAGGTGATATCCTTGTCTTTCTGCCCACATCCCTCCCTCGTTAAGTGGACCACGAGTGTGATCAACATGGTCTTCACCGCCAAGATTTCCAGTGATTTTCCAGAATACATCGGTCTGGGGGTGTCCTGACAGTTGGTAGTCGATAATCCCCCGAGGTGTCTTCATGGTGTCGTATCCAGGAGTCCAACTCGTCTCTTGACCCATATGATCGATCACTACTGTAATGACGAACGTTTCACCCTTTACAATATCCAGAGTCGCAGAACCGCCCAAATTCAGGGTTTGGTTATATGACTTTGCATTGCCAGAGCCAGTGTATGATCCAACATAAGTTGAGTTGATCCAAATCGAGTGCCCAAAGCCCGAGCCACCGGTGGTGGAGACATACAAGGACGACTCGTTGCCATTTGCAACGAAGTATCCACGGTACAATAGCGACCCGCTATGGAAACCATAATCGCTGGCAATGAGGCTTGTTGGCGTTTTCAGTGAGAACAGGATCCCATTGTCGTCACGAGCTGTGTTATTCGTCGTCTCGTGGTCAGCTATGGTCCACTCTGAATCGTCATAGCGTTGTTGAATCTCGGGAAGGGAATCCACGTATTTCCACTCCAATTCCCTGAATCCTGGAAGAAAGAGTGATGGCGGCTCGTACTTTAGTGACGCAGATAGGCGGCCATTAGCTGATTTCACACCGGGGACTTTCTCTCCATTGAAATACAGGCTGTTGCTCCCTGGCAGTCCTGCAATGACCTCAAGGTGGGTGGTAGCATTCAAATCCCCTGTGAGATATAGCGAGGTACCAGATTTGACAGCGCTACGAAGAAGGTAGCCTGCCTTGACAATGACCCTCTCCTTCGTCTGGGCGGAATAGTTGCCTATCGGGGCAGGAGCTTCAAGTTCTAACGCCCAGTAATTCAGAGCATCATTACGCCATAAGAGATAAACATCCAGATTGCTTCCATAATGCAAGATCTTTCTTGACTGTGCAACTTGCCATTGTACCACTACCAGTGGTCCTTTAGCCTCGATCTGGACAGTGGTAGCATCACCCTCGACCACTGGCACTCCCAGCCTGGAAGAAAAGCCCAGTTCATGTGTTTCATTTGCTAGTCCATATAATAGCAGCACATGCTTTTCGCCACTCTTGGAATGAGTGAATACATCCGCAGATGAGTACACAAGGTTAATATCTCCAAACTCGTAGTCGGTGACGTGGACCTTTGAATCTCTCCCGTTCAATGTCAAGGTCCCACCGAGTTGCGGAATTGTGATGTTCCCCAGACTTGTAGGTACCGTGAAAGTGTACGGCGTTTGAGAGAGGGACGAATAATCCGAGTGGCGGGTCACGTAAAACCTTGTAGTCTTGCCGAAGACAGGAGTTGTTGTAAGTTCAGAGGTGCTTACGTATGTCGAATTGGTAATGTTCCCGGGTATCGCATCTAGATATTGAGGGGAGGAGGTGATGAATTGGGCGATCAATTTTGCCTCGGCGAACTTCTCACGACCTATGCTGCGATCCTCTTGAATCACAGCCCCATAGTCGTATGAAGTGTATCCTCCAGATTGGCCTAGGTTTCCCCAGTTTGTACCACCATATGTCTACATTGTGAGCTTTGAAAAGAATTCAAATTAGATGTGGAGCCATACCATATAAATGTTCAGGACGCGCACACCAAAGCTCAAGTTGTTCTTAAAAAAGAGCCGCTCATACTCGTGATTGGTAAGAGCTGCGCATCCTTCCAAACCTGTGCCGCCCCTGATTCTTCTTAGCCTTGGCGTGCGAAACGAATCGTATGGCCTTACCAATTGTCAATAGCACCTCCTTGAAACTCAATAATCGCGTATGGAGTATTTGGGCTTTGTTTGAGGTGCAACTCGCGCCAGTCCGTAGGAAGGTTTCCAGCAGTCCACTGCGCGGGATGGCCGCCTGCAAACCCACCATGTTAGCCCGGAAGTTCAAGTGTAATTCGTATCACTTACAATCCCAGCCGATTGGATAGCTGTCGTGCCCATATATATCAGGACCACCTGGCTTCTCAGGAGTAAACTGCCCAATAACAGCAGCTTCGTTGTTTATGAACGGAACGACGATACCCATCTGGCGAAACTGCTCATTGACAGCCTTTATATACTCAACGTCCGGCCATTTGACCCAGCTTGCACCAAATGTATACTCATTCTCAACCTGTAACAGAATAACAGGACCACCATTCGTAATTTGAGCATCGGCTATTATTCTCCCAATGTGCGAAACATAGTTCCTTGTAGCTTCGAGATACCCCGACTCATTCGTCCTTAGCATAGCGGGATTACGCTGTAACCACCCTGGGAACCCGCCGCCAGAAACCTCGGCGTTGATGTACGGTCCCGGGCGAGCTAAGAGATATATTCCTGCTCTTGCGGCTGCTGCAAAGAAGGGCTCGAAAGCAAATACGCCATTGGCAGCGAAGTGTCCGGGACGGGCCTCGAGGAGCGCCCAGTCTACATAGAACGACACCCCGGTGTATCCAAGGGCCTTGATTTTCTGAAATACATCGAACCAGAGATCAGGTACCGGTAGTCGCCACGGATGGAACTCGCCCGAGTAGAACAAGATACGCTCACCACGGACAAAAAGGGAGTGCTGGTCCCAAGTGACCTGGTCTCGTTAGAACATGCAACAGGCCTCATGCCGGTGAGTACTATTACCAGGTCCTGAGTAGGCTCTCTTTTTCCACAATTAGGGACTGTGTACTTACTTTCGCCTAAAGTGGATGTATATACACCACCACAAAAGAACGACAGCAGAATCACAGCTGAGCACCAAAAATTAATCATTGTGTCCATCTATTAAGAAGCCAGCAAGGTGCAAGTTACGCAGGGACAGTTTGCACAGATTATGGATAGACCAGTATCACGGTGGATCCCATCTCTTTTACAGTCTGCTCTCACATACATTCTTTGATGTCGGTTAAGCGGATTGTCATTTTCCGGGAAGTCACGGTCCGCCGCTCCGTGAGGCCGTTTCAATGCTTCAGGTTGACAGCGACATGTGGTTGGTGGAATTGCTCTTCAACGCCGTCTGGAATGACAGTCCACATTAATTTGGAGGCGTTGGAGAATCCTAGCAAGCTGAACGGCCATCTACAGGCGATGACTTGGAGATGAGAAATACCTCATGCGGGGAAGGAAGAGTCTGGTCCCTTGGAACCCGGGAATGTGGTCACACTACAAGCAGCTAGTCAGAACTACGGTCTGGATAGAGCTCAAGTAAATCTCTCTGTAACAGCGAAATACAACAATACACTTATAGAGACGTGGTGGCCACGGCCAGAACTAGTTTCAACTTCTCAGTGATCGTGCGACTTAGATCCACCCATCCCGATGGAGTGACTCTGTGTTTTGGGGTAGTGTCTGACTTCAGAGTTTGCATTATGTCCAGCACTATTAACCTACCATGTCGGGCAGTCTTTGCTACTTGGATGCAGCTTATCTTGGTCAATCATTTATGGCTACTCAGACATTCTACCTAACGTCCAAATGGTAGATAGCTTCCTAAAGCGTAGGCATTCAATTCTTTTTATCTTTCTTATTTTTTATTTCTTTTAATTACCTATTGGCTTGCTTAACGGAACTTCCGAGCACCCACATGAACACAATGATGGCCTAGTCAGGATTCGGAGAAGCTATATGTATTTTGAGACGGACAATGCATATGAATGTGATGTCACGCCAAGTAGTTGTAGCACCTTTAGGGACTATTAAGTTTTCTACCACTTGTAGCAGCTATATATCAATAAGTATCAAGCACTTGGTCCACCACTGCGCCCTGGGGATCTCCCAGGGTAGAAATGGGGAAGATGCCATCCATGAGGGTTTGATAGGAACAGAAGTCATTGGGTTGCAATAATGTTTCAACAGAGAACTCGTTGTAAAGCGATGGCCAGTCGACCATACTGCTATACAAGTCGCTAGTCTCGCCGCCGGGCGTCGGGAAGTCTGACGTACCATTGGATAGGTGCGAGCTCTCCGCGGTGGTTGATAAAGTACTTTGGGGTGACGGTATGCTGGGAGTGCCGCTTGAAACTCTCCCTTGTCGTCGAAAGTACTCAGATGGCGTCAAGCCTGTGATATCCTTGAAAATTCGATGGAAATGCCACTTAGAAACCTGAGCTTTCCTGGCAAGGCGTCCTGTGGTTTTGGAGATCCCCTCATCGTTCCCTTGACTCGCTCCGGGCACAGCCTGATGTTTTAACTCCTGCACGATCAATGACCTGATTCTAGTTGCTGCTGCAGCCTCTGGCATCTTCCCACTCTGGGGTCTGCAGCGTTTGCACGAACGGTAGCCGGCCTTCTCGGCATCTCGTGGCTGCTCAAAGAACTCGACATTTCCGCGTCTGGCGAGACGAGCCGTACAGACGGGTCTGCAGTAGATTTTTGTCGTTCGTACAGCATATACGAAAGACCCGTCGGCCGCAGGATCGCGAGATTGGACGGCTATCCATTTTGATCCTTCGTCTCGATAGCCCATTATTGCGTGTGATCGGATGGGAAGCCCAGCGATGGATGATGACGCGTCTGGTACGCTTGCCTTGCTGCGCAGAGTCTTATTTAATGTGGATGAAAGGATGATGGAGACACAAGTGCTTTCTCGTTTCGCATCCGACTGATGAATGGTTTAAAGAGTCACGACTTCGCCCCAGTCCATTCAGAATGTAGTTGTGCTAGTGACCTCAGCTTGCTGTCGATGTGGCGAATCAGCGTCGAGCAAGCTGTACTGTCGCCCACCACTGCCCCACCTTGCTCTCAAAATGACCAAGTGAACAGCAGAACAGCTATGCTGACATGGACACGAGCGACTAACTCCGAAGTCGAGAGTCATCCATTTTTTGCGCTAAGAGGAGCGCAAGATCTCGTCATTGGGTAATTCTTTGGCAATCAGGGAGAGGGTTGCTCAGTTCCGTGGAAATCTGGTATACTTGCTGTACAGACAAACTGGCTGTCCAAGATTATAAATACTAGATGACACCGCAAGTGTTTCACTGATTTCAAGAAACTGTGCTTCCAGGTCACGTCTTTTATATAATTCCACTATCAACAATGACTATGGACGCCCATTCTGTTATCTCTCCTGCCATTCTTTACTGGGGAACGCCTGTCGTTCTGATTACTTCTCGGAACGAAGATGGCACAGATAACATTGCTCCAATGTCTTCGGCGTGGTGGTTAGGACACTCGTGCATGCTCGGCCTTGACACAACATCCAAAACAACACAAAACATTTTGCGTACTCGGGAGTGTGTCCTGAATCTGCCAAACGACACAATGTCGGCCTGCATCAACGCATTGGCTGGTGCGACCGGATCAAACCCGGTGTCCCCCTCCAAAAGGCGCCGAAACTACAAGTTCGTCAAGGACAAATGGACAAAATCCAAGCTCAGCCCTGAACCGTCCAGCATCGTCCAGCCGTCTCGCATTGTCGAGTGCCCGGTGCAGATGGAATGCCAGCTTCTGCAGGTCACAAACCTGAGGCCAGATCTGCCAGATCGCTGTGGAATCATAGTTGCGGTTGAGGTCCGAGTTCTTCGCACTCACGTATCTAATACCCTACGGATGGATGGCCATGAAAACCGAATCGACCCTGACAGATGGAAGCCTCTCATCATGTCGTTTCAGCAGTTCTATGGTCTCAAAGATGACAAAATTGGTCCAAGTGTGCTAGGTCATATTCCAGAAGAAGAGTATCGAAAACTGACTAAAAGTGATGTGACGAGAGTGCCGGGAGATGATGACGATGTGTTAGCAGTCACAAAATGTAGAGCCTAGATACGGAAATGGCGGGGATTCTATTTCCATTACCATAGACGTTTTGTAACATCAACATAGTTTGAGGTTAGAGATGAGAGCAGGCTAATCAATACATGTAATATGTTTGATGCAGCCTGTCACATAGCTTTAGTTTCCTTTTCTCGTCAATGCAACCCCTAGAGCCCATGTACATGTTTCTCCTGACTATGAGACCAAGCAGTGTCACCTCGGCTTTAATATGTTTGAAAATTCGGAAGCTAAAGAGAAGAGAGCGAAGCAATGAAAGGCTTCGAACTGGGACAGAGCATTGCTATGACGTGATAAGAAAGAACATAAAAGCCATACTTCCGCTCAGTTTCCAAAGTCTCCCGGGCGGGCTCGGGTGGGGGCCCATGTTCACCGGGCCCGGCGATGGTCCGTGCGACCATTTACGCGCTTGCCGAGTCGTCCGAGAAATCGGATGTCCAGCCATCATGTAACGCGCATCATCATCGTCCACAACCGCGTAGGGCAACGACAGTAAGCTCAGGCCCCTCACCGCTCCAAAATGGCTCAAGTCCAGCTGGCATTGGAGATAGCCTTCTATGTCTATCCATGTGGACTGTTTGCCACCCTCTCTCTGTCTCAATTGATCCGACATTGGCGGGATCGACGAAACGTGAGCGAACTAGCCGACGAGGGGACCGAGGAGTTTCGGCGCTTCCATTCAAGACTCACGTGGGGTCTCCAGCTTCTACTGGCTCTTCTTCTGGCAAGTACTGTCCTGTAAAGTGGGCTACGAATACGTGCAAAGCTAATATTCCATATGCAGACCGCCAGCGTCATACTAGTCACTCATGATGCTGTTTCTGGCCGATACGACAAGTCCGAGGAAGTCAACTTTCCATACACTGCATATCTGGTCTGAACACGTTCCAAACGCTCTAAACATCACCTCACTGATCTTACATGCAGGCTTCGTACGCTGGTGTTACTCTGTACTTCTTGGCTGGTCTTTTGCCCAACCCAGACGGACCATGGTCTCCCACCGTCTCCCATAGCCATGCATGGGTGGCTGGTATTATGCTCGAGGCCGTCATAGCCATCATTTTTAAGTCAGAGCAAAGATCTATACGGGTGTCCGCACGACTTCTCAATTCTCTCTTCGGTCTCGGCGTGTCGCGGATCTCGGTTCTACTGCTGATGACGGTGCTTCTTGTCTACAAACAGTCCAGGTTGAGGGCACTAGAGTCTGGCTCGAATTCCGAACGTCGCCCACTCCTGGAGAACGGTCATGGTCCTGCTAGCAACTATGGTGGCACGCACGCTCGTGCAACAGTCTCGGGTACTGACAAGCCACGTGATGCACAGAGCTCAGGCTGGGTTGAGTATTTTGCTGGATTCAGAATTCTCTTCCCCTATCTGTGGCCCAAAGACTCCCCACTTTATCAGGTGATCGTGGTCATCTGCTTGATTCTTTTGGTCTGCCAGCGTGCAGTGAATATGCTAGTTCCTATACAGCTTGGATATCTGGTTGACGCTCTCGGCTACGGCAAGATTCCACTCAAGGAGATCATCCTCTATGTAGTCTACCGATCACTTCAAGGTAACCAAGGAGCTCTTGGCGCTGCTCGCTCTGTCTTATGGATTCCAGTCTCACAGTCGCTGTTCCGCCGCCTATCTTGCGCTGCGTTCGAGCATGTGTTGGGCCTTTCAATGGATTTCCACTTAAGCAAGAGAATCGGCGAAGTGACCAGCGCACTGAGCCGCGGTGCCGCCATGAATACATTCTTGGAAAGCTTCCTCTTTCAGGTTATACCGATGACCTTGGATATATTTCTCGCAGGGATCTTTTTCTTCATTCAGTACGACGCGTTTTACACGCTCGTCGTTTTCTTTATCATGTGGTCCTACATCTTCCTCACTATCTATATGGCCAAGTACCGGGGCCGGCAACGTCGAGACATGGCGACAAAGTCTCGCGAGATGGATGCCGCGAAGACAGATGCCATCATGGCGTTCGAAACGGTACAGCACAACTGCGCTGTCCCAGCCGAGACGGAGAAATTCAGGAGCCACGTTACTGTTTACCAAACCGCGGAGCGACTGGTGCAGCTATCACTGAATGGGATGAACCTAACTCAGAGCTCCATATTCTCGTTGGGAACGGCGCTGCTCGTGGCCATTTCGGCCTACAAGATTTCCATCGGCCAGCAGGAAGTTTCCGAGTTCGTGACTATGATTATCTACTTCACGCAACTTCAAGGGCCATTGAATTTCTTCGGCACATATTACACAATGTTGCAGAACAATCTCATTGAGGCGGAGCGAATGCTTGATTTGGTCAGTCCACGTCATTCATAGGTATCTAATCTTAGCTAACACGAAGCACAGTTCAAAGAGACATCAGGGATCGTGGAGAAAGAAGGTGCGATCACCCTTCCGCCCCCGCGAGGAGAGGTGAGGTTCAACAATGTTGGCTTCTCTTACGGGGGCAAGGAGGGAGCATCGCCGGCGATTGACGGTGTCGCCTTTACTGTTCAGCCAGGCACCAAGACTGCCATAGTAGGAGAGTCCGGAAGCGGGAAGAGCACATGCCTGAAACTTCTGTTCCGGTTTTATGATGTCAAAGACGGTTCAATCACGGTTGATGGCCATGATCTTCGAGATCTAAAGGTTGATAGCCTCCGAAAGCACATCGGGGTCGTCCCACAAGATACTGTACTCTTCAACGCCACGATCATGTACAACTTGCTCTACGCAAGCCCGACAGCAACCGAAGTTGATGTATATGCGGCCTGCAAGGCTGCGAATATACATGACCGCATACTTGCCTTCCCCGATCAGTACAATACGAAAGTCGGAGAGCGAGGACTAAAGCTATCTGGAGGTGAACGCCAGAGGGTGAGTCTGTGCCCTTGAAAATCTCTTCTTGCCCGTACTCATTATGTTCTGGATATATAGATCGCGATCGCAAGAGCAATCCTTAAGGACTCGCGCATTTTACTACTCGACGAAGCCACAGCCTCGCTCGATTCTCATACCGAGCGGCAGATCCAAGAAGCGCTGGAGAGGGTGACTGAAGGACGGACTACGATTACCATTGCGTAAGTAAAGGTGCATTAGACAGCGGCGCACCTAAAGTACTTGCTGATATGATTCGCAGTCACCGTCTCTCCACTATCACCAATTCAGACCAAATTGTGGTTCTTCATAAAGGCAAGGTCGTTGAGCGTGGCACGCACGCAGCACTCCTTGAGTCTCGTGGTCGTTACTTTGCCATGTGGGAGAAGCAGACTACGGCCGAAAAGGAGAAAGAACAGAAAGAGAAAGCTGAAGTAACCGAGATGTAGCAATAAGAAGGTGATAAGCTAGTTGTTTCATGTACAGTAGTCAACTACCCCGCGTATAGATTTTCTTATTAACCACTAGATGAATTTGAGCCTCCTAACCTGTAAAAGCCAAAACAGTTACAAGGGAAGAACCCGACAATGCCAGTCACATGAACAATGACAGGTGCTGCAAAACCATGCGTGACAAGCAGCTCAGACGAGATTACCAGATTCCTGGATCCCTGGAAAGGATTCGCTGGTAAGTTACCGTGTTGGGGTCATGGTGGCTGATTGGCTGAGACATGGATCATATTGGTAGTGGATCGTAGGTCAGTGGGGCAGACACGCAACCCAAAGAACTTAACCGGGGATGATTAACCCTTACGGAATGGTGGGAAAATAGGTCTTAGAAGCAATAGACAGCGGCTGGGTCCTATACGAGAAGAGACAACTTCGCTTCCGAATTTTGAGGGACCCCGTTCGGTTGCGTTTGAAGTACTTCCGGCTTGCATCCTGCTGCACTCCGGTTCCCATAATTTCTGGGTAAGTCGCATTCTCTGCTGCTCAGTGCTCCTGCGCGTGGTGTCGCTCTTTTGCCCCGTTCCCATGCCTGCATCTTCAAAAGTCTCCTGGTACATTCGTTCGTTACTGGCTGCGTCGAGGTAGATCACGTTTGCCGGCCATGTCTCCCTCAAACTTACGAGGCATTGTTATGCTGATGTTTCTACCCGCCGTCCTCGGTGTCAATCTTTTGGTTTCTCATTTTACTGGAACTGTTTCCTCGCTTTCACTGACTAAATGTCATGGCAAGTGGGATCTAGCGTTGACGTCGTCAACGACTGGCTGCGGAAGGCTGCCAGCATGGCTGCAGTTGCACTCGGAGTCGAACACAGTTTACTGCATCGATGAAAACTGGTCAGGACCGGGAAATGCGTCATCGTTCCAGATAGCTCGGGATGGTTCTCTGAAACAGACCGGCAAAGCAACCACGAAAGGGATGTCTGTTCATGGCATGTTGTATGGTGGGACGGATGGCCGCGGATTTCTGATTACATCTGAATAGTAAAGCGCCCCTGATCTGAGAGATCTCAACTTGGACACGGCTGATTGATTCCTAGCACGCCCTCGACCGTCACGACCTATAAACTACCGTTGAGCAATGGCACCGCTCCACTGCAAACACTGGAATTCACGATGGCGGAGCCTGGTCCAAACTCCCGGCAGGACAAACCGCATCCTCATGCAGCAATCCCCGATCCAACGGGCAGGTATCTGTTCGTGCCAGACCTCGGCGCCGATCTGATACGTATATTCAGCATCAATGCTCGTACAGGGAACCTGACAGCTTGTGGAACAGCAAAGGCAGGCCCAGGCGATGGGCCTCGGCACGGGGTTTTCTGGGCGCCTCGTCCGGGCTCCCTCAAGGGCCTGAGGTTCTACTCTGTTAATGAGCTTGGCAATTCTGTTTCGGCATGGATTGTGAAGTATTCAGGCCCAGGGTGCCCATCGCTGGTGAAGACGCAGACGCTCTCGACCTATGCCGAAGGCGTAACCCCAGGAAACACCACCAAAGCCGCAGAGATCCATGTCAAGGGCAACTTTCTTTACGCTTCAAACCGTGCCGATCAAACATTCGGCCCTGAGCAGGATTCGATTGTTACTTATACCATCAATGCAAAAACAGGCGACATCACTCTCCTGGAGGCCACCAGTGCGTATGCCTACTATCCGCGAACGTTCGAGATAAACAGGGCCGGTAATCTAGTGGCTGTTGGAGGTCAGACAAGCAGCAACGTGGCTATCATAGCCAGAGATCCTGCGACTGGCAAATTAGGGGAGCTTCTAGCCAACGTATCGGTGGCGACGCGTGGTACCGCAGGCGGTGAAAATGGGCTCAGTGCTGTTGTCTGGGTTGAATAGACGCCAGCTTTCAAGTAGAAGGCCACCTCCCCGGTCGAAAGTTAATGCTCTAGACCGACATATGTAATTATATTAACTTTAATATATATTATTAGATACATACAGAGTTAATTGAAGAGTATTTGGGCCTTGGACTGGACGCCTGACGACAGTCAGTCACTCTCAAAGCGGTCTAGTCTCGTTGAGGCTCGGAACCCAGTCAGGAAAGCTGTGAGCTTCGGCCCCCGTGCTTTCCGTCAGCGAAGCTGCCTGGAAGCCAATGTCGGTTCTAGACTGCTTCTTGGGGCAAAGCTAACTCTGTTATTATAGCTTGTATACATAGTGCGCCAACTCTGAACGTATTTATATCTGTTAATGATATTATACTGTACAATCTACCATGATTTCTTCCAGTACACCCGTCCTGAGACACGAACAAATGAGAGGGTCGAGGTCTGTGGAGCCCACCCGGAATCGTTGACACACCAAAAATGACAGTTGAACGTCTTTTTTTTTTTTTTTTTTTGAAAGCCTAAAAGGAAGAATTTCTGGCCGTGGGTACGCTATGGAATTTCTCAATTCCACGGTTGATAATCCTTGGTCAAGATTTGTGCCAAGATACGGAACATATCCCCGAAGTTAAGATGGGGGGGAAAACCTACGCAACGCCTCCCTTTCACTCGTATTAGGAGCCATGCCGAATCCTCAAGCCCCACTCAAGGACTGATTTTCCCATTGAAGGAATACTTTGCCACCTCGGGAAAGGGATCTCGCTATCAGTGATACTATGTAAGTATCCGACCACAGAGAGAATATTTCTCACGATACGTAACAGGAACGGCTCGGCCCTCCATAATGTTTGTCTTTGAGCAAATTCTATGTTCATCTCAACATTTTGTACCTTGGAAGTGTGATCTGTGTTATATGGTCCATCTTGGTGCCCATCGCCCTGCACTAGACCCCACGATCGCCGCTATCCGTCGGTCAATGGGGTCAGGGTGTAGAGTTGGCACCATTGATAAACGAACGACACCGTTAGACCATTAGAAGATCAGTGGCGCTTCGGTAGAAGACCCCGGATTAAAAAAGAGCTGAGTACCTGGGCAAGGCCCGCCCGGGTCTCGGGAGAGCTTACGGGAGCGAGTGACCCCAGTATGGAGTCGTCTGGACTCAGCATTTTCTGCGCTAGTGCCCGATATCTACATCCTAGTCAGTCAGTAGGAACATCTTGTGTCAGCTCGCGTCTAGCTACAATCTGTCCAAGAGACTCGCGCAGAGTATTACAGGGAAAAACTATGGTAACCTTCCGAGTGAGATAGCTGAAAGAGACTATGTTGAGCATCTTTTCTCAGTTGCAGCCTCTTCTGATAAGCTCTCAAGGCTTATCGCGATGATGCCGCCAGTAGAAGCCTCGCGTCCAGCTGAGGATGATGCCATTTAAAGTTGGGCTAGTGAAATAGCGCCGGACACCTATCCTTGCTTTCGTCCCGTCCTTCTGCGAAAAGCCACAAGCGACACCAGGCCCAGGGCAGTTATGGGTGCATAAGGGCCTACACGATGGAGCTCGAGTCATTTCCCAGGGTGGTGCAGTCTCAATGTGAAGCAGCGACAAAGAATTCAGCACCGGCTAGAGTTCGATGTTGAGGGCATTCCCTATTACTTAAGCTTTGCATGGGACACGTCCCGAATGCAACATTTTGTTGCTTAATAGCGAGTGCGCTGCCGATCTGATCGTCGCTTCTGTCGATCGCAACTCCTCCCACTGGATCAACAGGCGGTCCTCGCTGTCACGTACAGTACGGAGTTTGGGGTAACCCACCATGACGACTGCCGCGGAAATCGATGCCTATGACATTCAGACTCACCAGTCTACCATCGCGGTATGGATCCTGACTTCTTTCGCGGGTGTCTTCCTCGCAATACGACTATATGTTAGGCGAAGTCGGATCGGTGCATTGCTATGGGATGATTATTTGCTAGCTCTTGCCTACGTAAGTCCCAACTCGCTGGAAAGCCCTCGCACAGTCCTAGGCCCTGTTTCTCAGACTCGCACAGATCCTCTTGCTTGCTGGTGCTGCTTTGGTCAGCGTATCATTCGCAAGTGATATCGCGGTCGACGACGGGAAGAGCCATTTCTTCTTCTACCATCAATTGAGCAGCAGCATCTTGACCTTGGCAACGACCTGGAGCAAATGCGCCTTCGCACTGACCCTGTGGCGCCTCGCCCAAAAGGTGGGAGCCAGGATCTTTCTGGTGTTTCTGATCATCAGCTCCCATCTTTTGGTGGCGGTTAGCGTACTGGGTATTTATATCCCAGCTTGCGGAGATCCTAAGACGCCGGTACGCCCTTACTACGCCGGAGGCTGCTATAAGGAGAGCGTTGTGCGGACTCTTTTCATCGCGCCCATTGGTATGATATTTCTCACCGCTGATTTGGAGACTCATGCTTGTGACAAGGTATACTGACACAGGTTATGTAGTTTATGGAGGAGTCATGGACGTGCTACTCTCTATTTTCCCTTGGTTCATCGTCCGAAAGCTTCAACTCAAGAGACAAGAAAAATTAGGAGTGGCGGTCGCTATGGGCTTGGGAATGCTGTATGTGTTCAACGACCGCTGGTTGACTTGTGTGAACATTACTGATGTCTAGCATAGGACTGGCATGATCGTGATCTTAAGATGTTTCCTCCAATATAAACAACTGGTAGGACGATTTGGTGAGTATCAGCTCCTTCGAAGCATCCCAACTTTCGAGCAAGAAGTCAAGACTAATGTAGCGATTGTGTCATTCTAGACTCTTTAGTATTTCTACAGATATTCAACGCCCTTGAACCGTCGATCACTATTATACTGCAAACTGTCCCTATCTTTCGCGTACTTTTTAAAGAGGCAAAGACAAGTTTGAGCAGGTATAAGGCGCAGTCTCAGCTTCAGTCCCCGACCTCCGATATTGAATTAGTTCGACATAACCTCAATAACAGAGTCCTATCGTCAGGTCATCCGGACGGATACAAAGAGATTGGCATGGTTCATCTAGCAGTCCGACCAGGTGGCCGCATTGTGGAGGTTAAGGACTACGTTTCTGTGGGCACGAGATCTCGAAACCCGTGACGTTAAGGTTCTAGATTTAAGAGAATCAGAATAACAAGATTTAAGACTTCATGCAGTATCAGCACGAGATTCGCAACTAAACGATGTATCTGGGCCGAAAACCGGCACAGATAATTGTCTGCGTCCGCGTTCAGTGTTCAGCTACCATAGGGGTATGCGCGCGAATATTTCATGACTTGTTCTATTCTTCGTCGCATGTACCAACCCCTCAATCCAGTGCAGTGCGGGAGAGAGTTGAGTGACTCTCTTTTCCAATCATCCATAATGCAGCCGACTTGTGTGTTTGTTCAAGTCTCATTCATTCAGTACGGTAGAGAGTCAGGTGTGGGGGGCATGATGAAAGCAGAGATGCAGAAGAATCTTCTAACATATCGCCAGTAACTGGACAAAGCAGCTGCGATGATGCAGGAGGGAATGTCACGGGTCGTGATGGACACGGAAAATTGGGAACGGAACGGAAATGTACTTACTGGGGAGGATAGTGGCGGGCCCAAAAGCCCGGAAGAAGCTGTATTCCCGCCTCTGCCGCTTCAAATGGCTGTAATGGACGGAACTCCATTGCTGTTTACCTCGACCTAGTCGGGCTACTTTACCTCACCCGTATCAGGCCGAAGTGCGACTTCTTTGCATGCCCCAATAAACATCTCGTTAGCGTTACCAGAGACATTTGGGGCTGGATGCCTACCGGGCCGTGGAGGGCAAAGGCACTTCTCACTGTTGAGATCCCAGGTCCGAGCCAACTCCCCAAGATGGAGAACAGCATCTTGTGAGCACCTCCAATCGTTGTTTAAGATTTCGATCAGCCTAGATATCCCCAGTCTATCCTCCTGGGACCTTGCGGCGGAAAGTTGGCTGTTCAGAAGGACAGTGTGGTTTAAAAGATCAGCCAATCGCGACCCTGCGTGGAATAACTCATTCCTCAAAGCTGTGAATCATTCACCGTTACCTTCACCGAAGACACAGATAGACGAGTCTTGCTCGTCGTATCTACGGCTTTCCCAATAGTTAGGGTCTTTGCGAATGTGGCAGGCCACCATGTTTGAGTATGGTGCCGGATACTCAGCATTGCATTGTGGTAAATGAACAATCAGCCTGCAACAATTTCCATGGATTGGACAGCGGTATGTAGCATCGATATCCACGTAGCATGGATAGTCACAGGACAGGCTGTGGCTGGATATACGGATTACGGACAGTATACCCTGTCCTGGGGTTCAGCACAGAGGGAGGACGAGTGTCATGCTCCGCAGAGGTGTAGTGTACGTTGATGATTTGACACATTGGATACACCAACCTAGCCCAGGACTCGAAAGTGGCGAAGGATGTGACGCGCTTGGGTTGACTTATGATCTGGAGGGGCACCGGGACAAGTCTCGGCGGAAAGTTCAAGCAGGTTCCTCTGGGCAGCAGTACCACCTGAGCCCCCTTTCAAGTGGATTACAAAATCACAACAAAGCTGCACTGCGCGGCCGGCCTGAAAGGAGCCGATTCACGAAAAACAATAGCCGTGTATTCATCTGTCTCTCTTTGTTCAACCTGTGAACAATGTATTGTGCCAAAACCCAGCTCACGCCCCGGAGGGGTACCGAGCTTGTCATGCCGTAAACCAATGCCATATGCAAGCCTCGCATTTTTGTTCCCCAGGGTATCATCAATATCCGCCATCAAGCAAACATGTAACGCCATTCCACATAACACGAGGGGGATCTTGTCCCATCGCCTTCGTTCACTCGTCATGGACCCATTTCCTATGCGCCGCCTGTGCTGTCATCGGCAATGCCCTTATCCTTGCGCTCGTCTTGCAACAGGCGAATCAATTTGTTGATGGTACCGCCGTCTCGTAGCTTCTCTACTTCCCGCACTGCCTCGTCTTCTGCCATGCCTTCGGCCATGTATTCCTTGATCTTGTCCCAGATCACCTTTCGTCGCGAGTACCAAGTTCGGCCGCGAGGCTCAGGTCGCCATCGCGAGCCCCAGTTGGCGTCCAGGTCCTCGATGGCAGGCTGGCCGTCGATGCCTTCCCTGTATTCTTTCCAGACCTCGTCGACGGTCCCGACCGTCCTATAGTCGTACGAAGGCGGGCCAGGCGTTTGTGGGGCCTGTAGGCTGTGCTGTTTTGGGAGCAAACGTGGATCTGGATGGCTGTTCAGAGGCGAATGCGGCGGCGGCCTGGCCGGCCGCGGAGTCGCGTGGGAGGCGGGTGGTCGCGGGGGACCCTGTGATACTTGCTGAGGAGGCACCGACGTCGGGGTTACTACCGGTCTCGAGGATCTAGGGTCCGGGTAGCCAGGAGGCGACAGTTGGAGCTGCTGGAAAGACAGGCTGTTGTTAGCTCTCAAGGTGATTGGGGGGCATAGGCGAGGGATCTTAATTAAGACCGGGACGTACCGAAACAGCGGCCTGGTACTGCGACGCCTGTCCGCTGTACAGGGTTGCCAGGCTGCCCCTCAGATCATTCAGCTGCTGGGTGATGCTCTCGTACTGCGCCGATATGGTCGCGACATATTGCTGATGCTGGGCCTGGATCTGGATGATGGTCGCGATGAGCTGCTCTGGGCTTCTGCCCATCAGCTGGTCCTCGGTCACCAGCATCGGCATCGACGGCATCGGTTGCGCGGGGCCTCGCCCCAACGACGATGACATGGCGGCGATGGAAGCAGTAGCGGGGGCGGAAGCGGAAACGGCGGTAGCAGCGGCGGCAGAAGCAGCAGCAGCAGCAGCAGGAGGAGGAGGAGGACCAGGAGCGACACCCGGGGCAGAACCAAGACCGGCTATGGTAGATGCTTTGGTGGTGGCATGTCTCTTGGACGGCGTGGCTTGAACGCCGGCAGTTCGCTGCAGGTCGGATGCAGCCGGGCGCTTTGTCCCTGCAGCCGTCGACGGGGTAGGTATGCCGGCTGACGGCGAGGGCAGCATCGAGATCGAGGAACGGGGTACTGACACAGGAGCGCGTCAGGTCGAGTCGGGAAGAGGGAAAAGGTCAAATAAAACGTATCGACAGAGAAAGGGACGGCACCCCGGGCTAGCCGGGCACTGTCAGACGAAGCAGAGTAGAAAGTCGGATTGGGGGAGGATTAGGACAAAAAATAACAGAGTGCTGACAGGCGCTTCCTTTTTTTCCTCAGTGCTGATCTCACCCAGTCTCCCACCTCACAAAACAGGGTCTTTGGCGTCAATGTGAGACAAAGAGACCGACCACTGGTCGAGGTCACGTGACGGTCGCGTTGATGCCGCCGGGTCCGCGTTCTGTCGCGCATCGGGGGACCGTCTACGGCCCCCCTCCGTCGCGGCTCGAGCTGATTGATGGATGTGTTGCGGTTTGCCATGTGCCGCAGATTCAAGTGCGAGGCCAGGTGACTGATGATGTTCACTGCCGCGAGCAAATGCACGGCAAGGTGGTAAGTTAGTGGTGGGTAAGCAGCAGAGCCCTGAATCTGCCGATGGATCAGGTTGTGTGGCGCATTCTGTAGTTATTTAGAGACCTGTATCAATCCCGTCCCAACTTTGGAGCCTCACATGCCTTGAGGACATGATAGGGTATGTGGGTAGGTAGCCGGTAGCTTGGTAAGCATCCTCAGTATACCCTCCCTTTCTTAAACGCTTAACTTGGTGTATTACTTCCGGCTCTTTCGGGCACCAGCCTGGCCTGAGCCTAACGCTGACTGGATCAGTGTGATGAGACCTTTGCGGTGGAACATGTTGGAGGGCATTCTCCTGGGCATGGCTAAGGAATAGGTTCGGGCCGGATACGCGTGGGCGTAAAATGTGAGCGTATGGGGAGTATGAATAGTCCAGGGCTGGCATGAGCATCTTGAAGGTGTTTCGCTTAGGATGCGCTATCTATCGCTGTTGTACATTATCGCGACTGTATCAAGTACAGCTACTACCCGGGAACAGGAGCCATTTATACATTGTAACACTTGTCGCTGGAAAACACTCATTGGTTGCAGTTCGCGATGCACCAGACCGCGACAACTTGCAAAACTGTTGCCACAACTCATGGGACGTCGTGCCACAATGAGGTGCTTTCGGGATTTTGCGGCGCTGACTGGACCCAGCTACTGTCGGCTCTCTGACTTGGCTTGCCACTCGCTCATCTCATTGAGTTGTCGGACCATAGCGCTTCCAGCCTTCTGGTAATGTTGTGCTCTCGGCCAAATCTACGCGCGAGCTGAAAGTTCCAGACGATATAAGGCACCTTGACGCTGCCCCAGAAGCCAATATCGGTACAGTATTAGTCGTCACACTAAGTGCGGTACCCGAACATCGAACCATAAGGCAGCTGACTCTGCTGGGTCTCTCGAACGACGTCTGACTCTATCGCTGAAGTTTTACGGAACTAGTCAAACATCCTCCATGATACTGTTTGTATTAAAGTACTCATGTTCATCACCGATGTCGTGGTTTCTAGCGGTCATTAATCATCATTCTATACCAATCCGGAAAGTCACGTATACGCCACTGGCCGCTTAATCCTAGAATAGACCCCTTTCAAACTTGCAGCCGAGTCCTCCTGGATGCTACCTACACAACATATATAGCACCATCCTCCGCGGTCAAAGACCCTTGATTCGCACGGCTGACCCGTCGGCATGAGACCAGGATCGCGTCTGCTTATGAGGCCTACAGGCCGACTCTTTAGTAACACCTCGAACTCTCATACGCACGACATCTTTTCGAAGTTGCGTCATATAAAAAACCATGCTCCAACTGAAGTCTTTCCCTTGTTATTTTTGCGTGTAGCTTCATGTTGACAGTCATGTTCTCCACGGGGATCCACAGGTTGATGTTGAGGAAGGCAAAGCAACATAGCAGAAGAGAAAAAGTCTAATAGCATTAGGCCTTTGCCTTGAGCACGAGGCATGATAGGTGAGATGCAGGGGGTTTAGGGGCTGGGACGGGTCATGGGCAAGTAAAGTATGTTGGGATAGTAACATCAAGTCTCCGGGTGTTAATCTAGTAGGTTGTATCTTCGACGAGAGCCAACTCGAAAGATGTCGTTATTGTGCAATAGGGGGGCTTACTTGGAATTCTTCCTCGGAAAGAAGAAGAAGAAGAAGAAGAAGAAGAAGAAGAAGAAGAAGAAGAAGAAGAAGAAGAAGAAGAAGAAGAAGAAGAAGCCCTCATCCTTAAAAGAGGAACGCGATATAAATTCTGGTCAAGACTCAAGTCGTGTGTATGGATATTGGTGTTTCTGCCAGATGCGGTAGACTTCCCAGCTGCAATTCTCCCTAAGATAAAGAGCACCGGTGCAGCACAAAACACATGACACAAACAGATGGTATGGTTCATTTGGTTCCGCGAATGCTAGAAAAGTTGGGGAAAACCGTGGCTTCATGTATCCATAATGCTCATTAACCCCATTCCTCTCCCGCCCTTGTTCCACCACTCTAGTGGTATTGCCTATCCAGCAACTTATGACTAACTCCCCAGCCCAAACTATGCAAAGTCAATTCCAGTCCCCCTTCTTATTACCACGTATGCAACTAAATCTGATTATGATGTGCTAACAAATATTTCAAATGGGAATTAATGCAAATGAGGGTATACAACGCCTTGATCAATGCAGATGCCGTGTCTGCCAAGCACAATCGGTATGCAATACGCATTCTCCAGCCACGTCTACTCGTATCGCTTCGTCCATGCTATTCTTGTTGCCTGCCAAATCTTGTTAAGAACTCATGATCGGCCAATCGCCCATCCCATCGTCTTGCCCTTTCTGCATCGCTTTGTGCTATCGTCACACTCGAGCTCGAGTCGGTAGCGGCGCACACTGCCCGTGTCGTCATCGAAAGCCAGTCTCCGGTTTTGCTTTGGTACAAAACAGTCTGGGACCACATGCTTGAGAATCCAGCCCCTGATGCCTCGGCTCGCGGCATCTATCGCAGCATACTCGAGTTTGCGGGTGTGGTCGCTCGTCCAATAGTGTGTCGTCTGGGGAGGCGGGGGATGAATAGGTTCGGGGCTTTGGGCAACCTCGTCAGTTCCCAAGGAGACCTCCAGACTAGGGAAATGGAAGTAGGAATACGATTGCTGCTGTGACCTGGGCCGTTGAGCTTGATGACTGCTAGCAAGGCTGCTACGAGGACTGGGTGTCGACCTAGCAGCACGACGGATTGACGGACGTGAATAGGGCCGCGTTTGAGATGAGCCACCGGATGTCGTAGATGTCCTCCGTCCAGATGTTTGAGAGCCACCAGAGTTGGAGCCCGAGGGGATAGATCCGTAACCGGAGTCATGGCGCTTCATCGCTGCGGGCTGAAACACATCCTCCTTCCATTTGGGTGAGCTGACTCGCACAGGGCAGTCCTTGGATACAGGTTGATACGCATCAACCTCGTAGAAGCTGTGATATGTGGTGGCAGAAGCGGCAACACTTGTCGCGGAGTATGTTCGGCGCAGGCCAGACTCAAGTGGTGAGAGGTGGGACATGTTGGAAATGGTCTTTCCCGTCTATATGCATAGGGAATAGCTTTGGGTAACACCGGCGAGGGCCGAGATAGCCGTGAGCGAAACTCTTGAGGAAAAACAAAGAAATGACTTCGAGCCGATTTCACACAAGGATATTATGTGGCTCCGATGGTGCTTCATATAAAGCCCCTGAGAGACAAGGACCGTTGCTGAGGTGAAATGAGAGTCGAGCTTCGAACATTGGTCCAGAGGCCAGGAGAAGTTGCGGTCAGGACCTGAGAACTATGAGGTGACGATGTGTTTGATTCCAATTTCCAGAGAACGGTTCCCGGAACTCAAGTGGATCTATATGTATGTACGCCCGCAGGACGGGTAAGGGAGCCGTGATCGTGGAAGGGAAAGTGTGGTTAAAAGGAACTCGGGTTATTGGTGCTCCAGGGACTGCAGCGCATGCAGGCCCAAGGCAATGGCGCCGACCCGCATACAGCTACGGCGCCAACTGGAGGCCGTCGACAATCTTCGGACGAACGTGCCCTCGCAGCTGGAGTCGGCGGGGTTGAGCAAAGCGGGAACGGAACGGGAGTTCCCTCGCCTCACCACAAGTCTCCAAACCGGGAATTTGTAGCCGGTGAAAGCAGCCAGCGCGGGCTGGAAAACGTCAACTCAGGACGTCCCAGCACGAGGTTTGGTATGATGTCGTTTTCAGGAGTCGGTGAGCTTTCTGCAGTCAAAACAGTTCCGGCTGCTGTGGACCTCAAGACAAGCTTGGTCGTCTGATTTCTGTTGAATGAAAGGCGGTCTGTTGTCGCTTGCCCTATTCCAGCATCACTTCCAGCGGTCGGTGACCCCGCTTGAACATCAATACCCCACGTTGTTCGCTGGCTAAGGTCGCTAAGCAGACAACGATGCCATGCCGTTGAGGGGCCGCTACGATAGAGATTGCGCTAATGATTCGCACGATGCTGTAGAGGACGGGGACTGCTGTCGGCGCAAGATTGGGGAATAAGCAGGCAGCCTCACTGAGGGGCGCCGTGAGAAAAGGGACGGGACTTGCAACCCTATTAAAGAAGCGCGACCATGTGGCAACCGATCACCAGCGAACACCCCTCTTCCAAACGTGTGAAGATTCTCGTGACCCTGGATCGTGGATCTCCCCTTGCAGATATCAATGCAGCAAGATGAATGGGACGCTGTCACTGGCTGGGGTGGGTGGGGCAGGGGATGGCGACGATACAGTTAAGCCCAAGACAGTGCTGCCCGATGTCGCTTTGTCGCTCTTTGACACTTGGAGGGTTAGTATGAGCGATGCCCTTCACGATTGCTTCTCCACTCGCTCGATGGAATGCATGTGCGCATTGTATGGATTAACTAACGTTAGACGGAAGAGGGGAAGTAGAAGTAGCGCGGAAGAGGAAGCATTTAAAGCACTGCTACCGAGGTGAAATCGGACAGAACTACGAATACACCCATGGGGAGACTATGAAAGGATGGCCGATCCATTTTCGTTGTTGGCGGCTAACATTCTACTATCACCTGCCGAGCATGACTTGTAGCCATCTTCAGCTTCGTTGCTGTTCCCGTGGTTCGTGACCAGGTCCCTCGTTTTCACATGCTGATGCGGCGGTGCTTGTGCCCAGCTTGCCAGCATTGGACACGCGCGCCTGTCCACGGGGCTGTCGCAACTGCCACGACCCTTTTGAGGAGAGCTGGGGCATTCATTGGACAAGAAGCTTGAAGGACCAGATGGATAGTGCGGATTTGTTGGTGGGCAACAAGCCTTCCTACAGCTCCCCAGACCAGTGGATCACAATCCTTAGGCGTTGTGCGCTCCTGGTGAAACTCGGCCAGATGGTTGTTCGACCTCCTTGCAACTTGCGCTAGCCTTCCCGAGGCATTGAGCGGCTGGGTGGTCGAGTGGGCGGTATTTGAGCCGACATGGGGTAGCATTAAGCGTGAGGCGTACTACCTACCACACTGTCAGCTGAGATACCCAGGTTGCCAGGGACCGAGGACGAGACACGCAAAAGACGTTTGGGGATCCAATCGAACTGCCATAGCTTCGATACAAGACCAGCCAATCACGGTGACGGTCACGTGTTGATTTCTTCAACTGTGACAACGCTTGTCTGACTGTTTTGCATTCAGAAGATGGTTTGTGATCGTCCAGTACCTGACCACTGCTTGGAGTGATTGCGGTGCCCCCGACTGTATTGGAGTTGTTGCAAATAAGATAGACTGCCATGATTATGGTATCATGAAGATGTGAATCAGGTATTGGTTACGGAACCTTAGTGTTCAGCTTGAAGATGCCTTTGCCTTTGGCCTTAACATATCCATCCGGCCAAGGCCGCCCATGGGTTGCGTCATGTCGCTATGCGCCGGGAGTAGGCTTGCTACCTAGGTACTCTGTACGCGACGGGGCTCTGGACCCTTCCGCGCAGGTTGACATCAAAACTTGTAGTCAACATTCGGACTGTACAAATTCGCGTCCATAGTTGGGGAAGCAATCGAGGTCGAAGGTCGTCCTCCGGTATTCCTAGGGGTACTGCACTCTAAGGTTTGTCTACCCCAAATGGAGAGAACAGTATACACCTGCGCAACAAACGCGACTCTGATAGTGGAACCGCCCCTAGTTTCTTCGGCCATAAATCTCGCCGTTGAGATGTCTTCTCCTTGCGAAAAGTAACTTGTATGACCCAGTCCGTGCATTCTTCCAGTCTAAATTTGCGCAGTTACGCGCACACGGAGGTTTCGCGAGTCACGGCGCCAGAGGAAATGTGACACTTCCACGTCCTCGCCATACATTTAGGCGTGTGTGCTGGGCGGCTGAAAGTGACCCTTAGTGGCATTGGATAGGTCCCGTCTCATCATATCGGACGTGTTCACTCGCTATCCGCAGGATTCGATCGAGAATCCGACCTAGACAGTCCGAACTTTATTGATTTGTACTTATTGGAAATCGTCAAGATGATCACCGCCCAGCTGATGAGCCCATCAGCCGCAAACGTCTCAAGGTGAGAAGGCCACGAATCGGCAGTACATTGCCACGGCGGGATCTTCCAAGATAACGCTAGTGGTGGGGCAGCCTGCCGTCCCCTAGCGACGGAGCCGCTCTCAAGGTTGTTAGTGGCCCTGAACTTGAAACAAGATAGGGTTGAGACGACTCAGTCATCAATCAAGGAGAAACCCGTCTTCGCTGGCTGGCGTGATGGTCTCTAGGGAGAAACAGTGGAATGATCATGGGCCTTAGCAACTCTATACCTAAGAGTCCAGGGGATCAAATTGCCAGGACCCTGCAGCGCTCTATTAACGCCACGATCTGCCATTCTTCCCTGGTTGCTCAACTCTGGAGCTGACGACGACTCTTTAACATGAAAGCCACCAATGCGTAGCCTGCGTGGGTCCCCCCAGGCGGCGGCGCGCAAGTACCGTCAACGACGACATGGGGTTTTGCTTTCAGAGCTCAGCCTGGCCACTGGACCCCAGTTGGAGGAAGCAAATATTCATCATCCCATCCAAACCCATGGCTTCCAGTTCCCTGAATAGTGTACGGAGGTCAGTTGCCCCTATTCTAGCAGGGAGCCACTGGTGGAGAATACAATCTATCAACCTCAAGATGACGACGTATCATCAGATGGCAACTCGGGTGATCGCCACTGTTAGTGAGCTAGCTATGAGTTCATCGCGCAAAGTCGCATGAGCCGCCATGATGAGGGCTCGAGTATATAGGTTTAAACCATCTCCCAGCATTGTATCACATCCTTCTGTTACCCAGCATCAACCGCAACAGCCCTTTTTTACTACTTTCCTTTCATTTTGAAGTCGTCGACTTTCAATATTCAGCTTGCTGAAAACTTTCATTCACATCATCACGCAGGCCGACTGATTCTCACTTCCTCTTTCTTATTTCAAAATGAAGACCAACGTTCTCGCCTACACCTTCCTTGTCGGAGCTGCCTTCGCTCAGGGTGATGTTCCCACCACCCTCCAGACTGCTATTCGTCCTTCTGGCAGCGGCCGCCCCGGGTTCCCCCCTGGGTTTCCGTCTGGACGCCCCGGCTTCCCATCTGGCTTTCCCTCCGGCCTCCCTTCTGCCGGCTTCGGTGGCCCGGCTCCGAGCGGGCCTCCCCCTTCTGGGTTGCCCAGCGGGTTCCCCACTCCGAGTGATGCCCCTGAGGGCGGACTAGATCGTCGCCAGTTCTCTGGGTTTCCCACTGGACCTCCTGGCTCCCGACCAACGGGATCTCATGGGGGCCATCACTCCGGTCGTCCCATTGGAACCCCAACAGGTGAGAGCATGCTTATGGAAACTCCTCAGTTTCACATTTTTCTATTTACTTATCGTGGCCATCTTAGGATTCCCCTCGTTCCCCACTGGCAGCGGCTTCCCGTCTCCCTCGGGTGTGGCCAACGGCTTTGTAGCTGGTCAGGATCGGGCCTCCGGCTTTCCCTCTGGCTTCCCCACCGACTTCCCTTCTGGTTTCCCTACCGACTTCCCCTCTGGCTTCCCTACAGGCCTCCCTACCGGTTTCCCAACCGACTTTCCCTCTGGCCCTGCTGGACCTGCTCCTACTGGTGGCTTCGGCGGTTTCGGTGGTCAGGGTAGACCTGGCGGTAAGAATGTCCTTGGGATTGTCTGCCGTAATTCTTACTAACAGCTGTCTTGACAGGTGCTCCTAGCGGCTTCCCTTCCGGATTCCCCAGCGGGGGTGCTGGTCCTCGGCCCACTAGGTCAGCTGGACCTGCCCCCTCAGGTGGCCCCGAGTCGGGTGCCTTCGGCCGCCGTGCTCGTGATTTCTTTGGATTCTAGGGGATCATTTAAAACTTGACGGTTTGGGGCAGGAGATCTTGGAGACGAGGCCAACGATGCGGTTTCATCAACTAGGGTCGGAATCTTATTACCAACGAGCAATTCACCCGTCAGGGCTCGCGCAGGTTGGTAACGATGAACTTCTTGTACATTTTATCAGAAATATTGAGGCTGGTTGAAAAAACTCTGGCGTGATTGCAATTCTATGGAAATCGTGCAGCGAGAATGTTTTGATTTATGAGGGTGTAGAGTACGCTATCCTCCCCGGCAAGATAGTGACGCATTGCGTACTCGATCCCGCGCGACTTGATTATGTATTGCCTTATCATTGTCTAATGGTTACAGATCCTCATATCGCAACGGTATGGAGAGTTGGCGGTCATCTACAGAGCTACTAAGAATACGTCTTATAACTTCGTGGATGGGTGATCCATAGTTGCAACTAAGGACAGCGAAACCAACGAAACCCTGCGGAGACGAGACGGCCAGCAACCTCCCCAGTGACCTGCCTCCACGCACTTGGTATTGGGCTCTGAAGATACCACTTCGGTCCATCACAGACCGAGCAGCAAGGCCACTCAGGTGTCAAGTGCCGTGAGTATGACGTCCCCAACTAATGCTCCACGGATTGTCGATCCGTCATGCTCAGGGAACTCGGCAGAGTGTCTTTTCAACCCCGAGCCTTCAGCCTTGCGATTGTGTGAGTCCCTATAGCCTTGCATGCGATTCGTGACCACACAAGTGCAGATAGCGCGGGAGGAATTATACCCCCCACGCTTTCTAGACCCCCAAAGTTGCAGTATATATAGACGACGGTAACAGTATCAACTTTGAAGGATGTACTGGCGGATACCACTCCGGTGCTTGATTTGGTGTCTGGCAGGTTTAAATCGACCTGGTGTTACATTACCAAATCGGCAATCAAACTGACACATGTTCCGAGATCTTCGAGACGCCGTTCAAACAATTCAATATTGTAATCAAGGTCATCACCCAGCTGGACGTGATATTATATACATAATATAAAAGGGATCCGCTTTCAGTTGGAAATTATTAATAAGTCGGTCTTGTATGCGTAGTTATTAAGAAACGCTTTGTTACTTTTCTTATGTTTTAATAGTAAGACCTAATTTAAGTATTCGAATTTTCGGTTGATGATTATTGTTCAGACTTTGCTCCTGCAATTTGTTTTCTTAACTTTGGGAATTAATTCTCAGTGTGTCAAGAGCCAGTCTGCGGGCTGGAAGCCTTTATCCAGCTGCATTGTCCCTATCTACTCACATCTTCTCTCCGCGGACCCTGGTCTGGTTCCGCTCCCCGAGCAACTTGATGGGAGGCGACAGAATCGTCACATAGCACGGATGCAGCCACCGTGGCACGATAAACAAACAGCTCCCTGCCGATCGCGTCTGTGTCTCTTCATCTTCCAGGAAAGGTAGATACCCAACGTCCCTGATCCCAACATACGCCTCAGCGAGGTGTGCAAGCCGTATCACGCGCCCAGATATACCCGTGTGGCAGTGTGAATCCATGGCATCGCATCCCTCCCCCTGCCACATTGAGAGCGCATTAGACAGCGACATGGACCCCACGAACCAACCAAAGAGCATCATATATAGGTAGGTTGCCGCTGTGCTGAGGAAAACCGTCTGAACTAGATTTGATACATCCTCCCACAACGTGCCGCCAAGATTGAGCTCAATGTTCGGTGCTTCATGGACGATGGTCGGCAGGAAGAACCATAGGTTCAGCGCCGTTAGATCAACCCACATGGCACACGCGACGAGGAAAGCCGCCGCGTACACGCCGCATCGGCCATGCGTTATGACTAGCAGTGCCGAAAGAGAGTGAAGAATGACCACGAAGCAGCAGGTGTAGTATATTGTGTCGTCGAGCCACCTCATCTTGGCCGGTGTCACTCTGGTCCTCGTTGTACCTAGAGACAATAAAACCCGAAATGACACGCCGACAGGGGAAACAATGGACACTGCGGCCTCGGATAGAGTACGAAAACAACGAGATTGGATAAAAGAGCCGCCAAAATTGTCGCAGAGTTGGTTAATTGGTCGTAAGATGCACGTGAGGGAGTGCTCTCAGAGCTGGACTCCAAGAATAGAATATCGTCGATGGGGCCTGGATCACTGCCAGCAGCTTAGCTTGATTCCCTATTTGTGTCTCCGGGAACGAGGTGAAATGACTGGGGAAACGCAGTTGATATAAAAAGCTCTGGGGCGGCAGAGCTAGCGCTTGCGTGGACTCGGGTTTGGGGATGTTTGAGGTCCGTCGATCTAAGCATGAGAAACATCGGTATTAATACTGGGGCGCCAGGAACGTGAGGCTCAGTGTGTAACTTTGGTGGAGTAGAGCCTGAAACGTCGAGAATGGACTGTTTGGAGGCCCAAGCGACGTGGTTAGCGTTAGCTGTCACTCCAAAGCGCGACCGTGGGCGGCTTGGCCCGAAATTCTGCGGCGCGTAGAGCAGATTGGAGGGTGGCACGCTTGGATTTGATCAAACCATCGCCCGTCTTCCTCACGATCTAAGTTGGATGGGATTGGGATAGTTCGCCCGGCCTGGGTATAAGCTGGACCGCTCTGTTGCAAGTGAGTCAAGCGCAACAATGCCTCCACCAGGTGTCAAGGGGGAGCTCGGCGCTGACAACGGCTGTCCGAAAGGACGCGAAATTCGACGACAACCGCACCTCGACCGCCCAGGTATCGCAAAGGCGTCGTGCCAACTATGCGATCGAACGGGGAGATATGCTGCCCGGGAGGCTTCTTCTCTCGCCTTGCACCTCATCCCGAGTCAATCGATGCTTGCCAATCACATAGCCGGCTAGAGTGTTCCTCTCATACCCCAGCATGCCCTCGGCTGCCTTGGCCGCACGCCGCGTCTCCTCGAGAGAAACGATTCCTGCCATCTCATGGTTGAAGTTGCGGGAGTTGGATGGGCTGTCTGCCATGAGACCCAAGATTGTCCAGCTCTGTCTCCGACTTGTAGAACCATGGTGGTGGAACGCGCGGGCTAGCGCAGCCATCTCTCGCATCTCGCTCACGTCGCGTTCAATCCTGCACACCTGACCCAACACGCCAGCTCTCGGGTTGCCGTCCGGAAACAGCGCATCGAGGTAGTCATCCATCGAGCAGCCAGCCCCCGGCCCAAGCCAGCGGTTCCAGCCCACCTCTGTGTGTCGCTGTATTGCATAGACGGCGCCAACCAGGCGTCCCTCCATTCGGTGTCGAACTCCCCAAAGCACACCAATCTGAGCGAATGGGTCGTCTTCAAAAGCGAAGTGATTGACAAGAGGAAGCTCAGGGAAGTTCTCGCAGTTGCAAGTATGGCCTTCGTGGCCGTTATGAGCCCCGAGAGGTATTACCATCTCACTTGCGGCAGACCCGAACGTGTAGACATGGAATTTGCCCAGCATTTGGCCTGGGGGTAGGTCGGAACAGAGACGTGCCATCACCCAAGCCATGTCCAGTGCACCTGTATTGTGAACGAGGATGTTCATTCGCTTTGCCTGAGATTTCAAGCAATGCGCGCGGACCGACTTGTACAACTCCGTGGACAAAGGGGTTGGTATTTGGCAAGTCCTCTGAGCATATAAGACCACGAGGTCCAGTGGTAACCCGAGTCGGTATGGCAGGAATACTTCCACATCGTTGCCAAACAGTTTTCCCAGTCTCGGGCATGTATTCTTGCGGAAAAACTCTTGACAACATTCCATCCCGCCAACAACTATCCATGAGCAACAATCCCAGTCGGTGTTGCGACCGTACTTGACTTCGTATTCACTGGTGAATACTCTCCTCTCCCGGTTCATGGCACGGATGAGACACCAGATTGCTGCGATCTGAAAACAGAGCCATGGCATGCCGATGATGCCGGGCGCCAGTAGCCACAAAGGAATGATGCTGATTATAAGTTGAAATTCGACGACCGAGACGAGAAAATACAGCATTGCACTCTGACAACCGCTGCGGTCCAGGGTTTCCCTGCCTGATATCAGTCTTGAAACCTCGATCAAGATCATCCGTGGTATTGCACGGATAAAATAGTGCGCATCGGCTTTCACAAGGGAAATGCATGATTGCTGATGCGATAGCGGGATAGTCCCGGTTGCGCCATCTGACAATGCCAGTATATGGCTGATTGACATGGTTACGCGCTCACTCGTGGCCGGTCTCCCCAAGCCAGCAGATTCTACTGATCCCAGGAATGGCATAGATCCTGACAGCCACGACATCAGAGCCTTTCATCGACGCTGAATTTGCTTGGAAACCATAGCTTAGAGAACACAGGGAGTAAAACTACGGGGAACTTGATAAGATATATGCTGAGTGGGTGCAACAGTTGGCTGCTATCGCAGCAGCATTCCAGTGCAGCAGTAACTTCCAACACCGGCGGTTGATGACATTCCTCATTTGCAACGCGACACCACCACAAATTCGGGGCTCCGAACTATGAGGAGTTATCTGTTTCGCCGAATCAAAGTTTGGCCATCATTGGAAGTGTTTGCGCCGTAAGTCCATCTCTCACCGTATTGCTTATGGGGGTTTTAGCTATCTACTACGATCCCAGAAGCCGAACGGGGCGGGCAGATGACGAGCCCTGAGGATTAGCACTCGTTTTAAGTTCGGAGCCAGTTAGGTAGTCAAGTAGTGTGCCTCCACGAAAGACGAGTCCACACTGACCAGAGCCATAATAGGGAACGAAGCTGGTTCCATGGCCGGCGCCTATTTGTTTGCCCGCGAAACTGAACCGTTGGACCACCATTGCCTTGCGGACTCAATGTCACAGGACACTGCCTCTGAGGCGATCGCTCCGATCAGAGCTCAAACCAGGGGCGTACCCTTCGCAGACCGCTCGTAAATGGCCTCTGGTTGCCAGCCCAGAACCAGAACACAAACAGGAGGCTCACATGAGGCTAGCCAAGCCACGCGCTGTGGCATTCATTGACTTCACTAGAAACTCTAACGGACGGGTCCCAAGGGTCTCGCTGCTGAGACCTCGTGTCGGGAATGCCGGCCCAATGCCGTATTGCGACTATGTTGGACCAGGTTCCTGCCAGCCCTATTACCGCGGTTGAAGTGTCCTTGCAGGCTTGGCAAGCCTCATCTGCGTAGCTTGGACTTGACCTCGAAAGCCACCACTTGCTTTCGATGGTAAATGGTTCAACTGACATTCAAGTCCGCCTATATCACGTGCTCCATCAAGTAATAACGTGGCATCAAATGTCTTATGAAACATATTTTCGCTGATCTCGGATGCCTTGGTTTGCACTTCGAGGCAGACAGATTGGTAGCAAGGCTGCCGTATCATGAACTGCGAAAGGATACAGCAGAGATACAGGCCAACGGCACAGCTACGCAGAAGCCCGGGTGTGCGCTGTGACAAAAGAGCGGGCAGCCTGTGCCCATGGTCTGATAGACCACAGATAGCACCATCACTTTCGTTCTATCATAGCGAGACGGCGACATCAGGAGACTGTCAATGGATAGGATAAGACTCGGGTCGACGCGAGATGAACAGTGAGAGGGGTACAGCGCCCCTCGCGTAGTGTTGGACACCTCTTCTTTCGTCGGCGGATGAAGAAGTTCCAAACTGTTCGTGACTGAAAATTACATCCACATCTAGGCTAGGTGGTTAGATTTTGCATATTAAGACTGCTTGGTGTTGGTTTCTTTTAGCCTGCGGGTGATATCCCGGCGGCGTTCTAGTGAGTTGCATCCGGAAAGGTGGACTTCTTGGCAGCAGCCCTGGCTATGACATGCTGAGAGACAAGCTAAATTTAGCGCTCTCCCTGGTGAGCCCCCCGCCAACAGTTCAGCCATTGCACTCCCGGTCAATGGAACGCACCTGGGGACCGGGGTGCCTCGGGGCCTGCGGGCACAGGACAGGACCTGCAGCTGGGAAACGGGATGGGAATCCCAACACGGTGGCTGCCCCACGACTGACCCTGGAAGTACAGAGGATTGGATGATTTCATCATTGCACAAGACACAAGACACCTACAGCTGCCAAGAGCTGACACATGGCTGCTTAGAAGGGCTCACTAAGGTAGGTCGAGACATCCCATCCCATCCGAGTAGGAATTTACGAGCCAGAAACTGGATCCTACCACACGCAGCCAACCTAACTGTTGTAAGCACGGCGTTATTCACACGCTGTCTTCTGCGCCCCAAAGGGATGCAGCGATTCACTTCCCTCGTTCCTTTTCCCCAATACGGAAGACGTTGGTCTGTTTCACTGCCAAACTCTGAACGACGGTGACCTCTAGCCAAGCACTGGCGACATGTTTCCGGCGACCAACATAAAGACCCAGCCGTCTCCCGCCGTGGTCTCTCTCCATTTCCCGGGTAATATCAAACAGAGACGTCAAGTCAATCTAACCGAGTCCTCTATTCTCTCTCGCACCTCTCAGCAATATGAAGTCATTCCTACAGCTCCTGTCTTTCGGCCTTGTTGCCGTCAGCGTCTCTGCCGTCCCAGTTGTCGAGGAACGCCAGGACGTTGTCTATCAACTCAGTGTGGCCACGTAAGTCGAGAATAGTATATCTATTCACACCATATCCGGAAGTACCTAACCTCTGCCATAGTAAGGGAGACGCCAAGCTTGACGGCCAGAAGCTGGAGATTGTGAACGCTGTAGTCGGTGTCTTTAAGGGAGACCACCCCCCTGCGAAGGTTTACGAGATCAAAAACCAGCAGAACCCAAAGCTCAGCGAGCTGCACACTTCGCCAGTTGGCATTGTGGACCATGTATTAGGTCTCAAGGGGGACAACGGCTTGTACAACCTTGTGGATATTACCAATATCCATAGCACCGACAACTCGAAAACTCACTTCAGCACATTCAAGCTGAAGGATGGCCTCGTCACCCAGGACCTACCCGGACATTGGATTGCTTTCCCCAGCGGTAATGGTGCCTGGGACGTGAAGTGGTACGATGGTAAGTCGAATTTTGATGAAACTACATTTCCAGGTCGCAGTCGTTGCTAATCTTACCCCATTAGGCAATGCTATCATCACCCAAAATTATGTTTCGGTAGACGTTAAGTACAAGAAGTCTACTAAGTAGTTGCTTTATCTTCATCAATGCAGTTTCTTGAATGATTAGTGTTTCTCTGGAGATGGTTAAAAAAGACGGGGCTTAGGGGAGAATAACTTATCGTAAAATACATGCCACCGCTCAGGTGTCTCAAGTCGTGGCACTCCCTTCACTTTGAACTTTCTGCAGATCAGTTCTACGAAACTAGATTCAACATGCTGCGAAACGATTGCGTTCATTGCACGCGTGGCCCCCATGATGCCAGTTGCAGGCGAGCTACTATCTATCGGCGACAACGTGAACAAGGCAAAATGATCATATCGAGGCACTACGATAGTCCACCATCTTTGGGGCCCAAACATTAATGCTTTGCTTCGGGCTTTGGTTGACGGAATTCTGGTTGGGAGTGGTACATGATCAATGGAACCTGATAGAGTGTCCGCGAAACTCGAAGATTGGAGCCAGCACGACGAGCCATTGGAACAAGCTACATATTGATATTAGAAGGGCATTCAAACGGCCGCTTTCGAAGTTTGCCATGTTGCTTAACATCAGAGACAACATGCATGGACCTTCGCCGTGTCAGAATATTTCACCAGCTAAGCCTTGCGTTTGTTACATGGTTGTGCGGCTTGGTGCAGTGCACTTTGCATCCAAACATCCACCAGGCTTGCCCAAGGATGCCTGGAATGGAACAACCGCAATAATTCCATCAAACTTTCACTTCTTTTCGTTCGTTTTTGTCTCTTTTCCCGCGTGCCCTGCTCCATTTATCTTTAAAAGCCACTACTTCACCAGAATCACGACACGTCGATTCCTGCACGTCAACATCATCAGACGTAGCTCGCATAGCGTCATGCCGCCCTCATCTGCGCCGCCTAGCCGGCTCGAGACCCTTAAAGACAGGCTCAAACTCCGGGAGCATCTCTCACGCTACTTTTCTGGCGACCAGAGCCTCTTTGTGCAATCCACACCCGCTAGCGAACTGCCCAACATTCGCAACCTTTGCGTCATGTGTGACAAGCCCGGACAGAAGAAGTGCGGCAAATGCAACCAAGCTGGTAGGAAGCCTTCTCACAGTGGAGATCTGACTTCTGACAAAGTGATAACAGCTTACTGCTCTCGAGAATGTCAAGTGGCAGACTGGCCCCAGCACAAGGCGCTGTGCAAGACCTTTGGTGACTTCGCCGAGGACAAACGCCCATCTAACAGCCATGTTCGTGCCATCCTCTTTCCTGCAGCCGACGATAAGCCCAGGTTTATCTGGTTAGAGCAGAAGATTAAGCGCCACGAGACTGTCGTGATGTTGGACAAGTTTCTGGATTCGACCTCTTCTGATACTCAGAGCATTAGCATAAATAACGCTCTCGCTGGCATGGGCTTTGCTCCCATCGGTCACGGCCTAGGAATAATCTCACAGTCGAACGAAGCAGGCGACAATATCAAGTTGACCAAGAGCATCATGTCCCTGGGCAAGGCTGGACACCTGGGACCATGGTATGGAAATCACGCTGTTATTGGTCTCAAGCATGTAGCTCGACTCGACGGCAAGAACCAGGCCCCTATGGGCAGCTCAGATGGAGGCCGTACAGGTGCCATACAAGAATTCGAGGCTGTCCATGGCCATAGCTATGGAGACTCGAGCAGCCAATCAAATCACGGCCAGGTAATGGGTGACGATGTCAATTTCCGCGACTTTCGCCATTCTGTTGATGCATTCCAGGGCTGGTTCCTGAACTACTGCATTGTCAACCCAGTGCGCTACCACCGGCCTGTTATTCCTGCGCTCTTGATACACTGCGACGGTTGCTTTCTACGCTTCTCTGCCTTTGGAGCTTTGAGTCCTGTCCAGAAGGTCCAGGTTCCTGTCCATATTCTGCATGAATTCCAGGCCTTCATTGAACAGGAACCAGCGACTGGTCCTCAACAGGTTGGGCTTGAGTGGTTCACCCGACGATTCTCGCCACAGAGAGAATTCGTCACGCAGCACATCAATAAGACAACTTTGAACAACGCCATAGCTCGGTACTTGGTGCCTACTGACGGTATTACCAACTTCCGACGCAATGCAGCCCTTGGGATGAGCCCTAACTGCATCGACATTGCAAAGCCTCTGGGTGGGTCCACGCTGCTGTTCGATGGTCGAGGTGCCCCCATCGACCCTGTACACCTGTACGCCTTGAACGATTTTCTAGCAAGCGTTGAGGAGTATCAGCCAAAAGACATTCCCGCCATAAATGGCAAGAGGGATATCGTTCCACGCTTGTGGATCAACCACCATGAGCATGGTGCCGGAAAAGGTTCAAAACCAGAGACAGCGTTCAAGGCCTTCTGGTCAAAGTGGAAGAAAGAGAAGCTGGAACGTGGTGTGGACCTGAGTGAAGTGCCCTCGCCCTATGACATCTCAGGCATTCTCGACCACGAAGTGGTTTATGCGGAGACTCTCACCAACAAGATCTTTCACGGAGCGCACCACTGAGGTTTCTCTTGTGAGGAGTCGATGGACGAGACGCTTCAGACAGGGATCAACGGAATCTTTCGTGAATAGAACTACTCAACATGGGTCAATACAACTGTTAATAACCAACGATTGCATTGGGTTGCTCTCTTCTAGCTTGGTGATGTATCTTTGATACAAGTGGATAGCGGTTGTCTCCGCGCTGCTGAAGGCGCCAAGTTCGAGCAGATGCACGCAGTTAAACGTACGCAGGGCCTCTACAGCTGTCGCTTCGTTGATAGTGTCGCTGCTAGATCGCAAACTCAGTTGATTTCAATTCTTCTCCTCAATACACGTATCTACAGAATATTTCTGGGGTAAAGTTCCACACATCTTCTAGTAACAGAGGATCTTAAGCAGGACCAGCGCTATTACTATGCTTCAAACCCACAAGTTATGGTATCTAGTATAATATAATAGAACACCACCTTTACGTTTCGTTGACCAGCACATATCTATATCGGGCTTTTCCAGCCTCGAGATCTTGGACAGCCTGGTTGGCATCCTTCATAGATCGCTGTTGCACCATGCCCTTGAGGCTCTTCTTTGCAACCAGCTCCAACATGTCTCGAAGATCGTTAGGAGATCCTATCAAAGATCCGGTGAACTTGTTGCGTCCGAACACAACGGAGGGACCCGCGATGGGAAATGCTCCATCCTCCGGTATACCGACCTGGACGAAGCTTGCCTGCTTCTTAAGAAGCTTGAAGTAATCATTGATCGGCACCTAGAAGAAACAATTAGCGGATTGCGCTTGCATATGGACCTAGCTGTGGTTGATATCTTACTTTGGATGAGGCAACGGTGGAGATAATAAGATCGAGGCTGCGGTGGTTCTTGGCGACCCAGTCCTTGTCGTCATCAGTAGCGATGTAGTCATCGGCACCGAGCGAAAGAACCTCCTCGCGCTTCGATACCTTCCGCGAGATACCAACAACCTCGGCACCCATGGCCTTGGCGAAGATGACGCCGTAGTGGCCCAGACCTCCCACACCAACGATACCGACGCGCATTCCAGGTCCGGTATTATAGCTCTTCAGGGGATGGAACACGGTGACACCACCGCACAACATGGGCGCAGCCTCGGCCGAATCAACTCCCTCAGGGATCTTGACGACAAAATGAGACTTGGTGCGGTGGTAGGTGGCGTATCCACCTTGTGTCGCATCACCGTTGAAGTGCTTCGCATTATACGTGGGAACCCATCCGGAGCAGTAGTTCTCTTCCTCAGCAGCACAGTCGTCGCAGTGTCCATCACGGCCCAGGCAAGAGTCTGCTTGGGCACCGACACCAACGCGGTCGCCAACCTTGATGCCATTCTTGGCCTTGGGGCCTACTCTAACGGCAGTGCCAACGATCTCGTGGCCTACTGTGCACGGATAAGCGGTCGCGCCCTAGAGGATTAGTTAGTTGTCTGATACAGAAAGCTGTTACGCCTGAAGTTGGCTAGGGGACTCAGCATACCCAACCGCTTCTCAGTGTGTGAATGTCACTTCCGCAGATACCGGAGTGGGTGATCTTGATATCGACGTCGTCTTCCTCCCACGTCTTCGGCTGGAACTCCTGCCATACCATGTTACCTTCGGCGGCGGAGGCATCGAGAGCCTGCCATCCCTCAAACTTGTACTCGGCAGCCACGGAAGACATGTTGCAAGTCCAGTGATATTGCCTTCTCTATATGTCTATCTGGCCGGCTGCGTATTGCGAAACTATATGTAGGTGATGTTACGGGAGTCGCGGGGCGAGTATCATGGTATTATGGGCTCATCTTCTTCTTAAACGTATTCAGAGCTGCCTTGTTATATGACTGACTCTGTACCGCCTCCACAGTAGCCCACTGGCCATCACCCATTACCACCATTTTCGTCTGCAGCAGCTCCACTGCCGAAAAAATGTACGGAGTGCATTACAAAGCAATACTCTGTTCTGTTGCTCGGTTTGCCTTGTGAGGCTTTAAGGCTTTTTAAACGTCACCGAGGCAATCACCGAGAAACGTTCAGTAACGATTCCGCAAGGACCGGGTTTCCACGTGGATACGGGGCCCGTTAAGAGTCCCACATGGTGTCCGCTGGCAATGCCCGCTTGCCCGCCTCGACTTTGTTGACCCGGCGTCGATGTGATGTGGCTCCTCTACTAGGGCCGAGGTTGGGCTGGCGAGATAGCGATAGGCGTTTGGATCGGACTTTACATGTCAGAGTCCTTAATGCGCTTTAAATACTAGGCCCGAGGGCGGCTAAGATTCCGCACTTATTTATAATACTTATTATATACGGTAACTATATTTAATGTGATTATTAAATAGTTAAGTGGATGTAAATTCACATCGATTTAATTAATACGTAATTTATTAAATTCCCTTTTTTAAGGGTTTAATTTAAACATGTTTTATAATTTAATGGGTGTAGCGTTACGATTTACACTGCAGTTATAACTAACTGCCTGGTGACATAGCTCATATTCTAGACGCCGCCACAAACAAACCCAACAATCTTTGCATGACCCTTCTGAACAGCCCATGACGGTGAAGTCTGGCTGTGGTCACCTGCGACGTCAACATGAACGGGTTGGTTAAGAAGGAGTTTTGCCGCATTAATGTGTCCTTGCTTCGCTGTGGATATCAGTGGTGTCCAATAGTAATCATTGGCAACGCTTGAATCTGCATCTTCTTGAGAAGCAGCAACACCACCTCGAAAAGCCCATTATCGGATGCAAGGCTGAGTGGTATACAACCATCCTTACTTGAAACCTCTAGGTCTGCCCCCTTCTCTAGCAGCAATCTAATCACCCATTGTCACCCCAAAGCGAAGCAGCCTGCAGCGACGTCAGCCCGTCGGTATCTAGGATAGTCAGATCGGCGCCCTTCCCTAGCAGCAGCTTCACCATCTCCATATCCCCATTGCCCGAAGCAGCACTGAACGGCGTGTGGCCCCATTTACTCGCCACACTTAGGTCGGCGTCCTTCTCTAGTAGTAACTCGACTACTTTTGTGTGTCCACTGGCTGAAGCAGCGTAAAGCGGTGTCCACCCGTGATCGCTAGTTAGCGTTTCACCATTTTCAAGCAAGAGCTTGACTACTTCAATGTGACCGTTACGAGAACCATCCATAAGTGAAACGTATCCATTTGAAACGACGTCAGCACCATTGCTGATAAGCAGCTTGACTGCTACAGCATTTCCTGCGTTCGCGGCATGGGTGGGTAGTGTCCGCCCATCGTCATTGGGGATAGTTAGATCAACACGCTACTCGAGAAGCAGTTTCAAGACATCTAAGTGCCAAAAGACAACACCCGGACGGCTGTTTTGCAGGCCTGTTCCATATCGCTGCTTGAAGTTCAACAGCAGCCTGCATCTGACGTGCTTTAGATCCTTAGGATTCCCTCTGCAATCAAGTCGATCGCCTCACATCCCAAAACGATTTCTTCTAGGGTGGAGACATCGTATGCCATAGCAGTTGCTTCCCAAACGGAAGAAGCTCGCCGTTGTAAAGTTGGACCTGAAAGCGAGGAAAAACCATCAACTGGCCAGGCGACAGGTCTACAGTAGGTTCCCGTCTGCATGATCAGCTTCTCCGCTAATTTCCTGTCCAGTCGACAACACCATCGTCGCCGATATCCAGGCGAGCATCTCCGAGTCGTTCGGCAATGGCGTGGATCTGGGCTGGCTAGGCAGTGGCTTCTGTCTCGGCTGCGCCTAGGCCAGTTTCTCCATAGACCACGCATACGGGCTCTACGATATGAAATCAATATCGGCATCAGATAATCCCGAGACATGCCGAACGCTCCTGAGCCTGGCAGAAGTCGGTTCTTGGAAAATGGCACTGGCGACCACCAGAAGCACCATATGGCTGGACTGCTGCACGATATGAAGAAAGCGCAGTACGTCATAACTATCCAAATCCGGGACGAGCCGAGCGAGTAGCCCGCTTGCGTAGCGCCCATGTTAAGACCTACCAGGATATATTAGCCGTACATGTTCGCCGCCGTCGTGTCCTAAGCCCGCCACCACCAACAAATCCGCCCCTAGCGACAACAAACTGCCAGCCCACGGCGAATCAGCGGCCGAGAACGACCCTTTCGTATGTGACGCCAAGAAGCTCCTAGTCAGCACTGGAGCATGACGCTGATGACGACAACGATGCTGACCGTTAGCATGAGATCGACAAGCTGATCAAGTCCCATCAGCTCGCAAATGGCAGCTTTGAGGTCAAGTGGGCGGGTGAGCCGGAGCAGGACGTGAATTACGAAGCCAAGCTGAAGATTCAGGGAGGCGCCGCCGAGACGCTGTACGACTTGCGGTGCAAGCGCGGTGGCCGCACCGAGGTGCTTATCAAGGACAAGAATTTTGCCGTTTCTGGAGCAGTACTTCTTGCGCCACGAAAAGATTTCGATTTGATTATATCATCTATCTATAAATCTATTACAAAGAGCTGCGAATCGTGAGTGGGGCATCCTGTCCAGGTTGTCTATGGGCCTCCTTGACGCAGTCTTTCACCACTTCGTAAAGTTGCCCAGAGCGGATTGCATTGTAGACAATCGTATTATACTTCCCAACACTCGGTGCAACTTCGGTATACGTATCTTCTGTCACTCCACCTATTCCAGCCTCTGTAATGAATGGAACTTTCAGCTCGCCCCTGATGAATTGGTACATCTTGCTTGCAGCTAGACCTAAGGCGGGGCCGGCGTTTGGAATTTCGTCTGTACCTCCTAGAGATCTCACACGCAAGTCGAATGCTTGGCATAGAGCCACGAGATGAGCTGCAGCAAGCTGCGAGAACACCTCCACGGCTTTCAACGTATATCTAGCTGAGATCAATGCCAGGGAGTTGATGCCCTGGTTGCCCATTTCTGCTGTCTGTACATGCGAGCCTACGGGATTAGCCAGGAAGCCCAGCTCACTAGTAAGGGCGGCGACCATGATGTCTGTCCCCTTAAAGACGAAGCTGCAGGACGGGTCATCTGCGACGAGATTCGCTGGGAGTCCACGATTCGTAGCCGGATTGATGAGCTCGGTGCACTGGGAGAAAAGCATGCGGCCTAAAGACTGTAGGCCAGAACGTAACTTTTCGACTGCACTGGTGACTACCTTGGCCTGGAAATTCCCTCCGTGGAAAATCGACCCAGATTGACTATCGATAAGGGGATTATCTGTCACCGAGTTGAGCTCTGTTGAGATTTGTTTATAGGCAAGCATGATGTCTTCCAAGATGGGACCAATCCACTGGCTCGCAGTGCGAACAGAGTATCTGTCCTGGCGAAGTGTACCAGTAGTAAGATACTCATCACTGTTCACCATCTGAGAGCCGGAGAGGAAATTGTAGATAGTCTGTGCGCTATCAATCTGTCCCGGGTGAGGACGTATCTTGGCGATAAACGGATCAAAGCTCTCGTCCGTCCCACAGAGAGCCTCGACACTCATAGCTGTAAGGATCTCAGACAGCATCGCCAGGTTTGTACACTCATAAACAGCCAGCGCCGCAACAGCTGCGGAAACTGCCGTCCCGTTGACTATGGCAAGACCTTCTTTTGCCTCAATGCCCAGTGGCTCAAGGTTGGCCTCCGCAATCGCGTCATCAGCTCTCAGCAATCTGCGTTGTCCTGCGTGACCACGAGGGCCGATGAAAGCCGATACGTATTTCTTGCCTTGCAATACGCCGCCAATGTATGAGAGTGGACTTAGGTCCCCAGAAGCAGAAATACTTCCGCGTAGGGGTACCAAAGGTACGATGTCTTTGTTCAGCATGGCACATAGCCTGTCCGTGATCTGGAGGCGAACTCCAGATGCTCCCGCTGCCAGAGAATTCAAGCGGACCAACATGGAGGCGCGGACCCATGATTCAGGCATGCATGTTCCTCCGGGTTGGTCTAGCAAGAGAGGTCCGACGTGATCGGGACCTCCTTCTGAACTGGTTATGCCAGCCATCAGGAGTGTGAATAGGCGCTGCTGGAGGTCATTGACGGCACCTGTCCTCTGATCCGCGCTGCCGCCGAATCCGGTGTTGACTCCATAGATGACCTCGCCTTGGGCAAGCTTCTGCTTGACAATTTCGCTGCACTCATCAATAGCTAAGATAGCTTCCTTGGTGATGTTAACTTGAGCCAGATAGCGAGAGACGGCCACGACGTGCGGAACGGTGAGTGTATAGGCGTTAACGGAAACCTCGCGTCTTGATGCAGCCACTTGCTCTTGCTGGGCTACAACTAGCTCGGAGAACGACATCTCTAATCTAGACATGTTTCTGTAATCTTGCCAGAGGATAAGACAGTGCCGATATACGACAGAAGAGCTTTTTAGGATCAAATGTAGTGTATTATTGTTGTACTCGAGTGATATTCTTGTGATATTAAGAGCAATATTTATTCCGGGTAAGCCACTCGGGATAGGGCCCTTTAATATATATCTGACTCCCTTTTCTTCTCACCACTGTACTTAGCCGCCTCTATGAAACATCCATCTGCATTGCGCAGATGAGAGACAGATTTCGAGGGTGTCACTCCCATAGGCTCTGTGTAGAAATGGCGAATGTCATCCAAAACCAAACTTGCGAGAGTTTCCGTTATCGAGCCTAAGCATACTTGCAGGACTAGGATCACACACGGCAAGGATTCTGCAGTTCCCCACGCTACTTAGCCAAGATCAAGGAATAGATACTAAAGGAGTAACATATTGTGTCTCGATTAGAACGTATTGACTTTATGTTCGATCCCATGAGAAGGCCTAACCTCTGTGGGATGCATTTGGAATAATTGAACACCCAGTGGTGGGCATTGGAAGCAACGATGTACGTGACATACTGCTCAACATGAAACTAGTCCAGCTATGGCAAGTATTCCTTTACTATCGCCTGTAATATTTGTGCCGATCCCGGCCACCCACGTCATAGGGGTGAAGGCCTGGCTGCATTGCTATCACACGAAGACCAAGTAATTAAGCGACACATCACAAGTACCCTGCTGATTATCCGTGTATGGTAGTAGTAATCCAATATGACGTTAGGGAGGGGGGTGGGGCGGGGTGAGAGATGCTTTCAAACAGTTTTGATAGAATAAATGGAACAGCTTGTGCACTCTTCGTCTCACGTAAATCTAATAGCTGGGTAAGCACAAGAGACCCCCAAGCAATCTATCAGATCACGGCTTTACTCGAAGTATTGTCACAATGACAGCCCTCGGTTTGGAGGAGATTCAAAGGCATAACACCAATGATGACATTTGGATTATTTTACACGGTGTTGGTAAGATTGCTGCGGTTTAACGTAGAGAACACTGGAACTGATACATTGAAGTCTACAACGTTTCTAAATATCTAGAGAACCACCCAGGAGGGCCGGAACTACTACTCGAGGTAGCTGGCCAAGATGCCACCAAGTTCTTTGAGGAGGCTCTCCATTCTGAAGATGCTCGCGATATTCTACCTAGGCTAAAGGTGGGAAATGTGGAGGGATATCGGAGACTGGACGAAGTCTCTGATTCCATCTTGATTGTGGGGGCACAAGCTGCGGCAAAACGGGCATCCCCAGCGAATGTTGTTATACTGGTGGCTGCGCCACTCGTTGTTGCAACCTTCCTTGGTTATCATGGCGATGAGCTGCAAAGCTTGCGGTCGGCCTTGGCACAGGCTTTGACTGACGCGCACCCCCTGTGGTTTTCTGGGGTGATCCTCTTGATACTATGCCTGGCAGGTCTTGGCACGTGGGCAAGTTATATTATCTATGTCGACTATGGTGACTTGAAAAAGTTTCCATCCCACATTCGTATCGAGTAAGGAGGCGATGTTCAGATAGCTAGGTACTGCATGGCGAATGTTTCCACGTACGATTTATTGGAGTGGCTACTTCGATGATGCCCAACCATGCATAACAGTGCTTACGATAGTAACGTGGTAAGCAAGTGACTATCTTCGTCCACGACCGTGATACAGAGAGTGTGCTAGGCGAGTTACTCGAAGCTTAATGCAACATTCGGAATAGAAAAGTACCATGTTTGTTATATCATCATACCTAGGTATACATGCAAAGCATTATAACAGCACACAGGCGTGCATTCAAGAAGGAACCACTCTACAAGGGGATCTTCTCTAGAAGAGGGAACTAACTCATTACCCCCTGCATAATTTTTCGCCAAATCCAGTGACTGGAAGGAACAGGGCGGGGGTAGAAATCCTGATGCGGACCCGTTAGTATGCGGGAATCGTGTAGGTCAAGGGCGTGTGACTTGGAATTGCGGGCGGTTACGCATCGTCTACCAGGTCATGTATGGATAAGGCAGAGTGCATAACGGTAGGCCAGTAGGAAGCGTCCCTCAATATTAGATTGTGTAGCCTCAGGGATCGATGCGGCTGATGCCGCTGCAGATTACAAAACCCCTGCTCGGAGTCTATTCCCGCCAAAGTACAACAATATACGTATCTGCAGGCATACCGAAGTAACCTGCATGCGTCTTAAATCCACCTATTAGAAACCTAATAACCGGCTTATCAAGGATGGAATATCAGAATTAGTATCTTGATATGTATCAACGGCCGGATTTAAGTAATCCAAAATGCATATGCATTCGTCGCTTTTTATTACTTCAAATAGCACTGCTCCTGATGACAGGGTATTGATCCTCTACCCGGCTTCCGATACGAGGATTGCTGACATATAGCCTCTTGCGCGATCGCACGACATATCCGTGCCGCATCGTTACTTGAAGTGCCAAGGAATAGACCCCCACCTTTCTTCCTCACAGATTTTACGTTACAGCAGGTAGTAGTTGTTCTTACCATAAAGCGGGCTCTGTCAAAAGCAGAATGATTTTGTACTCAGCAACTTTACAGCTTGTTTTTCTATAGCTGAAGTATTAGTGCATCCTGTCATGTAATTCATTACCGCGTTTGATCATGTGATGCGATCATCATCTAACCTCTCTTACAGTATTGCGGGAAATGAGTTGTATAGTAGATTGATTAGCCCTATAACAAAGATGTGATGTATGCGCCGTCAGACACTCCCGCACTACGGCACGGTCGTTACTCACCATAATGTAACGCTTATCCCAGGGGTTGCAGCGGGCAAGAGGCCATTTGTGATTGACTAGCTGTGCGAAAGGGTGGTGGCTTGCATCCGATTCGTTAATCATCCTTGTCGTTGGCCGGCCAAGGAAGCAGTCATCTCGACACACTAGCGCAATCAACGGATTCGAGTGACTTGGCATACGTTGTCTAGATACGGGTGAACTTCCGACAATGAACAATCCTCATAGCTGCCAAGAAACACATTCCCAAACCTATAGCCACTATGCAGAAAGCTTGCATCCACCTGTAGGTTAACCGTCCATCTTCTTCATGGAATAATAAAGCCCCAGCAATAGGAATCCCGGTAAGACAGGAGAAACTAGCCACTCCGTAAATCATTCCAGTGCGGACACCAATCTCGTGTATCTCGGATATCTGGGCGGTTACCGGCGGCATGAGTGAGATAAATGCACCAGAAGTGAAACCAAAACAAGCACTAAATGCCATCAGACAACCAGTGTTCACTGGAATCCACAGAAATAGTGAGGCGACAATGGCTGCAGTGCTGCAAACGATCGCGTTCATACGTCCGAGCTTGTCCGCCATCAAGCCGCACACAATTCGTCCTAGTAAGCTATTTTGCGTTAGCTTTTATCACTTTAGGCGGTGGTATCGCTTACCTGCTAGCGTTCAGGACAATTAATGTAGAAGTCGCGATGGTATTCGAAGCACCCTGCGATCTGGCATAACTAGGAAGGTATGTGTTGGGAACAAAGAGGGCCCAAAAGGTGCAGAAGCCACCCATACTAAGCAACACGTACTCGACTTCTTTAAAAGGGCGAAAAAAGTCCAAGATATGCGGAATCTGCGCATGGTGTACTAGACGTGATGTACACGCAAGATTACCGACTACGAGGAGAATAAGAAAGGTGAAGGCCAAGATTCTGACAGCCCATCCAAAGTCCACGCCACGAGCTATGAGGCTGTCAAAAATGATGCTGTAGATGGGATTAGTGGCTATAACATCTGAGGACGGCATCTTCCTTACGGTATGAGAATGCCACCTAAAGAAGCGCCGGTACCCACGATTCCTATCGCGAAAGCCTTTCTCTTCCAGAAATAGGTACTGACGGCATTGAGACTGGCGTAATATAAGGTAGATGCGCCGATTCCAGACAATATGCTCTCGCTCAAGAAGATCTGATAGTACTGGGAGCTGAAGCTCAAGAACACGAGGCCGAGTATGTGCATAGTGCTCCCAATCATAAGTAGCGTGCGCGGTCCATAGCTGTCAAAAAGACGGCCAGCTACAGGCGCAAAAAAGAGTAAGACAAACAAATCCGCCGACGAAATCCAGGATATCGCCGATTGAGAGTACTCGCTCAATTGGTGTGTTGAGAAATAAGCGTGAAAAACACCGAGCCCGCTCGCCCAACCGAAGGATGTAAAGTTAAAACACCATGTGCCAAACACTGTCAGCCAAGCAGGCACGCCCCCATCTGGGTATGCCTCCGAAAGCGGCGGCGTTTCAATTTCCATTCGACTGGCATTTTCTTCAGGTTCGTGCGTCATATTGCTGACAGTGTGTCTGGCCATGGAATCCGCCATCTGAATTTGGAATCATGTAATGCGTCAGAGTATTTGAGATGTCTCAGACATGGGGTTTGCACCTCGAGAGATTGACGTACAGTATGCAGAAGCAAGGAATACAAAGAGAAATAGCTCTTGCGTTAACAGATACACATGATCGGCAGAGAAGAGATTGTAAGGATTCTGCTTCTCACCGTTGACAACTAAGAAGAAACAAGAAAAAAAGACAGATATGTTGGCACCTGTTCCAGAGGGGAATAGGGGAAGACGCAGGCAGAATCTGTGGTAATCTTGCACTAACTACATTGATCATGGGTGGGCCGATCTCTGAAATTCTGACATCCACCCCCCACGCCCCCTGTCCCCCCATACGGGCGGGATCAACCCGAACCTTCAATCCATAGAGGGAGCTTCTGTATCTCTCGGGAATCAACACTGCAGGCCACATGAAGGATTGCAGGTAGTATGCATCTTGATGAGTTGTTCGGCAATTTAATTCGGCATTCGATAGTTCCTTTCTTTGAACACTCGATAAGTGCTACGTAGTAGGCTGGATGCCCAAGTTGCCGGCCCTTGATCCTGCCAACAATCTCTCCGTGGGACTGCCCCCTTCACAATTTACATTTGCAAGGTTTCGGGAGCCTGATCTAACTCTTGAGACTGAACTTTGACCATGTCGTGCGTATTCTTTTTGGTCGGCGACTTGCCGAGTAAACAAGTCTCCATTTCCCTACCTCCTTCCATCAATTTCCGTAGCCTCAAGCAGGCCGTGTCAGAAAAGTTTAGTATTATCGATCCAAGTGGTATGTGTCCTAACGCGGATGCTAACAGTTATTGACTGATTTGCTTATACCTTGATTTCAATTTAGCATTATCCTTCCTCACAGGTGGCACTGTGTGCGATAATTTGGCTTCACTAAAGCAATTCCCAAAACCTATCGGCGTTTTGGTCAACGGACGTGCTGTTAGCGACCCTCCCGGACCCCGAGGTCTACCATTCATTGGGAGTCATTGTGAGGTGTACCCTGATCATATCGGGAATCATGAAAGATTGTTTCAGATCTACGGCCCCATCTTCAAAACAACAATCATGGGCCGGACGGTTTACCACACCAACGAGCCCGAGATTGTAGCACATGTCTTTAAGGAGACCGCATTCTTCACCAAGGAAATTAATGAGGCTCACCCCTTATATGGGGTAAAAAGTCCACACGCTGGTGTCTTCCTGACCGACACACACACGGATGTCTGGAAAGAAGCCCATAAGTTCATGGTTCCAGCTTTCGGTCCCAGAGCAATCGATAAGTATAGCACTGTCGTCGTTGCAACAGCTCGCAAGACATTTCCGGTATTTGATAAACTGGAGGAAGAAAATCTTGCTTGGAATGTATACGACTACATGCTCAAACTTGCTTCTCAAATAGTAGGGGAACTATTTATCGATGCAGACTTTGGCCACTTCGAGAAATTCGACTCTCCTATTCATGACACTGTCGCCGCCATATTCAGGCTTCTTGGTCTGAACAAGAAGGTCACCTCCTGGGGAGACTGGTATACCTGGTTACCATTTGGTGACCCAAAACGGCTGCGTGATACGTGGCATGATGTTGGGTCACGTGTCGGAAAGCACATTGCCGTAGCTTCAATTGGGGAAGGCGATATACCTCTACAGGAAGCTGCCCTCAAGGCGAAGAATCTGACTGGTCAGTTTACTAGTTACCACTATCCATTTCAATAGTTCACAAGCTGACCTCCTTTATAGACTATTTCATTCGCGCTACAGACAACAAGGGTAACAAGATGTCGGCCGAAAGTCGAAGACCGGCACTTATCGTAGCTGTCACGGCCGGGTTTGTTACCACCAGCGCACTTCTATCTTGGCTGCTCTTCGGATTAGTCACTTATGATGGTTGCCAATCCATCATCCTGCAGGAGCTGGTCGACAATGGCATGACTGAGGAGACCGAGATGACTGGGGAGTTTATTGGAAAACTCTCATTCCTTGATAAGTTCGTCAAAGAGACTCAAAGACATCATACAACTTCTTTTCAACCCGCAAGAACAGCCAGAACTGATCTTATCTTGCCCAACGGCTTCCGGTTACCGAAAGGAGCCGTGGTTATACCTGAGGTGCACCACCTTCACCACAATAGTCAAATTTGGGAGAACCCTACACGGTTCGATCCTGAACGATGGGATACAGAACAGGTTAAGTCACGTCACCGGGCTTCCTATATTCCCTTCGCAATGGGCCCGAGAATGTGTATAGCGATGAACTTCGTGACACGGGAGGTGAAGATATTGCTGGCTCAACTGGTCTATCGATACGAGTTCATCCGACACGGCACCAATACAATCGAGTACGATCCTATGTTTCAGACTATTCGACCCAGGAATTTGTACATGAGGACACGGAAACGGGTATCATGGCCAAGCCTTACGAAAACAGATTCATGAGCTATTTCTATAGAATTTTTTCCAAAACCAAGACAATATGTTTGTCATCGTTAATAGCATGAGTCCAAATGAATGGATGGTACATTTTAAAGATATATTCCACGTAACACATCTAATACTCACATTTTAGTCTCAATTATGAGAATAGGTGTCCAAGACACATTAAATTTAGGCTACTACGACCGCATTGCCAAAATGCTCTCGTTCTGCAAGATCGTGCATTCAGAAATCAGCCTATCAGAATTTCCATGATAATCTTCATGATATCAGTACAAGTGGCGTTGGACTCTGGTCTAGCACAGCCGAAGGAAGGGACACATCATGATGGCGTCATATAATCCTGCATGATAGGCGACGTGGAGCCATTCACATCATAAGATACGTATTTGCATGCAGGACGAGAATACTAGCTACATATGCGGCTTACATGGAAATGTTGATCCTACTTTGCTCAGACTCATGCATGTTTATTTCTCAAATTTATTCTGCACTAGGGACCTTCACCTCCCCCATCCAGCTATATCTCCGGCCACATATTGCGTAAGTTCTGAACCATGGGGGTCTGTCCCAAACGAATGATGCATAGTGACTCATGCGTGACTTTCAACGATGCCGGGCGGGGTTACCTGTAGCCCCTGCCACCTGCATATTGTATATCGGCAAATTAACCGGAGTCACAAGCGTTCATTTTGTGCAGTCTTGCAGATCTGTACTCTTGCAGAGAAAGGTATACCGTGTTACGGTTGAACAAACCCTCAGATATATTAAACTTTAGTAACTCGTCTCTACTATCTACCAAGCCCACACCAGTACCTACCTTAGAATCAAACCAATTCCACACATCAAGCAATATGGCCCATCTGGATCTGCTCGTCTCGTATGGAGCTCCCCTTTTTGTATTCGCTACGATATTCTACTATTTATTAGCTCCATACTTCTTCACCTACGGCAAGCTTCGGAATATTCCAGGCCCCTTTCTAGCCAAATTCTCACGAGTGTGGCTTCTATATGTCTCTCGGTGGGGCCATCGTGCTGAGCGCGTTGACGAGCTCCACAAGAAATGGGGGCCGGTCGTTCGAATTCAACCCAACCAGTTTAGTATTGCAGACGATGAAGCTATCCCCGTCATTTACGGTCATAAGAACGGGTTCCCAAAGTCAGACTATTACGACGCCTTCATTTCTATGAAACCCGGCATCTTTAGCACTAGAGACAAGGCTGTTCATGTAGCTAAGCGAAAGAGAGTCGCTCATGTGTTTGCACCAAAATCTCTCGGCCAGTTCGAGCCATACATCCACTCAAACCTTGCCATCCTCGTGCGCCAGCTAGATAGCATAACCATGAATCAGCGCAAGCCTGATGGCTGGGCTTACCTGGACTGTCTTCCCTGGTTTAAGTAAGCACTTCCCAAGGCGATAAGTAACCCGTATGCTGATCTACCTCGCAGCTTCACTGCGTTTGATATCATTGGTGATCTCGCCTTTGGTGGTTCATTCGGCATGCTTGAATCTGGAGCAGACATCGCGGAGTACCGGCCATCGCCAGAAGCACCGCCTTTATATACCCGGGCCGTGGAGACCTTAAACCGCCGTGGCGACACGGCAAACACATTGGGCGCATTGCCTGAGCTCCGACATTATGCTAAATGGTTGCCCGACCCATTTTTCAGACACGGCTCCCAGGCCATCAAGAATTTGACCGGTATTGCCATCGCCCGTGTGAAGAACCGTTTGGAAAATCCGCTCAAGAACAACCGTGAGGATATTCTACAGCGCCTCATAGAGGCCCGAGACGATAACGGACAACCACTAGCTTTTTCTGAGCTCGTTACGGAGGCTTTGTCGCAACTAGTAGCGGGGTCCGATACCACCAGTAACTCAGGTTGTGCTTTACTTTACCACGTGGGCAGAACTCCAGGGATCCTACCTAAGCTCCAAAAGGAATTAGACGCTGCGATCCCAGACGACGTCGAGGTTCCATCTTACAATATGGTGTCCAAGCTTCCATACCTCGAGGCTGTAATCAACGAGACATTACGGCTGCATTCAACTGCAGGCCTGGGACTCCCACGAGAGATCCCGGCTACGTCGTCGGGCGTTGATCTCCATGGGCACCATTTCCCTCCTGGAACCATTCTGAGCGTGCCGATCTACACGATTCACCATTCCAAGAAGATATGGGGTTCTGATGTAGCTGATTTCAAACCTGAAAGATGGTTTAGCCTAACCGACCGACAGAAGGCTGCTTTCATTCCATTCGGGTCTGGCACGCGGGCATGTGTCGGACGTAATCTAGCCGAGTTGGAGATGAAAGTCATCATCGCCACGTGGGCAAAGAGGTATGACTTCGTCACGAAACAGGACCATCTGGAGACCTTTGAAGGGTTCCTACGGAAGCCGCTAGGTTTGCAAATCAGCCTGAGGAGGAGAAAACTGTAGGATCGTTTTGGGCTGAGATAGTGAGCCTAGAGGACATGCACCTTTTGAAAGGCTACATATATCATCATAAAACCCAGGCGAGGATGTCGACTCCAATGAACATGCTAATCAAATGGTCTTGCTGTACCTCCGCCAACATAGCTATAGTACGTCTCAGACAAAAAATATCTGGAACCTCGGTTTTGTTCACAAAAGCGTGGCATCACTATAGATTCTTGAATGACCATCATGTGTACCCCCTGAAGTTCAAGACGGTTTGTATTTGTCCGTGTATTAAGGACTCCACATCAAGGATATGAATATAAAGTTTTCACTTGGACTATCTGGTGTATGTAAAAGTGGAGAAGTTCCACAACTCGCCATGTATATACATACTCTTATTAGAACTCTCTTTTGCCTACTTTAATCGACCATAATACGTTTAGAGGATCGTTAAATACCGTACTCTGTGTGACAATGGTGCTTCCCTTGGTCATGCTGGAAGTTGCATACGACACTGTCGCTCATGGAATCCGTGGCATTTTAGATCAGGGGACCCCTGTCACTCTCCATCCGAGACAAAACAAGATTCACCTCCGACCCTGTCTAGATTATGCATGGATAGACTATATAGTACAGCAATGCTGTCAGTACTAAAACCATCTTCTAAATTATAAAAGCACCCCTACTTGGTACCCCTTAGATAAGGTACACAGTACTGTGTCGGGATATTTGATCCGAGCCGCGCATGCAACAAAAATTACACTAAGCCCGACCCCTCACTGCTGAACTACTGCACCGTAAGCACTACTTCGAATCTTCTCGAACCTGGGCTACGATTATTGTTAGCCAAGAGCAAAGTCCAGCTGCTTGTTGGAGCGACGCTGCAAAATACAGCTGCAAGGATTTGTGGAAGCGCTGTATATATTGCTTGACTAAACAGCCCGGTCAAAGTCACTAATTATGTCGAGTGTCTTGCTATATGAATTTCCGTCTGACGAAAACATCCGTTCAGTCCCATTTCTATGAATGACATAGATAGTACTATCATCCACTCACTATGCATTTTAATCTTCTCTTGCTTATATGCCTCTTCTTCCCTTTCCTAGCAGCCTCCCTAGTTGCGTGGAATGACTTCTCGCACGGCCGCGTCGCACTAGAAAATGTCAGCATCCACTTCCGGTACGCAGGTTCGGGTCCGGCGCTACTCCTTGTGCACGGCAACCCGCAATTTAGTCTTACATGGCAGGTCATCGGCCCCATCCTAGCAGAGAAATATACCGTGATCGCGCCCGATAACCGTGGCGCCGGTGACTCCTCTATCCCCCCTGATGGTAACTATAGTGCCACGGCATCCGCTGAGGATTTGAAGGGCGTGCTTGACTTCCTTGGCGTTAATGAAACATACGTCTTTGCACATGATAAAGGTGTCGCGATGGCTATGGCCCTGGCTATCAAGTACCCCGAGGCCGTCAAAATGTTAGGTCTGAGCGAATACGTGTTACCAGGATTCGGGTACGAGCAAGCGGCTACGCCGGCGCCGTAGTAAGTGTTCCCCCTTTTCTACCATTTAGCCCAACGATCCCTTGCTCATCTGAGCGCAACATAACATATAAAAAGAGTCACGGTGCTGATATTGATGTTCACTCAGCTGGGATCTGTACGCAAAGCCGCATTTGGCGCTGTTTCAGGTCATTGACTTAGCTGAGTTCTTATTGACTGGCAAGGAGAGGCAGTTCCTTCAGTGGTATTTCTATCGTGGATCCTACTCGGGTCCTACGTCCTTCACCGAAGATACGGTAAACCAATATGCGACCTCTATTGTAAGTTGAAGCAATCGTCATACTGCGCAGCATTATATTTCCAAATTCGTGAGCAGACATCAGTGCCATGCACGCGAACGGCCTGATTAGTCCCAGACATTAAGCTGGCGATGCAGCCATCCTTATTCAATTGACATGGAAGTTCATTTGAAATGGCGATACTAATCTCTCGCCTGGCAGACCAAACCCGGATTTCTCCGCGCCATGCTGGGTCCCTATTCCGCGGCCGCCATCGCGGCCGACGCCGCTTTCTTTACAGGAACGCTGACCAACAACACACTGCCCATGCCCATTCTAGGTCTTGGAGGTGAAGCAAGTTATGGAATTCCATCGGTTCTCGAATCAGCAATGGGCGGTTTCAGCAAGAATACGGAGCTAGACATCATACCCAAGACTGGGCACTGGATTGGTAGGTGCCACACCTCCCCGCTAGTAGTTTCGTGTTCCTATATGATATTAGTGAACAACAAATGCTGAAAGCTCTTCATAGGCGACGAGAATCCAACGTGGGTTGCCGAGCGCATCGCTCGGTGGTTGGAAACAGATGCAACCCCACTAGTTGCTGTAGATCTAGCGTGGCTAGACGACAGAGTGACGCTGGAAGTTGGGTTCTACGGTACACTAGGGAATGCTGCTCTTGGTGGGCTTTCATTATAATTACATTCGTAAAATAATGGTAAAAGCCTTTTATGAATCTGTAGCCATTGCTAAGACCCCGCGTCCTTGTGACCGGGAGTCCGCAATCAGAGATTCCCTACAGTAGCCGTGATAACGCCCTCGGTAATCTGGATCTGATCGCCCTTCTTCTCGAGAAGCAGCTCTGTCAGCTCACGGCCACTATACTCATTTTCTATAGCAGCCGTAATAACGCCCTCCGTGATCTGGATCTCGTCACCCTTCTTCTCGAGAAGTAGCTCCATCACCGCACGGCCACTGTCCCAATTCTGTGCAGCGGAAGTGAGCACCCGCTCTGTAATTTCAGAAGCTGGTATTCGGCTGCATAACTCAAAAATGATATCTTTTGCATTGGCTCCTACTTCTCGCGCAATGCTATCCATATGTAGAATTTCTATCGGGTCGTGGTACATCTGCATGATCCATCGAACTATGTTTAGATTGCCTCTAATAGCCACGGCGTTCAAGGCGTTTCCATGGGCGCCTCGAGCTATGGACAATTGTGAGCCGTCAGCCCACACTTTGCGCACTTTATCCTCGAAGCCCAGAAGGGATGCGTAGTACATGGTTCCTGCGTTTATAACATTTAGGTCCTGAAATGGGTTATTAGGATTGTGTAGTCGAAGCCAAGCATTGAATTGCTCTGTATTATTCGAATCAAAAAGCAGGTTGATTTGATCTTGGAGGTCCCTTGTCGGTTGTGCTTTCAAACCCCGTCTTGTATGCTCCGGCCAGTAATTAACAGCATAGTGGAGAATGGGACCTGGGTGACTTTTAAGCAGTGCTCCGAGTGTAGTATATGCGACATTTTTGTCCGCTAGCTCAGTTGTGAATTGATACCATTGCCAAGCCCGCTCGTAGTAGACCTGTATAAGTAGAAACTCCTTGACAGAGAAGTGAGCCAATTTAACGATTTGTGTTGTGTCCTTATCTATGATCGTTACGAGAAGGGTTGTGTAGATTCGAGTTATACAATCAGGGTCTCGAAAATCAACGACTGCAGCTACCTGTTTGGTAGTGAGCGGCTGTAATGATACAGCAGACCAAATCATAATTTCTCTAACGTTTAACTGGAAATCATCCCCGACGCCATCGAAAGCCTGACGATATAAAGACTTTAAATCCATTGGAATGCTGTTCAAGGCTTTCTATAAGTGTGGTTCCGTGGCACACCTGGCGAACCGCTTGATCTGCAACTCAGCCTAACGAAAGCGCCTGTTTATATAAAAAGTGCATTAAATTTATGTTTATTACAATCGCTCACCTTTCGTTAAATGATAGGAGTTTGTCTTTGATTATATTCTTCGATTCTTCGGTTTAACTGGTATAATCCTCTTTCGCGAGCTTAATATTTACATATCCATGCCTTGACCGAGTCGTAACGGCATGATATCGCGGAAGGCCTCCGTGCCCTACCTTTTGTCTTTCACGATTAACGCGCGTGATCCTCCCCTCCAGGTCAGCTGGACTAAGCCTCGACAGCGCAAGGACCCCATCTTGACACTCATTTTTTCGCCCCAGCCACGAGAAAGAGAAAAGCAAGGAAAAGGATCATTACAACAGCCAAGTACCTAAGGCTACCCAATCTTATAACGGCATCGAGCGCCAAATCTTTCAGCTCGGCGCAGCCGCATAAGCCGCGCGAAATGTTGCAGCTCAGCTTCTCTTAATCACAAAGTGCATGGCTGCAACAGTCTCAATTAAATAAGAACCAGGCACCGACGGACAGCATACACGTTCCTTCGTCTTCCACTTTGTATTGCGTCAATCATCTCTTCAAGTTCAACTCTCGAAATGGCGAGCATCAACACATCTATTGCCGATCTTTGCTTTTTCAGCTACCAAGCCGATAATAAGACGTTTGATGTCTTCTTGGGCCAGCCGAGGAACAATACTTTTGGGCAGATTGTGTCGCGTGGAGAGCTCACCGGCCGTCCCGTACGCTACTCAATGTCTAACAGAGTGCTCGAAATTCCTGATCCTAGCTGATAAATCCAGGTTCTTATTAATTTTACAATAATTGCGGCTATGGTGATGTTGCTGTATTGGTTACATTTTTTCCGTACCCTTTACAAATCCATTCATCAACAGGAAAAGTAAAAGTCCACTCAACACTCTCTTTCCACGGTAATGAACTGACCCTGAAACTCAGCCTGGATGACCGTGATGAAGGACGGTTGTCAACGAAGGCTTACATTCTTCTACTAGAGTTCGGCGACCCCGATGAGGAGACTGTCATCGACTCCGAGCTACAGAATCTAATCATGTCACTTTGTGACCAGCAACTCTACCTTGCTGCCGGCTACATATTCAGCCTCTTAGTCTCCAGCCCAATCTTAGATATCACCGCATACGAATGGTACATGCTCATGAACCTCCTCATGATCACCGGATTTCTGCAACTTTTGGGTGTATCAGCTGGATGGAAATACTTTACTCCTCCTGTGTTTATCATCCGATTTTCTCTGTTCATTACTATGACAGTCTTTACCTGCGTCAGATTATCCGGTTCGGAGGCTCTCCAGCCTTTATTGCACGTTCCGACACACGTCCCGAATAACAGCATTACCGACTCAATAATACTCGCACCAATGTCTTGCTATGAGCACTACTATTCAATAAAAAAAGAAGATCTCTATGGCAGCAACGCATTCTACGAGCCGTATGCTGTGTTCTTCACCACGCTGGCATTTTATATCAGCTTGGCTTTGATTAAGGTCGCGGTATTATGGCGGTTCTTACTGCCCCGCGTTTTGGATGCCATATCAGTTGCTAATGTCACTTGGTTTCTCTTGGCTTTAGTCAACATTGCCGTGACAGGCATAGCATGTACCACGATTAAATACACCTTTGAACTGAAAAACTGGGCAGACCGCTCTGGTTGGTTCAAAGAAGGGGTGGACAACTTTGCGAATTTCGGACAGATGATGGCGCTTATGAGTCAATTCATGCTATTCCAGACAATCTGCGCTACAGTTACTAGTAAGGGTGCCCTCGCTAATTTCAAAAGAAATCCTTTAACAAGATTCTCCTGTTAGAAATTTGGCTTAAGACGAGGGACCATCGCGACATATTCACGCAACTGTATAATCACATTTTAAAGGAAGCAAAAAAAGATAGAGATGCTGTAAAATCTACAGTTAATCATATTAAGCTCGGGGTAACCCAGCCACAGTCTCGAGCAGATCAAAGGATGGCTAGACAAGAAAACTTTTGATCCTTACCTTATAAACGTTGAATTTAAAGCAATCATTTAAGAGTTTAAATTTACTTGATTCAGGCCTTTAAAAAATAAAGAACTTGATTTATCAGTGTGATACATCTTATACGTCGGTCTTCCTACAGTAACTATGCTCTCCACCCTCCCATTCAGGCTGCGAGCACTTTCGAGAGCACCAACAGAGGTCGATTCAATCCGCCTGGCGCTGTGGAAGTTCAAAGGACAAGGCGAGGAAATACCCTTGGCGAGGCGTCCTGTGGTTCGGTGAAAGTGTGGCGGGCGCGGTGGTCGTCCCCCAGTCTTCGTCAACCGGTTGGCAAAGTGTGTGTCGCATTACTATACATGGCTTTACAAAACAAAGTGAGGCCGTGGGGCTGCGCCTTACACCAACCCAAGATAGCGTCGGTTGTGTCGAGCAGGAAGCTTAATATAAGGTATAAAAGGGATGAACCCGAGCTTATCGGCATCGTTTAACCTTACCTTTCATCCTTCGTTTTTATTACACCCGCGCTTTTTTAATCTTTCGTTATAAAATAAAGAGTGTTATAAAATATAATCGTATAATATAATATAAAGTTAATAATAAATTATTAAATTTAAATTTATTATTTTTTATATAATTAAAAAGCGTTGTAATTAATATTAAATTAAAATATTGATTTAGATTTAATAAAAAAGTTTTATATAAAATAAAATAAATTTTTATTTTTTAAATATATTAAAAAATTATATAAATAATTTTTAAAATTTATATTTATAAAATTTATTATATAAAAAAAATTTAAATATTTAAAATTATTATAAATTTATTTATTAATTATATTAATTTAAAAATATATTATATAAAAAGGTTAAGGTTAGGGTTAAGGTGAAATAAAATATAAGATGATTTTAATTATAAAGAAAATGAGCTTTTCACGTTATATTTATTACGATCTTTAATTTAAAAAGATGTTTATAATTTCGCCGTGCGAGGCTTAGGGTTTGGATAGGGTGTATTTACTATTAAAACTAGCTTATCTGCTCGAATGTTGTCTTTTATTTAATCGGTATAAAATAGCTTAGGGTTAGGGTTAGGGTTAGGGTTAGGGTTAGGGTTAGGGTTAGGGTTAGGGTTAGGGTTAGGGTTAGGGTTAGGGTTAGGGTTAGGG